CGAGATGTTCACTATTTGTCTTGTGAGCAGTTGCTGATGCTTCATCTTTGCCTTGAGGTAGCGCTGGTGACCAGTCCAGCTCCGAGGCGCGAGCCCTTTTGCTCTGACGATCACCCTCGTATTCCATCAGCGCTGGTGCAGTGCACATAGCCGTCTCGGCAGTTGGCAGTGCGCTGTCGGCCGCAACTGATGCCTCGTCGCCTTGGTGCTGCTTTACGTGCAGCGGCTGCTCAATGAGGTACTCGTGGGGGCTCCAGGACCCTTCCCGGCTAGTGTCAGCGCCTTGCGAGTCCCGCAGCTCGGTGTCTGCTGGAGTCGCCGGCTCTTCCGCCATGAACGATCAAGCTTAGCCGCAAGCGTGTCTGTTCGCTCCTTGAACCGTATCACGCTATTTCCAGAAAGCACTCAAGACGCTGGACTGCATAGCGCACCTGTGTCACTCATAGAGCGAAACTGCAAAAGCACTACATCGTGCAGCGACTGTCGGTCAAGCGTTGATTCCGATCGCAGCGCCCTTGACCCGCTGGACTAGTCATCCGAATCAACGGCGCACTGTTGGATTGACAGGGCACGCGGGTCGTGCCTGATTCCTAAAGTGCAGTGTCTTTGACACGAGTCGTCAGTGTGTGTTCAGAACGTTTGACTGACGCTTTCTTCGAGATGATCGCTCGACTGGTTTGCGTTGCTGCTCAACGGGTACTGACTCACTCCATAAGGCGTTGGTGTTGTTCGCAGCACGAAGCGTCTCTACAGACACCACGAGATCATGCAGTATACAGCGTTTCGCCTGGAGGACTCGAACAGTGCAACCGACACACGATACCCTATGCGTTCCGTTTACGTGTTCGAAGAGGTTACGTCTGAATGGATCGATGAAACCGTACCCGAGCTCATGGACGATGCACGCTGGTCGGCTTCCGAAGAGCAGCTCGCTATGGCGATTGCGCAGCGCATCCAGCGTTGCCACGACACAAACGTCATGGTAGAGAGCGTGCACTGGTACGAGTCCGAAGTCGAAGAATGGACGGCGTCGCGTCCATCCTGCGTAGCTGGCATCTGGCGTACATTAAAAATGCGCCCAAAGGGTCGCAAATAAAGCACCAGGTTGGGCACTGGAGCAAGCACATGCTCCGGGCAGTTTTGTGCAGCCGCCACTCGGAGCGAACGTATCGCCCGTACCTGCGGTACTGCACGATCGATCGCCGCAGCCACGATTGCCGCGGAGCATCTTTCCCATATGTTACATACATTGTAAATCAAGAGTAGCACTCTGATGCAAGGATATCTACGAGCAGTCATCTTTTCCAGTTGTTTGTGAATCAGGTTCGCATTGGAGACACATAAACGTCAAATTTGAGCCTAATGGTCGCCCAATGGATCCCAGCACCTGTTACCAGGTAATCCACCTGACACTTACTCCTCAGTAGGCTATCATGGTCATTACAAGCGAACGCAGCGCAAATATTGCATACAAGCGGCAGCCCTGCGACTCGCTGCTTTCACAGGCGATAGGCTGCATTGCCCGGCGGCACACAGCGACGAATCGCCTTGCGCAGGCGCTCGCGCTGCCCCTGTAGTCCGGACAAGCCGCTGGCTGCCTTGTGCCCGCTACTGGGCTCCAGCGTGGCTTGCTGCACAGTACACCAGCGCACATCGTACCGTTAGATGCTCTCGGATGCTCGAAGCGAGCGCTTATCCAATAGTGCGATCAGTGCATTCCCGTCGTAAGCGTGCGCTCCAGGACGGCTCCTCGATGGATGTCGGTACCGGTGCTGGCAGCGTCATCGATTCGCAGCGCAACTGCGGCGTTCAGTGCCAGATCGTCATATTTCTGGGTCGAATCGGTCGAGTTTCTTCTTGACCTCGCCCTCGAAAACGTCCTGGCGCGATCCAAATAGGCCCCTTTCCCGCAGAGACTCGAGAACGAGCTCGACTCGTTCATGATTCTCGCTCACGAATTCGTGCAGCACCTGCAGCTCATTGGTAATCGCTACCGTCTGCTCCTGCAGGCCCACGACATGGAAGAGAAAATGACGCATCGCCTCAAAAACAGCACCTTCCTTTTTCTGGAGCTGCTCAGTTAGTTTCTGTGCAAAGGCCTGCTCCTCCTCGTAAAGTGCTAGCTTTCGTAGGTCCGCTTCCATGGCGCCTTTCAACTTCTCGACCTGCTCGAGTGCGTACTCCTCGAGATGCACCATACTCTGAACAACGCTGTCGAGCTCCTGACTCATGTGCTGCAACAACTGCTGAACGTCGTCGGGGGTACCCGCCAACGACTGCGATCCGTCGAGCACCCGCGGCGACGGTGTCGAAGCGCTGAGCGGCCGCACGCGCCTCAACGCGGACACAGCACCGCGGTGCCAGTATCGACCACGCCAGAAACGCAGCCTAGTGCACTGTGGGCGCAGTGCGCCCCTGCTATTTGCAGGTAAGACCGCTCTTTCACCACAGTCGAACCAGTAAGCTCCAAAAACGAACATATTCTCAGAAAGGCCCACAGCGAGTCCGTACTTCAGACGAGGAATCTGTCTCGACGCCGCGCGCTGCCGGGAGATTCGCTGCAGATCTCAGCGCTGGTACTGGATCCTCAAGGATGTTGCCAGGCGCGCAACTGACAAGCCTTGGAGGCCTCTGTACTTCATTTTTAGAGTGTTTGCGTGATCTCGAGCGGTGCACCTAGCACATCATTGGCACACAGCGTGGCGCAAATGCAGCTGCTACTAGACTAGCGCTGGATCCGGGGCAGGTCCCGGCAGCAGCGGAGCAGATCATGCTCAAAGCTTGTGCACGCGTATGACGTTTCTGTGTAGTGCGTATGATGGCTAGTCTGGTGCGCACCAGCTCGACGGCGTCCAGTACATGATCGATGAGCGGTGTACAGCGCAACCTTTTTTGTCTTGTTGATACATGGGGAATGTCGGGATGGAGGAAGCGCGAGCGTGGCAACCCAGGTTCCATCCAGATCGACCTGAAATGTGCGCATCTTGCTAGCGTAGGCTCGCGTCAGCGTTCCAAAGAGTACCTCGGAAACGAGACATTGGGAGCTAGGGCGGCGGCAAGCTGCCGAGTCGGTCGCTCGTGGCAACGCTCATCGGTATCGGGGCACGTCGGCACCGCCTATGAGCTGAAGCCTGTCATGGTACTGGAAAGCTGTTCTGTCTCTCTTGGGCGGCAGTGGCAGCAGTGACGTATCTAGCGTCTTAGCAGGCAACCGGGATGTGCCTATTGCCCAGGAAGATCACAGGATCCAGCATTTTTTACTGAGAAAAACATTGCTTTGAATCCTGAGGTACGCAGATGCATACCTGGAATGATTGAGGACGCTTCTCTGGCTTTCGGCAGCACTCGAGTATCCATTGCATCCTGTCTAGATGCCTCGATCTTGCATCATGAACAATGTGGCTCCGCGTCAGCACGTTGACACTCTACACTGGTTTCAGATGAAAACCAACATAGAAATCGTCGCGCCGTTCCTGCCTCTCTATTTCTTCCGAACTTTTATCAAATGTACGGACTCGATGTTCGAATTGCTGCATTAAGGAATTACGAATGCATACGTAATTTTAGGATACCTTGTCGTCTTCGCGGAGTGGCTCTTCAACGATTGGCGACTGCAATTCTTGACGTTACCGTAGTCATGAGGATAAGCGACGTCCTCGAACGAAAATGCGCGTGAATGCATCGATACCATATTCGGATGCGTACGTCCAAACATCCAATCCACTCCTTTCCTTACGTAACGCATGCTTCAATCACGGATTCTTCAATTTTTCGATCCTCCTATGTCAGGGCAGCTCGTGGGCGCAGCAGTTCGCGCAGATGTCTTGACGAGGAGAAAAACTCGACGCCGTCCCTTGGCGGCTCTTCAAAAGCTCATCGGGAAACTTCTTGAAACTTGTAACGAAAAATATTCGATTCAATTCTAAAGAAATATCCTCCTCTCTTTCCGGACATCCACCAGACAGCATACGACATAAACACGATACCATTCACAGGTAATGCTTCCGGAAGTGTTCTTCTCTTCTGCTCGTGCGAAGACGAGTCTTGAACTCGGCCCTGTACTATCACTAGGATTGGTGTGAGTGTCACCGCGTTGCACGACGGCAGCGTATCCGGATCGAAAATACTGGACTTGTTCTCCAGTCTGGATTTTCCTTTCGATAGTTTTCCATCATGGAAGACAATGCGTTCCACAAATCCCTATTCGACGGAACAACGTGAGATCGCACACGAACCGGTCAGAGCAAGCGTTCCGCGTATCACCCAGAACAAGCCGGTGATCGTAGGATACGGCACCGGGTGCGGGAACGGAGGAGAGTATTCAGCAGGGCCTCCAGTACTTATAAAGTACATGCACCGGATGATGAAGCAAGCGTCAACGTGTCGCTCGACTGCTCTCGGAGGTGGACCTAAGGCAGCCATCTGAGAAAACTTGACCAAATCCAATGGACCTCTCTGGAAAAGGCGCGCGGATGCTCACCACAATGGAGATGAAAGTGGCAAGCGAAGCGTAGATCGCAAATTCCCTCTGTGTATGCTATGATTCGAAGACAACCGGATTCTATGAATTCGGGACTATAACGCCAGAATCAACATCCTTCGACGGCTGACAACGGATGTGAAGAGGCAGATGAGATCAGCGACGTTAAACTTCACTGATACGGGGAGGAAAATGCCGCATTTACAGAAACATTCTGCAAACGCTTATGGTGATGACATCGGAAAGAGACTCAAACTTTTCTGTTTTCACACCCGAGGTAACCAAATGGATGCATCCATTTTTTCTCGAAAATGGGTGAAGGAGTACTAGGTTTGCCCGCGTGATTCCCCGGTCTCTACCTGGTACCGAGAATTCGCGGCCACTTTCAACCGTTTGGACGCACCATCCGCCAGACTTGTTTGAACGACAGCGTTTGCCTCATAGCTACGGGTTGCCAAATACTGTATCGTTTGAGAATGGCATAGAGTTGGTCGGTAGCTGCTACGCTGAGGAGTCGTCCATGTCCGAACGCAGGGTATGCAGCGCTCTGCCGTGCACGCTCGCCAGTAAAGCAGCGTCAAACTGCGTGGAACGCCGACTAGCGCCGCTGGACACCGATGAAAGAGAAACCACGCTAACAGGGATAGTTTCTCAAAGAGATGAGTGTGGACGTACCCTGTTACACTGGATTGCAGGCTTCGAAAACGCGGACCTCGCCTTCGAAGGCGTGCAGCAGCTGCTCGCCGCGAACCGTTGCCCTAGCAACTTCTTGAGGGAGCGCGACTGGGAGAGCGGTTGGTCGGCAGCACACCGAGCAGTATACACTGGCAACTTGAGAGCGTTCATCGAGCTTATTTTGAAAGACCACGAGGTGCTCCTCAGCCGAGACCACGAAAACTTGTCACCCCTGGACCTGTACTACTTGCGCTACGTCGCGCCCCTCAACCGACCTCCGAGAGCGACTTGCTCGATTCGAGAGGTTTGGGCCTGGGGTGAAAACGCTGACTTCCAGCTGGGCCTACCGCACTCCACGCGGTCTGCGGATGCGAAACCAAGACGGCTTGGCAGAAATGGTGGCACTAGTTGGCCATCAGAGGGTCGCAAAGCTATGTCCGGCTCTGCCGCTTTTGATGCTGACGTCATTCAGATTGCTACCGCTGAACAACACACCATCTTTCTGACGCGCGACCGACGCGTATACGTGGCGGGCTTCGGAGCGAACGGCAGGCTAGGTCTCGGGCGTCCATACAGCAGGACGGGCTCGTCGAGCAGTGAGTCAGCATTCGGGACGAATCGATCCCCGTTTTCATGCCTGCAACCCGTGCGGCTATCACCTCCTGAATGGGAACTCAGACCCATTGTGTACGTTGCTGCTGGTGGCAAACAGTCCGCAGCCATCACCGCCTGCGGTATGCTCTGCGTCTGGGGTTCGGATCTGTGGTCACCAACCTTCGTGACCAGCCTCAAACACGACCCCATACGCATCGTTGACTTGAGTGAAACACATGCCTTGGCGCTTTCGCGGGAAAACATTGTCTATTGGGCGCCTGCAGATGCACCCTGCAAATACCGGGCTATCATGCACGGTGCACTGGGCGAGCGAAAGACACGCGCCATTGCCGCTGGTGACGGTTTCCGTTGTGCTGCGCTCATTCGTACTGATCACCATGACGAGGTGTTGGTCTGGATAGCGGGTAGCGCGGACCTGCGGCGGGTTCGTTTCCCGGGCCTCACAGCGTCGATGAGCGCGCACGTCGACGAACTGGATCACGCCCCAGGTGCAAGGCTGTCGCTGGCGAGTCGCGTACGCCCCCGAGGTGCTGTTCCTTGTCGTCGTTTCGCGCAAATATCGGCAGCTGGTAGTTTTGTATTGATACTGGGAGAGGCTGGCGATCCTTTTCTGCTGCGCCTGGACAGCGACACGTACGCTCGGCGGGATCGAGCGCCAGCTCCTGCTGCCGATCGACAGGATCACCCAGAGATGAAAGGGCTATGGGCGCAACCGCTGCAGACCAGTGGACGTATGTCCTATCGGTTTCAGCGCATCTGTTGTACTGCGACTGTTTGCTATGCGTTGGATGAAATGGGCTGTCTCTGGCAGTGGAGTACTGAAGATGCCTTTACCAAGCGTCGTCGTGGCAAACGGGTACCCTATCTGCGAGGTGCTATCGAAGTTGCCGCCTCTGCGCAGCATGCGTTTGCGATTGTCGAAGCCCGGTGGACGCAAGCGCAAACTTCAATGGCTGCCTGCTCGCTCGAGTGGGGTTCTTGTGATTTTCGAATGCAGCAGGCGGCGACAACGACAACGACAACGACTCCTCTGCCGTGCTCGTTATCTCATATGTGCGAGGAGGCGGTCCTTGCACGTCTGACATTTGACACAGTTTGGCATCTGCTGGAAGCGTCCGCGTACGCAAACACACCGTGCATTCGCGAATCCTGCTCGCGCTTTTTGCTGGGCAATTTGGATATCTTTTTGGCGTCCACGACGGAACGTGGACTTGACCTCGAGTTTTTTCCTATGGCACTTGCGTTTCTCGAGCAGGATCTGAAGCGGATGCTAGCCAACACCAATGAGCGATCTCGCATGCTGCAGCAAACGGAGCACTGGGGCACGGTTTCGCGGGCTGAGCAACAATCGCACCGGGCGGCTGCGATGCAATCCTTCCGTGAATTATGTGCTCGGTATGGTCTATCGGTATGCTCCTTAACGCGTTTCGAAAAGAGCGCTTCAACACGTGAAGATGTGATGCGCAGTGCGCGAGATTTTCCCTCACCGGGCCTGGGGGATCGCGCCTTGTCAGACGTAGCTCTCTTAAGGAACGGGCGTTCCCTCGTTATGCAGGAAACTCGCGAACATCTCGAAGAAGCCCCAGAGCGATCAAAAGCAGAAGCACAACCATTTTCGCGAACGCGCCCGGTACGATCGGGAAAGTCCGCGTCTACATCCAGCGAAACGACATCGCGCGAAACGCCCGCTGGACTGGTGCATGTAGCGGCGAACGATGCCGTAACCCACAATGACGGGCACGCTGGCTCCTATACAACTGTTCTTTTGCTCCCAGGAGACGCCGGCGCTCGCGTAATGGAAGACGCTTCTGAACACACCGGTGCGGGGCGCATGACGAGCGGCCGCTCCGCTCCCCAGCATATCGCACGACGTGAATCGTACATACGAACGAAAAGCGACCGGTCTTGGCACCAAGAAACATGTTGCGAGGCGGGTTCGTTTTTTTCCGGAAAGAGTCACTCAACTTCATCGGTCGAAGGCGCTTCAGTGGATCGCGCTTCACCGTCTAGCAGTGCGAAAGCCCGCTCAGCTGGCCAGAGCTTTCGAGAGCTCCTTCAGCAAGAGGCAGCGGACACGCAAAGAGCCACGCAGCTTGTCAGCATCGCGGGCACGCCCGAAAATCCCGCAACTTGCACACAACGAATCGCTAAGCACCCGGCTGGTGCCGGGCGACAGCAGAGGCGTGCTCCGCGCGACGCCGTGTTACCGGAGCAGCAGCAGCAGCAGCAGCAGCAGGCGGGTTCTTTGCCCTCGCTCTTGATTTCGGACACGTTGGCTGCAGCGTTGGGTTCAGCGGCATCCTCCATGCGTGCCCGCTCTTGGGGACAGGAGGCGGGATCAGGACCCTCTGTCTCACAGCCTTGTTCATTTCGCAAACTCTTAGAGGAAACCCAGAATGCAGATCGTTCTTGTGCATGCGCTGTGCGTCGAAACCAGCTATCACCGTTGTGGGATCGACGCTACGTTTCAGGTCAGGCAAGGGCCTCCATCAGTGAAATTGAGCATGAAGAGCTACAAAAGGCTGCAGAACAGGCAGAAGCGACCTGGCTTGCGGAGCAAATGGCGATTATTGAGGCTATGGAGGCAGCGCAAGGTCGAAACGGGCGACGTTCGCACAGCCGTCGCCAGCCGTCGATATCTAGACGCGCCTGTATGGAGCCCGTCACTTCGCAGCCACGTTGTACAGGGCGCACGACGCCACATTCGTCGTCAACATGAAATTGTAGACTGGTCTCTACCCCCAGCGGTGTAGCTCAGGATATGATTTGGTGGATGTCGTCACGTGCCGTGCCAATGAGAGATTTTTTATCTTTGCAATGAAGTGCTTCAATAACTTGTACACGCGACGACGAGTGCGCACACTTGACCCTGCACTAGATCCCATGTCCCAGACGCCTTGCGTCGTGGCGCTTCGGTGTCGAACATGTTCGCCTTGGTGCGAGCAAGCCGCCAAGTGCAGCCGATGACACAACATGCGCTGCGTGGTGCCCTGTACTCCAGCGCTACTGGTCAGCGGCTGCGATGCTCGTGGATGACCCGTCGACGCTGGCTCTGTCAAATGGATGCTGTTCGAGGCTCATGACGCGAACTGCATCGGAAAACCAGATGTGCCCGAAATGATTTTGATAGACGCTGCTACTGTACCTTGTTCGCTTCCTTGCATTCTTGTGATTTCAAGGGTATTCGCACTGATCATGAAAAGAACTCGGTGCAGCAGCAGCAGTTACGGGTGCTCCAGCTGTTGCTGATGCACGAACACAACAAATTTTGCGTCAGCGCCCGATGGGTGCACGACTTGCTGCGTCCATCGCTTGCCACTGAAGAGCACTCCACTTGTCTAGCTTCCGTGTGATGGCCACGAGTATGCACAGCGCGTTTCTGGACCCGGAGGAATCGAGCGCGCTGCGCATGCGATGCATGATACAGCCGAGGCGTACCACAGATGATATCGATGCTTCGTGGAAGCGTCACCATTTGCCGTTGCCACATAGGCTCAGCGTTCGAAAGAGCGGACGAATCGTGCGATATCGCGATCGTATTCGATGGTTTACTGTTCAATGGAAAAATGCTTCCCACGGACAGAACCCTTGTTGTCGGTAACGCTGCACGTCATCCCTTGAAGCGACGATACTTCGGGGCGATAAAGCACGCGCATATCGCCGCTGTCGAATAGCGTATCGTAGAGGCTGGCCCCGCGGTGATACCAATTTCATGGACAGGGTGTCATCTTTGCGTTACGAGCATCTAAAAAATTGCGTCTGGTGTGAGCGTTCACCCTTGATGGTGCTTCGCACACCTTTGAAACGTCTATAGGCGCGACATTGCCAGCACATCCTTCGGGTATCCAGCGTTGTTGCTGTGCAGCTCCAAAGAAAGCATCCGCGGGGTGCACTGGCTGCCGCCTACACCCAGTACACAGCGGCTGCTGTGTAGCGGCAGGCGTGCTGACAGGCAACGCGATGCGTGAGAAGCGCGCCTCGTAAATCGTCCATTTTATTCCGTATAATACAAGCTTGTATATAAATGGTGCAGCACAGGAAGATCCGACGCCTGGCACCGACACCCATCCGTTTCGACGGTTGCTGTCGATATCCGGTGGGCACGCTTGCCGCATGTCTGCCCCCGAGGAAGCAGAAAAACCCTCGAGGACTGGTTCCGGAGAAGGGCATGTACAGCGTTCTGTACACTATGGCGCGCTGGTGGCGACACTCGTCTTTCGTATAGGGGCGGTGGTGTCTTTTCTTCTTTTGGGCGTGTTCACGAACTCCTTCGTTGTCCAGACGGTAGTGACGCTCCTCCTACTTGCGCTGGACTTTTGGACGGTCAAAAACTTTTCAGGAAGGAGGCTGGTGGGTCTTCGGTGGTGGAACCACGTTCAGCTCGACGGCAGCAACACGCTGAGATTTGAGTTTCGACCCGAGAGCGAGTTGGTGTCGACCGCGTTCGAGCGCCAGGTGTTCTGGTGGTCCCTGTATCTTGCACCAGCGTGCTGGGCGCTTCTTGGTGTCGTATGTATGCTGAAGTTTGAACTCAACTGGCTTCTCGTCGTTTTTATTGCTTTCATACTCCAGGCTAGTCAACTTTCTGCATACTGGCAGTGCGCTCGCGTTGCAAGTCGAGGGACCGCGTGGAGTGCAGCGGATAGTCTCGGCGCCGCCGCCTATCTAACAAGACAGTTCGAGCGCCTCGGCTCGATGTTTAAACAGACAGCAAGAGGAGATCAGGCGCCGGCAAATACCAACGGGAGAGTTTGAAAAGATGTTCGCCAAGCTTAGCGCTCAGTGTCGGATACTCAGAGGTGCTGCGACCGAAGCTGGATACGAAGCTGCAGTGCGTCCGGGGCGGCTGTTTCCAGAGCCTTCCCGTGCTCGTTTACAAGCTACGTTCGGATGGCTATATTCGCTTTTGATGCATTCGATTTGGATACAGCTTGGGTTTGTCGTGCACAACAGGGGCTAGATAGAGTGCATGCCGACAGCGAAAGAGGATACAAATCGATTGCAATCATAGTCGCACGTGCAGCACTGTTGCAATGCTTTGCTCCCACTCCAGCTGGAAACGAGCCCCATTCGAGTCCAGACGCTGCTCCCAGTGATAACCACTTGTATCGGTGCCGTACCGGACGTACCAGGTATCGCCGGCGTTGTTACGACCCCAGCGACAACCCTGGTACGAGGGCTGCTCCACAGACGAATTAGCGGGCCGTCTTTCGATGTACCACTCGTACCATACTTGTGATTCTTGACTGTGTGGCAAGATTCTTGCATCCACACCGAACTTGTCCCCAAAATGGATTAGAACATGTGGTTGGTGCTCGAGGCGGTACTCGCCGTGGCGCTCGAGCCACCAGTTGCCGTCTGCGTTTCGGCGAACACGGGCATCCTGCCATATGAGCGCTGAGAGCACGGGAAGGCCCTGCTTTGAACCAGTGGCGAACGAGTTCGGCGCCGTCGGAGTGCACTCGGTAGCGGTGCCGGACTGATCCGGCAGTGCTGCACTGGCGCGAATCTGGCCACTTTCGGATACAGGGCCTGCACGCGCACTGAAAGCAGTCATCGCTGTAATGAATCGTTCGGGGTGGTGCGCATGCTCACTGGTTTCGAATTCGAGGCTTGGCTCGCTGGCCTCGAAGCAATCGCCCACAGAATGTCTTGATGGCAAAAGCCAGGATGAAGAGATATCCCCAGCTGAAGCTTGATGCTCCCATACACGATCGCCTTTCTCCGTGTTCGCTGCTTCAAGTGAGGAGTCAATGGCTGACAGGGAGATGCTGCTGGCGTTGTCGAAAATGGGTGCGCGTGCGTCAGCTCCAGGCATCGGCAACGAATACTGGATGCTGCCGTCCCAAGAAGCTGGCAGAGATGCGCGTTTGCCCATTGGCCCATTGCGGCGACCTGACTTCGACTGCCTCTCGGGTACATCTTGATTCCTTTCGCGCAGCACTTGTATTTGTGGTTTGCTTTCCAGGCGCGCTCGGAATGGCGCTTGATTCTTCTCTATCTGCCCGGAAACCGTAGGGAATGCGAGATTCTCAATTGTATGGACATTGGCCGATCGATGCTGCATCAGTTCTGAAGCAGGTAACTCGCTGCGGTGCGCTGCGTATTCTTCAATCGTCGGTATCGCCGAGTCTTCGGAGTCGACATCGGAATCCGACAAGGCGATGAAAGTCCCACCAAGGGATAAATCATGCAGATTCGCATAATGGCGACTATGGCGTTGGTACCAGAGGCGTTCGAGATGGTCGGGATTCTCGAGCTTGGTGGTCGTGATAGGCTTAACCGTCGGCCATACAGACGCGCTGTGCACTCGTATTACCCTCGGCAGAGGAAGCAGCAGCCAACAGCACGGATGCACATGTTGCGCGAGAGAAGCAGCCGATGCAGGGCTTCCATGGTGCCTGGCTCTGGCACGAGTGCGCTCGCGCCAGATGCGCGCGCCGCGGTCGATTCGCTGGACACCGTATTTGCTACGGTTCCGCAAGCTGACTAGAACCAGCACCCAGATAAGCATCAGACCTGCTACGTGGAGCGTAACAGGCGCGTCTGGAAGCCGGAACGGCCCGTGCTGCGGGTGCATTTTCCGGAAAGCGTACCACGGGGGAGACGAAGTGTCTGCTCGAGTAACCACAGTTTCCGGTGGACGCGGCACCGAAGCTGGAAAGCTGCTAGGTTCCTGCAGGTCCACCGATTGCACGCACCCAGACTGCAGCTCTAAAGGCCTATAGAGTGTGCGGCCTTTTGTTCCTGTTGGAGCATCCCCGATCCCGTAAACAGAGCCCGCTGTATGCTCTTCTATTCCGGTTGACCCGGATGCCTTGCGCAGTTTCAGAGACTCGCGTTTTGAATACCGCCTATACGGTGCGCGTGTTTCATCCAGCCGAAAATGGTCTTCGTTCACGTTCGTTGGCGCATAGAGCGCAGCGTCGCGACCGTCTCGAGTTGCACGACCTCCGACGCCGTACGGATGCATATCCGGGGCGGTTTCCGACCAGGTTTCGCGCTGAGATCGCTCCATATCCCCTGTCAATGATTCAAAGAAAAAGTGTCTACTAGTACACGTCACCAATAGTTCCTGTAGCGTCAATAGAGCAGTTTCGTTGGTCACTGCTTAGAAACGCAAGGAATATGAATGCCAGTTGCATGTGGCGATAACGGCTGTGCCGTCCGCGTGGCATGCACGGATCAGCGAGATCGCCTGGCGGGAAGCCGCCATACGATGCGTGCATGCGTACGTGCGTGCGCGATTCCGCAATGCGTAACGCCTCGGCGGTGCGCCGCGCGCTGCTGATCGCTATCGCATCGCAGTCTTTGCCCTGAAAAGTGTTCCGCATTCAGGTGCATGTCATCAAATGCTTTTTCGCTGCTTACCGCGGACGCATGCAAAGTGCTTTCGTTTGAAGTGATAAAAAAACCAGGGGAAAGTATGGACATGCAAGTCGGGAATCCTAGGGGGGTCGGCATCGCCGGGTGCAGGAAAAACAACAAAAAATCCTCTTCTCGTTGACTCTCGAGCGAAGAAGAAGAACAATGGACGAAGAAGAAATGAGGAGATCGTCGAGAAAAGGCGTTTGCCCGATGGAACGATGACGAGACTTTGGCGCCATACAGGGCACGAGTCCGAGGACTCTTTGTATCAGTGAATTCCACCAGCGAGAACGAACGCATAGAGTTCGTGAACAGAGACTTCAACATCGCCATAAAAATCCGACAATGTGCGGTACTGAAGACAAGACCCGCAGGGCTGTGGCTATCTAACTTTATGGAGCAGCCTCTCGGGCTCGAAGTATACGATGAGAAGCTGAAGAGGATAGCAGGAGTCCTGTCGAAACAGTCCGGGAGTTGTCTGCAAGTAGACATATATGTACACTCTATGGTAGCGAAACGTTTTCGCGTCCTTGAGCACCTAAATTATGGGCCAGTTGAGTCAGCGCTTCCTGGATGAGGGATCGCTGCCAACGATCAGGGTACGAGACTTCAGCGCCTTCCCAGAGACTCGCTTGTTCCAGCAGACGCAAATGGGTATGACGCCTTCGGCGTTTGTCATGCCACAGAATCGAACATGATGAACAAAAATGTTCGGGTTTTGCAAAACGTTGTTGATCGCCGGGACCTAGCTCTGATATCTTCACCGACATCAGATGAAAATGGAATACTGAATAGCGCGCTCTGTGGTTTCCTTTCGTTTTTCCCGATGAATATACTTGACATTCAAAATGCAAGATTATGGGCTTACGAATTCATTCTTAGTTTTGGAGTGCTTGCTCGTCTTTTCGGAGTCGCGCAATGTATGCTTCGCCGCTAGATTTGGTTACTTTACCGTAACCCGCATAATTTGCAATGACATTGGACAAGGCTTCGCCATGCAATCTATATAATTATCCAGTGCATGCGTCCAAGCCCCGATTCTCCGTTCATCGTGTGCAGCATTCTCGAATCGTAGATTCCCCAAGTTTGCGATATCCCTGTTTCGAGGCAACTAGTAGACGCACCAACTCACGCCATTGCATTGACGGCAAAAAAATACTCGACGTCGCCCTTTGACAACCTATTCACAATCTTAGGCTCAAAGCCCACTTAATTTCTAACGTTTAACAATCGATTCTGTTCGAAGGACAAATTCCACTCTCGTCATGGCCGCCCTTGAAACAGCAATCGACAGCGCCATAATCCCATCACTGAATACGCTCTCGGAGGCTTCCTTCTCTTCTGCTTGTGTGGAAAAGGGTCCTGGACTTGGAATTCAGCCATCGGTACGATCGCTTGCAATGCAAAACGTGATGCAGCATTCGACGAAGAGCACGTAGATGGATCGAAATTTCTGGACTTGTTCTGCAGCGTAGATTTTCTTTCAGGTACTTTTCATCATAGACAACATCGCGTTCCGCAAATCCCATCTCTAGTGAAAAAGCATGCGCTCCCATGCGCAGCGGACAGAGTCCTCGTCCAGGGAATCTTCCAGAGGAAGCTCGTGATCGTATGAGACGATAGCGATCACGACAAAATAGGAAGGCATCGAGCAAAGCCCTCTTTTTCGTCCAAAGCTTCTACCGAGCTGCAGGGCGAGCGTTCAAGAATCATAGGATGGCCCTAGAAGCAGGACTTACTGCACGAGACATACCGGAACATCTGACCATAGCAAAGTGTCATCGCTGCCAAGCAGGCCGACAAGTTGTACACAGGAAGATGAAAACGGCAATCGAAGCGTAGATCGCAGCTTCCTTCTGTGCGTAACAAGCTTCGACAACAGCGGAAAACTACGAAATCGGGCATTTGGCGCTACCAACAACGTCCTTTTACACCTTGCACTAGAAAAAAAGCGACAGTAGAGGTCTGCGTTTTACAATCCGGAGATAAGGAAGAGGAAAATGAAGCATCCGCAGAAACATCCTGCAAATGCTTATGATGATGGCAATCAAAAAAGGCCAGAATTTGAGCGTGTCCGTCAGCGTTCGAGAACGTGTCCCTCTTTAATGTAAAATGGATGTAGCGGCGATGTGTCCAGATTCCACAAACTGAACAACCATACTCTAAGAAAACAATTTGGCAGACTCAGCGACCGTCCGGGCGCTGAGTCTGCCACGAAGATCCGAAAGAGACCGGAAGCCTCCACTACTCTCTTCCAGGCATCGTAGCGCGCTTTTCACCAGGCACACCTGTTTTGAGAGTGCCTCCTGACCTGCAACCTGTAGATGCACGCTCAAAACGAAGAAACACCCCTGAGCTTGCATGATGATCTATACGTTTACCGCAACGAGCAGCATGAGAGCAGCACATCCGCCCTGCTTCGCAACGTCGAGAAAATCGATACTGCACGAACACATATGCCAAAGAAGGGGCGAACAGGTCTTCGACAAACAGCAACTCCAGAAGAGCGTGCGCGTTCATGCGGACAGCACCTCGTACTCGCAAGGACAATCCATCGAAGCCGCTACAGAAGCCACCACATTTGGCAACGCGGCTGAGCGCTACCTACACCCCTGGATACAACGCCCACTGTACTGAAACGCTGATCAGAACGGCACGTGCATCATCAGGTTCGGGGCTGAGCCTCAACGATGCCCGCTCGTGCACGCTGCCCCAAGTGAGCGGCCTGCTCTAGAAGGGCATCATCCCAAACAACATGCACACGCCCCCAGAGCGTGACCCGCGAAAGCTTCAACCTTTGCCGTTGATCTCCGCGCTGCTTGGGCGTTTGCTTCTGAGCAAGCTGCTCGTCATCCATCGATTCCTTCGAGTCCTCGCTCGATGCACTCGGTAACCACTCGACACAGAGAATACGGTGCGCGTTCGTGTCTGCAATCCAGAGCGCGCCTCGTCCCTGAAAAGCCTCTGGATCCGCCTCCACACCTGTTGGTTCGTTCAAACAGAACGGTATCGCATCGTCTTGCGTTACCTTTCCACGTTGATCCATGTCGACTAAAAGTTCTGTCGCTGCTGGATCGGCGGGAACAAGGTGCACTGTATCTACTGCACCAGTCGACCAGTCTACACAGCGGATGCAATTGTTATAGGTGTCAGCCACGAAGAGCGCTCGACGTGACGAATCGTACGTGATACCCAGCGGGTGCTGAAATCTTGCGTTCTTTCCAGACGCATGATCCAAATACCCGTACTCAAAGAGGTCATCGATGTCACCTGTTGCTGAGCCGCCTCCAGCCAGTGTGCACAGACTGCGTGATCTCGGCGCAAAGTAACGCACCGAACTCGACTCAGCATCGATAAAGGCGATAAAGGGTCCCTTCGTGTCGCCATCGCCAGCACAGCTCTCTGGAATTAGTGCGAGACCAGTCGGTTGAGCCATACTCGATACAAAACAGCACGAACGTTTGGGCTCTATTCGCAAGCGTTCGTTGTCTGCGCTCGTGATATCCAGTTGGCGATGATCACCGCTACCGCAAACCGCTCGGCAGGAGCGCGGCTCAGGATGCATCGTATCTGGGGCGGTTTGTTTCGCGAAGAAATCAATCTGCCAGAGCTGATTCAAACCAGCGTTCGTGACGTATACGGCATGGGAGGCGGGGCTGCGGTCCGGCGAACCCAAGGGTGCGGCTGAGTTCGCCTCATCCAAGGGCGCAGTCGGAGTGAAGCGAAAGCGCGGTCCCACGGCCACGTCCCAGGGAAAGACCAGCGACTGGTGGCGCGCTCTTCGGGTACCGAAAAGGTCAAATTTTGCAGCACCAGTTCCCGCAATCCACTCGACGGGATACGGTGTTCCGGGATTCGGCATCGCGAATTGTGGTACTCGGAAACGACATATTCGATGATTTTCTGTGTCAGCAAGGTAGACAAGATCGTGCGTGTGATCGTAGCAAATTCCCCGGGGCCGTCGCAGACCCTCAACCGTTCCGTTGTGCCGTAGATCGAGTTTCGGTATGGCACCGGATTCGTCCAAGAGGCACCAAACCACTCGATCGTTGTTCGTATCGGCGATGACCATGTAAGTGCGCGACGTTACAGTCGAGTCATCTATGTCACACAGGGAATGATGCTGCCCGGAGTCTGGCGAGCGCACTGCTGACGCTAGTGGCTCCACCCTACGAAATACGATCACTTTGGAAGGGTACCGAAGCCTCAGCGCCTCAGATTTGTCCAGCATCTCTTGAGCCTGCTTCTTGGGTGAGCGTGGCACAAGCTGGTGTCCAATGGGTTTTGGCGGCTCCTCAGGGAACACAGGCGGCCTTTGTGGATCATTCAACAATGAAAACTGTCCGGGATGAAGGCCGGAACGCAATTGTGTGGCATAGTAATCCATAGCTCCTGCTAGGATGATATCCAACAAGAATACATGGCCATTGTTCTCATCTAGAGCGAGGCCGCCACAGAGACTCCCCTGATACCACTTTGCGACTAGCGTGCCTGTGGGGGCGAGCACCACACAAAACGGCCACCCGATCGCGCCTACAGTCCGAAAAAAATCTAGACGCTCGGAATCCACTGCAACGACACCGTCAAGCCGTTCGCGCTCCAAAGTGCTGTGCAGGGATCGCTTGCTCGGCATCGGTGGCCGTTCCCCGAGCCTTTCGTTCAGCCTCTGCTCCGTTCGCTCTCTAGTGAGTTTCTCGCGGACTGCCTCATACTTTTCTGCGAGAATGCGAACGAAGCGAACTGCTGGATATTCCCGGCATACTAGCTGCGCATGTCGCCAAAATCGGTGACCAAACCAACAGTCAGTATTCTCCGTTGTAAAGAACTGCAACACCGTGATGCTTTCTGATTCCGCGGGATGCAAAGGTGCATAGATGCTACGTACATCACCCGTTCGCTCATCACAGTCAAACCACTGGAGGTATTGCGGCCATTCTGGAATGCGCTGTGCGTCGGGAGCATTTTCCAGGGCATCCGCGAGGATCCGCATAGGCGCTAGCGGATGATGCTCACAGTACCGCATCGCGACATCAAAGTCAGAGTCTCCTTTCAAACCGGGGCGAATTTCCCGATCATCTTCTATGGATAAGGACGATGGCCTTCCATACAAGTCCATGGGATGTACTGGACCCGGTGGGAAGTGGCGCAAAGGCCCGTACCATGACGGGGCGTGGAAGCGATAAAAAGGTCTCCTCGGGTGATCCGATAACGGCTCTGCACAAGCCTTTATGCGACGTATACTTCTGGGGCGCCGTCGGGACGTGTCGAGTGCAGCACGCTCTCTAAACGTTCTGTGCGCGGGCGATTGGCTAAGAGGAGAGCAGAAAACGTCTGAGAACCCGGCAAGCATCTTCGAACTCGAGGAGCGCCGTCTGCTTCAGCGGCCACGAAGTTGTGCGTGCTGCCTCTCGCGGCTCTAGAACTGTGCAAGCGTGAAAGTACTCGACTCGTGATGGGAAAGTTGCCCTCAAGAGTGTGCTTGCGGAGCGCTCCCAGCGCTAGCGGGCGACAGCACCGCACTTGTGTGTGCCGCTGCTTCGAACGCGAATGCATCTTCAGCGTAGCGGGCTCACCGCGCTTGTCGTTCTGGTACAGAGCCCGTGCAGCCGCTTTCTCAAAGCACAACACTTATTCACGATACTGTCCCAAGCTCTGGTCCTGCAGTAGGTGTTGCGATCTAGAAAAGAACCTGCTATGCAAGCTCTTCATCGCAAGTGGCAGCCAGTCAGTGAGTCATTTTCTATAGCTGCCATGAGCTAGACCTCTCTCAGAATAAAATGAAACGGATACACTATTCTACCTCGAACGTGAATACTGAATTTTAGGTATCCTCCAATTGCCGTCAGCAACAGGCATTAAGGGCTTTTTCGCGGCTGATTTTCTTCCTTCTCTTCGAGCTCCGACTTGAGATACGACGGTGTCTCCGTTCCTTCCAGCTCCATCATTAGCGATCGGAAGATGTTCACTGCAGATTTAAAGCCCCTGTTTTGCTGCTTCCAGTGGTTTTCAACACATTTCATGCGCATGCAGATGTTTCGATGCATATTTCGCTTGCCATTTTCATCTTCATTGTATACAGCCTCTGTGCGTCCTCGCATCGATGACTTTTGGCTGTGGTCAGGTGTTCCCGTATATCCACCAAAGCCTCTCCTGCTCCTGCTCCTCTTCCTCGGAGGGCCGTTTTGAGGCGTCGTACAGCTCGCGTTTTCGCTCGTTCCAGGCAATTGACGAGTATCGAAGGCTTACCACGATGCTCTTCTCAGTTTGCGGGCTCGCTGCCGTGCGCTTCGCTGGCAGGTTGCATCAGCGCAATGCCCTCAGCGAACACAGTGTCGGATTTTTCTCACTGACAAAATGCTTACTTAGGCCAGCGTTCTCCGATTGTGCACTTTTTGTTTTCTTTTTGTTTGTGTGCGGTGAAGTAGCCATCGAACGCCCTGCCTCCAAGTTCCATGACCCACACTACTTCCCGGATATTCTAGTCGTTTCATACGTCCTATCGTGTGTGCCTAGTGCCTGCCGAAAGCGACAGCAATGACGCCTATAGCGCCAGTGCGGTCGCTGCACGGAGGCAGAACGGCGTTGCCGTACCACACAGAGGGCGTCGGCTCGAGGCAGTGCGGGGCAATGCCAGCGCAAGCCAGTGCAAGCCAGCGCAAGCCAGTGCACAGTGTCGCATTCGATGGAGGATTCGTGGAACGGGAAGCTTTTCGTGGTGAACCATGTACCGCGAGGCAAAAATGCAGGCTGGAGCGCAATTCTAGAAAACTTCGATCCGTCTACGCTTCCTCCGTGCAAGGCGGTGCCAGACTCTCTATCTGGCGCGGTCGCTGCGATAACTCAGGTCTGAGTCTCCGATTTTCTTCGGTGTGTACGGAAGCGAGCGAAGCCTCTGGGGACGTATGCCGTGAGCGTTATCTCGCCGGCTGTGAACGCCACGTTGCCGCTTGTCTCAAGGACGGGCGGATTTCCTTCTCGGACGGATGCGATTAGCTGACCTGACAATTGTAGTCAGCCTTCGATATGAGCATGTGACAAAGTCTTCAAGTGAAGTCGTTGCGATTCTTTTCGCTGTCCACCCAGCTGTACGCATTGCTGCGCCCTCGAGTTGCCTTTAAGGAGAAATATCGAAAACTTGAAGAATGCATGATTCAAGCATGCTATACTTGAGGAAAACAGAAGAGTGCAGGCGCGTGCGACTGAATGAGATGATGATATCGGCTATGTTACGAACCCGCGTATGAGGGCGTCACGAACCATCTTGATCCCGGTGACGTATCGAATGCCAGCGGCAGGGAGTCGACGGGATCCCCACGGATAGTACAACCGAGGGGCATAGAACTACCCATGAATCCATTCGCCGTTATTGCTGCACTTTGAATATTGCAGCTGTGTTTCTAGCGAACATTCGGGAAACGATCGAAAGAAAATAACACTACGAGCATTTCAGTGTTCCATTTTTATCCGAAATGGGTTCAGCAGAGCTTGGGGCCAAGTAGCTGCATTTTGTTCATCCGCGTGTACCAATAAGCCGCAGCGATATTTGTCGCAATCAGTGCATCATGATAAATTCCCACGGACGACACCGTGCACACCGACTATGCAGCCTCGGAGCAAGGCAACTGCGATTGTCTGTCTTGTACCGCAATGTCAAACATCAAGTGGGTATATCAGCGTCTTTCATCCTGTGGACCGTGGAGGTAAACGGATTCCACACATCTTTTCAAACAGACTGGCTTACGCAGTCATAAAGGAGGTTTGCGCTTCGAAGAGACCATGGCCGAGGCCCAAATGCAGCGACGTCACGCTACCGTCAGCGCACCAGGTCACTCAGAAACTGAGCTCCATCGTAACCACTGCTGATTGGACATCTAGGCACCAGAAACACCTTCGGAATTCGCAGTTTTCGAGCGAAGACGCACTTTCAGGCAGGTGACTTCAAACTGGGCACTCCAGCATAACACCCAGTCCGAGTCTTCTACCACCGCGAATCCCCTATCAATGAGGAGCGCGTGCGCCACCGCCCCGCCATGGCCAACACCGAGCGACGGCATGCGGTGCACGGCATGACTGCCCGCTGCCGTTTCCACACAACCCGCACGCGTCGCCACGGGATCAGCAAGAAATCGACGCCCGCGCAGCCTGTCCGCATTGTCTGCATTATCCAATTTCCCATTCCGATCGCGCCCCGCGCTCGCACCACGGCACGTCGCGGACGCGGGAGCGCAGCGCCACTCATGCGGTCTCGCCGGATGTCACATGTGACATCCATCGCCGTCCCCGTCGTCGAGGGCGTGTCTGTTTGGTTTAAAGCGCGCGGCAGCAACAGCAGCGCCCGGGGAGCCTCCACGCGGTGCACGAGCGCACGCGCGCCGTCGCAGCCTTAAAGAAAAGCGCAACAGCAACGGGGATGGGCGCGATCTGCGCGATCCAGCGGGCAACGCGGCTGCAGCGACGGCGGACGACGCAACAAGCGTTGCTAATTATCTATCGACGCATTGGCTTGCAACTGGTTGAAGCCGCGGCAATAGTTTTTGTTGCCGGGCTTGTTTTCTGAAAGTCCACACGGCGGGTTGTTATTGGTATAGTGTCTGTGGCTCGTTCGGGGCAGCAGTTTTGTCAGTTTGTGGCTTGGAGATAAACTGCTGGTGCGCTTTGGTTTGTAGTTCATTGGGGCTTGCAAAACGGGGAGACTGAAACAGCTCAGGAGCTTCCAGTGCTTACGATAGCTAGTGCAAGCGTGTCGTGATTGCCGGTTTTGTGTTGCGGTTCGGGTGCGTTTCGAGGTTCTTGAGTACTCCTTGCCGTCGACACACGACGCTGGCGAGGGAGCAGGATGGGCACGCAACGCAATTGGACCGGCGTCGATGCTCGAGCCAGGGCGGCGCCCGCGCAAGACGACGCGGCTCGTGTGCGCGTTGGTACGGTTAGCGGAAGTGCTGTGTCGCCTCAGATGACACTTCCGGTCGGTTTTGAAGCGGCGTTGGAAAACGAACAGCCGCCCCGAGTGGCCAGCGCGCCGCCTCCGGGTCAGTTCCGGAAGAAGGTGGAGTTTGGACGCGGTGCATCGCTTTTGGGAGTGGCAACAGGCGAAGATATTTGGAGTGCAGCATCCGAGCGCATCGGTGGATCCGGGGAAGATGCGGGCAAGAACTCTATGTATGCTTCGACGATTTGGGGATGTCCGGGTTTTTGTTCAGTACCGTCACCGGGACGTGTTTCCGGCTCCAACGACGCGCAGTATTCTGATCCTGGAGAGCTGTCCACGCCGAATCAGATGTCTTCGGATCGCCTTGCGAGTTGGAAAGTTGCTTCTGGCTCCCATCAGCTGGGAGCCGACACCCGGCGCAACGAGATGCTCCGTGGCTACGGGTCGCAGACGGATCCATTACGTGGACCCCGTGTCCTACAAAGGGACTGGACAGAAAAGGACCAGACAACACTGGAGAGGTTTTCAAATTTATCTATTCAGAGCGCCCCGCCATTGAGGCGTGCACCGACCCAGTGGACGTTTCAAAGCCGTCCAGAGCAGGCGGACTGGTGGCGTGCACAGCAGTCAGCTCTTTCCGCAGGCTCTGAGAGCGGATCAGCCGCTTTCCAAAGCGATTTACGCACTGCAACTCCTCAAGGCTGGGGAGTGGCGCCCTGCCCGCGGGTATGGCAGCCTGCGGCGTGTTGTTCCTCGCCGAGTGAACAGCAGCCCCTGGCTGGTCCACTGACGTGTACTGGAAGGACCACACCGTCGGCTGCGGAGGGCGCCTACTCAAGGCTCTGGGCACCGATTCCGCACCGCACGATTTCAGAGATAGCACGGTCGGATGTGGCGCGCACGCCAAGCCCAGCCTTCGAGTCCTCCTCGGTAGTGTCGTCACCGGTGCGAGCTCGAAGTGCGAGTCAGTACAGTTCCGTGTCTGGGCTAGAAGGGGGATCTGTCGTGAGCGGTCGCGCGTTTGGAAGCTCCCGTTCTGCGTGGTCGGGACCTGTGTCCGGGGCCGCTTCGTGGAAGTCATGCGAAGACGCCTGGGATCAGCAGCGTGCAACGACGGCATTGTCAGGCATCAACACGTTGAATGGCTATGCTCGTTCGCCTCGAGCACCGGTTTCCGCGTCATCGGTCTCCTCGAGTTCGTCGTCGTTACCAATGGCTAATAACCCATCAATCGTGGCTTCCGATCCGAGCCTGATGCGCTGGGCAGGAGGCTGTGGCGCATCACCGCTGTACAATGCATCAGCGGCATACCAGAGCGCTCAGAGCGGTACTGTGTGCACCAGATCCTGGAGTAGTCCTGCCACGGTGCAGGCGCCGAACAGCGGGTATCCCGCTGTGCTCAATCATCAGCCCCGAGCACCGAAAGAACGCTCCGCCGATGACCGTCAAATATGCACTGGGAAAAAGGGGGACGGTTTGGATACCAACGGTAACGAAGAACATGAACAGCGGGTCCCGAACCGTCGAGAACGCGCAGCGAGCTCCCCTGGTTACGTGGGTCATGTCACCAATGGAAAGAGCCAGAACAGTGAGGAATCCTCGTGTGGTCGTCGAGATGCGGCTGCACGTCTCGAATCCACACTGCAATGGGCAAGCCGCCCTCCGTTGAATATCCCAGTCACGGAATCACAACCGAGCCCGGAAACCTGTGTCCAGGAGCAGCGAACAGCCCGCTGTTGCTTGGAGAGCCCCGCTGACGGTGTTTCAGAGCCTGACAACCAGTGTCGGGTGGACTCCCAAATGATTGGCAGTGGAACAACTTCCGTATCTGAGACTGGGCGGCCTCAGATCGATCCCAACGCCAATAGGACCCATAGACTTTCACCGAGCAGGCAGAGTTCGCTCGTCGAAGGCACTTTCGAGCACTACGAATGCCACAACGGTCGACGTCTGTGTCCAGGCTATTCAGCTACGAGCCCTAGGCCTCTGCAAGTTGCGAACGCGGCCGGCGCGCATCTCTCGCAGGCGCTTCCGCTCATATCGCCATCACCAGGTGCGACGCAACCGCTCGAAGAAAGCATCTGGATTCATCCAGATCAGATCGTTTTGAACGGCAGCGAACAAGCGGGCTTGTGCACTGAGGTGGAGCTTGCGGATCGACGAGCAACACCCGTGTATTCCTGGCACCCTGCTGCACAGCTGCCGTCGGGAATCGCTTGTCCACAGGGTCGTGCTGCATCTGTTCGGAAAGAGAGCACTTTGGTTGCCTCTGGCAGCGAGGATGCTAACGAGTCGTCAATGTTTTCCTTGGTTCCGGACCATTGCGTATCGTTTCCCCCGGTCATTCCGAGCGGATGCCGCTTCGTTTGTGCACATGCCACAGAAGATGCCATGCGAATGCGGAGCGCAAAACATGGGAACTTGGCTGATGCTTCGATTCCGGAATCTTGTCTTTCAGCAGAACCCGCAGCCTATGGAGCGCAAACGACATCACCGAGGCCGTCGTCGGCGTCTTCTTCTTCTTTTGTATCCGAAGAAAATGGTGGCAGGCCCGCCGTGCCAGGGAGTGTTGGCCCCGCTGGTGCAAATCCGATACCGGCAGCAGCAGCAGCAGCAAGAGCTCCTCGACGAGAACCAACAACCCAGATGGGGCATTCTAGTGGTGTGGCTCAACTGCGCGCCCCGTTCGTGAGCGTCGCACCGATACTCACAGACTCGTACAGCGGGCAAGTGCGTGTCGGCGGCTTTCTGCAGACTGCCGCTGCTCCACCGGCAACGGTTCCACCGACAGGGGCCCCCCCGAGGTCACCGCTACACTTTCCGTCACTGGATTTGGGTACTAGTGGCACCCTCTCGAGTCCAGATGCCGCTAATCCGCCAAATAGCGGAGTCATAGCGTCCGTTGGGCGCTCGGCTCTCCTGGAGCGCTTCCGGACAGCCTTGCTTGCGTCGGACGAGGCGTTCACTTCCTGGAAACTGGAGGATATTCGTGGTCAAATCGTGGAGTTCAGCACGGATCAGCATGGCTCGCGCTTCATTCAGACCAAGTTGGAGACTGCAACTCCTGATCAGGTTGGGTGGGTGCTGCAGGAAGTGCTCGCAGAAATGAATCGCCTGGTGACGGATGTCTTTGGCAACTACGTCGTGCAAAAACTCTTGGAGCACGGCACAGCACGTGACCTACAGGCAATCGCGATGAAATTGAAAAACCGGATCCTAGCGCTCTCACTCCACATGTATGGTTGCAGGGCTGTACAGAAGGCACTCGAAGTCTTGCCTGCTAGTACGCAGGCGGAACTCGTGATCGAACTCGACGGACACGTGTTGAAGTGTATCCGTGATCAGAATGGCAATCATGTGATCCAGAAATGCATCGAACGAGTTCCAGGACAACACGTTCAGTTTATCGTGGACGCGGTTCGGGGCCAGGCCGTCTCGCTTGCTGAACATTCCTATGGATGCCGGGTTATACAGCGCATTTTAGAATATTCACCAGAGGAGCAAAAAGTCCCGATCATGCGCGAGATTATGCAGGCGTGCCGAACCCTCATTCGGGACCAATACGGTAACTATGTCATCCAGCACGTTGTCGAGCATGGAAAGGAGGAAGAGCGTGCGCATATTCTCCGCATGGTCAGGGATCAGTGTATTAGCATGAGTCAACACAAGTACGCGAGTAACGTTGTCGAGCGATGTCTGCAACATGGCTCCCCAGCGGATCGCAAAGCCCTCATCGATATTCTCCTGGGCCGATCTGATGTTGCTGGCAGTGGCAGCGGTGGTGGTGGTAGTTCTGGCGCAACTGCGTTACCCCGCAACAGCGTGCCTCTGATAGATCTTGTCCAGGACCAATTCGGAAATTATGTCGTGCAGCGAGTCCTGGATGTAGCCGGCGACGAACAACGTCAGCAAGCGGCGGAGCTTCTTCGTGCGAATCTGAACGTCATCAAACGCTTCTCCTATGGAAAGCACATTCTTGCGCGTCTGGAGAGCACTGGAGCAGCTGCCATGGCACCAACCTTCGCCAACCGCGAAGGTGCGCCCGGAGGCGCGCACCCTTGCGTGCAAAACCTCCAGAACACTGGAAAACGAGCCCCGGCTCAACGTCTGCAACTCGAGCCATCAAGCAATTGCAGCTCCGCAAGCAACAGTTCCAGCAGCAGCGCAACAACGACATCGAGTGCGAGCAGCACATGGAATCTCCGCACTGCCTCGATCGCATCGCCTTCAAAACGTCGAGGTCGCGCAACTGGTTGCTTTAGCTCCGAGGTCTTGGAATTAGAAGCGTCAATGAAGAAACGCTCCGAAGGCGTCACCGCAGGAGGATTCCCTCAAGCCTCACCAGCATCCGCAACAGCAACAGCAGCGACAGCGGAGCGGAACCCACGTGCTGCGGGGCGGGCACGTCGACAAACGCACACGCGCTGAGTCGCCTCATGCACGGTACGTGACTGGGCCAGGTCGCGCTCCCGTTCAATGCTGCGTTTCGTAACGCCAGCCTTGCATGCCCCGATCGGTGTTGGGCACGGATCACGAGCACGCATGCCTGTGTCGATACATGCGTCTATGCGTGTACACAGCGGTATTCTGGACACGTGTCCATTGCTGTACGTGGTGCGTGTAACCCACTGAGACAGCGTGCGCTTTGCTCTTGTTTCGTACGCGATGATGGTAACAATGTGTGACCAACAGCATCTACTGCAATGACAGCAACGTCCGTAAGGATCATGCTCGGAGTCGCAGCGAGCGTGTATCATGAGTTCTTCGTGCCTCTCGATATACGCAGAACGCCAACATGATTTCACACACAAACACACACACACCCAATGTATAGTGTCAACAGCGTAAAGCATGCTTATTCATGCTCAGGGGGGAGTCGGCGCCTTCGTCGTGGCAGGCGCAGCAGCAACAGCAGTAGCAGCAGCAACGGTTTCAGGTCGCGCGAAGCGGCCGCGTACCCGGGGTCGTGCATCTGCGAGGCGCTTGCGTACGTCGTAGCGGATCAAGCCGGGATGCGCTACGCGACGGCGGCGCTTCTCGAGGAAGCGCTGCACACGCTCCAAGCGATAGCGCTCTCGTTCAGTGGCACTCCAGGTCGGTGACTTTGCTGCGGTGTCAGGTGCTGCACCGACAGCAGCGACTCGATCGGCGTGGTCCGTTATTGCACAGCGCGGGTGCTCGATGGTCAGCGGTATTCGATCCATGCCATGGTCGGTGTTTTCCGACGCTACGAATCTCCCGCCTAGAAGAACACCATTGGAGCTCTGATCCAGTTGCAACGCAGGGAGCGTCTGGACCCATCTTATCGCACCCGCGGGGAACGACGTGTGAGGCACCTGAAACCGCCGATCTGGAGCTTCGACGGGGCCTGCAGCGTTGCTTGGCAGTCCCGCCACATGCCCTGTAGCCTGTGAACTCGCACCATCCCTGTAAAAGTCCGCCGTGGGGTCTGACGACGCTGCACCGCCACCAGCGAGACCTACGTTTCTGTGTAAGATCGATCTCTCGGCAGCATCGCCTGCTGTCGGTGATGCGCTTGCGGCAGTCCAGGGATTGTCTCCGGACATACGCTGCAGATGCTCGCCACCCGCAAGCGAAGCTGCGTCATCATCGCCGCTCGAAGAACGATCCAATCCGGTCTGACTTGCAGCGTCGCTTGGCATCGCGCGGGCGCTCGTTCCACTACTGTCTCGACTCATTCGCTCCCAGTGTGCATTGGTTTCTGGGACCGTTTGCATCCACGGTCCCTGGTATCCAGTCCTAAAGCGGCTGCTAAGCGCAGTAGGCAGCGACATCGATTGATTCGTATGCGACGAGGCATCCAAGCTCACCATACTCATGTTGCCCTCTGAAACCTGCACATGACCGGGGCGCGTGCCGTCCGTTTTACCGGGGTAGAACTCCGGGCGAGGACGGTGCTCCAGGCATGCTGGGATGCCTTCGTTTGAAGAGGTATGCATAGGCATTGAACAGTCCGCTGGAACGTTGCAACATTGCGGGTTCTCCATTCGGTTCTGCGCTCTTTCAGCTGGGCATGATGCAGTCGCTCTCTCGGACTGCTGCGCGCCGGTATTTGGGCGGGCCATTCCCACGCCACAAAGGCTGGTAGCCGCCTGTGAGGAGATTGCGGCCAAAGCGTGTAAGCAATTCAACGCTCCGTCATGAGGTCTTGCGCAACACGCTTCAGCTGACGATGGGATATTATGAGGCACCGGTATTTGCCCAGGATGCGCTGCTTTGTAAAACTCCGCATTCACTGCAACGGGCCAACCGCGGGTGTGTTCAGTCCCCGTTATGTGTCTCGGCGTCATTCCGAACAACTGAGCAGACTGATAGAATAGTTCTTGCTGGTACAACGCCTCTCTAGTCGGTGGCTGCACCGGAACTGGATCCCAGCGATCCACAGCGTGCTGCAGTGATCCATGAAAGCCTGACGCCGGCGCTTGGGGTGCCCTCGCGCTAGCAGGCACTCCAAAAGCCGTCACCGAAGTCGCACCAGCACCACGTGGACCCGAATGCGGCAGAGGCCCTATTGGAAAGTGATACCCATGGAGCATAAGCGGACGATAGCTCGATGTCCAGGGGTAACTGTTGGATTGTGCCTGCATGGAACCAGCGCCCGCGTAACCCGGGGCAGCCACCCTGCCCCAGCATGCAGCCGCTGGCGTCACCTGCGGGTATGTCGTCAAAGCGGAGTAATGCTGCTGGGTCTCCGGGCCTACGAACCGGTCGGTATTCGTACCGGAAGGGCGATTAGTCAGTCTCTGCTTCGTTGCGTCCATCTGATTGCCAGGCTCGGCGTCTGTACGACCGGCGAGCGCAATATTATCTGGACGCCGTTTCATGACCACGTCACGCCAGCAGGCACGCGGCAACGTACCGCGCCGACACTCTAGCCGCCCACAGACGAACTAAACTCAAGAAAACAACCTAAAAAGTTTGGCACAAATTCGCCCCAGGAGTTGCGTTCTCGAGCTCGGTTGCGCCTGCGCGTGCCAAACCCTCAGCGTACCGAGGTTCTAGAAGCCGCCGCCGCCGCCGTCCGGACTTTGCTCACTGCTTCTAGTAGATGTAGTCGCTCACCCCTCGAACCAGTCAAAGAAGCCGTCAACCTCCACAACTATGATATTATAGCGCTGATTCGAAGTCTCACGCAAATATCGAGCAACTGGTCGCTCACGTCACAGCACTGCAGCTACAAGATATCACCGCTGACGCGCAGCTGCATTCGATAATGCAGCGCACAGCATCTAGCGATGTCGAGACGAAGCGCGCCTTCGCCGCAGGATCGCCCGCGAAACGTTCTCGAGACGCGACGCTCGGCGCCGCGTGTACGCCCCGCTCCTCAGATATTTTCAGAGGCGGCGTTTGCAGATGCGCGCGCCATCGCATACAGCCGCTCGCGCAACGCGTGAGATACCCGCCGTCGATCTCGCGGTCAACGGCGCCGCGCGCGTGCTTGCGCGTTGCCCGCCAGCAACGAAGCAGCGCACAGGGGCCTCCAGTTGGATCGGGTCCGACATACGTGTCCGCTAGGTATACGCTGCGGTGCTCGCTGCGCGCTCGAGTGCGAATCTGAACGGCTGGATGTCTTCGAGCTGGCATCGAGACTAGCGTGTGCGGGCTTTTTCTGTGACTGCTTCCTGTTCCTATCTTCTCTGGCTAGGTTTTCGGCAGTCGCAGGATATTGATGGCGGTGGTGGTAAAGTCCCGATTTTACTGCGTTCGGTAGTTGTCGACGCACTTGTTGCGCGGACGGTTGTTGCAGCCTGCGCTTCGCTTGCCATTTTCATCTTCATTGTATACAGCCTCTGTGCGTCCTCGCATCGATGACTTTTGGCTGTGGTCAGGTGTTCCCGTATATCCACCAAAGCCTCTCCTGCTCCTGCTCCTCTTCCTCGGAGGGCCGTTTTGAGGCGTCGTACAGCTCGCGTTTTCGCTCGTTCCATGCAATTGACGAGTATCGAAGGCTTACCACGATGCTCTTCTCAGTTTGCGGGCTCGCTGCCGTGCGCTTCGCTGGCAGGTTGCATCAGCGCAATGCCCTCAGCGAACACAGTGTCGGATTTTTCTCACTGACAAAATGCTTACTTAGGCCAGCGTTCTCCGATTGTGCACTTTTTGTTTTCTTTTTGTTTGTGTGCGGTGAAGTAGCCATCGAACGCCCTGCCTCCAAGTTCCATGACCCACACTACTTCCCGGATATTCTAGTCGTTTCATACGTCCTATCGTGTGTGCCTAGTGCCTGCCGAAAGCGACAGCAATGACGCCTATAGCGCCAGTGCGGTCGCTGCACGGAGGCAGAACGGCGTTGCCGTACCACACAGAGGGCGTCGGCTCGAGGCAGTGCGGGGCAATGCCAGCGCAAGCCAGTGCAAGCCAGCGCAAGCCAGTGCACAGTGTCGCATTCGATGGAGGATTCGTGGAACGGGAAGCTTTTCGTGGTGAACCATGTACCGCGAGGCAAAAATGCAGGCTGGAGCGCAATTCTAGAAAACTTCGATCCGTCTACGCTTCCTCCGTGCAAGGCGGTGCCAGACTCTCTATCTGGCGCGGTCGCTGCGATAACTCAGGTCTGAGTCTCCGATTTTCTTCGGTGTGTACGGAAGCGAGCGAAGCCTCTGGGGACGTATGCCGTGAGCGTTATCTCGCCGGCTGTGAACGCCACGTTGCCGCTTGTCTCAAGGACGGGCGGATTTCCTTCTCGGACGGATGCGATTAGCTGACCTGACAATTGTAGTCAGCCTTCGATATGAGCATGTGACAAAGTCTTCAAGTGAAGTCGTTGCGATTCTTTTCGCTGTCCACCCAGCTGTACGCATTGCTGCGCCCTCGAGTTGCCTTTAAGGAGAAATATCGAAAACTTGAAGAATGCATGATTCAAGCATGCTATACTTGAGGAAAACAGAAGAGTGCAGGCGCGTGCGACTGAATGAGATGATGATATCGGCTATGTTACGAACCCGCGTATGAGGGCGTCACGAACCATCTTGATCCCGGTGACGTATCGAATGCCAGCGGCAGGGAGTCGACGGGATCCCTACGGATAGTACAACCGAGGGGCATAGAACTACCCATGAATCCATTCGCCGTTATTGCTGCACTTTGAATATTGCAGCTGTGTTTCTAGCGAACATTCGGGAAACGATCGAAAGGCGGGAACAAAATGAAGATTGCAATGCATCTTTTGAGCCTGACAAGTGTTTTTGCCTCCTGGTGACAGGCTAACCGTGCGGTAACAGGCCGCACACGCGAGCCCGATGGTTACGGGCTGTTTGCATTGGCGGCTGCCCTGCTGTGGAGTCACGACGCAAATGCAGAATGCGTGCCCCACGGGGCACGCTTCATAAGCCTCAAAGGCCGCAGGTTCTGTATCGTCAAAGTTTGCAGGAGTGGGCTGCGTCAGTATTCAGTGGCGCGGCCCTGAGAGCCCTACGAGCAAGCGAGATCTTGGGTGAGCCCTCCTGTCAGGTCACCAGAGAGGAATTGCAGCGTTCGAAAGGCGACCCGTAGGCGCTGGTTTAGAACGCTCGTTCTGCCGTACGGAATAGTAGCGCGTGCAGCATGCAATCAACCGACTTGCCTTCACGAGAATAACCCAACTTGCTGAGGCCGCGCTGTCGTTCAAGCCCTGAGCTGGCCCCGCGAGAAGCGATGGCCAGAGCGAATCCCAAGAGCATCGGTAATTGTCTAGAATGGAGGGGGGAGAGATCAGCGCCCAGACGGCAAGCGCGGAGCATTGCTGCGTCTTCGAGAGGGCCTTCGCCTTTGCTGCATGAGTGAAACTATCAGAATAACAGCAACACTTTGGCACCCGCCAGTTCCAGACTGAAGAACGCTGAATAGAATCAAGCACCCCAAGGGAATTCCAGGAAGGTTTTGACAGAAAGATAGGATTCTAGTTTCCTATCTCCCGCGAGCGCCGGTGCAAGGTAGCAGTCCAAGCGGGTCCATCGCAGACGGGTACCAGCTCTCGTATCCGAGTCTGTCTCGAGAGCTCGCACAAGCGGAGCAACGCTCAGACTAACATGCGATTGCCGTCGCGTCCGTATCGAAAATCCTAGCTCCCATGCTACCGGTTTGACATCCGGTCCAATACAGACGGATCAATGTCTGCGGGTGCGGAATCGAAATAGCCCCGAGGTGTCAACTGGCGCTTACCGCATGGACAGCTGGCGACTTACTCGTACGACAGCCTGTAGGGTCTCTATTCGCCGTTTCGTTCGCATATATACCGCGGGCGCTGTTGGCCACTACGGCGCACTTTGCGTCTCGTCTAGCGATAAGAGCGCCTGCCTATATAGCGGTTGTTTCGGATCCAGATCGAGAGCGATGCTAAACAGCTCTACGGCATTCTTAAGACCCAGTTCGCGAGCGATGACACCCATCTGGTAGTAGATAGCTGCTTCACGGGGCACCATATTCCGGAGCTGGTACAGCTCTTTCCAGGCATCCTGTAAGCGGCCTATCTGCATATATAGTTTGCAGCACTCGAAACGCGCCACCGGATTGCGAGGGTTCATTTCCAAAGCCTTCTCCAGAGCGTTCAGTGCATCGACCTCGCGGCCTCCGCCGACGCGGATAACATGGCCCAGATAATACCACAACATGGAATTATTCGAGTTCAAATCGAGGGCTATTCGATAGTGTTTTTCCGCTAGACGGAATTTCTCTTGCCGTTGATAGACTTGTCCGATGCCGAACCAGGCATTATAATGTCGACTGTTCCTGTAGAGCGCGTCCTGGTAACATCTCATAGCGGCATCGTAATTGTCCAAATAAAGATACTCATGACCCGCTAGCGTACAGGGGTACGGATTTCGCGGATCAATCTGGGCGGCACGGAGGAAGAACTCGATAGCGCTGTCTGTGTCTCGTTGCAAACTGAACGCATTACCCACAATGCACCAGGTTGCTGCAGAGAAGCGGTCTCGTTCAAGTGCATACCGGGCCAGTGCATTTAATTCAACATCCCGCCGCATATGCCAGAGCGCCGTCGAGTAGTATTCGAGGCCATCCAAGGATCCAGATCTGTTCAAACTCAGGTACTTTTCAAACGTTCGCGCACACTCGGATAGCTCACCGGCATCAAGATATGCACGACCCTGCCATTTGAGCACCACGGGTGCTTGCTGAAGCGCCAATGGCAACGTCGCAATTAGAGCGACCGCCTCTCGGCAATGGTATCCTTCAACGAGTGCACGCACGGTGGCCAAGGCCTGAAAGTTATCCTGAGGCGAGCCCGAGGATCTCGTCTTCCAGCGCAAAATGCAGTTGTCCAGCCGAAGAGAGCTTCGTCCTGATTGGAAGACTTGCTCTTCTTTTCCAGAGATACCAAACATTTCCGGTACGAAATAATCTATATATCGATAGAGGGAGCTGAGCTCCTCGATGCAGCACCAAAGAAACGGATCAATTTCAAGCGCTCGTCGGAAACACTGAGCAGCCTGGTCAACGCGCGTGTTCGAGAGGCGAAACACACGCCCTAGTAGATATAGTCCCTCCGCCTGCCATGGCACAGACAGGCTTCTCTCGGACGGGAGACCCCGAGCGTTGTTAAGGGACGAGCGAACCTCCTTGGTAAGGTTCTCGTTCGCGTTCTCCTGAAGCAGGAAAGATAGCGCCTTGTAGGCGGCAGCCAACTCATTAGCCTCAATGCAGCAGAGTGCGTACCAGTACCTACACTCAAGATCCTGCTGCCAGTACTTCGCCACAACGTCGACTGCCTGCCGATGTCGGCCGTACTGCGCAAGAGCCTGAGCATAAAGCGCAAAGCTCTCCGCAGTCGACTTTTCCGCACAAAGCCTTTCCGCCAGAAAGAAGACGTGCTCTTCCGGCATTTGCCTCTGAAGCGCTCGCCGCAAACTGCATTCAAGTGCGGCGCCCCTGCCGACCAAATCGCGCTCCATGGTTGCCCAGCGAGCCTCTCGGGGATCACTCGACTAGTACGTCAAGTACCCAGTGGCGCAATACTCCGTCCTAAGCCAGCCAAAGGGACACCGCGACTTGGGTCCCGGCTTTCGCTCGAACCAAGTCGCTGAAAAGCGCCTGTTTCTGAATACAAAATACCTACAAACAGAGTAAGAGAATCAGCTGAGCCTCGAGCTCCCAGTACAACTGCCGACACGTTTCCGCGTCTGGCTCCGACTCCGCCGTTCTGCAGGCGTCGGAGGCGCTTCCCCTGCAAGTCGCTATTACTGTCGAGATGCCAGGGCAGGCCCTGCAAGGCGACGGTACCGATAGGGGCCGGGCTGAAATCGAAACGCGGCCTGCAGCCTCGCACGAGGCGCTGGTGATTGCGAAAACGCGTCGGCGACCCGTCCCGCCATTTTTTATCGACTTTATAGTTTGAAAGAATGTTCATGGTGAAGCGCGATACCCGATAGCGCGCTTGAAGAATTCGAGAGGGGGCGCGTCCAGCATTATTGTTCAGCGATCCCGTTCGTTTGTAGGGATCGCGCTCGAGGTTGCAAACCCGTTCGTGGCCTCGTGGATAACGCGCACTGAGGGTGTGAACGCCTCGGTGGCAGCGCGCCAAGTATAAGGTCGCGCCTGTTGCGTCCTCTTCGGTGCGCTTCCGGCCGTATCGGTGTGCTCGACCAAGGTGCGCAACAGACCTGTTGATCCATATGCCTCACCGATGCGAAGTAAACGATCAGATTCCAGCGTTGCAACGGGCGTTTTGCGAAGAAGTTTGCGCTCCTGAGTTGTTGCCATTCCGCGCGAGCCTTGTCGAGGATATCGAGGCGGTCATCGCGTTCCAGGAGCAGCGTGTCGGACAGCACTCGGCGTATGCTTCCAGTGGTGATCGAGAAGAGAGCGATACGGAAACTGCGTTCCGGCGATCGCTGGTAGCACAGTTGCAACGTATGGATCTTGAACGCGTTCGTTACTTGCTAGCGAGCTACTTGCGCGTTCGACTTTGGAAGCTCCAGCGCCATGCAGCATACTACCAGCAGGAGGCCGAAGGAGGCTCGCAAACCTCGATGGGACGGCTTTCCATGCATGAGCAAAGATTCTTGAAGGCTTATCTAGATAATTTGGCTACGTGTCTACATGAGGCATTTTTGAAGCATATACCGGAGAGCTTGCGTGGACTCACTGATACTGAAAAGCACCAGTCTGGTCGCAATACGGAAATAAGAATGGTAACGGAACCAGATTTCTCCGAAACGGTAATGGCTGTCGCTGGCTCCCCAGGGCAACTGGCTGCCTCTGTTTCCGCGGAGCAGGCCGCGGCTGACAGCGCGTCGATGCCAGAAATACACTGCGTTTCATATTCTATGGTGCGTGATGACATTCTGCAGGAACAGATTAGTCTCTTATGATGGATATTGTAGAGTGTCCTGATGGTAGAGTATCAGCATCTCTCATAGGGAAACCGCGCACCTCAGCATCATGTAGAGTAGTCTTCCGGTAAGGAAAGCGATGGACTGGTCTGCAAATGCAAGATCGTGCGCGACAAGCATGAGACAAAAGCATTCTTTGGACTGATACATACTCGAAATTTCCGGGAAACTTGTAGTTTATCAGAGAACATAGGAGTTTCTGCTCCCGAAGCAAGCCCCGGTTTCAGATGGTGTGCGATTCTTGCGTGGCGCGCAAGTGGGAAACGCGCGGAGCGTCTTGTTTTCGATCAGGTGGACGGCGCGAAAAAGTCCTCTGTACTTTGAGACGGTTCGGATCACGTTTCATATATTTGACGGGAAGGTGGCGCTACTCCTGCTGGTCGGGAGTCGCGCTTCAGAACAGAAGCTAGGGGACTCTAGAAACTGTTGCAAGCCCCGAGCGTGCGTACTGTTGCCCGGGAAAAAGTTTCAGCCGCCGCCAGCGGTCTGAACTGACAGATTAGCAGCTTTCGCTTATACTCGTGCGATAAATGAGTAACGAGCGAAAGACCAAATGGTCCGTGCACTTGTTCTGAGCGACGCACACATTTCGCGCGGGAACGCTGGTTTCGACGACGCTTTCTTGACTTGGATGCGTCAGAACTTGCCGGACTTGATCTTATGCGCCGGAAACCTCGGACCTCTTGCAGCCCTGCAGGCACTCGCGACGTACACGCCAAAGATCCATGTTGTTCAAGGTGATTGTGACTCTTTTGCAGCACCAGAGCGCCTTCTCATGCGTGTTGATGATGTTACAATCGGTATGCTGCATGGGTACCAGCTGGCCTCGAGTACTAAAGAGACCAATGGAACACTCACCATCAATTCCAGCGTGCTTCAACTTGTAGCAGCTGACATTGGTGTCGATCTGCTCATCGTGGGGGGCCCGTATGGCCCCCGAATTCATCAGGTTTCAGTTGCATCAAAAACGTGTTTTATTATCTTGCCAGGCTGCCTAGCAGGCCCAGAAAATACATTTACGCTGGCGAGGCGCCTCGAGCGAGAGCGCGAAACGCGCCTGAAGCCATCGCCACCTGCGAGCGAGGAGGAACAGGGCAAAAGCTCTGTAAGTTTAGCCTATAGAGGCCCATCGATGATCGCCATGGATATAAGCCGAGCCGGTGCGGATGTTTACGAACTTATCCTGGATCCAAAAGATACCAGCAAAGTTCAAATAGGCGATGTGCAGCGCCTGAACTTGTGAAACCGTAGATGCGTGCGCTCGTATAGCCATCCGCACTGCTGCACCTGCGAAAGATTGCTCAATGAGTCCCTCAGAAAACACATCCCTGGATGCAAGATTCGTGAAAACTGTCTGATTCGCAGGCCGATGGATTGTATTACTCGAGTAAAGGACAGGGCTCTTCGCGGGGCGCATGCATCTATGAACGTAAATATGCACACACATACCCACGCACAGCGAAGTTTTTCCATGCTGTAAACTGTACCCTTGCCAGTCTAAAACGGAGCACTGAACTGCTCGCCATGCTCCTGCATTTCGGTATTTTCCGAACATTTTTTCGATGTGCAGCCTCGACAATCGAAGTGAAGCAATAACGGCGTACGGTTTCATAAGTGGTTTTACGATTCTCGCGCGTATTTTGGGAGTGACTCGGTTCACGCCCTGCCGCTGCAATTCGTCACATTTCATCAATCAAAGTGCACCGCGCGGCCCTGGAGCATGCGTTCGCACGGTAACCGACATCAGTTTGCAAGCCGAACGCCCCAGCGTCCGCTCCTGCCCTCTCCTCCCCTTGCGCGTGTCATGCTCAAACCACGCATTCTCCAAGTCTTCGATTCTTCCGTTTCGGGGCACCTCGTGGGGGCAGCTATTCGCGCCGATGGATTGACGAGCAAAATACCACACGTAGTCTATTGGCGACTTGTGCACAAGCTCATGCCGAAAGCTCCCTGCACTCGGCACGTCAAATGAACGATTCCGTTCGATAGACAAACCCTCCTTTCTCTGTAGCTATCAAGGAGACGGCATTCGACATCAGCATGGTACCATACACAAAGAATCCACCAGGAAGCTCCAGTTTCTTCCGTTTGCACGGAAGACGGGCGTGAACTCGGGCTTTAGTCATTGCACGGACCGTTTCCGTGGGGAACGCATCTCTGTTTCGCGCCACTGGAATATAGACAGATCGAAACCTCTCGACTTGTTCTCCAGCCTGGATTCTCCTTCCGGTGCGTGTCTCGTCGTGGGCAACATCGTGCCCCGCGAATCCTCTGTCGAATAGCGCAGGATGCGCTTCCGAGTGCGCAGCGGACAGAGTTCTCGCTGGAAGCATGGCCCAGCGGAAGCCCCAGATCATGGGGTACGGTTCAGTGCGCCGAAGCGGAGGTGGGCGTCCACGCGCGCCTTCTGCACCGGTCAAGGGCATGTGCCGAGCGCTGAAGCAAGCCTTCAGGTGCCACAGGGCGGCGCGCGAGCTCGGATGTCTGATGGACATACAGAAATACCTGAACACAGCCAAGTGCCACAGCGGCGAAGTGCCTACTGAGCCGTACGGAAAGAGGACGAGAAAAGCGCGCAAAGCGTATATCGCAAATTTCGTACTTGCATGGAATGTGTCGCCAACAACCGGTAACAGCTGCATAGGGACATGAACGCTGCCACCAACAGCCTTCGACAATGTGCACTGGAGCTGGTGGGAAAGGGGGGTATGATGCATTTAAAGCCGGAAGTAAGAGGGAGGACACCGAACCGGTCACCGAAAAAGCCGTGAAAGGCTGGTATTGATGGCAGTGGCAGGAGAGGCCCAACCTGTTTGTGTGCGTGTCCCCGGATAACACAGTGGACCCGTTCCATTTTAGCCTGACGTAGATGTCTAGCGAACAAGAGAAACATCGCCATAAGCACTTCCCGAGTGTGATTATATTTCTCCTCTGGTCCAAAGAATTTCAATCAAATTCTCTCAAGTGATGATGGGCTTCCATGCTTTCACATGGCGCGCCGTTGTTCATGACAAGAGACCAGGAGGTAGGCCATAAAACTCGCAAGTCGCATACGACACAGACCTGCTGTTGTTTTGTGGTTGTAGAACCATATGCATGATATTCTTTCGAGTGGAAAACATTTCTCCGTCGAGGAAGTCGCCCAGAACCTTTCGCCTCAATCTGTCAGAAAAAGCAGTACTAGGAAAGTTCCAATTCTTCCGCGGAGCCCGTAGTCACTGAAATATGCAGCGCCATATGCTCACGAGGACTCGCCGGAGGGCCCAGGAAACGTCCCGTTTGCTCGCTGTTCATCCCACCGCTCGATCCAGTCTACTGGGCAAAGTGCGCGTGCCCAACGACCAAACTTTTTGCACTCGGACTCTTCCTCGCCGTGTTTCTCTTCGCACAGTTTCCACTCAACGTAGCGAACCCAGCAGTTCCTCGTCTGGTTCGTGTGGGGAAAGCGCTCATCCCTTGGTGCAGTAGAGAGAGATTCCATGCTATTGGACAACAATCGCGAGCTTGGGTGTCGAGCGTTAAGCGCAAGCTTAACAAAGAAATAACGTCTGTATGCTTCAGCAGTATAGAAGAAGGCGATGCCCTCGAGTAAAATAATTTAATGCAGCCGTTCTTTGACGCTGAGGCCGCAGACGGCAGCGGCGGCTGCGACGACCGCCGCCAGCGTCCAGGTTCATGATCCAAACTCCAACGCGTGCCGTATTCCTGAAAGCAACGGCTGCCTGTATCTTGTAGTCTTTTTCTTCAATTGTGTTCCACGCCCAGATGAGTGGAATCAAATGCTTATCTTTTGTGGTTTATAGCATATACGTTCGAAGTGTGTTTATTTTAAAAAGGTCTTAGTGAGAGATATGGATATGGAAGTCGGGGATGCTGGAGGGCCATCATCGCCAGCTACCGAACGAGCGAAGAAGAGCAATTGAAGAAGAACAAGGATGTAGGCGGGCCGAGGAGTTTGCCCGACGGAACGATGACGAGATTGTAATGGCGCGGAGGGTGCAAGTTCGAGGGAAACATGCAAAGTTGCGTTCAACCAGAGGCAATATATGCAAGGAGTTCGTGAGCCAAGATTGCAAAGCCGCCATCAATATCAGAAGATGTGTGGTTTTGACGAATTGACTCGAGGAGCCGGCACGAGCCAACTTTGTGGGGCGGTCTCTCGGTATCGAAGTTCGCTGGGATAAAAACGGATTCCAATTTCGGTTGCCTGCCAAAAGAAAGCTGGGAGGCGTCTGTGAGTAAGCGGGTATTTGGACTGCATGGTTGTAGAACGCTTTTTGGTCCTTCTGATAACTGAAACACAGTTCCGAAGTTTATCGATTCCTTTATGTGGAAGGGCATCTGGATAAACTTATTGGGCTCAACGACCCCTTCATTTGGTCCAAGTAAACCAATATCCTATTCAACTTGCAGCGTATGCCCAGTTGCGCTTTACCTGAAATCGACGGAACGCTGTGCCGCGATGAGCTCAGAACTGCTCCGTACCGATGCGTTAGCGACGAGAGTGCGAGTCGAGCCACCCAAGAACATGAGGCAAGCGTCCATGAATGACAAAATTTGACATTGAATGGCAAAATTGAATCGACTTCCATGACCTGCTCTGAGTTGAATATTAATCCTTCTTTGCCGCGTAACAAACGGACTGCAAACGTATGACAACGCCGTATATATGGAACAGCACAGAACTCCTACCGCTACCGCCGCGTGCTTCGTGCATCGCCTGCGATCATTCACCGGCTACATCTACGTCAGGCTAAAATGGAACGGGTCCACTGTGTTATCCGGGGACACGCACACAAACAGGTTGGGCCTCTCCTGCCACTGCCATCAATACCAGCCTTTCACGGCTTTTTCGGTGACCGGTTCGGTGTCCTCCCTCTTACTTCCGGCTTTAAATGCATCATACCCCCCTTTCCCACCAGCTCCAGTGCACATTGTCGAAGGCTGTTGGTGGCAGCGTTCATGTCCCTATGCAGCTGTTACCGGTTGTTGGCGACACATTCCATGCAAGTACGAAATTTGCGATATACGCTTTGCGCGCTTTTCTCGTCCTCTTTCCGTACGGCTCAGTAGGCACTTCGCCGCTGTGGCACTTGGCTGTGTTCAGGTATTTCTGTATGTCCATCAGACATCCGAGCTCGCGCGCCGCCCTGTGGCACCTGAAGGCTTGCTTCAGCGCTCGGCACATGCCCTTGACCGGTGCAGAAGGCGCGCGTGGACGCCCACCTCCGCTTCGGCGCACTGAACCGTACCCCATGATCTGGGGCTTCCGCTGGGCCATGCTTCCAGCGAGAACTCTGTCCGCTGCGCACTCGGAAGCGCATCCTGCGCTATTCGACAGAGGATTCGCGGGGCACGATGTTGCCCACGACGAGACACGCACCGGAAGGAGAATCCAGGCTGGAGAACAAGTCGAGAGGTTTCGATCTGTCTATATTCCAGTGGCGCGAAACAGAGATGCGTTCCCCACTGGAAACGGTCCGTGCAATGACTAAAGCCCGAGTTCACGCCCGTCTTCCGTGCAAACGGAAGAAACTGGAGCTTCCTGGTGGATTCTTTGTGTATGGTACCATGCTGATGTCGAATGCCGTCTCCTTGATAGCTACAGAGAAAGGAGGGTTTGTCTATCGAACGGAATCGTTCATTTGACGTGCCGAGTGCAGGGAGCTTTCGGCATGAGCTTGTGCACAAGTCGCCAATAGACTACGTGTGGTATTTTGCTCGTCAATCCATCGGCGCGAATAGCTGCCCCCACGAGGTGCCCCGAAACGGAAGAATCGAAGACTTGGAGAATGCGTGGTTTGAGCATGACACGCGCAAGGGGAGGAGAGGGCAGGAGCGGACGCTGGGGCGTTCGGCTTGCAAACTGATGTCGGTTACCGTGCGAACGCATGCTCCAGGGCCGCGCGGTGCACTTTGATTGATGAAATGTGACGAATTGCAGCGGCAGGGCGTGAACCGAGTCACTCCCAAAATACGCGCGAGAATCGTAAAACCACTTATGAAACCGTACGCCGTTATTGCTTCACTTCGATTGTCGAGGCTGCACATCGAAAAAATGTTCGGAAAATACCGAAATGCAGGAGCATGGCGAGCAGTTCAGTGCTCCGTTTTAGACTGGCAAGGGTACAGAGGTACCCTAAGAAAACTTGAACGCTTGTCGACGGCACCGGTCTGCGGGTCAAGCAGTATGCAGACTCCCAGCGGTCTGAGCTAGTTCCGGCGGCCTTCAACGAAGACAATATGCCAGCCGTTCGCACCTTTAAAAGGCTCCGAGACGTTCCCGGGAGCAGTGGAGAAGGCCACTTCCCTGAACTTCGGTTCCATCTTCTGCCTGTCGAACCAGCCCAAGTCTCCACCACGTTTGGCAGACGGACACTCAGAATACTTGGATGCGAGCTCGGCGAAAGTCGATGGCAACGCGGAGCGCTGCGTCTCTGTGCGTTCTATGAGCGTCTTATACACTTCCTGGATGGTACCCTGCTTAGAGCAGAGAATGTGTCGAGCCTTCACAAAGTTGGCTGTTTTCAGCTTTGAGTCGGTCGAATTCGAACCTGTACCTGCTTTGTTCGCAGTTTTAGTGGTTTTTTTACCCATGCGATCTTACCGCAAACGCAAAGACCCTTCTCTTCGGGACCACTGCAAGCCCGTTGCAAGCGAAACCGGATAAACGTCTCGCTGCGACAGCGAATCTACGCGAACTGATGAGATTGCGGCGGGCTCGCAGCGAGACGAGCTAGCGCTCAAACTTGCGGTTAAAGTAGATCCCACAGAAATCCAAGCCTGTAGGAGATGGAGGCGGTGAATATCCACCATTCTGAGCGCAGAGGCACCGCCGGCACGTACAAGAACATGTGTGAGTTATCCCCAAAAACGTATCCGAACCAAGCAGCCAAGAACTGGGAATGTCTGGAAAACTTGGTTGCCACTCGTCGAGATGGAACGGAAGATAGTTTTCTTGCATCAGCACCGGGGCGACAAGCACCGCTCCTGAGCTGCGGCAGTGGCATCTATACGCAACATATGCGAAGCTTTACGCGCCGCCAGCGTACAACCGAGAGCGCAAGGCCAGGAGCATCGAAAGGCGAATTAAAACGAACACATTGGTGTGCATATATCGAGACATACAGATTGTTTCAGAGATAAAGAGTTGCGAGGGCGACCGAAGCTGGAAACGAACGCAGTTGTGCCTCGCAGGCACTAACTGAGCATACGAATCTGCTTCCTGTTCCGCCGTGCGGTTCGCTGTCTAGTCCCGCTCCTGAAGACTCCGCTCACGGGTGCGCGGCTGCTGCTGTGCCGCAGCTGACCTCGAGAAGCGTCTATGCTCTGCGGAGACACTATGCCTAGAAATGCGTTGATTTGTGTCTGCAATCCCTCTGTGCGTCTTCGCGAGGGGCAAGGTGACCGATTCCTTATAAATACGTTTGCGTTTTCCTGAACGAAATCGTAAAGGTTTTTGTTCCACCTAAGCAGACTTTGATGCCCATTATGGTCTTTCAACTCAGTTTCGTTCGGCCCCCGCTGAGTGTGATCGAATGCTATGTCACAGTCTATTGCAGGAGATCGACATCACCACGTGATGTACTGTATAGATCTTTGACGGATTGCATGTAGGATACATATTCTTTACTGGGCAGTGGTAGCAGGACCAAATTCCACCGTTAGGTTAGTCATACCACAGTACTCGGGTGGTGGAGGAACTCTGAATGAAACAATAATACGCGTTCCGCGCCAAAACCCGATACTCTAAAAGAGAACCTGCGGTCAGTGGTAGAAAACGACCCGTTGATCACCTTTTGCGGAATGCAAAAGCGTCGATCACAGTCACCACGGGAGTCTCTCTTTCTCAACAGCTTGTTCGTGTGGTACTGAAAACACTGGGATACAGTCGCAAGAAAGTCCTTGTTCACGCAAGGCCATATTCCACCGAAAATGCATCTACAGAGTTCCATGAACGTCGCGATCGGTATGAAGCAGTGGAACCTAGATGTGTTTCAGTCTGTGAGATTTCTTCTCACGGAACGATCGGAAAGTGTATGGGTATTCGCTGAGCAGGGTGCCCATTGTTCGTATGATCGAACTCGAAGGGAACGAGAATATCATCATTTGTTCTAGATGTAGTGGATACTATTGTCGGCCTCAGTTTCGCTCGTAGAGAAGGCTGATTCAACAGCACCCACTTTGCCGCATCATTGAAGACGTTTCCATGAAGGCTGGCGACGATCTTCTTTTGGACAACGTAATATTTCATCATTCCGCTAGTGTTCGAGATTTTGCAGATTCTATCCAGGCAAAACTGCTTTTCAGTCCTCCGTATAATCCTTGGTTCAACCCCATCGAAGGAATGTTCCCTATTGTGACAGGTAATGATCGCTCCAATATGCGATTCGCTGAACCTTTCAGCACACAGTGACATATCCTGGCACATTTCATCTGTCTTCCGCAAATGCTTCTCTTTCGGAAAAGATCCTCTCCTGGTGGCATAAAGAAGTGCATTCAGTTAGAAAAAATAAAAACTCTAAGGGATGAGCTTTGATGTACACTCCAGAGGGTAGAGATGGCGGAAAGGCAGCGGAGCGCTTCGGTGGTAGATAGGCACCCAGAGCTGACGAAGCAGCAAATGGTACAAAAGGCAGGCGCGCGAGTTCTCCTTGCACTGGTGAGTTCAAACAGCGGCAAGAAATGCATGGAGTTCGTGAATCGAGACTGGAACGCTGTCATAAATGTCAGGAGATGTACGGTGCTGAAGACGGTACCCGAGGGGCTGACACGAGCAAATTTTTGGGGCAACCTCTCAGAGTCGAAATGCGCTTGGAGAAGCTGAAGCCGATAGCAGTCGGACGCTTAAAAAGGATGGAAGGCATCTGTGAGTGGATACTAATTTATTCCACATGCTCGTAAAACATTGTTTGTTCCACGGACGATTTGTATAAATAGGACAGCACAGACTCTGTCCATCTTTTTGCTACAGCATTCATTATCTGATCACTTCGAACAGCGGCGCGTCGAATGTGATTTTTTTCTAATTTTTTAAACGACAAAATATTTACACTGACAGAGGGGTTTAACTGCGCGACTGATCACGGCATCCGAGAAACCGTCCATCATATCGCCCAGCCTGAAATTTCCACCAGGTTGTACATATCATTCTTCTCTAAGATAACTGTCTTTCCAATCGCTCCATCGTGCGTCGAGCCAGCTGTGAGCGTTCACAATGAGGCCCACAGCGCCGGTGAGGATGCAGCACGGGGACAGAAGGGCTTTGCCATACCATGGGGGCGTCGGCACCAAATTGCTTTACCCGACGCAGGGTCGAAACTCATCCTCATTCTGGGATTCAGAAGGTCGCTCAAACAGGCTGCAGGCGGCGCGAAACGACAAGCTGGGAGATTACAGCGACCGTGGCGAAGTTCAGAAACAGTCCGCCAACTCGTAGCCAGAAAGAAAACTGCGTTCCAGACGATATGTTCAGGTTTCGCGAAAGCAGCCAACCCGGGGAGCGCGCGAAGGACTCGTCCGGTAGAGTGCTTCGTCTCGACGGACCTCTCGCGTATAAGATAAACTTCCAAATACACGTAAAGTGTTCTTCCTCAATATCTTATGCAGGAGGAAGAGAGGAACGCACATCCAATTTCTCGCTGGGTGCTGGTTTCTGTTCTTATTCACTTCGAATTGCCAATCAGCTGTCAGTCTCCTTCCCAACATGGGGGATTCGATGCAGCATAGTCAGAGGTCGGCAACTCAGTCAGCAGCATGAGATAGCTCTTCACAAGTGGCTCTTCGGCGAGGCTTAATAGGCTCGCAGAATACCTAGTCCATGAAGCACCTCCATAGAAGATCCTTCAAGCGCGACGACGCCGAGAATAAGGTGGATCCACCACCTGTGAGTAACCCGCACACGAAAGCGATGGTGCTTCTGCATGTGGCGTGCTGTTCCAGCGCCCCTAACGGAAATAATCTTGCCTAATTCGAATGAATCTCTCGGTCTTTTATACCAGCGTCTTGATTCGCGCGCTTTTCGCTTCATTGTAGAGGGGGCATCCTCGCAAACTAGGCGTAGATGCGTCCGGTGGAAAACGACAGCGTTGAAAACGAAGAGTAGATGTTTGCGGGCGAAGACATGATGAAGGGAACACTGCAATTTTCACTCGAAGCTTAGAAGGAACTTGTAAACTGTTGGATGAACAAAAATCGACTGAAAGCAAAGAGAGATGCGAATGGGAAGAAAAAGGGAGGTACAGGCGGTTTGCACTATACATAGGGCAACAGTTGCCCTCCATCGAGACCGCTGGCGAGGCAACATTCAACACCATCCACGAACGTCCTGCACGCTTCATGACCGACAGTGCGCACATGTACCCATGCCCAGAAAGGGAGCTACGCCGAGCAGCGCCGAGCAATGCGGATGCATAGTCCTGCGAACTTTGTCCTCAATGCGAACTGCACCGGCATGTATCCATGGAGGATAAGCCTTTGCAACTGCGATTCCATGACACCCGAAGAGGACACCGACCCCTGTCGTCAACGGCCACGCTCGAGAGCCGGATGTCTCCAACGCTCCGAATTTTACCTACATTCTTGTGTTCTACTCACACACCTTTCATGTTCTTTTTTAGGAGAAGGAACGGAATGAGAGAATGTTACTTCAAGGGAGCGAAACAGGAACGAATTTCATAGGCCGTTACTGCCTTGTCGAAAGCGCATGGAAAGTGCGGACACGTTGCTCTTGATCGGTTCAGGTACCTTGATGCCCATCAAGCTCATCGGCAGGATTTATGGGAAGAGTAGGCAGAAAACGAAGAGCGCGCAAGGAGCCAGATAGGAAGCTATGGAATGGAGCTTGGAGCTCTTGCGTGTACAGTGGAAAGAATACTCCCCGAGGGGATCGCCCAGAGAAAGCCTGTTATCGTAAGGTGTGGCACCGGGTCCAGAAGCTGATCAAAATGGCGAACGGAGCCATCTATGCTCATCAAAGGCATATAATGCGCTATGAACCAAGCTTTCGTGAACCACAGCGTGGCATCCGCAGGAGGAGTAATTTTAGCGGACACAATGGAACACGTGATCGCGGTCAAGTTTCACCCCTACGAAGAGCAGACCTGGGCTGAATACAAAGTAGATGAAAATGGGAAGCGATTCGTGAATCGCGACGTCCTCCTAAGCATAAAATGCGTCGTCAATAGCTGGGCGCTGCTAAATGGGGACTTCAAGGCTGCCATCAACGTCTTTGGACAGCAAAATATGGGCCTTGAGAGCACGGAGATACCGACGTATTAAAAGTCAGCGATTCGAGAGAAAGACACGAAGGTAGTCGAAGAGAAATTTCGTACAAGCTGGTGTTGATTACAGTCCCAAGTGATCAAAGTCTGAAAGTTTAACCCCGAGTTGGCTGGACTTTTCCATTTCATTCCGACATAAGTCGACGTGCATATGCCATAGCAGGCAACGAGGGTTTTCCCCCACGCCGTTTGTGTGGGCGACTCGGATTTGATGTCCAAAAAGATCCATTTTTATATAGCATCTCGATCGCACTACAAGCGAGTTTGCTGTTTTCGATACAAAGTTATTGCCTATCGTTACTCAGCAGAGCGCTAACCGTCCCGCTTTGTATGCAACTGCATGCTGCAGAAAACGCTTTTATGCAGTTTGAGTGTAAGAACAAGCTGGAATCACGCTGGGTCGGCTCGCGGGCTGCAAGTTTCTGCCGGAATAACTACCCAAGGCGATAACAGGGAGGAGAGCTATGCCGCCTTCCAGGCTCTCCGCAGGCGCTTCCTAGGTTACACCCTGGCTCGGAAAACTTTCAATGATGTGTTTGAGCTGCTTAGTGGAGGAGAATCATATGAAGAATGCAGCACAAACGTTGCAGACTACACCGAAGACGGTGAAGACAGCGCAAACGTTCCGAACTCGGAAGACGCCGAAACTAGTGACGCCAATCCGCGAGGCGAGTTGCGAAATGGCGGGCCGTCTGACGCCAGAGACGAGTCTTATGAGGTTGCCCCACCGGAGATAGTTGAAAAATATCAAGGTACCGGGGATCATGACAAGACAAACTTGAAAATGTTGGATTATGACGCACACAGAGCTGCGAACTCGAAGACTGCTCAGGCTCAACCTGAGGACACACGAACGTCGCAGGGATCGTCTACTACCGACGAAACCCCGCAAACTTCACCCAGAAGGCATTTTGGCAAAGCGAAACCAACACAGGGGAAGAGGAGGTCCTCCCGTGGGTCGACACTAGGGTTTCTGGGTAGAGCAGCGATTTTGCTCGTGCTTAAAGTGCTTCTTTCCAAGAGGCACTGGTCCGCTTGCAGGACAGCCATTATCTTGGGCACGGTATTCCCTGGCCCACAGCAAGCTGCAGCACTGGCGTTTTTCCAGCCTCTGACGCTGTCGTATGCGGTGGCTCCTGCACTCCGAAGGATGCAACCGAGCTTATGGCGCTCGATCGATTTTTGGCAACGGATTCTACCCGTATATGTGGCATATAAGATGACCCAAAAGCGCGCGGGCAGACTCAAAGCGGAAGACGCGCTTGCTCTCTGGGAAAAACGCCATCAGTGGGGAAGCGAACGAGTTTACCGTCTCTGCGTTGAGCTCGGTGGCGCATACCTGAAAAACGGCATTCTGCTGAGCACGCGGAGTGATTTTCTTCCCCAGACGTGGTGCAAGCGCCTGTGGGAGCTACCACATGAAGGCCGAGCAATGACTATCGAAGAAGTTCGAGCAACTTTCCTTGAGTGTTTCAGCATGCCCATGGAGAGCATTTTTCTTTGGTACGATAGAACGCCCCTTGCGTCAGCCACTGTGGCGCAAATTCACAAGTGTGAAATGCCTGATGGTCGCTTGGTGATATTGAAGGTGCAGTACCCAGGGCAAGAGCGACTCTGCCAAAAGGACTTTCGCAATCTCCGGGTGCTCGCGCAATTTTTGCAGGCACTTGACTTGCGCATAGATCTTGTCTCTATCGTTCGTGAATACGAACGCTTGATACCGCTAGAGTTCGATTTTGAACGCGAAGCTCGGATGATGACTGTCATCCGTCGAAATCTTCGACAGGCAAATCTTGATCACGTCGTAGCGATTCCGGAAATAGTCAACGATCTTGTGTCCAGACGAGCACTTGTCATGACGTACATCCCAGGTTGTTACATCCTGGATCGAGAGAAAATTCGCGGCTGGGACCTCGACCTACGCACCCTCCTGGAAAATATTGCCGCTGTCTTCGGACAAATGATACTTGTCGATGGCATCTTCCACGCGGATCCGCATCCCGGGAATTTTGTTGTCATGCAAGATGGAAGAGTAGCGCTGCTTGATTTTGGTCAAGTCAAGCGCATTCGCGAGTTTGTGCGGCGGCGGCTCTGCTGGCTCTACCTCGCGATTGCGGATTGCGATGGACCGTTGATTGCGGCTCGCTTCCAGGAGCTCGGCGTACGATTCGATGCCACTGCAGGCTTTCGATCCACAGTGGTTTGGACACCACTAGAGTCTCGCCCTAGCACCAGCGAGCTAGCTGCAGAACAAAGCGAGACAGAATCTTCTTACGGCTTGACTGCTGGCGATACACGTCCTCGGGAACAATCCTCGATGCATAGTATCTCTCGAATTGGATCATTCATGTACTCCCCAACCGATGCTGATCTCGCGCTCTTCGCTCGCTTCCTGTTCGATACGTCAACCCTCGATGAGCTCGAAATGAACGCACTCGGCTCTCTGAATCCTCTCCGTTTTATTCGCTTCCAAGAGTATCCGGATGATATTTTTTCTGTTCTCCGCGTGATGCGCCTGCTTCGCTGCCTAGCCGATGAATTGAATATCGCCATCTCGATGGCTGACATTTTTGCGACCTATGCGGCTCGGGGCATCCGAAAAGTTGCTCAGGTAAGCGCACACACTGGAAATTCCCTGGAGCGAAGATCGAACTGGGCCCAAATGCGCCGCCACCAATCCGCGTCTCCAATGAAAGAGAGCCGAGACGCGTCGCCTTCGAGTCCCGCCAACAGGCTGGGTATGAGGGTGTCACCGGCGCGGATAAGCCACACCTACGTCGATGCGCTGGAACGAACATCTAGAATCGACCGTGCCATGTCCCTGCCCAACACGCCGCTGCATGAGCGGCTGCACAACGGGGACACGTTGAGGGGCGACGCGGGCGCTTCGCCAGCGCCGCCCCGCACCTCGAGCTGAGCCCATAGCTGGCGCCCTAGTCTACTTTGTAGCGACATTCGATGGCTTCTGCCGGTGAGACTTGGCCGTTTGTATCGCAAGCACTGCTAGATTGCGAAGATTTCGTCGCCGAGGCTCGAATCTAAGATCAAATGCATTCTCCGCACAGATCTAGTGGCCCCCATTGTACAACGTTCGGGTGCGGCCGTACAAGTACACAGCCCTGAAAGGCAAGACTAGGCTGTGCATTGCCGTGAACGCACGGCGCTTCTCGTTGTGAGCGGTATCATAAGGGCTTCGTGGGCCTCTTTCTATGAAGGCTTTTGCAAACGGTGTCTGGGAACACCGCATAAAGCAGATCGCTCGCTTCGGGTATCACCGCTCGATTATAGCATATTCATTGCTTACCGTCTGCGACGGAGAAGGTTGGATTCGAGTTCACAGTCCGACAGTACAAAATCCAGCCAGTGCGACAAGCAGGGCTTTATTAAAAAGGCCACAGGCCCATAACGAGAACAACCCCTACACAGCGTGACGTATTGGTTCTCTCGTGCCCAGAAGCACTCTCGTATGGAGGTTCAGCGGTGCGCAGCCTGCAGTCTGAACAGCCTTGAGAGAGACTGTGCTTTGCTCGTTGTGGACGTGCAGAACGATTTTGCGGACAAACGGGGAGCGCTCTACGTGACGGATGGAGAACAAGTTGTCCCTCTAGCGAACCGGCTTCGAAGGCTTTTTCAGACAGTGGTGTTCACAAAGGACTGGCACCCCCGAAAACACATCTCATTCGCCAGCTCCCATCCGGGAAAGCGACCCTTCGAACAAGTTGAGGTTTCAGACAACTCAATAGAAAAGCGCGTTTTGTGGCCCGACCACTGCGTTCAGAACACCTGGGGAGCCGAGCTGCACTCGGACTTGGTCGTAGACAAGGACAGAGACATCATCTTTGAGAAGGGTACCACTGTGGATAGAGACTCATATTCAGCGTTTCGGGACGAGACCGGTACGGAAACTGGTCTCCGTCATATCCTGGATACACTCGGCATCAAGCGTGTTTTTATCTGTGGCCTCGCCTATGACTACTGCGTCGGTCTCACAGCTCTAGATGCAATAGCGATAGGTTTTGATGTCCTGCTTGTCGAGAACGCTACCAAAGCGATCACGATCGATGGATTCAAATGCATGAGACAGAAACTTTTACAGAATGGTGTGAGGCTTGTGCACTTTGAGCAGTCACAACAGGCTTTCTTTGAATCTATTTCAAAAGAGGATAACCTGTGAATGGGCATCCATCATGGTTCCGCAATACTTGAGTCGCGTTTCTTGGATACAGAAAAAAAGCTCAACATGCACAGTGCTTTATCCCGGCCCGTTCGCTATATGGATTTTCTGCTTTGATGTTTTTGATATGAAGCCGATGGCTGCAGCTAAAACCCCATGAACCTTGTCTGTCTACAGCAGCTAGAGCATTGACAACCGAGCCGCTGTAGACACAGCTACACGTGAACGGTCCTGGGCCAGACTTTTGCGTCGGAATTTTCACTTCGAAGCGGCGCTCGCATGCTGCGGAATATCCGATAAAGATATGTAAATGAACACCACCAATGATGTTGTTTCACGAGATCAGTAGTGATACAATTTTAGAGCAAGGCTCTTGGAATTAATGAATCGGAACATACAAGGCAGGCCCTCTTATGGAACACAGAAGTTGAACTGGTTTACTAAGATGGATGTTGTGAAGTAATTGGCGGATCCAGAGACAGAGGTGCGTTCCAAGGCGCGATTTAAGGCCAGAAGAAGTTTCATTGGTTTACATTCGTAGACAATCTGAAGGAATCCGTGATTGCGGAGTCCGAGGCAGGCTCCATTCCGAGTCCTCCCCTAGATCATTCTGCACCGACTAAAGAGACACCTTTTCTACCATGATTTTTCGAAGATCCTTACCAATCGTTCAACTATGCAGAAGCACAAGAATAGGAGGCAGTGCAAAAAGTACCGCCTATAGATGGAGAACAGGGCGTTCAGCCAAGAGCATAGGAACGCTCATACGCGCTCTCCGTCTGCGAGAGCCGATCCGGGACTGATCTATCATTTCGACAATGTTCACTGCAATCGGGCACTACCCAGCAAGTGGTTGCCAATGGTATGCACAATCGATCTAGAGCCCTCGATAACACTTTACGAAGAAAAAGACGATTTCGCAACTCCTTTACGCTTTTCTGTACAAGGGCTGGACGAGAGCCCATTGTCAGTTCAGGCCCCGATAGGCTGTGCAACCAGGACTGTGTATAGGCATGCCTATTCGGAACGATACGCGACACCCGTCTCAGACTGAAGCGGAAGGCTGTGCTGCTCGCTCTCTTCCAGTCTGTCAATTTTTGGTAGCGTTTGCAAGATGGACAGCCTCCGCTTTCGAAGTGCGATAATGCGGGTTCACGTGTTCAGACGAGGTTTCGGATTCTTGGGATTCTTTTCGGAGTGGTTCCTGCGACTCACTGCGGCAGGAATTCATTACTTCACCACCGTTTCGATGGTTCGCAATGCACACGAACTAGCTTTCGCGAAATAATAGATATCATCATCCTGTTCATACATATAAGCCTCCACTTGTCTGATTTCCTTACGTGAAGCAAACTCATATTGCACATTCGACAAGCTTTCGAGCTTGTTATTTAAAGACAGCTCGTAGGCAGAGCACTTCGCGCTGCCGCATTGACCAGCTAAAAGTCAAGCAGTCGTCAATTAACAACATCTTCACGAGCTCTTGCCGCGAGCTCACTGAACATGTCACTTCAAATCATCGATTCCGTTCGAAAGACAAGTACGTTTCTCTGATTGATCATCGTTGATATAGGTTTACGCAGCTACAAGACACCTTTACCGGGCTACGCTCCCAGAGGCTCCTGTGTCCTCGGTTCGCATCCAAAAGGGTATCGGACTCGGAAATTAGTCATTGCTGTGATCGCTTCATGTCGAAGGTGCGTCTCTGCTTTGTACGAAGAGAGCGTATACGGGTCGACATTTCTTGACTTGTTCTCCAGCTAGGTTTTCCTTCTGATCGTTTTTCGTCATGCACGATATCATGCTCCCCAAATCGTCTATAGAATGGTACTACGTACGCCCGCGTGTGCTGCGGACGGATGACTCGCTGATGCCATCGCCCACAACAAGCCCCTGATCGTAGGGCATGGCACAGCGCGGGGACGGAAGAGAGCGTTCAGGCGAGCCCTCGGTACCCGTCAAGGAAATATATCGAGCGATCCAGCGAGCGTTCACGCGCTACAGCCCCGCCTTGGAGTGAGATGTGTTGTGGATACAGCGCAACCCCGGACCATTAAAATGCCTCACCACTGCCAGGGTCGTACCCAGGCTATATACAAAGAAGACGAAAATGGCATGCGTCGCGTCTCTCATAACGTGCACCTGTGCGTCAAACGCAAATGAAAACAAGCGGAATCAGCGAAATCGCGACTTGAACCTCGGCACCAACATTCATCGACTGCTGACAACGGAACTGGAGGGACACGAGAGGCCGCCGTGCCCCCCGATGAAGGTATGGGAAAGAATATGGAAATGGTTGGAGGAAAAATCTCCTCAACGCTGGTGTAGATAGCGTCGGGAAGCATCCCAAACTTGATGATGCAAACGCGAGTTCGACAAGTAGACCTATCCACTTTTATTCAGGCACGAATGCAAAAGCGCCCCCCGAAAAATGTGTGGTGGATCATGCGCTATCGCACCGCCTGCGCTCCTGATCCGCGCTGCAAGCCGCGACGCACCGCCGTTCATTTCTTTATCAATTTTATGTGAGGCAGCGAGTTCAACTCTTGAATCGTTCACGAGACTCATGTACCGCGCTGATTATAGAGCTGGACTGCTGCGCAGATCGGGATCCAAGGCTGAAACTTTACAGTCGGGCAACTTGAAAAATGCTCAGGGTGGCGCCTCGGTGCAGCCGGGCCGCGATCCACGCCAGCTTTCGAGCAGCGATCTGCTCAGCCTCGCAAGCAAGGAACAGGCAGCTCGCCAGTCAAAAGTTGGAAAAGGACCTGAGGAGCGCATTTATGAGGTGATGCTTCGGCAGGAGCTAGAGTCTTTTGTTCGTTTGACCGCTTCAGCGCTTCGTCTAGAGGATGAGGAGCTGGTTGAGGTTGATTCTGAGGACTCTTCAGAACAAGAGACGGCTCTGAGCAAAGACGCTGCCGAGCCTGCGCCTAGCCGTGTCCTTGTAGGAACGTTGAGCGAGAGCGTGCTGCCCCCGGTGGCTGGCACGGCTTCTGCACAGAGTGCGGCCTCGGCCTACAATGCCTCGCGGCTGCGAGTCGGGATCATCGGATGTGGGCGTATCGGCCAGGTTCATGCGAATAACTTGGCGAACCGCGTGCCGAACGCTGCGCTTGTAGCTGTGAGTGATGCCATTGAGGATGCTGCCCGACGGGTTGCGGCGCGTTTCCACGTCCCCATCTGGTACACGAATGCGGAGGACTTGGTGCATGACCCTAGAGTGGACGCCGTGGTCATCTGTTCGCCGACGGACACCCACGCACCGCTTATGAAGGAGTGCGCGCGCTATGGGAAGCACGTTTTCTGCGAGAAGCCGATTGCACTCGGCCTTGATGTGATCGATGATGCGCTGGCAACACTGGACGCTGCGAATGCGGACGTCAAAGAGCTGCGACTTCAAGCAAAACGCCCGAGCCTGTTCGTCAGCGGCGAGACTGGACTTGACAATCTAAGCCTGGCACAATTCGAGCATGATCGCCGGCTGCGTCGACTGCAACGCTCAGGCATCCAGCTGATGGTTGCTTTTCAGCGCAGATACGATCAAAACTTCCAACGTGCGCGCCTTGCCCATGACTCCGGGTTTCTCGGGAGGCCACTCAAGCTACACCTTGTGTCGAGGGATCCTGCGCCGCCACCGCTCGCCTATCTCAAAGTCTCTGGCGGCATCTGGCTCGACCAGGCGATCCACGACTTCGATATGGCTCGATTTCTGCTTAAGTCAGAGCCCGTCGAAGTGTTTGCCATGGGCCTTTGCTGCGAACCGAGTATAGCGGAAATCGGGGACTGCGATCACGTCATGACTCAGGTGCGCTTCGCAAACGACGCAATTTGCGTCATCGACAATTCGCGATCGACTCCGCATCAGGCGTATGACCAGCGCGCGGAGCTCTTTGGAACCGAGGGCTGCATCACCGTCGGCAACGAGTATCCCAACACTGCTGAGTATATGGATGTGATTGGACAGCACCGGGACAAACCGTTGAACTTTTTCATGGAACGTTACGCGGAGGCTTATCTGCAGGAGATGCTTGCCTGGGTGCAGCACCTGGTAGAGATTCGAGCAGGCGGCGCCCGCAAAGCCGAAGCGGGAACGGATGCGGGTACGCCTGCTTTGCCGTTGCCGTCGGGCTTCGACGGCCGCATCGCCGTGGTTATGGCCATGGCCGCTAGACGTTCCTTCGAACTCAAAAGACCGGTACGCATCACGGAAATTGACCCGAGCCTGGAGCCGATCATCGAAGCAGCTCGCACGCGTGCTGTTTAAGAATCGCTACCTGCATGTACGCTGGCATGCGTCGTCGATTGCTTGACAGCGTCGGAGCAGAGCAGCCTCGGGGAGCTGCTCTCTGAAACCGATCCATTGTCGCCGGTTTATCCATTTTCTCTGCAGCACTGCGTGGTGGGATTTCTCTGTCCGCACAGCAGTCGTTTGCAAGTATCGTTTGGGGAGGGGGCCATTTCAGTGCGAGCGTGCAGTGCACTGTCCAGGATTTGCCTCTACTGCTCGCACACGAAGGACGACGTGCGTCGGGGTAGATGCTTGGCACCGGTCCACGTAGCGGCCGCGGACGTTGCGCTCGACTGGGTGTCGTACCAGGGCACCTCGTGTACCACCAAAAGAACTGGTTTGGGGGCTGAGAATAATGATCTATGCTCCTAATAGCTGTAAGTGCCAGAATCTTTGGATTGATGAAGTGATAGACCGCCAGACGATGGCGATCTGTGGCGAGCAACAGGATTCTTGCCTGAGGCGTGCAAAATACCTCAATGGACTTTGTTCGTTCCGAATGGATAGATTTTCGTCCTAGCATCAAGCGGTTAGTAAACGAAAACGAGCGTATGATTATCGTAAAAACGGCAACTCCAATCGTTTGGAGGAAATGGCTGCATGGCTTTCAGTGAACTCACAAACTCTGTATGTTGGCGGACTGTTTTGGAAGTATGGTACCGCACGGGGACGCGAACAGGCGATCCACACGTGCACCTGCACTCAGAAATGAAAGGCGATCATCTGGCATCGACGCTGATGGGGTCCTCCTGCCATAAGCGTGTCGAGAAGGAGATGCCAAGCCGATCGCACGGTATCGGCTGCTGCTGGCTGAAACGCCAGCGTGTCTGCTTACAGGCGGTTGCTTCAGCGCCATGCATTTGTCGTGGATGCTCACGAACTGGCTATTCGATTTTAGTTGTGCATGTCCCATGATTCTGACCGGAATTCTGTGGACATAGGTCTGTTGTCGATAACCAGAAAGAAAGCAGATTCCTTTTTTCTACGGTGCCGGGTATGAGAATCTGAAGGAAATCCAGTCGACGCACGACCGCTGTCGTCTGCGAGATATATGGGCGATATGCTTTGTGCTATAGAGTCAGATCCGTGAATCTAACAGGAATCCGCTAAATGCACGACTGCTGTCGGTAACCTGAGGGGTGCATGGTGATCTTTTCCAGAATCGGCTACCTCGACTGACCTTTGGAGAGGCTGCTCGTCGTGGATGCTGATTAGATCAATCTAGAATCCGCTCATATGTTGGAGCTACAGTGGGCATTTGCTGCGATGCTGGATCCACCTTTGAGGCAGTCGTCGCATTGAGAGAGAACGGCTTTGCTGTGCCAAACAGACGTCAATTCGAGGCTGGAGGGAGTGGATGATGCCAACCCGCATCCGTCGAGAGTCCCCTTCGGAAGAGGATTGTGAATGCTCCACGACGGACATGTATACGCATGCATTCTAAGGCACGCTCCCGTCGGCGAAGAGTAACCCGATACGCTCACGCGCAGTCAGTGCGTGGATCGAACGCTCTGGGCCGCAGTGTATGCGGCTACCAGGGCTGTTCCGCCGCTAACGTGCCGGCCAGTGAGCGCGCAAAATGGCAGTTTCTGGCGCACCAAATTCCCAACTGCACTCCTCGTTTCAGTGAATGCTGCCTCCGAAAATCCTGGAAAAAGCCTATTACCTGCTTTGGGTTGCGAAAAGTCATCAAAATGGGCGGTATTTGTAAATCCCTGTGTAGATAAGCGTGTCTAAGCCCAGAATCCTAGCGTTGTTTTCGTGTGAGGAACGATATTTGATTCCAGAATCCGGAGCAGCCCAAAAACAAGCACCGAGTTGTATTGCAATACCTCTAAAGTGCATAATGATCCGTCTGGTGATTACTGAGACTCAGAAAAGCGTTGCGGTTTGCGGCTAATCGGATTCGTTTCGCAGGCATACCATTTCTCCTCCTGGACTTTACCCTGATGAATGTCAGTCTACTCTCGAACAAAATTTCCTAAATACCGACTAACACCATACTTCAGATACTTTCTGGAATACATGCCGTCGAAATTTTCCAGAATCTGCCGTGATTATCATTAGGCGACGCAGAACAGCAAGATATAAATTATTTTAAGACACACACGGTCTCCTCAGCACGTGTCAGGAACGAGTAACAGACAACGCTGGGCCAGCGCTCTACACAACTGATGAAGAAAGTAAATACAGAAAGCCTCATAGCTCTACTCGTTGTAGACTCTAGGAAAGAAAATGAGCTCTTTCCCCTCGTTGAGCGGGAAAGGCCCGCGTGTTTGCTGCCGCTGTGTAACATGACTTTGCTGGAGCACGCTCTGTTCCAACTTGATCGTGGAGGTGTGAGCGACATTCTCGTGGGCGTCATTGACGACAGCGTCTCGTCTGCCCTAGTTATTAGAAATTTTTTGAACGAGTCGCTGCGTTCGCCCCGCATACGTTCCCGAGTCACTCTCCTCGGTGGAGGAACACGCTCCTTTGCCAGTGTTGGGGAAATCTTGCGAGACATCGACACCAATGAAGATCTCCGGCCAAAGGGCGAGTTCGTTGTGGTCAACGTCTTTTCCGTGTTCCGGGTTAACTTCGCTCGAATCGCGGAGGAGCATCGGTATCGTCATGAAAAGGATCCGTCGTGGACGTCAACTTGTCTGTTCTTCAAACGACATCGCGGGGAAAACAAAGCGACCTTTTCTGGTGAGGTGCTTGTTGGTATCGACGAAGAGACGAAGCAGCTGCTTCTCTACCGCAACCTAGACGAATGCGGGACGTATGTAACGGTTAGTGATCTTTCATGGAGTGGAAGGGATCATTTGCAACTTATTCGGGGCATTGTTGATTGCTGTTGCGACATCCTTTCTCCCGAGGTGCTCACCGAATTCAGAGAAAACTTTGATTACGAAGAGCTGCGTGATTACATGAAAAATAAGCTTGACTCGGACTCAAATGAAATTTCTGGGAACAAGTCGTTTTTCTTAGATATAGCGGACAGGGGAGAGTACTGCCGACAGTTGCACGGCATAGCGTCGTATTACCAAGTGGTGAGAGACTTCGTGCATGGCTGGCTTGGTGATCCGGATCTATTGGCTAATTACGAGCGAAGATGCCCACCGTTCCGGAGAATAGCCACCCGTGGACCTGGCGCAAAACTTCTCGCTGAGATATCACGCCATACTGCCGTGTTTGATTCTGGCGAATCATTTGCGGCAGAGGATGCAGTTGTATCTGTGGATTCGCGAGTCACTGACTGCATCATATCCGGAGGAGTCCATATATCAGAGCAGTGCGTCCTTGAAAATGTTGTAATTTTGGATGGGTGTGTGATTGAGAAAGGATGTGTAGTCAGAGATGCGATTGTTGGTAGAAATACGAGGATCATGCAGGGCTCTCGCATCGATGGAGGCTGTGTCATCGGCCCTGACGTTGTGCTTCCTGAGTGCACCCATATACGTGAAGGCAGAGCTGTCTTCAAAGCGAGTCGTGACTCCTTGAGAGTTGGAGAAGAGGTTGGTGTCGTAGAACCCGAAAACGAAACTACAAATGGTAGCACGAACACAGAAGACGTATTTGGAGGGCTGGACGAGGCTGAGACGCCGACTTTTTCTTTTGGATGTTCGTCGAACACGGGAAACGAAACAAAGCACATTGGAGTTACTGACGCGCACAATAAGTTAACATATAGCACCGAGCAAAGATTTTCGCACGACAGGAAAAGTCTCTTCGAAACTGTTGGGGGTGTTGGGGATGACTTTGAGTCGATAGCAAGTTCATCTCCTGAATCAGAATCAATGAATTCGTTCGCGGATGAATGCAGTTCATTGAGTCCGACTGGATTTGTTCGGCAAACAAATACAGACCAAGCTTTCACAAGTGAGCTAGTAGACACTGTTTTGCGCGCACTCCATAACGATAGCTCAGTGGACGATACGGCCGTTGAACTAAGTAGCCTAAGACTTGCCTACGATCAAACACCGGAAGATATTAGCGGGAACGTTGTACTGACACTTGCGAAGGAGTCGCTTACACGAGCAAGTTACTCTGGCTCTCAATCCGTGAGTCTGCTCCACACATATCTGAATCGATGGAAAACCCTCATCCAGCGTTTTGCTTCCTCAAAAGAGGCTCAAATGCGGATTCTAGATTGCAGTGCGTCATTCAGCACAACGCATCAGGTCCCGAAGAATTTTTTTTCATATGTTGTGCAGATGCTCTATGAAGCGGATATTGTTACGGAAACTACAATCACTGAATGGACAGGGCGGGGCGAAGGATTCATAGCGGCACGACTTGGAATTCCAGAAGCAGCGGCTGGGGAACTTTTAACCGAACTAGGTCCATTTTTGAAATGGCTATCTGAAGCTGAAGAGGAAGATTAGTCACAGAAATCAACCCAAATTCGCGTGCGAAATTGATCAGAGCACTGCGCGCAAATTCGCACAAATGATTTCGATTTAAACCCAACTGCGCCGGATTCTGTGGTGTGTGTTATTCCATTCCGAGAGCGCGATCTAAATACGCCACAACACTGTTTTTCATGAGCATTGCTTCGCGAAGCACAATTCTGCGCATAGCTTCGCGGAGTATGTAGGATGTGTCGTTATCCTTTTCGCACGTAAATGAAGAGAAAAAGCTGCTTTGCCGGAGCCGTGGGTCGAGGAAATCCTGTGCGCAGGGGGTTAAGTGAGTTCCGCCGAGACGAATTACTGTAGCGCCTCGCTCAGGGTCTAGTGCTTTCTGAAGCGAACGCGAGTCATCGAGGATGTCGTTTTTGAAGCTCACAATAAGCGTTTGACGAACTTTGTATAGTGTGCGAATTGCCTCCATGACCTCGATAGGATCAGGGTTGAATGCAAAAGCTCCATCAGCGACCTCAGCAAATAAAGGTGGAATCTGCTGCGCAAGCGCCCTTGACTGTCGCACCAAGGCGAAAAGCTCACTATCCCGAGAACCAGGAAACACAACATCTGTAACAGTGTCGAACAGCGTGTCAAACGTCGCAGGCCCATCGATCACGAGCCGCTCGATCACATCAGAGAGTTCACCAGTTTGGGCAACCGTCTTAACCACGGGCGCGATAAACTCTCTGAATAAAGGTATCGCATCTTCCGCGCGGCGATTATTGAATGCAATCAGTACGTTGGCAGCCTTGTACCCATCCGCGTTGCAAAACAAGCTGCCTCCAAGGGTGTGCAGGAGAGCGCCCAGGGAGTGACCGATTCCAACAACAGGGATGGGACCGTAATCGAGAGCGAGCATTCCCGCTGCTGCTGAAAACCTGGTGAGCACGTCATCCATCGTCCAAAGGTGATCGAAAGAAAGTCGGTACGGCGTCGCGACTACTACGAAGCCCTCTAAAGCCAACTGTTCGAGAAACCATCGATACGCAACCTGCGGCGCGGCTCCAACGAAGGCACCCCCGAGAAAGTGAACGAGAGCTTTTGGTGGCAGCGGTGTACCGTTTCCAGTCCCGTAGGCTGTGCGCTGTGAGGGCCTTACGATAACGTGCGGAGGCCTGAAAATAAAGTTTCCCGCATATTCCTCCCAACCTCGTGTACTTGGAGTGTTGCCGGCACTCTTGTCAGTGTGCACCAAAAAATACCTTGGAGCACGTGGACATTGTGAACCAGTAAAAAGCTTCCCGCAGACTCTACGATTTGCCGAACTCCTACAAAACAAATGCCTCCGAACTGACAAGCCATTTAGAGTGGCGAACCCAAAAGCTGCACCTTTGCAGCTCATGTTGTGAGATGCTTATCGGATTCAGCTTACTTTCAGTGCCAGAGGGTCGAGTAAGGAAGCCTTAGATTGGGCCACGTATCCGGTCTACTCGCCCAGTTGCATAGCAAAAAGGCCTCAGCTGTGTTGTAACAGAAAAATTTTACACCAATCCGTTGACAACTGGACAACACGATATCCAGTAACACCCGTCTTGTCCCGGAACACCACTCGGTTTGAAACTTATGTGAAAGTAGAATGTCAAATATTAAAGCGTCTTATAATTGTGCAGCCTCCGGTGCGGTGAATCGCGCCGAAGTCCCGGTCGTCTTTCAGCGTTCATCTTTGGAAATCGATGCGCATACGGCGATATGCACTTCTCTGTGGCACGCAACAGATGCCGAAGCGACGTGTGCATCTGCCAAGGTGCTTGTGTTGCTGGTATGCAACAGCATCAGAACCCTATATCGACGCCGATGGATTCGCTTCCCAAATATGTATGCCGAGCAGCTACTTGGCGAGTGTCGGTCCCAGTTTTGAGCTGTTTTCGACCAGTAAGTTGGATTCGACGCAATTGCAAAGCGTGAAAGTTTCAAGAAAATGCGGATGCAGGATACTCAATAGCAGCAACGAAAGCTGATTTGCCGTGTCGGCAGGAAGTTTACGGTTGCAGATCGCTCCAGATGCGCCAGACTTCCAGGCCGTAGATGCAATCCGTTCATGCTAGTCCTTTAGAGAACTCCTGGCGATATCCATCCACATCTCACCCAAATTTGTGAGCGCTGCCACCAGTCTATGCGCCCTAACTGGAAGCTGCTTCTTCTCCAGCTGTGAACCAGAATCATAGCTGTGCAGTGCTCTCTTAGATTTGTGTTTAATCCGGCCAGAACCGGCGAGCAGGTACAAACAGTCTCGTAATCCAAATGCCAACGCTTCGCGCCGAGCGTCTTTGTGAGCAGGAGCCTCCGCGTGGAAGCGCAAGTGAGGTGACCTTTTCGGCGCTGTCGTGGCTTCTACATCCGAAGCACAATGGCCCCAAGTTTGCCTGTAAAATTCCCCCGCTCTATCGTTAAGCCGACGAGTTCGACAGGAAACTCGCGTTTTTCCCGAAATCACCGGATACGGGCAACCTTGAAACGGGCTGCTTATCATTGCACCGACGAAACAGTGACTCTTTCGGAGACTCCCAGACATTCGTCCGCATCGCCTGCTTCTAAAATCCATGAGCACGTTCTGCTCAAGACTTGGGTTTTTGGATTAACTCAATCCAGTAGTCGTCCGGGTCCCGTACGAAAGCAATTTCGCCCACGTTCTGGAAGGGTCCCGGTTTCCGCGACACGACATAACCCGCTTTCTCTACGGCAGCACAGCTCGCGTAGAGATCATCCACGAGAAAGCCGATGTGCCCGTAGCCCTTACCCGGCTCCGTATTCCCGTTCGCGTACTTGAAATTCGGATCCTTCTCAGTTCCCCAGTTATGTGTAAGCTCAAGAGTCGGGTACTGACGCGAGAAAAGCCACTTTGCCCGCTCTGGTTGTGGAGCATCTTCCGCCGGCACTGTTGGATCCTTCTCCAGTGCGAAGAAATAGAGGGAGAATGACAGTTCCGGAAAGTCGAAGCGCGTCAGAAAGTTCATACCCAGCGCTTCGTAAAACTGCCGCGACTTTGAGGGGTCCTTGATTCGAAGCATCGTCTGTGCGAACACGGCGTTCTTTCCGAGAAACCCCCCGTTAAAGCTCATTTTACACCTGGAATTTCTACCTTTCGAAGTCTTATGTCTAGACAAAACCCTTGTTGTTTTTCGCGAGAAAAACGCGCTCTCGACTCTACCTGCAACGAACATGAAGCGCCTTGCCCGCAAGCCCAAAGATCCGGCTTGAGATCCGCAGAACGCCCGCGGCAAACCGCCACCATAGCCTTGGAGGTGCTGGGGCGGCGCATGCATGCTGCCGCAACCGGTTGGGCATTTCTGTACAACTTTCTGAAACACGTTGCGCCCCACTTCCAGCATATTACCCTCTGTCAACGCACTGAATCAGCAGCTATGGACTACAGACTTGCAACGCTGCTCAGTTCTCGCGCACTGTTTGCCTCTTTCCAAAGAAGATAAAAGTTCCGGTGTTTCTCGCGAACCCAACAATCGAGAGCGGCAAGAGGGGCAATTCCTGGGGAGATATGTCGCCGCCATCGAGTGCTCGCTTTTTGGGTCGCACGTCGCATTCTGTGCAAGACGCACATGGATACTTCATATGGGTGCCCCGCTCGTATTGCCACGCAGGTCTTGCGTACCAGTCCACAAGCCAGATTTCCGTAGTTCAGCGCTGGGCGTGGGCCACATGCACAGAGCACCAAACCCACGATTCTATTCTGGGTTTCAGCGAGATGCGTCCACTCTGTGGGGTCCGCGCTTCCGCTTTAAAGTATCGCTTTCGATGAGTTAGGAATGACACTGGAGGTGACAGCATTGATGTCACGGAGCGCATGGAACGGATGACGTTGCAGGAGACCTGCTGATGCGGGCCGCCGTATCGACCTTGCTATATGCGACGAACCAAATCCTCATCGATATCCACGCTGGATCTCGTGTTTCTAACGATTTCGCCTTCCGAGAGCGAACCTTCGTTTCTGGTATTCGGTGGACTCCGCATCACTCTATATTCGCACCAGCTCCGGATGGTCAGCGAGCATTTCGCTCTCAGTAAGCGCATCCTCGCGCGACTGAGGTGACCAGATGACCTCCACGCCCTGGAGTGCTTCCCGCGGAATGCTGCTAAGTGCCCGAAGCGCCGCCTCGATGTCACTGCTTCTTCGAATCTCTGTAGGAACGCCTGGAACTCGGCCAGACGCAGCAACAATCAGTGTGACCACAATAAACTCGGGTACTCGCATGTCGGTGGAGTCGCGTTCTGCAACCTCCCGCTTCCGAATATCAATCTGTCCACCAAAATTTGATAGTGTCTCTTTCTCAAGTTTCCCGCGTTCAGCGAAAGACTCGTTGTTGAATGCAGCCTCTGCCTCTGAGAGCGACGTGCGCTTCACGTTTACGCTCCCGAAGCTCCAATAGTCAGGGTTTCGGTACAACGCAAGCGTTGTCTCCTGTAAGACCTGCTGCAGGCCGACAATAGAATCTGTCTTACTGCGGAGCGCAATTTCTTCCAGTTCCTGTTGCAGCTCGCGAGCTGTACTGAGCAAACCCACCTTAAGCTTCACCAGCGTCGTCTGTTCTGCGGCCAGTTCACTATCCTCTGCGGCAGCAGAAACTCCAAGACCGGATAGATTCGAGCTTAGAGCACGTGTGGCAAACGCGAAGAATGCCGCCGCAAGAAGAAAAGTCCCTATTCCGGTGAAACCAAACGGCACAACCACTGGCCCGAAGTAGAAGGGCGTGAAAGGCAAAACTGGTGCCGGGCTATAATAATATCCTCCAATACCTCCGGAAGGAGCGCGATAGCTCCGAGGCGGTGCGCTCCGAGTCGCCGGTGCCCGGAAAGTCGAGCCACCGACCCGACCGCCTCCCTGTGCTGCAAGTGCGGCTTCTGGGTCACCAAGCAGCGGAGAGATTGCAACAGCTAAAGCCGCGAGCACGGCCGCACCTTTCGCAAGCAGCGGTTGCAAAGGGCGTCGAGGAGCGCCCGCCGCGTTGCCTCGAAGTGTGAGAGCGCCGCGGGCTGTTGAAGAGGCGACAAGAGCCCTACCAGCCGCATGCCGTCCCGCAGTAGTGCCCTTCCACAGCGTGCTGCTCCTCGAATGCAGACCGTGTGCGGGTATGACACGAAACTTTGCACTTGTAAACAGCGGATAGCACACGAAAGCCATAACAGTCAAAAACGTCTACTTCCAAACGAGAGGAATTTCACGTGGCAATGCCGTTTAACGCTCAACGAAACGAAGAATGTTCTTTGGTATTTCGAAGCGCTTCGCGTGGGAGTGATCCCGTTACTGGCCGGTGTTCTCAGCGCGCCCGCTCCAGAGAGCCAGGCTCACCTCGGGGATGCGGTGCCCGTTCCGCACCTGCCGAGGTGATTGCAGCCCAATCGGTCTGTACGTTTTGTACATGTTATGTGATTGGTGGATTTATTCTCCGTCATGTTGATGAATGAAACACAATTATAGTTTAACAATTACCCACGAACATTGTTCGTGGCGAAGGTATATGGCAGTCCAGCCTTGATACAGTGCAGACCGTACCATACAAGTGGCTTGCTCCAAGCGGGGACTTAATCGCCGCTCTGATGATACATGATGTTTTTCATCGAGAGTCCGCAGCATTCCAGCACAATACCCACACTGCATACTAGACAATCGAATCGAAGCCTCGCCTGAAGTAAAGCCGATGGACGCTCCTGAAGAACGATGCAGTTCCAGATGCTGATATGGGCGCTCAAATCTCGGTTCAGAAACTGGACGCGTTTCCCGTTCGTGATGGAGACACTCCACAGCAAGCGTCTCAACTGTGACTGCATTGCCACCTGGAGCTCAATGAACTCAGCGTACGTCATCTCATACGTCCGGCTCCGTTTCCAAATCGTCTTCACCGGCAGTTTCAGCGTGTCTCTGTGCTCGCGATGTGAGAATCTCGTCCAGAGCTCATCACTGAGAGCACTTCAGTGCCGGTTCGCGGATCCCTTGTGCGTTATCGACGACAGTCCAGTTCTGCAACTAGAGCGCGTCCACCGCCATGCACTATCTTTATAAGATGCAACCGATCGGCCAGTTCCGTTTCCAGTGCTTTGAGGAAGCTTGCGAATACCCGCCTCGTGCCCGCGAGCGGTTGCGACTGTTGGAGACTCGAGCTCGGTCCCGCGTTCCTCTGCCATGGCTCGTCCGCATGAGCGATCTAGTCGCTCATACCCGTTATGAATGAGGTGCGCAGTGCATCTCCTTTTGCCCGATACCGTACTCAGCGCGTCACGACAGGTCTTTACGTCGTCATTCCACGAGTTGGTACGCCTGCTGGCGTCGTTCACGTCCAACTCCGGATGATACCGAGCCCTGGAGGCGTGGAGCAGACTCATTTGCTTTCCGTTCAGGTCTCTGGCGCTGCCCCTTGACGAACGGGCACGGTGACGGCCACGGGCCCTCAGAAACGGCATCCACGCGCACCACGAAGCCTTCACGTTCGTTTTCCGTAAGCGGTTGAATATGAGTCTCGTTGCTCCGAGCGGGCCGGGGTTTCGCAAAGTGCATGCTGTTTGATGTGCCGTGCGCGTCTCCAAGGCCCCTGTACATCGCTTTCCGTGTTTTCCCAGCCAACGAGTGGCGATGAACGAGCCCCGCCAACGCTCTGCCCGAAATAGGTAGAGTGCCCCCTAGCTGCTCGTGCGCACACATCGTAGACCACTGAGGACGTCGTACACCACACAAATATGCACGGTGGTATCATGGGCTTTGCCCCGAAATGCGGGGACCGTATCGACCAGGGGTTTGAGGATGCAAAGGCGCTCACATACGACCAGAGGGTCTGCCTTGCGGTGGAGCGCCGCGTTCGCGAAAACCTAGCAGCGCAGGATGCAAGTTAGGCCAGGTCAACGCCCGCGTAATCCTTCCGAGACGACGTGCCCAGCTCCGGAACAGAAACCTACTCCATGAGCTCGGACGATCTGGAGCGTCGCTCGTTCTCGATGCGACATCTCCGAGCTCGCTTCCAGCACCTTCTCGTCCGGAGCCAGCTCGTCACGTGCCTCCACGGACATCCCAAGAGCCGCTTGCGCCAGTCGCCAACATTTCGTCGACCACAACGCTGTGGACGCAACGAGTACAACGCCTCTGGGGTGCGCCTCGTAGGGTAGTCGCCACGGACCCGCTCTTGGCTATGGGTTCTGAGGTTTGGGCGAAACTTTTCCTGGCACCTACGCTGTCCATGGGCCGAGCAACCATGTAGTGCAGCGCAGAAACGGATGCCGGCCAGCGTGTGTATTGGTCAATGACACCACGAACAGGCCCGCTGGCATGCTCGGAGCGGAGCATTCCTAGTGCTGTCGCTCGAGGGTTTGACCAAAAACTCCCTACGAATGCGAACTGCTGGCAGCGCTGCCTCCGAAACCCTTGCCGCCAGTTGCTGCACGAGGGGCATCCATTCGGGGAGAGCTAGGCGAGCCTTCCGACAACCACATTCTACGCAATACCTAATAGCCCTGGGCATCTCACGTACTCGGAGAATTTTTTCCGTTGATGCGTTCTGGCACCGACGTGTAGGCGCTGGTTTCGGACTGGCCTTTCCAGTGCGCAGGGTTTCCTTCCTGACTCTCGTCGTCCTCTTTGCGGCTGGGATCCTTCTCTTTTCTGTCAGGTGGTTGCTTCGCATTCTCCTTTCGTGGCGGGTAGCGTGGATGTGCACGTCGCACTCCACTTCCATTTTCTTACACCGGCAGTCAGACCCCGTGGATGGACGGCGAGCCAGAAACTTGCCTCCCCGCGTATATATGTTTCCGATCCCGCAGCTGCCTTTTCCACGAGCTTCTCAGCCGCGAGCGTGCCAAACGCCTGAGGCGCGCTTTACCGATCCCTCCCCGCAGGCGACCCGCTCAGCACCAGAGTCGTTCAACGCTGACGAAGACTGAAAACGACTTGTCCAAGGACAGCGTCACGCATCCGAACGTTTTTATGGAACGCATCCTGAGGGAAAGCATGGCGACGGAGGACAGAGAAGACGCTTCCAACTGGACTGAGCGTGCACTTCCAGGCTGAAGCGAACACCAGCTCAACGCTCGTCTCAGCTGCGCACTCGTGGAGCGCCTTTGCGTCACAGCAAGCAACGTGGCCTACCCGCAGGACAGAATAACGCGAGAAGCAGAGGCCACAGAGTGCTTCGAAGAAGGGAGGCAGACGTGTTGCTTGAGTCTGCCTGTTTGCCGATACTCAGGCGACTACATGCTTGAATCGCCGCTGGGGCTGATGTTGTCGTCGCTACGCTCACCGGTCGAGGCTTTACGAGAGGCGTTTCGCACCGCTTTGCGTATCCACGGTTAGATCCTCCGTTTTTCACGAAAGAGCTGTTACCGAGAGAGGCGAGTACCGGTCGCTCCTGTCATAAGCGTTCGCCTATCAATGCGGAATCGAAAATGTCCAGCTCGTGACGGTCTCCTGGGGAGGCACCTTTTTTTCTCTTTGCCCATCCATGTCGCTTCACCACGGCTCATATCAAGGGTATGGAAAATTCGCATCCAGTGGGTTTTCTGATACCGTTTCTTTGAGCATCTGTGCATCGTACTGAGAAAGGCGGTTCACCCTGCTGTTGACCATGTGACAAGTGACTCGAGAAGCCGCGTTCTCGAAGTCTAGCACTGGCAGCAAAAAGCTTTTCCGAGGCTTTCCCAGACTCTAACCGACACATTGCTTTGTTTGCATGCCTGCAGGAGAAGCAAACAATACAGTATGTGGCAGTACTGGTGTTTCAGAATTCACTGCTCGGATTATATCGGGAGTTCGAATACGTCCAGCGTTGACAAGGCCACTTCGAAATCTGAATCGCAGTAGAGCGGAATCAAGGCCTCCATTCTGCCTTGTTCTAAACTTAAGTATGGAAAGAAAAGATAAAAGGCGCAAAGTTTTTGTTGGAGGCCTCTCATGGGACACCAATGAGGCGTCTCTTGTTGCTTACTTTGAACGCTTCGGTAAAGTTATTGATGCGGTGGTGATGCGAAATCGTGAAACAGGGCAACCTCGAGGCTTCGGTTTTGTAACTTTCGAAGAAGAGGGAGTGGCGCAAGCTGTGGCGTCCTTGGAGCGTCACGAACTGGATGGACGATTAGTGGAAACGAAAGTTGCTGTCCCAAAGTCTGCTGAAGATCCTGAGTCCAACACTGTTGTGGACACTGCGCAACGGTATGGGCCATCCGGGCTGGGCGAGAAGCCGTCACGAAGGGTTTACGTGTCGGGACTTCCCCAGGCTTGTACTGAGGACGATCTGCGCGCGTTCTTTTCACGCTTCGGATCACTCGAAGCTGTTCGAGTGGTTGTCGACCACCATACAGGGCTCTCGAAGGGTTATGGTTTCGTTGTCTTCGCAGAAACTGCTGCCTCTCAGAAGGTACAGTCACTCGATCCAGAGAACTTCGTAATTAGAGGGAGCGCTTTCCGAGTCAAAGTAAGATGTTGCCGAAATAACGAATCATCGCGCCCGAAACATACAAACGGGAACCCCTGGGGACTTACTCCCGACGCACTCCTGAAAAGCGCTCATGACGGAAATCATCAAGGATACAGTTTTGACGACATGGGTGTCGATACCGGAATCGTAGCCCAGTATCTTCATGCTGTCTATGGTGGTGACCTTGCATACTGGGAAAAATGGGCGAGAGAGGTTCGAACGGCGAATCGGCCCCAAGATGAAATGCTCTGACGAAGAGGCCGAGCGTTTCGGATGTACACCATCGATGAGCATGTGGACACATCCACGCGGGGATCGGCAGCCTTGAACGCACATCCATACATGCACTCTATCAATAGGAATGCGCACAGGTCCGCTCCATAATCGAAAGCTTCGAGCCGACGCCCATAACCTTACGACCAAGCCGTTCGGCTGCTGTGCGTGACCGCGGCAGCGGCTCGTACAGTTTTGCAAGGAGCCCTTCCGCTATTCGCGGCACCGCAAAGGTCACTTGACTGGTACCACTATCCCCGCCGACAGAACCACTGTGCTGGTACTCGCGGGACTTCAAGGCATCTGGAGGTCTCTCATCATCTTTTACCTGGGTATCGACAAGAATTGCATACGATGGATTCCGATACGATGCATCGATCGAGCAGCATTACAAATTTATTGCGCATCTTTTTGAAATCCTGATGCTGCCCGAGACGGCATTTTGTTGAATCTCGAGTCTTGCTGCATTCGAATGAAGATTATGCTGGTGCTGTTACTCTACAAGATGTTTCGAATAACGAGAAAAGCTCTCGTACTATCCAACCTGAAGAGTGTTAATATCATTCGCATAGAACTGAACACTTGGCGCCTCCTGCATGTAGGGGCGCGTGCGAGCGGGTTACCCCCGCAGTCGAGAGAATATTAGTTTTAGAGCCACTGTAATACCCCGGCTGATCAATCGACCATCTACCTGTTTTCCTAATGCGTTTGGCTCGCTCTGAACAGCCAGGCGCTTCCTATCGATAAGGATGTGATCGATGCATGTTGTTTTGATGGACCCCATACAAACCTGGATTTCAAGCATAAAACACGTCCCACGGAGAGTGCTTTACCTGCAACTTCTAAGATCGGGTAGGCGCTGCATATGGTCCTCTTTCGCCTCGGTTTATTTTGGACCGACTGTTGCTGTTTATCAGGAAAGGCTCCCGTTGTATCGATTTTTGGTCTGCACAGCGCATTGTGAACTGCATCGAAGAGTTTCGTATTCTTCCATGCTCTGACGTCTTTCTTTGGATCCCGAGTTCCCCCAGAAAACCAACGTGGCTTTGAATCGAATCTGCTGGATGCTGCGCGAGGAACGTTGAACGCATGCCAATCTTCCGCTTGAAACCTGGATGAGTAGAAATGTGCTCTGGATCAGATATTGCACATTACGCCAATTCACTCGGGTACTTGGCTGCAGCATATGCTGCCACGGTCAGTATGTTAACTCTGTGTCGTAAGCGAGTTGGACGAGTGCTAGCTTTATTGCTTTACCTACTTATATATGTGCTCGGCCGAGAAAATGGATCGTGTGCAATTGCTCCACGAAATCAGGGGTTTCCGTATGATTTCAGCCTCGCGTTTCCAAACTGGCCAGTACCTTTCTGTTCCGAGCGTTTCAGGAACAACTCTCGCGGAAGTTTCAACCTTGGACTGCATCGCGTCAGCAAGGAAGTCACAGCGTATTCCTTGCCTGAGAGTGCTGTCGTTTACCGCGATACAGAAGAGCGTGGTGGCTGGGGGAACCTGTTGCTCGGCCTTGCTTCCGCCTACGTTTTGTCCGTAGCGCTGGACAGACCGTTCTTTATAGACAGCGAGCGCTTCACACGCGCTTTCACCCCAGGGACAGCAGCCGCGTTATGGAATAAAAGCTTTGACAATGCGTCGCTGTTCCCGCGTGCGGAACGATCTTTGCTGCGGGTTCGCGAACATGATTCTATTTGGCAGCGGATCTCGCCCGGGTATGACCAGCCATACAAGATGATCGCTGAAGAGAATCCGACTTGGTGGTTCAGAGGTCGGCGAGGAGTCAGGCCTCCATTTCTAGATGTGGAGAGCAACCAATGGTTTGTGCCGGCTCTATATCTGAACCGGCATATACGACCGCTCTTGTGTGAAAAGCTTGGCGCAGCCGCATTTCGTAGCGTCTCCAATGGAGTTTGGATGCCGAACGCTTTTGTACAGAATATTCTGGACCATTTTTGTGCGCGCACAGGCATGCTTTGCACAAGCTCTCCCATGCCGGGTGCAAAGATCGTTGGGGTGCACATCCGGAGCGAGGCATCCGCACCGCGTTGGCGGCGATATCGCCTGCGGGGACACCGATTGTACTCAATGCTCCGCTGTATCTCTTTGGTGAAGAGCAACTTGGAGGACCTTCTCAGCCCTAGTAGTGTGTATTTATTCATCGCATCTGATTCCTCGCCCCTTCTCAGCGAGTTACAAAAATTAGAGAAAGCGCCACACTTCCACTTTTTGGATCCCGAGCTTGATGCGCGCGATGTTCCCGCAGATATTCGTGAGCATGTCATAGCGGCTGCGGAGCTGATTTTGCTGAGTCGCTGCCACTACCGAATTCTGTCCGTGGGTTCCACTTTTGGCATGTGTGCTCACGCGATGAGCACATCGGTAGCGTGGCCCTTTGTGCTCACAGAGCGTGGTGACTGCGTCCAGGTTCCGCGTAACGAGCCATGCCAGCATCACCTGTACCGTCTGCGGCATATGAACGGCATTGAAACAATTGCCGATCTCACAAATGATATGCGTTTTGGCTGCATAATTTGAATGTTGCCTGCCATTCAGAATAGCTGAATTTTGTAGGGAGAGCGGTACCCAGAGGCAACGGCCCACTGTTTCAAGGATTTTTTGCAATTCGGATCTCGACCGAACCTCACACGGGAGACGAGGTTTCCGGTACGGCACTCGTTTAGAAGAGGACCTCGAAGGAATAGGAAAAAGGCTTGGCACCATCGTTGGGATCGGATTCTCGGCCATTGAGAGTGAGAAGGCTGGAAGTATCCTCCTCCTCCTCGCCGGATTGAGCTCAAAGACAAACTGTATCTTGAAAATGAGCAGCAAGATTCCACGTTGTTCCTGTTGGACGGAGTGATTTCGATCCACTGGCGGTCGGAGATGCTCCATGGTCGTCGACGGAAAGTCACTTGCGGTGTTGCCAGTGCGCTCATCACAAAATCGATCCGCTTTGTGGCGGGTCCGAATATTCTTTCACCTCAAGTGTGATCGACCTCATGTGCGTGTAATTAAATGCCTTTTCGCGGTTTATAGCAAATGAGCTCGAAGTACGTCATTTTTAAAAAGTACAAAATCCAAGTTAGAGGTATGGATATGGAAGTCAGGGATTTTGCAGGGCCGTCATTGCCTGATGTCGGAGAAGCTTCAAGATCCTCCCGTCCCTGACCATCGAGTGAAGACGAGCAAGTGACGAAGAGGATGAGGAAAAGAGGAGGCAGGCGAGAAAAGTTTTTCGCCCGAAGAGACGATAACGAGAGTACAGTGGCACAGAGGGCGCTTGTTCTGCGATTCCTTGCAGTAGTGACCTCAACCAATCGCCATAAACCCAAGGATTTTCTAAGCCGAGAATAAGACGCCGCCGTCAATGTCAGACGATGTGTGGCGCTGAAGACGAGACGCGAAGAGCTGACGCAGGCAAACTTTGTGGGACAGCCTCTCAGGGTCGACGTGTAAAAAGAGAAACTGAGGCCGATAGCAGGAGACCGGCCAAAACATGCTGGGAGGCGTATGTGATTGGGTGTGTATAGACACTCTAGGGTCCTTGAAAGTTTATTGTTTTACTGAACATACATATACACCAGTGTCAGGTTAGAACAGAACACTGAACAGCTCGGTCTGCTCATACCTTTTGTTTTTCTCCGAAAATGTTTCAGGTGAACATTGTCGACATTCGAATATCATGACTAAAATTTTACGGATTCATACGTAGTTTAAGAGTTCTCGATTTTCTTTCCGGAGTGGTTCCTTCCACTTTTTACCGGTGCAATTCGTTGAATGACCGAAATTAAGCAGAACCGCGATGTCGTAAAACAAGGGTCTGTAAAATATACGAAATCATGAAACAGTTCATACGTGCATCCCTTCACTCTTCTATTTCCCTTATGACCAGGATGCTCGAATTCCGGAGTGTTCAAGAACTCGAAAGTTCTGTTTCTGGGCTACACGTGGGCACAAGATTCGCTCTGATGGATAGACGAGTAAAAAACTCGATGTCGTTCATTCACGTTTTGCTCACAAGCTCATGCAGAAAATTCAATCAAATTACCTCTTCACATGATTGATTCATTTTGCACGTCGAATCCACCTCTCTTCATTACCATCAGTGAAACGCCATTCAAATGTGGCCCAGTTACTCTTACGAGATGTGCAGTTACAGGATCCCGTCTGTTCTGCTTGCATGGAAACGGATGCTGGGTTCGAACTCCAATCACTGCTGCAATCATTTCCATGGAATTCTACGTCTCCGCTTTGCACAAAGTGAGCCTGGAAGGAGCAAACTTGGTCGACATTGTCAGCAACCTAGATTTTCCCTCCGATACTCGTTTCACTCTGAACAACATCGCGTTCTGAAATCCTACTCTGTTTGGAAAACAGCAGAGAACAGAGGATTGGATATTTCATGCACTGCCACATAGTCTAGAGGGCCCGACCCGATTGAAGACGTCTTCAAGGCCGCGAAGAAAAGATTCAGGAAAACAAATACAAGCTTCAGAAAATCGGATTGTTCTCGACACGAACTGGTGCTCGGTGCTATGGGCTCCGCGACTGAACACGCTAAGTTCTTCGGCACTTGTTTTCCTTAAATCTTTCCCATTTGCGGATGGCGACTTTCCAAGGCGGTATCAGAAAAAGATGAACAAGGCATGAGGAACGTATATCTCAAGCGTGTTCATCAAAAGAAGCACCCAGCACAGGGACATATGTTCTGCCGGGGAAAGCTCTGGAAGAGCAATTATTCAAGCCTCGAGCGCTTTGAAAAGATGTGCGTACCGGTTCTCCAGAAATATACCCCTCTCAGACAGGGCACCTTCATGTACGAAGCCTATGGTCCGCCTGTTCTCTCGCACAAGCGGCTGCGCTCATTGCTGCTCTAATCCACGTCGGTCTGAAGGGAATGTTAAGAACGTACTTTCTCCTGCCTAAACGCATAGCTCGCATACGGGAAAACCTCTCTCATTTGTAGCTAGCTCCCGCAGTACTCTTAAATCACAATCAAGACTGTGTAACTCGAGAGTGCTGAGGACCTTCTAAAATTTGGCGACTTCAGGGAGGCGCTATGGACTCAGACAGCCTTTTTAGTTGCCATTCTCCACGAGTGCATACAAGATCCATCTCCTCGGCTGCGTGAGTTCATCGACGCTGAATGCACTTCAGTTTCCCAGCTGAATGCATTCATAGCATTTGAAACTCTTCGTATCTTGGTAACTCAAAGCGGCCAGGATAACTCGTAAAGCACTTGGGAGTCGATATGCACGATGATCCGGCACCATGCCAGAGCCCATCTCTACCAGTACCTCAAGCATGCGATAACGTAAAGACATATGGTTGACGACTTGGTCACGACTCTGGACAGTAAGAAGGAGCTCTTTATAACCAGCGCTTCGTCCAGACTCATCGGCTCGGAGAATAGAGAGCATGATCAATCGCTGTCCGGTATTCCCCAAGGCCCAGGTGCCGAGAAGCAAATGGATTTACAGCTCGGAAGTAGCCTGCACAAGAATGCGATGGCGCTTATGCGTCTCTAGTGCTGTTTGAGAGGATACGAGGAAGAAATTTTCACCTTATATAAAAGCATCTCTGTCTTCCTAGTTTCCAGTCCTCGAGGAGCCCTATTTGCGTCTCGTTATGGAGGCACCGCCCGTGCGAGAGCGGAGCGGAAGGGGACGATACAGAACACGAGCGTCAAAAAATCAAAGGTCGTGATGGACGATATGAAGTTCATCAAGCAAACTACATTCTTATCTCTCAGAGCTGCGGAGACCCTCAAGAACACCTGGAAATAGGAAAAGCGACGGATTGCAGAGAAAGATGCGAAGGGAAAGAAAAATCGGAGGAGCGGGGTGGTCGCACGACTGCTTGGAAACTTATTGTCCTTTTCCGTGTCCCTTGGCATCGATTTATGCATTCTCATCAATTCAGAATGTCCCCCACTCTTAAAGGCCCCCTCGGACCTCAAAGACACACTGTTCAGAAGGCAAAAACGCGGAGAAACAAAGGGCATTCAAATACATGGATTCGCGAACTTGTTCCCCGATATAATCCGTATCGGCCTGGACAGAGGGAGCGCGGATAATAATTTCTGCGCCTCCGTGAGACTCGAAAGAGGGTCTGACCCTGAAGCCTCCCCGTCATAACTGAAGAGGATCTGGGGCCATAAATTTCGAAGTCTCTGACTTCTAACCATATCCGTACGCTCTATTCGGGTACCCACAATATTTGTTTCACTGGTAGGGAACGAATGTGGGCATTGCGCGATGAGCGAGCGGGCGAAACAGAAGGGAGTTTGGGAACCCTTTGCCGTATGAACGCACGCAGATGGAATATGTGGGCACAAGATGGTTACGAGTGGCTACAAAACTTCGCATCCAGCCACGCACGTCTGCACTTTTGTGAGAAGAGTAATTATTCAACGACGAGCGCGCATGGGAAAAGATGCAAAGCTATCGAGTGAAGAGAATGCGGTGGCATTTGCAGCGGAGAGAACAGTTGCCGAGGGGATCGCTCACAATAAGTCCTTCATCATAGGATGCGCCATCGGGCGGGAAAACAGAGCAGATCACCGAATGGAGCCTCGTGTACCCGTCAAAGGCAAATAGCGTGTCATGAAGCAGGTCTTGATGCACCACTGGCCGGCTCCCGGATAAAGAGAAATGGAGGACATATGGAAATTCCTGATTACAGGGCCGAGTATCGCGGCTGCGACGGGGCACCGAGGCCGTATACGAAGAAAATGATGCTGGCAGGTGAGGCGTAGATCGCAGGTTCCGCCATAGTGCGATATGTGTGAAAAGCAGCCAGACGCGGAGAAATCCGGAATGTAAGAGTTCCATCAGAGTCCTTCGATCGCTGTCAATCGAGCAACAGGAAAGGAGAGACTTGCGCACTTGAAGCCAGATATAAGAGAGATGAAAAGGAAATATTGGTTGCAAAAGCCAGCACGTGCTGATGCTCTCGACAATGGGAAGCGATCCAAATGTTATTGTATCCACCCTATTTAGAGGACCCGTTCCATGCCATTCTAGCATGGGCGCAGAAACGGCTTGAGAGTTTATGGTCTGCACGAGGCTCAGATGTGCAATTCGCATGAAAATGATCAATGATGATCCCTTTGCATAGTTGGAGCCCATTCAAAAATTGATCAGCATTCTCGGACAGTGCTCTCCTAAGTCCTGTTACGTGCCATCCTTCGGTAAGATTCGAATTTCATCAAACAATTTCCGCTGTGCTGCTCGTACACCGTCATCCAGACGTTCTGAAAAGAGGGCTATAATGGTCGTCGGTGGCACAACTGTAACGCGCTTCAGTCGCAGGGTTACGTTCTGTTCGAGATATTCATCGATGATCAGTGCGTTCCGGCGGACATCCCAGAGCCGAACGCGGCCGTAGGTATTTCCATACAAAATCCCGTCTAGGATCCATTCATCTTGGCCTCGAATATCGAGGGTATAGCCCAGAAACTCATGGTATGAAGCCCCATTTCGATCACCCCAGAACATGCAGTCCGCTAAATAACCGCTATTCCAGAGCCCGAAGTATGACTTTGCAATGCCGATACGAGGTCGTCGGTAGCGTAAGCGGCGACAGTATGGCAGCGATATCATTGGGACAGAATCGTTCGGAGCGAAACGAAGCCGTTTGCAGGCAAAGGGACGCCACAGAACATGTAGGCGTCCGCTGCGATTCTTCCGTTGGGATGACGAGTAGGCAGATAGCGCTCCTGCACCTCGTTTCACAGGCATGCTGTACCAAAAAACATCTTTTCTGGTCCAGGAGTATAGCAGTGGATTCAAAAGTTGACCATGAAGCTCTCTCGAAAGCCACATATCCACCGCTGCATCACGAAGGCGAACCAGTGCTGTATTCTCGTCCGACCAAGAACGGTTCGTTATTTCCAGGGATTGGTCATGATTGAGTCGAAATTCTGGCAACTGGGGATCTACCGGTAAGGCGACCATTCTTATGCCGAAGCGCTGACGAAGCAACATACCTAAATGGATATCCTCGGCGGTGGCCCAGGTGAGGGGCTCCTCCGCGAACATCTTGAGAATCCACTTCGTCCGCAAGAACCAAGCGGAGAAGAGCACATCAGTGTCCCGCAGTAGGCCGTGTTCCCCGAAAAAATCATGATATTTATTCGGAGAAAGGCGCTTGCCAAGGCCAAACAATGAGCGCTTTCGAAGTTCGTTTCTGTAATATCGCGCCCCGCGCTGGCCAAGCACAGCATGTTTGTCGATAGAGCGGGCCCAACGCAGACACAGCTCCAGGTATCGCGCTCCCAGCACAACGTCATCATCTAAAATGAGCGTGAAAGTTGTATTCAGATTCATCGACAGCAGAAAACGTCCAAAATAACCGGGGTTGAAAGTCGGCTCCGATGTCACGAGGGAAATAGAAACCTCCGATGTCCAACTCGCAGTCTTGCGGTACTCTTCAAGAAGCTTCCCATACTGATGGACGAATGGGGACCCCAAGGCAAGAACGTTTACATGAGTGATGCTTTGCAGAGCAGTCTGACTTCCGATTCCATCGAGGACGCGACGGAATGCTCCCGGTCGAAGGAACACGTTCAGAACGACGGTTACCGTGTCGCGTGATGCTCTATGTTTCTCATGGATTTCTTTTTCATGTTTTTCAAGAAGATGCAGTATTTCTCTTAGCGACAACAGGTCGTGATGTCTCGGCGACTTTGCCGCGGGTACGTGGTGCGCTTGCTCCCGAGAGTAAATTCGTGTCTGTACTATGTTAAGCAGGGGAAGCAGAATGAAAATAACCAAACAAAGTTTTCTCTTCGAAAGCGCTTTCCAACCAGTGCTCTCAAGTGAAGAAGAGAGGCCCCTCACCTGGCCTGAATTAGCTATCCTACGGTCTACCATGCTCGCAGACGGTTTGGTGCCGTTCCTCGTAGGAAGAACCTGAGCGATTGGCTTTTTTGAGCTTTGGTTCACTAGACGTCTCCAGTCCGCTGTGGTTCTCAGAGTCCCAAAAAGCTCACGCGCCCACGGCAAAGGAGTTTCTCCAAACAAAATGCGTGTCCCCAAGCACACATAATCACAGAGTGCTCAGTACTCTGTACGAAACACGCCCAGTACCAGGCGTCGTACAAGTCAAACTCGTTCAGACATCGGATTGAGGAAAACGTTTTAGCTGCGAGCGCTGACCAGTACTGATTGCCCAAAGATATCCTCTTCAACTGCGTCACCGATGCATTTGGACGGTTCTTCATGTACCCACAAGTACGCGAAGACGATATTGATAATAAAACGCTTCTCGTTTAGATAACACATTTCGCGACTTTGTCGCCAAGGTTAAAAAGGAACACTGACCTTATCGGACTGCTGCTACCTATCGATTCCTTAACCTACCTTGAATGGATGCTTGGCCTCGAAAGTCGAATTGCAGTAATACGGGCATACAGATTCATATACAGTTCTGAGAAGTTCGGTGGTCTGTTCGACTTGACTCCTTCGACGCTTTGCCGCTAGAATGCGTTACGGATCCGAAATAAAGATGGTACGCGACGCCCTCGAACAGGGTTCGTTATTCGACCTGCATCGTTGTCCAATTCACATGTTCAACCTCAACTGTGCTGCTTTCCTTATACGCAGCAGGCTGAAAGCACGCATCCTTCAAGTTTCCGATCATTCTATTTCAAGGCGACTCGAGGGCGCAGCAGTTCGCGCCGCTGGACTGGCGAAGAATGCTGCTTGACGTCGCCCCTGAGGAAATGCTCAGAAGCTCATAGCGAAAAGTCACTGAAATTCTCACGATAAATAATCGATTGCGTTCGAGAGTCGAATCCTCCCCTCTTTGTGGTCATCGACGAAGCAGCATTCGACGGCAGCGCAATAGATCTCACGGGAGATGCTTTCATATGTCACCGTCTCTTCTGTTTGCATGGAAAGGGTCTTGGACTTTGAGTTGAGGCATCGCAGCGATTGCTTCCAGTAGAGCCTGCGTCACCGCTTTGCGGTAAGGGACCGTAAAAGGATCGAAATTTCTCGACTTTTACCCTAGCGAGGTGTCTCCTCCCCGCACTAGTGCCGTCGTGGGCAGCATCGCGCGACGCAAACCCTCCGTCCAATGAACAGCGAGCGCTGGTGTTTGCATCGGGCAGAGTACTCGCGGACATGGTCGCCCAGAAGAACCCCGTGATTTAAGGGTACAGCACCGGGCGCGGAAACCGCGGAGCGCATCCTGGGGCGCCTTCTGTACCCTTCAAGCGCATGAACCGAGCGCATGAACCGAGCGCATGAACCGAGCGCATGAACCGAGCGCATGAACCGAGCGCATGAACCGAGCGCTGAAGCGAGCCCTCACGCGCTGCAGGGTGAGCCTCGTTGGCGAAGGAGGCGTACTCCTTATATGCGACCATCTAAGCGCATCCATGCGTCACGCCTGTGCAGAGGGCAGCGAGACTGTGTCCAAAGAAGATGACAAGAGCAATTGAAACGCAGATCGCAACCTCAGCCTGTGCATGAAATGCGTCTAAACAGGCCGCAAGTAACGTGGCTCGGACTGTACTGCTGCCAGCAATACTCCCCCATTGGTGACAATAGAACTTCAGGGATAGGTGAGACCAGCGTATTCAAAGGCGAGCTTGAGAGCAACGAAAGAGAAGCAGTCGCTGAACGGTCAGTGAAAAGCTGGTTTTCATGGCAATTACGAGGGACTCAAACTCTAGGGTGTGCTTGTGAGTTCCCTGAGTGCATCTGCTTTACTTTATTCTCTCACGAGAGTAAGCATGAGACGAAGACAACGAACAAACGTTGCGGGGTGCCTCCGCAACTCATGTCGAACACACGACATTGCGCTGTGATTATTATCTACGGATACTGCCATACCATCAACTCTTATCACGCGACAATGGACAGAAGTCATTCGAAGATATACCACAGAAGAGTCGTTGGGTAGTCGTTGGGCTAGACTGCTTCCGACGCTGCTAATGCCGCGTTCATATTTCGCGGTTTCGTGGATCTTGAAAGATCTTTCGTTCTCCTTAACATGTGCGTCCATCTTTCGAAGATTTATGCGTCGGCAAAGACTGAAAATTCCCATATGTAGCAGTTTGAACAAGTAGCACGCTTGCGGAACGGATATGTGCATTGCCACGAAAGTTCACATGGCTGCTTTCTACGGAGAACTCCATCAAGCGGCAGCGCTAGAACGACGCACACGGTGTCGACTTGATGATAGGGCCTGCTCGCACTCCAGTATATAAGAGATCGAGGCAGCATGAAACAGCCATGCCACATATGTGCTCGTCTCTGCGGCAACGAGAAAAGCGTTGAAGACGCACAGAGAGCCGGTCCAATCACACCCGAGGTGTGCGTCAGGGTCTACGCAATGGTGGTCTCCTCGAAAGCTTCGGAGGCTCTCGGCATATCTAAGCTGCTGAACATTGCCATTGTATTTGATCGATGCGTGCCTGTGACCAGCGTGGATTCTCCAGGTGCTTGTGACTCGCAAAACCAGATGATTCAATAACGCGAGGCCCATCCGCGCCCGCTACGAAGGAGAAGCGGATCTGCAAGAATTCTTCTGGTGTTGAATACTTTCCCAGGCGCTCTGGCCATTCGACCAAGCATATTTGATGGGTGAATATATCGGCAAAGTCCGCAATTGGGCGATCGTCAGCGTTCTCCAGCCTATACAAGTCCAGATGATGAAGAACTACACCAGGAACTTTGGCCTTGTTCTCGTAGTCCGGATAGGTCACGTCCAGAAGATACGTAGGTGAGACAACTTCAAGTTCGGGATCGTTCAGAAACTCTTGAATAAAGCCCCGAGCCAATGTCGTCTTTCCGGCTCCGAGGCTGCCCTGAAGCAGAAACACATCGCCAGGCCGTGCAAGGCGAGCCAGCGCAGCGCCTAGCCTCCAAGTATCAGGTGGAGACTCTAAGCGGAAACGGCGACAACTCACCCGCTCTATAGAGGAGCACTGCTGGTGCTGCTGAGACGAGTACTGTGCGAAAACGCTCATCGAGGAGGGTTGTTGCGAAACAGTCGCTTTTCGTGCCCTTACCCTAAGCAGAGGGAGAAAGCCACTCAGCGTGTTTCTTCGCATAGAAATGCCAGAAGGAAGTCGCTGACTTCAGCGTGGACTTCGATCGCCACCCCGTGTCCTTCTAAGGAAGCAGCTTTCGTCCTCAGCTCGAGAAAGCACCACTAGCAACATAAATGCTGCTACGAACAGACCGCAGCGCGTTATGCAGCTCGTTGCAGAATCCACCGTCGGTCGTGAGGCGAGCTTCCATTGCCTGCTCCGACGAAGCGTGCCTTGTACATGTGCCACATAAAAATAAGACTGATGCACTCAGGGAACTCACAAGCACACCCTAGAGTTTGAGTCCCTCGTAATTGCCATGAAAACCAGCTTTTCACTGACCGTTCAGCGACTGCTTCTCTTTCGTTGCTCTCAAGCTCGCCTTTGAATACGCTGGTCTCACCTATCCCTGAAGTTCTATTGTCACCAATGGGGGAGTATTGCTGGCAGCAGTACAGTCCGAGCCACGTTACTTGCGGCCTGTTTAGACGCATTTCATGCACAGGCTGAGGTTGCGATCTGCGTTTCAATTGCTCTTGTCATCTTCTTTGGACACAGTCTCGCTGCCCTCTGCACAGGCGTGACGCATGGATGCGCTTAGATGGTCGCATATAAGGAGTACGCCTCCTTCGCCAACGAGGCTCACCCTGCAGCGCGTGAGGGCTCGCTTCAGCGCTCGGTTCATGCGCTCGGTTCATGCGCTCGGTTCATGCGCTCGGTTCATGCGCTCGGTTCATGCGCTCGGTTCATGCGCTTGAAGGGTACAGAAGGCGCCCCAGGATGCGCTCCGCGGTTTCCGCGCCCGGTGCTGTACCCTTAAATCACGGGGTTCTTCTGGGCGACCATGTCCGCGAGTACTCTGCCCGATGCAAACACCAGCGCTCGCTGTTCATTGGACGGAGGGTTTGCGTCGCGCGATGCTGCCCACGACGGCACTAGTGCGGGGAGGAGACACCTCGCTAGGGTAAAAGTCGAGAAATTTCGATCCTTTTACGGTCCCTTACCGCAAAGCGGTGACGCAGGCTCTACTGGAAGCAATCGCTGCGATGCCTCAACTCAAAGTCCAAGACCCTTTCCATGCAAACAGAAGAGACGGTGACATATGAAAGCATCTCCCGTGAGATCTATTGCGCTGCCGTCGAATGCTGCTTCGTCGATGACCACAAAGAGGGGAGGATTCGACTCTCGAACGCAATCGATTATTTATCGTGAGAATTTCAGTGACTTTTCGCTATGAGCTTCTGAGCATTTCCTCAGGGGCGACGTCAAGCAGCATTCTTCGCCAGTCCAGCGGCGCGAACTGCTGCGCCCTCGAGTCGCCTTGAAATAGAATGATCGGAAACTTGAAGGATGCGTGCTTTCAGCCTGCTGCGTATAAGGAAAGCAGCACAGTTGAGGTTGAACATGTGAATTGGACAACGATGCAGGTCGAATAACGAACCCTGTTCGAGGGCGTCGCGTACCATCTTTATTTCGGATCCGTAACGCATTCTAGCGGCAAAGCGTCGAAGGAGTCAAGTCGAACAGACCACCGAACTTCTCAGAACTGTATATGAATCTGTATGCCCGTATTACTGCAATTCGACTTTCGAGGCCAAGCATCCATTCAAGGTAGGTTAAGGAATCGATAGGTAGCAGCAGTCCGATAAGGTCAGTGTTCCTTTTTAACCTTGGCACCGGCGTACAAGCCTTGGAGAATCCAGGTTTCGTCCAGCATTGACGACTGTAGAGTCTGGCCAGGTTGGGCTCCCCGTTGCCTGCGAAAAATGCCGCATTCGTTTGCCCTGCCTCGCACTGCCGTCCCATATACCATTCCCCGCTGCGCAGGAACGTGCACAGGTGAGGCTCACAGCGACACAGGAAAACAGGTTTTTGACCTATCTACGCAACGAGTTACGATGTGCGACCAGGCTTGGACGTTATGCCCCGCAGCACAGACTCTCCACAATAGCTGCCGGGGTTACCTGCCGGGTCCTATAGCGCAACACCGCTTTACAGATACGCTCTGTTCAGGAAACACCTCTGTTACCGAGAGGATAAGTTCACAAAGCAGGAAAATTCAAGTGAAGTTTCCTGAACGGTTTCGTATGAGAAAGCTCATGCTCTTTCAGAAAAAAACGCAGACGAGCCGTTTCGGCGAGAGAAACAGCAGCACCGCAGTAAGACTCATATCAAGTCCTGGCCAACCCGCACTTGCTGTGCATAGGAGAGAGCAACAGTGACAAGGAAGACCAATGTACAGCATGCAGGCGACCATTGCGTGAGAAAGTCTCAACCAGGTCCAGTAACTAGTGCGGATACAGAGTTTCTGCTGCGGTAGCTCGAAGCCGCAGTGGTCTTACTAGGATGCGCGTACTGCCTGTTCTACGGTGGATGCGGCCTATCGTTGCTCTTGCTTGCAGGCGTTGGTGCCAGGCGGGCCGCCATTCATACGTTCATCGCATGAGCTGCAGTGAATCTCGCCTGGACAATACAAAGAGCGCAAAAAAGCAGTGGAAAGACTGCTCCCAAGAGAGCAGTCACGGAGTTGAATTTCGATCGCAGCCAGTCGGCTTTCTGCGATTGATAAATGCCACGTGCTCGCGTGTACGCGGCTATATGAGCCGCGCTGGCGGATATAACTGCATCCGAAAAAAGTGTTGGCGTCCACTTACCGGGACCGCTGTCTTCGAATAGACCTCTGATGCGGGCAGCATCACGGACTGCTCTTCAGAGGTTTCCGAGACGCTAGCTTTCCAAGCTGGAACGGCGCTTTGGTTTCCGCTTTTTCGTGCTTGCATCCAATCGCGCGGCTTCATCTGCAGCGCGAAAATCGCGCCCAGCAAACGACATATAGACATCGCTCAGACTCACACCTCGTTCCGTAATACCGAAGAGATCAAATCCTTTTCCTTTCAGTGTCTGACGAATTCTTTCCGCGTACACCGAATAGGCTTCATCCTCGTTCAACGAAGGATCAATACCTAGCTGATCCAGCAGCTCCGGCTCAACAAATAGCTCGAGCGCATTGTAATCAAATGCATTGATCTGCGCCCTCTCTACGATGCCCTCGCTTCGTAGCGCCTCCAGAGCCGCCTGGGCAATATTTTCTGGACAAAACTCCTCCACTCGAATCGTGAACCGTCTACCACCGATTTGGCGTTTCAGGTCTGGCGGCGAACCGACCGCGATCGAGACCCCCTCATCCAGAATAGCGACTCGGTCAGCCAGAATCTCAACTTCTTCTAAGTAGTGAGACGTGAAAACAATCGTATTCCCCGCTGTAGCATATTTTCGAACAGCATTCCAGATAACTCGCCGGCTGCTAAGATCTAAGCCGACCGTGGGCTCATCAAGCAACAGAACTGAAGGTTCATGCAGCAGCCCTAGAGCGAGATCGAGGCGCCTCTTGATTCCTCCCGAATAGGTGCCCGTTAGGCGATCCACGTAGGGCTCGAGTTCTAGCATGCCGACAAGTTCATCAATGCGACGACGCAAATGAGCGGGTGGCATGTGGTACAAGTTTCCAAAGAGTTCCATATGCTCACGCCCAGTGAGAATTTTATCAACACCGGCGTCTTGAAAGACCACTCCTATGCAATGCCGCACCGCAAAGGACTCTCGCACCGTATGTTTGCCTAACACGTACACAGCACCTCGATCTGGCTTGCACAAAGTCGACATGCAACGTAAGAGCGTTGTCTTGCCCGAAGAGTTCGGGCCAAGTAAACCGAAGACTTCACCAGCGTAAACGTCAAGGGACACCCCCCTGAGAGCCGGAACTGTCAACGCTTCAAAACGCCAAGAGAAGAGGCTTTTCTTTTTATCTTGGAACGACTTGTATACGTCCTCTACTCGCACAGTCGGTTCGATTCCTATGCTATTGCCCGCCGGATCAGTGTTCCGTTGCATCTTCAAGGGATTTGAAGTCCTCGAGTGCGTGCGTGACGTGCAGACACCACGACGGATACACGGCATCGGGGCAGCGCGGAAGCCCGCTGCTGAGACTGAGCAGCGGTGCGCGACCGAGGCTGGCTTTCCTGTCGAAGTGCCAGTTGCTCCAAGCGTACAACTCCAATATAAAGACGTCGACGAGTGCAGCCCAGTCTGCCACATAAAGCTGTACAATATATGTGCTAAACCTCAAGAAAGCTGCAGAAAATAGCCCAGAGCGTATGCGTAGAGCGCTCTTCGGATCAGCGGGTAGGATTGCAGGTGCAGGCGGCGCTCATGTCGGCGCCACGAAAATACTTTCCTGGCATAGAATGTATGTCTTTCCAGCGACGTTGTGACACCTTCCGATATCTTTTTCGCCGGCCCCCTGCTATCGGTATCAGCTCGTCCTTGAGCATTTTGACTCTGAGAGGCAATCCCACAAAATTGGCACGCGTTATCCCTGCGGGCCTTGTTTTCAACACAGAATATCTCCTGATATTGATAGCAGCGTTCAAGCCTCGGATCACGAGCTCCATGCGTTTCTTGCCGCCGCTCGTGTTCCGAGTACAAGTAGTATTCGAACTTGCGCCTTTCGTGCCATATGCTGCTCTGTAAGCTCTCCGTATTTTTCTTTCGCCGAAGCGCCCGCTGGCGTTTCTTTATCTCGAACTTCTCAAGTGTACACCCCAGCTCATTCCTAAGATTTTTTATTTCTTCAAATGAACGCACTTCGTTATGTCTTCAGGTGGGGACCTTCCCCAAAAGAGCAGTATTTGCGCAAGCAAAATAAAATTGGCTCCGGCGTGTCACCGTGTGCTGAACGCATCATCGATTCGAATAGTGGTGCGTGCATTGCTTTTTTTGATAGAAAACTCTCCTTCGATGCGGTTGAACCGCGGAGCGTACGAAGGAATGAAAAGCATCTCTACTCCGATAGCCTCGGCAAAAGCCCGAACGCAACGGGAATGGCGAAGTACCACGTTGTCCAACAGAACGAAGTCGCCGGACGTCTGGGAAAAGTCTTCAATGATTCGACAAAGTTGTTGGTGCTGTTGTGAGGGCCTTCTGTTCCAGCAAAACCCAGGCCGCCACTTGAATCCACTACAGCTAGAACAGATAATATCGTCGTTCTCTTTGAGTCCGATCGCACAGACAATGGGCTCCCTTCACCTCGAATACTCATCAACGACCCGACCGTCTTGTCCGAAGGGAGTCTCATCGACTGAAACAACAAACCGACGCCCCTCTGTTTCATGCCGATAATGACGTTCCAGGAACTTTGTTTTAACTGCGATGTCGGTAAAAAGATGGCCTTGAGTGAACAGGGATTTTTTGCGACTGTTTGCCAGTTTTTCAGCATTACATGAACTACCGGTTGAGAAACAGAGAAGCAGGTGGCGACCACGATCCTCGCTTTTGCTTTCAGTCAGGTGATTAACAGGTCATTCTCTACCATTAAACGCAAGTGCTCTTTGAGAATATCGGGTTTTGATGCGGAGCGCATGTAACTCTTTCTTAAAGTGCTCTACCACCACGCGAGTAATATGGTGTGACTGACCTGCAGGGTAATTGCAGTTCTCCTTGCACTGTTCAGTAAAAATATATTCTACAGGCAATTCGTCTACGATTTGTACGGTACTGTGCCTAGTGGTTTTGATCTCGTGGTAAGCGCGGTAGCGGAGGTGAAATTAAACTTAGTTGAAAGGGATACGCAGTTGGGAACCACGCAACATATACCGCTTTTCTGCGCAGCTCGATGGTATCGGCTACGAAAGGTCTTGATTTCCATTCTGAAATGGAATCGTTCAGGTTGATAAGCTCTGAAATGAGGTAAGAGTAGCGAAAGCGTCGTGAAACGCCTCTATGACGCTTATCTGCTGGATAGAATGGCCCGGAAGGCATTGCATGCGGATTTCGCGCCGGATAAGCAACTTTTCGAAGTTCGATAGAAAGACAAAACCTCTGTGCTTCACGACCAGCCCTGTACCTAAGTCCGAAACATCGGGGAGATTATGCGTATCGAAAATTTGAGTTCTTTGCCAGAAATTTTTTCCAAGAAACGCCTTTCATCTGTTCCACTTCGGTTGCTGCGTTGTAGCCGGGGCGCGCTCGTCACCCGCGGCTTGCCGGGAGTCCCGAAGAGTCCAAGTGCACAGAATGCTCCTGTCTGAGCGTCCTTAGCCTCTTGATTTGGACTTGTTTAGGTTAGTGGAGTGTTGCCAAAAAGTCAGGGCATACGATATCACCATAGCGGAGACAAAAGCTGCCGCTGGACCCACAACGGCTGCGGTGCCCAGAGAAGCGAGGCGCGGTAAACCCACTGCGTGCTCTTCTTTCTCAAACGGCAGCTCGCGAGGTGCTCTCACGTTACTAGCCCGTCCAGCACCAGGTGGTCGTAACGTGCTGCAACCCCGGGAACAAGGAGCCTGAAAGAGACCGTAGCACGACTTCTCCAAAAAGCGCACAACTCGAAGCGCTGGTGCTACAGCGTGCACCATAAACTTGTCAGTGTTCTTCGCAGCTTACACTGCGGCGTCTTCGTCGCGATGCCTCTCTCCCCGTTTCAGAACTGACTGCCAAGCAAACACTGAAAGTATTCTATGCCGGAAGACGTGCAAGGCAGCGCTTCAGGGTCCCCGTGCAGGAGACGCGCGATGCTCACATCTCGGGAAAAGCTTAAGCTAAACAAAGTTGAATAAATCTTTCTGCAACTGTACAAGAAACATCATTGGGCGCCGCTCCCGAATTTTGCATCAAGCATGTGCCTGTGTAACATTTAACGCTACATAAGTTCATAGTTCTCACTTAAATTGCGTTCCGCACTCAGTTCAATGTTATCAAATCCTTTACCACGATATATAGCACAGATGCATATGAAATGCGTTCATTTTCAAAAATACAAAATCGAAGGGAGCGTCATTGATACGGCTGTCAGGGATCCTGGAGGCGAGTCATAGCTGTCTGGCGGAAAAAATCGAAAGGAGACCTCGCCTTGCAGACCGTGGGGCGGAAAAGAACACGGTAGGTATGCGAGAAACGGTGTTTAACGGACGGGATGATGATGATACCGTACCAGCGCAGAGGGCACGAATTTTGAGGAATCCCTGCATTGGTGAGTTCCACCAGAGGCATTAGACGCAGGGAGTAATTGAAAAGTCACTTTAACGCCGCCATCAATATTAAAGGATATGCGGCGCTGAAGACAACACCCGAGGAGCTAACGCGGGCGAGCTTTTTGGGGCAGCCTCTTGTACTTGAAGTTAACAACGAGAAGCTGACACCGATGGCACGGGGCCGGCCAATAAAGGCCGGAAGGCGTCGGTGACTGGACATGAGTTTACCTCATGTTCGCGAAACATTTTCGCCCCGCAGAGCGTATTCATATATATATAAAAGTACGCAGCTGTACAGAGAACTAGCTCTACCGCTGCAAAAGAGTGCTGTACAGAATATGAACGTAATAGCGCGGTAACTCAAACTAAAGTTGCAGACAGCTGCACGCTGCTGCACAGAGAAAGTTTTCGAGACTGTACCGGAATGCCGCCCGGACGAAATTCAAGGCCAGCGCAGAGTCATGTTTGAATGCCACGCACTGCAGCGCCAGCCTCGTTTGCTACAGCGCTATACTCCGTAATACCCAAGTAAGGAATACGATGAGTGTTCCACAATTACCCACGAACATTGTTCGTGGCGAAGGTATATGGCAGTCCGGCCTTGATACAGTGCAGACCGTACCATACAAGTGGCTTGCTCCAAGCGGGGACTTAATCGCCGCTCTGATGATACATGATGTTTTTCATCGAGAGTCCGCAGCATTCCAGCACAATACCCACACTGCATACTAGACAATCGAATCGAAGCCTCGCCTGAAGTAAAGCCGATGGACGCTCCTGAAGAACGATGCAGTTCCAGATGCTGATATGGGCGCTCAAATCTCGGTTCAGAAACTGGACGCGTTTCCCGTTCGTGATGGAGACACTCCACAGCAAGCGTCTCAACTGTGAGTGCATTGCCACCTGGAGCTCAATGAACTCAGCGTACGTCATCTCATACGTCTGGCTCCGTTTCCAAATCGTCTTCACCGGCAGTTTCAGCGTGTCTCTGTGCTCGCGATGTGAGAATCTCGTCCAGAGCTCATCACCGAGAGCACTTCAGTGCCGGTTCGCGGATCCCTTGTGCGTTATCGACGACAGTCCAGTTCTGCAACTAGAGCGCGTCCACCGCCATGCACTATCTTTATAAGATGCAACCGATCGGCCAGTTCCGTTTCCAGTGCTTTGAGGAAGCTTGCGAATACCCGCCTCGTGCCCGCGAGCGGTTGCGACTGTTGGAGACTCGAGCTCGGTCCCGCGTTCCTCTGCCATGGCTCGTCCGCATGAGCGATCTAGTCGCTCATACCCGTTATGAATGAGGTGCGCAGTGCATCTCCTTTTGCCCGATACCGTACTCAGCGCGTCACGACAGGTCTTTACGTCGTCATTCCACGAGTTGGTACGCCTGCTGGCGTCGTTCACGTCCAACTCCGGATGATACCGGGCCCTGGAGGCGTGGAGCAGACTCATTTGCTTTCCGTTCAGGTCTCTGGCGCTGCCCCGTGACGAACGGGCACGGTGACGGCCACGGCGCCCTCAGAAACGGCATCCACGCGCACCACGAAGCCTTCACGTTCGTTTTCCGTAAGCGGTTGAATATGAGTCTCGTTGCTCCGAGCGGGCCGGGGTTTCGCAAAGTGCATGCTGTTTGATGTGCCGTGCGCGTCTCCAAGGCCCCTGTACATCGCTTTCCGTGTTTTCCCAGCCAACGAGTGGCGATGAACGAGCCCCGCCAACGCTCTGCCCGAAATAGGTAGAGTGCCCCCTAGCTGCTCGTGCGCACACATCGTAGACCACTGAGGACGTCGTACACCACACAAATATGCACGGTGGTATCATGGGCTTTGCCCCGAAATGCGGGGACCGTATCGACCAGGGGTTTGAGGATGCAAAGGCGCTCACATACGACCAGAGGGTCTGCCTTGCGGTGGAGCGCCGCGTTCGCGAAAACCTAGCAGCGCAGGATGCAAGTTAGGCCAGGTCAACGCCCGCGTAATCCTTCCGAGACGACGTGCCCAGCTCCGGAACAGAAACCTACTCCATGAGCTCGGACGATCTGGAGCGTCGCTCGTTCTCGATGCGACATCTCCGAGCTCGCTTCCAGCACCTTCTCGTCCGGAGCCAGCTCGTCACGTGCCTCCACGGACATCCCAAGAGCCGCTTGCGTCAGTCGCCAACATTTCGTCGACCACAACGCTGTGGACGCAACGAGTACAACGCCTCTGGGGTGCGCCTCGTAGGGTAGTCGCCACGGACCCGCTCTTGGCTATGGGTTCTGAGGTTTGGGCGAAACTTTTCCTGGCACCTACGCTGTCCATGGGCCGAGCAACCATGTAGTGCAGCGCAGAAACGGATGCCGGCCAGCGTGTGTATTGGTCAATGACACCACGAACAGGCCCGCTGGCATGCTCGGAGCGGAGCATTCCTAGTGCTGTCGCTCGAGGGTTTGACCAAAAACTCCCTACGAATGCGAACTGCTGGCAGCGCTGCCTCCGAAACCCTTGCCGCCAGTTGCTGCACGAGGGGCATCCATTCGGGGAGAGCTAGGCGAGCCTTCCGACAACCACATTCTACGCAATACCTAATAGCCCTGGGCATCTCACGTACTCGGAGAATTTTTTCCGTTGATGCGTTCTGGCACCGACGTGTAGGCGCTGGTTTCGGACTGGCCTTTCCAGTGCGCAGGGTTTCCTTCCTGACTCTCGTCGTCCTCTTTGCGGCTGGGATCCTTCTCTTTTCTGTCAGGTGGTTGCTTCGCATTCTCCTTTCGTGGCGGGTAGCGTGGATGTGCACGTCGCACTCCACTTCCATTTTCTTACACCGGCAGTCAGACCCCGTGGATGGACGGCGAGCCAGCAACTTGCCTCCCCGCGTATATATGTTTCCGATCCCGCAGCTGCCTTTTCCACGAGCTTCTCAGCCGCGAGCGTGCCAAACGCCTGAGGCGCGCTTCACCGATCCCTCCCCGCAGGCGACCCGCTCAGCACCAGAGTCGTTCAACGCTGACGAAGACTGAAAACGACTTGTCCAAGGACAGCGTCACGCATCCGAGCGTTTTTATGGAACGCATCCTGAGGGAAAGCATGGCGACGGAGGACAGAGAAGACGCTTCCAACTGGACTGAGCGTGCACTTCCAGGCTGAAGCGAACACCAGCTCAACGCTCGTCTCAGCTGCGCACTCGTGGAGCGCCTTTGCGTCACAGCAAGCAACGTGGCCTACCCGCAGGACAGAATAACGCGAGAAGCAGAGGCCACAGAGTGCTTCGAAGAAGGGAGGCAGACGTGTTGCTTGAGTCTGCCTGTTTGCCGATACTCAGGCGACTACATGCTTGAATCGCCGCTGGGGCTGATGTTGTCGTCGCTACGCTCACCGGTCGAGGCTTTACGAGAGGCATTTCGCACCGCTTTGCGTATCTACGGTTAGATCCTCCGTTTTTCACGAAAGAGCTGTTGCCGAGAGAGGCGAGTACCGGTCGCTCCTGTCATAAGCGTTCGCCTATCAATGCGGAATCGAAAATGTCCAGCTCGTGACGGTCTCCTGGGGAGGCACCTTTTTTTCTCTTTGCCCATCCATGTCGCTTCACCACGGCTCATATCAAGGGTATGGAAAATTCGCATCCAGTGGGTTTTCTGATACCGTTTCTTTGAGCATCTGTGGACTGGCGTACACTGATGGAGAGACAGTCATGTCGATAGCACTTGGAAGGCCCTATTTTGGGATCATGAGCGGCAGGAGAACGACCCGCTCAAGCGAGACTGACCCGCCTGTTGATCACAGAATGAATGACTTGTACATTCAAGACCGTCTCCGCGCAAGCTAGCAGTGCCAGCGGGACGACTATCCGCGACTTTTTGCATATCCAAAGGACGCCACTGTCAGTTGCATATCTGCGAGAGAGACGATCGGAAACAAATATGGGCTGCTGGTCCAGGTGTTCCAGGATTCACTGGTCTGAGTTTAGCGCACCGTCAGCCGCATTCGTGGACTCCGCGGCCTCGGCCAGCATAGCTGTTTGATCGGTGGTGCTCTTGGTCATATTTATAATTAGAGTCTGAATAGCAACACCGAAACTTCCTTGTGCTGTCATGCATCGTCGAGATGCTCAGAAATCTGGCGAGGCATCACTGTTGACAACGGAACAAACTGCGTGCAAATTATCCACACTTTTCAGAACGAAATGGTGCAACTCCGACTAGCTCATTCGTGCTTACACCGGTAAGTTTTGGGGTCTTTCGATTGTTTTCAATACTTGCCTTTCGGGTCTTTCACTGCGATTGCTTCATTTCCATTTTTTTTCATATCCGCCTTTATGTACGCCGGTCTTTCTTCTTCCTCCAGCTGCGTGGTCAGCCGTCCATGGGTATTGATCGCAACGTTCAAGTCCTGAATTCGAGGCTTCTTGCTGTTTTCTACGTATTTCCGCACTGGCGGAAATTGAGACGTACGCTTCGACTGCTGTTACATTTTCTTCGTACACGGCATCGGTGTGCCCTTCGCAGCCGCGACATGTGACGACCTAGAGGTATTTCCGTATGTCCACCACACGTCCGTCACAGATGGTCACATGACGGCGCATGAAGACCCGTCTCAGGGCACGGTTAATGCCCTTGATGGGTACAGAAGGCTTGCCTGGACACCCTCGTTCATTCCCGCGCCCGCTCCCATATCCCGGAATCATTTGCTTCTTCTAGGCGATTGCCTGTGCAAGGACTCTATCCGCTTCACACGCGAGCGCACTGTGTCGCATTCTGTGTCACTGTGGACAATGATATTGTTTATCATAGAAATAGCACCCGAGCGAAAATCTTGACTGGTGTTGAAGTTGTGAAATCTCGCTCCATCTAAACTCCTTTCGAGCGAAGCGTTGACGCACTCTTCACCTCAAGCGATTGCTTCGTGCCTTCAAGTTAGAATCCAATACCCTTTTCCACGCAAACAAAATATATGTTTTTCTCTGGTGGCATGCCCCATCAAGGGATTAAGCTGCTTTTTAATTTTGTTTCGTCGATTGCCACAAAGAAGGGCGGGTTTATTTTTCGAACGGATTCGATTGGTTTGTGACAGCTTCAGTGAGGTTACTGTATGAATTTGTGAACGACTCGTCAGGGGGCGATGTTGAGTACCTTTTGTCGTGAGTCCAGCGGTGCGTATTGCGACATCCGAGAGCTGTTTTGAATACAACCATCGAAAATATGGAGATTAGGCAATTCGGGTATGCTGTATTGAAGGAAAGGAGATAGGTGGAGGCTTGTACGTACAAATTGGATAAGTATATCCGCTACTTTATGAATTATGATTCGACATCGTGGCGAATCAGCTTGATAACAGTGACGGGAAAAATCCAGCAGCAAAGAATCTAAGGAGCCAATCCGAAAAGTCGACTATGAATCCTATAACAACATATGAATCCGTCAGCAATTATTGCCGCACTTCGAATGCCGAGGCAGCACATCTCAATAAATGTTCCACCGAAACACAAAGACAGGAAAAAGACGACTGGTTCGATGCAACAGTTGTTCAGAGCAAATGGAAGCGGGCACGTCAATACGCTGCCGCTCGTTCATATGTCGCATGTTCCGTAGACCTGTTCAAACCTGCAGTGGTAACTGCATAGACGGTTTTCTAGAGTTTTACACAAATAGAACTTTCAAGCATATGGAGACACTGAGAAGATCTGAGCAGAGATGATAAATTTCGCAAGCCAAATGCACTCATGGATGAAACTGTAAAAGCTGCGAGTTCGTCTTCACCGGCGAAAGTTCAACGGAATGCGGACGCAAGCGTAATCCCATGCCCCCTTGAAGACAATGCCGACAAGCCGCAGTGCTCTCGAACCCCAGATTTACTACAATAACCAACAACGTTTTTATCTTTCACACGGCGTGAGCCAGCAGCGCTGGGTTCCCCAGGACTTGTGCATCGACATTTCATGCAAATGCCCAAAAAGATACCTGTTCTTTTCCGAAAAACCTATTTGGGAAAATTCTTTCGAGCTTTATCAACCTGCCAAATTTACCGAAGTATCGTTCAACAGAGATAGCCCAAAGCGCACAGCGTCCGCTGGAACATGTGTCGATTCCAGAAGCGGTGTTTCCCCAAGTTTATCGCCCCGCACTTTTGCAGCCCTTGGTCAGTTTCAACGTTTCCGTCCCCATGTGCCACAATGACCTGGTTTTAGGCTCTCGTTCTCAGAAACGCTCCAAACAAAGCAGACTTGAAGCGAAAGAAACCCGCCAGACCGCACCTTTCAAACGGCGAGAGAGCCGATCGCTGCTAGCGCCTTTACGAAGAACAGCTCCAGTACGCCCCAGCCCGCTCAGTTACCATGGAAGCCAACGAGTGTCACTGAAGGTGCTGATCCAACCCGGATACACTCTGATAACCAGGGATCTGGGATACCTCACGATAAAGAAAGCGATATCCCGATACGCCTCTAGAAAGGCAGGTGTACTGCGCTCAGCGCACAGCACCCGTCCGGAGCGCAGCAGCACGCTCTGATTGATCAGAATCAGTGCTGCTGTCGTTGGTGCCTGTCATTCTGCGGTGCTTCTTGAGAGCTGCACAGTAGGGGTGCCTGGCCCAGATAATACGGCTTTTTGGAGTTTGGGAACTCTTTGAACTGGGAGAGCAACTTTTCTGGAAGGAATAAGAGTCGGAATACTGGAGTTTGCTCTCCGATGAGGAACCAAGCTCGTCGGACACCTGCGCAAACAGGTGATATGCGGCAGCCTCGGGCACTGGGCGCTCCCGCGGCTGCGGAACAACAGCCGTTGAGCGCTTCCCCGCAAGATGTTCCTATGGAGACGATGTTGCCCGATTCGGCCCGGATAGATAAGAATACTGGCGGTGAACAGTTGTTGGATCGTTCACAAAGCCCCGAGACACAACCGTGGGTCTGCGTCGGTGACGATGAGTTGACGTTCCTCGGGGAAACAACAACGCAGCGGCGGATAGCCGCGCCTGCAGCAGTCCGAAGACAGCCCCTGAACCCGTACTTTTCCCTAGCAGCACCAGACAGGGGTTCCGAGCCCTACGGGGTTCGCGCTGACGATGAGACGGGAGACTGCGAAGGCGAGGACGACGTGGAGGAGGACTCGTTTGTATCCTCAACCAGTCATGGCGACGGTAACTGCGAAGACAGTGACGGTACGACCGATCGTCTGGATCATATGCGGCCTCTGATTCGTTCTGGTGTGGTGGATGTGGAAAATGCTGCGGATTCCTCTACCGCTGGCTCCTTCGATGAGATCGGGCCCGCACGTCCAATGCGCAGCGTTCCCAGTGTGCCGGAGAGCGACTTTATCGATATGGAGCTGGACACGCGGAACCACCGGGACCTATGCAGTAGACTCGTTTCCAATGCTATCGTTGTTTTCGAATATGTGCTCAGAGATGTGACCAAACTGCTGCGGAGCCCGGTGTACAGACAGAATATGGACCAGCGTAGTGGAGGTGGTGGCGTAGCCGGTCGACTTCGCGTCACATCGCCTTGGCTGGAGGCCTTTGGGTTCCAGTGGCGCTTGCTGATTTTTCCACGCGGTAACGGCGACCCAGAGGGAAAATTCATGTCTGTTTTTCTGGAGTGTAGCCCGCTCGACTCTGCTAGGGAGGAGCAGAAAAAGAGTTGGCGATCACATGCGCGCTTCCAGCTCGCACTGAAGAATCAAACTGGAGTGCGTCCGCCGATTATTCGGCGTGAGATGGCTGGACACATGTTTTCGCCACGGGAGAGTGACTGGGGCTTTCAAGAGTTCGCCCCATGTGCAGAGTTGGAAAGTCCCCGCTTTGGATGGCTCATTCACGATCAGATTATCTTTCGCGTCTGGATCGAGTTCGACAAGGACTCGTATACTTTCAGTGAGCAGTACGACTCCAAGAGAGAGACGGGTTTTGTGGGTCTCAGGAATCAAGGCGCAACTTGTTATATGAACTCCCTACTTCAGACGCTGTACAACATCGGGGCGTTCCGGCGCGCAGTTTATGAGTTGCCCCTGCCACCGCTTGAAGGTGAAGCGGCTGAAATGGTGGATCGGGGCCTCGACAGCCAGGCACCTGCATCCGAGACTTCTACGGGGACGCCGCTCACTTTTGCGCTCCAGCGGGTGTTCTTTGATCTTCAACATGAAGACCAATGTGTGACCACCAAAGAGCTAACAAACGCTTTCGGTTGGACGGACGCCGATGCCTTCACACAGCACGATGCGCAGGAACTGAATCGACTGCTCTGCGATACACTGGAGGAGCGCATGAAAGGCACACCTTTGGAGGGCACGATCGCGCGCCTCTTTCAGGGTCAGGCGAAGCGCTTTATCAAATGTGTTCATGTCGATTTTGAGAGTTCGCACGATGAGTGCTTCTATGACCTATCTTTGAACGTGAAGGGATGCAAGGATCTGTACGACTCTTTTCGGAAGTACATCGAGGTGGAGACGTTAGAGGGCGACAACAAGTACTACGCGGATGGATTCGGTCTACAGGATGCAAAAATGGGGGTCCAGTTCATCAAGTTACCACCGGTTCTCCAGCTTCACTTGAAAAGATTTGAGTACGACTTCAATCGTGATATGATGGTGAAAATCAACGATCGCTATGAATTCTACCCGGAAATCAAACTGGGTGAGTTTGTAGATGGCTCCACTGGAGCCGACGATGAAGAATACATTTATGTGTTGCATGCGGTTCTAGTTCATATGGGCGACGTACATGGAGGTCACTACCACGCCTATATCAGGCCGGACCCTGGAACGGAGGAGGGCTCTAAGATTTGGTTCAAATTCGATGACGAACGAGTCCTGCGCGTTACGGAGTCTGAAGCCGTTGAAGACAACTTTGGGGCACCACTCGCGGCGAACGGTGTACCCTTTCCGCCACAACGTCGCTTTACCAATGCTTACATGCTCCAGTACGTTCGCAAGAAGGATGCGCACATTTACTTGGGTGCGTCCACAGAGGCTGATGTCCCGGAGGCGTTGCGGCAGCGAATCGCTTTGGAAAAGGAGCTGGAAGAGAAAAAGATTCGCGAACGAGAGGAGCTGCGCCAGATGATGAACATCCGCCTGATTACGCCGGCAATGCAGAAGGGCTATCACGGACTGGACTGGACGGATCTGAATCAGGGCCTCATTCTACGGGTTCGACGTAGTATGCTTTTGGGTGAATTCAAGCAAATGCTCTTGAAAGAGGTACTCAGTCCTGAAGGCATCGATGCGAGCAGTGCGCTGTCGAACGAGAACTTCGACGGGGACGCTTGCCAGAGAATGCTCGTTTGGACGTTTGTGGCGCGCATCAATCAGACCATTCGGCCAAGTCGCCTTCTCAACGATGGAAACCATGAGGAGCCACTCGAGAGGGCATGGAATGATCGAGCAATCGCCCGCAACAATCAAGCTGGGGCAAGTCCCGGTAGCATGGGTAGCTCGATCCATGCGGTGAACTTGTTCATCGACGTCCGCCAGGAACCGGTCCGCTTGGCGGCCCTGTTTGACAAACGAGAGTGTCTCATGCTCTTCAAATGGTATGAATCGGCAGATCCACCGGCTCGGGAATCTCCCGAGCTTCGCGTCCTCGGCTGGGATGTTGTGCCGATGCATCTCACGATGCAGAATCTAGTAGCTTTACTCAGAGAGCGCAATGTGTTGCCCCGCGTACCGCTGTCGGAACTCTATTGGTATGAGGAAGTCACAAGTCAGGATGCCAAGGAGATCGTCTCTGACGTGGCGCTCTCGACCGCCCGTAATCAGTTGCAAAGCGGAGATATTATCATATTCGGAAGACGATCACCTATTCGGCAGCAAACTGATCAGACGGCTCGGGCACTGAACGTGAACGAGTCGGGCAACAATTCCGAAGCACCGGTATCCAGTGCTGCGCTGCTCGCAAGTATCTTGCAGGATCCGGATCTCTCAGTTGAGGAACAAGCAAACGCGCTCTACCGGCATATGTTTTGGGATGCGCGGGACTTTCTCCGGCACCGTTGCGATGTTCGACTGGTTCCGCTTACTCTTCAGAGAATGAGCGGTGCTGCAGGAGACGAGCCTCTCACCGAGGAACCTTCTCGCGGGGGATCCGTCGCATCGGGACCCGGCTCAGATCAGCAGAATGCATCAGAGATCCTATTACGAAACGTATCCACGCAGTTGACGCAGTATGGGTTAGGAACTCTGCTGGTCGCGAAACTGCGCAATCTGCATCAGCAGCAGCAGGGTCTAGATTTGATGCAGACTTGCGGAGTCACTGCCGAGGATCTGCGACCTAGCCGAGTTCGCTTTCATCGAAGAGGCTTTTCATCGCTAGATGACTTTCTCTATCCGAGAGATTCCGATCCGATCCCTATGAGCGGTGCTCGAACGCGGAAAATACTCGAATGCATCGTATCCAAACAACGAATTGTGAAATTGTTCTATGAGTTCATCGATACCGATGCGGAAGCCTTCGAGGGCAAGCAGGAAGTGACGATAACTTGGCGACCAACGCCGATCGATATGATTGGACGAAAAATTCTGCTCGCCTTGCCGCTGAACGCTACCTACGGGGACCTGATTCGGGAACTGGAGTCGAAATTGTCCGTCACGGAGCGTACGGCGTTGCAGTCGCAATACGCAGGCATACGAGTGCACGAACTGTGGCAGAAGAAAATAATTGCTGGTATCGTACCCTTGGACCGCACTGTTACGGTTCTGGGTCCGGATAGCAACCGCGAAAACTTTGAGATTCTGGCGGAACCGGTTCCGCCTCATGAGACCCCTGAAGAGCTCTCCCGCCAAGGCTGTGTGCTCATTCGAGTTGCGCACATATCGAAGAGTGCGTCACCACCGTTGTACGGGATCCAGCAAGATGAGAACTACGCCGCTGGCGGTCTTGCGACGGTGAACAGTTTCGGATTGCCGTTTTTGCTGCGGGTGCCGTCGCCTGAGATCCATGGCACTTTGCCTGTTCAACAGCTCCAAACGCTTATTCAAGAACGTCTCCAGCTACCTGAAAACGAGTTCCGACAATGGCGCCTGCTGTATGTACGTCCAGCGGAGCGGCATCCCGTGATCTACCTGCAACCCAATGGGCACGAAGAGAGCGAGCGATCCGCTGCGCTGGGCTCTCCAGAAAACACCGAAAAAGCTCACCACGGTGAACAACCTGTGAATCATTCGGAGACCACCAAGTCAGGGCGACCAAGCACTGAAAAGATATCCGAGTTGGCTGTGTCGAACGGTCGCCAGCCGAGCGTTGCAGAGGGCGTCACGGGAGCCGCGGTTGACACTGCTACCATGCTTTCGGCGGAAGAGAAACTGCTGCGTCGGGGGCTCATCAACCTGCAGGATTGCATTGTCGAGAACGATGATACTTATGTCCACAATTTTATTGGTCTAGAGCATCATGATTCGAACGCTACCAAGCGGAGAGCGACATCGCGACTGAGATACCTGAACGACAAGCCTTTGAAGATTGCTTAAAGAGCGAGCGGGCTGCTGACGTACCGCCATGAAGGCAGTGTGCGCTTGTGGACTGTTCCTAGCGACTTAAGTGATCGCTGCGCTTGAGCCGTGCATATTCTGAGCGAAGCGCGGAAACCAAACTGGATTTCGGGTACCTGCGTACGGTAGGTTAACTTGCGACATTTGCTGCAGCGCTTTATCACGGGTCTGTGCGCCGCACGTCTTTAAGCAAACGCTTCAGAGTCGGGGCCAGCAGCATGAACATGCCACCTGCAGGCAAGCGCGGCCTTTTCGTTCGGACGGAGGCAGAGCGTCTGCAGCACGGCTTGCGTTTGTCCCCGTTGACACGTCTGTGTGTGGTCGCATGCTCTGGTAGACGAATCCATTCGTCTGCTCAGATAATTCTATATGTGGATTGTATCCTGCAACCATGCCAGCATAAAATGGAATGGGCCCTCTCACTTGGCTTGTACACCAAGGTTTTTGTCTCTCGCAATCAATAGCAACGCTAGTGTTTGCCGGTTTTCTCTATGACTGCTTGCTCAATGCGTTCTTGTCTCAGGCTTTTAGAATGCTGGTCTTTCCTGCCCCACCAGCTCCGTTGTTCGCAGTTGATGGATGTTGATGGCTGCGTTAAAATCCCGATTTTACTGCTTCCGGCCGTGTTTCTGCGTATTTTATGCATACGTGAAAGTAGCGATTCACGTTCCGACTCTTATTTTCATCTTCCTTGGAAACAGCCTTGGTATGCCCTTCGCAGCCGTGAAACTCGAGGGAAGTCAATTATTTCCGTGTGTCCACCACATCGTCGCCTTCGAACGTCGCCGTGTGGGGCTTGAGCACATCCTTCATCGCCCTCTATATGCACTTTACGAAGACAGGAGAGTTCCTGGATATCATCTACCGTTTTCGCGCTTGGTGCCGTACCTGACGGTCACGCGCTTCTTCTGAGCGATCTTACGGACGAGTGCTCTGTCCGCTGCAAACGGGACCGCAAATGATTCCATTCGATAACTCACCATCCGCTTCCTCGAACGCTCTTCGTTTTTCGTGTATTATTCCCACAACACGAGTCAATGAGCATGACGGGACCATAGTACGTGAACCGCTCGTGGGCATCGCTATCCACTGTGCGGCCAAGGTTTCTGCTATTCCCATCTGTTTCGTTTGCTCAGTCATTGGACAATTCACTCGTTTTGTTCTCTTCTGCTGAGAAGAACACTCCAGATGCGCGAGCGAAACTCCTGAGCGTATTTGAGGGTCAGAGGGTTCCATACGAACATTCACGGAGCGTCGTCGGTTCCCACAGCGGAATCGGACCCTCCTTCGAATCTCACGGAAGCGCAGGTATCAAGGTTCGTTCTTCCTGGATCAATGCAGATGCAGATCGCATTGGGAAGCATCTCTATGAGTCGATACACCTCAAATATGCGCTGGTCCTACGCGTATTTCCTCTTCTGAGCACGAGTGCGTTTGAGCTCTCAGGGGCTCGTGAAGCGTGAACCAAGTTCGCTGTTGATCAGGATGACTACGCCCACGTCATCCGTCTCGACGCTGAACGATCCATCTCCTCGCCGTATCGCGAATGTACCGTTTCTTGCTTTTTCCTTTGCCTTGGCACCATTCTCTGCCTTCAGCCGCTGTTCGTTCATCTAGCCATACATGATTTCCTTCGAAGCCTCGAGCGAAAAAGTACATGATTCGCTTCATGAACTCCATGTCGTCGACCGGCTCTTTTTCTTCCGCGTTACTGTTCTCGACTGAACACCTCTTCGCCGCTTTGGCGCAAACGTCACATTCGAAATTACAGGAAAGTACACCGAAAACAAAGAGCGTGCGAGGAAACGAATACTGCGTGGAAGCTTCGAACAACGTTCGCTCGGTCGAGCAACGGACCGGGTGTTCGTAGCGTCATCTGGACTTGAAAACTATTATCATCATTCCTTGACAGCGAACGACGGAGCTAGGGAGATTCCAAAGACTGTGTTGTCGTTAAATCCCGGAGATGACAAATACGCAACGGATGCAGTCGCAGACGAAACCCGCAAAGACTGGTGTTGACGAACAATGGACCAAACGCGAAATCTAGCGTGAACGCTCGAGTCAGTGGACCCATTCTATTTTATTCTTGCATGCAAGTCGCAATGTGAACTGTATTACACGAGGCATTGGATCGCTCGCCTGCCACATTTCTGTCCATACTCGCCGGCACATTGTGAGCGCCATCTTTGCATGGTACGTTGCCGGCAAGCTCAGCATTCATCCTAGCCAGCGCATAGTGCAGTATATCATTGGATGGAACGCCTACATCAATCCTTCGACCCAATCGTATTCCCGGCAAGTGCATGAAGATAGAATCGTCAACGCGTGTGTATACGTTGCATATGAAGCAACCGTTTCTCATTCAGATCGGCACCAAGGGTGGCTCTTCAATGAAAACAAAAAGCGACAGTTTCGGAGGAAAGCTCGAAGCACCGTCGAGTGTTGTTATTGCGTCATCACATAAAGGGACGGAAACGCCCCTCGGAAAGCCAAACCTCTGACTGGCATAAAGAAGAGCGCGAGCGTCATTCGCGGGCTCTTTCTCGCTGGTGGACGGTGCGCTCTCCCGTTCTGATATGATAGGTTCTCGAAGCGTCTCTAGAATCAGACCAGTATCGTCTTGTTTCTCTGGCATACTAAGACGAAAATAGAGGCGGAATGTTCGACGCCATGTTTCAAGCGAAACTGGTGCCGCGAGTGGTGGCCACGGATACGTCAATACTCGACAGAGCACGAGGCGAAAACGGGACCGATAGGCTTCGAGAAGCTTCCACTTATCTGGTGTTGCTTCAAGGGCCTCGAGTGCCTCAAGATCTGGGAGAAGCACTCGAAGACGAACAAGCTCGAGCATCGAATGACAGGGATCCGTATTTGATGCCAGCTGCGCCTCTGCTCCATTCTGAGAGGTCTGCTTCGCCACAGATTCGACCGTCGGGTTCATATCCTGTTGTTCTGGAAGCTCTTGAATGGAAACAATCATCTCATGGACAGTACCTATAGGGCGTTGGCCGCGGTGGAGCAACGCGATGTGCTCAGTGATGTAGCGCTCGAGGCAGTCCACGGTGGCGACTCGAGTCGTCAAGTTGAACGCTATTTGCTGAGTAAAGTACTGCTCGGGGTACACCTTCGCAGCGTAGAGTAGATTGTGAACCAGCAGCCTCAGAAATCGATAGAGCTCCGCGCAAAGTGAAGAGTCTTCGGCACCCATGGCGTGCGTTTCCACAGAAAGTGCTCCAAACGGCAAAAGGTTTGCATTCGAACACGTCTTGCGACTCTACGCCAGCTGTGCTTTTTCAGGGACCTCGGAGCGCTTTCTGCAGTACCTCGTATTGCACGGGCGACTGCTCGTGGCGGTTTTACAGGCTAGTACGAAAAAGCTTGAGCTGTGTCCAGTGCTGGCACCTGCCAACTAGCTTGCAACACTTCCTTGAACGAACGCCGTCACTTGTCTAATCAAGTCTGTTATCTCCTGGTCGATCACGACATGCGTGCCAGCTTGGAACACTTCCTAGGAAGGTTGCTGGTACTCATGTGAAAAATCTGTTTAGTCCTTGTCGATAATCGCTCCTTTTTGAAAAATATTCTAGTCGTAAAACGCGTCAAGCCTACAGTTAGGCACGTGAACTCCAAAACGATTCTGACGCGAACCGCAGATGATCCACATGGTAGACTGTTGGTAGCGTTTTCGGCCTGCACCGCCTCATGCAAGCGCTTAGAAAGCGTTGTTCCTGATGATCGCTACAGCGGTCGTCATTCTGGATCTTCTACTCACCACAACGTGGATCCTTCGACTGGTCAACGAGCGAGTCTTCCAAATACCGCAGGTAGTGCTGAATTCGCTGGTTGCACTTGTGCTCTCGTTTGTGTTGAAGCAGCTGGCGCTGGTGGTGCCGCCCCTGCAGCAGGAAGTGGATCGTTTTACTGAAGTGATCTACGAATTCCCAGAACTTTTACTGGATTATTTCCTGGGATTTCTGTTGTTTGCGACTGCACTGCACGTTGATGTGCGAGAGTTCCGGCGCATTCGGGTAACGGTGTTCGCGCTCTCGGTACTCTCGACGCTCCTGTCTGCGCTCTTGGTAGGCGTCCTGACCTACGGTGGGCTGGCCAGCCTCTATGCGCTCAGTTTCCGTGAGGCACTGCTGTTTGGGGCGATTATTTCGCCCACGGATCCAGTTGCGGTAATGAGTATCCTGAAAAAGTATCGCCGCCAAGTTCCAGATGCTACCCGCTTTGCCATCCTGGGCGAGTCGCTCTTCAACGACGCTGTGAGCGTCATTCTCTACGTCGTTCTAATTCGGTCGGGGAAATCAACAGAACCCTGCACTTACTGCAGTGCAGTTTTTCGAGTCCTGCGGGTGTTTCTAGTAGAGGCCCTCGGCGGTGTCGCTATTGGTTTCGCATTCGGTCTGCTTGCCTGTCATGTTATCGGAATGGTGGAGGATGCGTTACTGGAGGTGACGACCTCAGTTGTGCTGGTATTGAATTTGGAAGTTTTTTGCTCCTATGTACACGCATCCGTACCGTTGGCAGCTGTGTTTGCTGGCATTGTCATGAGTAGCCGCGGACGCGGTACAGCCTTTACTCGACGAGGTGAGAAGCGATTGCTCCACATCTGGAAATTCATCGATGAAACACTTAACGGAATGCTCTTTCTTCTCATAGGTCTCTCGGCGGTTGTTTGGAGCCCGACCTCATCCTGGAAAAGCACGCTGCTTGTAGCTTGCATCACGATTCTTATCACGATGATCGCTCGAGCGGCCTCGGTGGTGCTCAGTCTGGCGGCGGTGATGTTGAGCAGCCGCTGCTGGCGCTACTGGTCACGAGGTCGCCGTTGGCGGTTGTTCGGGGATGCTGTTCACGAACCTCGGCACCGTCGTGCGGTATATAGAATCGATTCTGTAGCGATAATCATTTGGTCAGGTTTGCGCGGTGGAGTATCTATCGCCCTGGCACTCGCTGCTCCCGGTGCGTTGGAAGCTTCTGGACAGGCGGTGACCAGGAGCTTCAATCATTTGCTCTTCATGCTGACCTATATCGGTGTCGTCTGGTCGATTCTCGTCCAGGGATTGTTTTTTGGACGGATTTTGCGATTCGCCTATGGAGCGTCAGATTCCGATAGGGAGCGCAGCATCGACGGGTACGGTGCCCTCGAGGAGACGCAAGAGACGGCTTCGCTGTCGCGGCCAGAAACGCAATCAGCCCAGTGTAATGCCGATCTTAGCGAATTTCCTTTAGCTGCAACGTTGGATAGCGCAACATACCTGTCCGGTTTGATCAAAAGTGCGGAGGATGCACCCGACACGGTACCTGGTCATGATACGGGTCCCGAGGACGAGACCACCACCGAGACCAATCCGATTATGACCCGCTGGATGCACCAACAACAACAACAGACAGAAGATGCAGTGGTTGCCATAGACGATCGAGCGTTACTGCTCGGAGCACGAGAACTCTAGACAACGTTACAGGAGTCGCGTTAGGTTCCAGCGACCGTTTGATGGCGAGGCTCCTCCTTTCGTCTGATCTGAATCATTATGCTACGTACCCGCGTCCTTTCGCGGCATCCGTGCCAGCACTGCGAAACACGGTATGAGCTGCGTCCACTGTAAAGAATATGCGCGGCTTCCTGTTCGACCGAGAGACCCGCCCTTCCGCTGCGGAGCTCTGCGTTCCGTCACCGTGCCTACCATAGCCATTAGCGCCAACCGTGGTGCATTGAGCTCGCCGCAACTGCTTTGTTTTCAGGTGACGCCACAAGGCGCCAAGTGATAGGTTTACGGTGTGGGCGGTGCGAGCTTCAGCTGCCGGCGCTTTTTCGTATGTAGCCCTGAAACGTCTCCCAGTGCACCGGTGGGACTCTGATTGTACGCATCGAAGTATGCGTCATTTTTGGAGCAAAGTCGTTCCGTCTGACCTGGGATCTTGTGTGAAACGATTGACATTGATTGGTGTCACTCGGGTGCACTATGGGCTCTATGAAGCAGAAAGGTCCGCGAGAGCAGCTCATTTCACGTTACAATCCTGGTTTGGGAACGCACACATCTGGAGCAGAGTTGTAGCATCCTAGCATCCAAAGACCTGGGACACCAGCTGCGAGCAGTGCAAAGCCTCTTCCTAGTCGTGAATGACACAGCGCTGCGTCGTTTGCCTTGCCGCTGGTCCTGGAGGTGCATCGCGTCTACACTGCATGGACGCAGGTACTTCAGTGAGCCAGCGCATCGACCGCACATGGCAATGCACGATAAAACTATGCAAGCTTCTGTGTAAAACAGCAGTAGCAACTCGATGCAAACGAGTCAAATACGATGATCAAACAGGCGTATTGCTTTGTACGGAGTCTCATCCGTAATACCCAAGTAAGGAATACGATGAGTGTTCGACAATTACCCACGAGCATTGTTCGTGGCGAAGGTATATGGCAGTCCAGCCTTGATACAGTGCAGACCGTACCATACAAGTGGCTTGCTCCAAGCGGGGACTTAATCGCCGCTCTGATGATACATGATGTTTTTCATCGAGAGTCCGCAGCATTCCAGCACAATACCCACACTGCATACTAAACAATCGAATCGAAGCCTCGCCTGAAGTAAAGCCGATGGACGCTCCTGAAGAACGACGCAGTTCCAGATGCTGATGTGGGCGCTCAAATCTCGGTTCAGAAACTGGACGCGTTTCCCGTTCGTGATGGAGACACTCCACAGCAAGCGTCTCAACTGTGACTGCATTGCCACCTGGAGCTCAATGAACTCAGCGTACGTCATCTCATACGTCCGGCTCCGTTTCCAAATCGTCTCCAGCGGCAGTTTCAGCGTGTCTCTGTGCTCGCGATGTGAGAATCTCGTCCAGAGCTCATCACTGAGAGCACTTCAGTGCCGGTTCGCGGATCCCTTGTGCGTTATCGACGACAGTCCAGTTCTGCAACTAGAGCGCGTCCACCGCCATGCACTATCTTTATAAGATGCAACCGATCGGCCAGTTCCGTTTCCAGTGCTTTGAGGAAGCTTGCGAATACCCGCCTCGTGCCCGCGAGCGGTTGCGACTGTTGGAGACTCGAGCTCGGTCCCGCGTTCCTCTGCCATGGCTCGTCCGCATGAGCGATCTAGTCGCTCATACCCGTTATGAATGAGGTGCGCAGTGCATCTCCTTTTGCCCGATACCGTACTCAGCGCGTCACGACAGGTCTTTACGTCGTCATTCCACGAGTTGGTACGCCTGCTGGCGTCGTTCACGTCCAACTCCGGATGATACCGAGCCCTGGAGGCGTGGAGCAGACTCATTTGCTTTCCGTTCAGGTCTCTGGCGCTGCCCCGTGACGAACGGGCACGGTGACGGCCACGGCGCCCTCAGAAACGGCATCCACGCGCACCACGAAGCCTTCACGTTCGTTTTCCGTAAGCGGTTGAATATGAGTCTCGTTGCTCCCATCGGGCCGCGGTTTCGCAAAGTGCATGCTGTTTGATGTGCCGTGCGCGTCCCCAAGGCCCCTGTACATCGCTTTCCGTGTTTTCCCAGCCAACGAGTGGCGTTGAACGAGCCCCGCCAACGCTCTGCCCGAAATAGGCAGAGTGCCCCCTAGCTGCTCGTGCGCACACATCGTAGACCACTGAGGACGTCGTACACCACACAAATATGCACGGTGGTATCATGGGCTTTGCCCCGAAATGCGGGGACCGTATCGACCAGGGGTTTGAGGATGCAAAGGCGCTCACATACGACCAGAGGGTCTGCCTTGCGGTGGAGCGCCGCGTTCGCGAAAACCTAGCAGCGCAGGATGCAAGTTAGGCCAGGTCAACGCCCGCGTAATCCTTCCGAGACGACGTGCCCAGCTCCGGAACAGAAACCTACTCCATGAGCTCGGACGATCTGGAGCGTCGCTCGTTCTCGATGCGACATCTCCGAGCTCGCTTCCAGCACCTTCTCGTCCGGAGCCAGCTCGTCACGTGCCTCCACGGACATCCCAAGAGCCGCTTGCGTCAGTCGCCAACATTTCGTCGACCACAACGCTGTGGACGCAACGAGTACAACGCCTCTGGGGTGCGCCTCGTAGGGTAGTCGCCACGGACCCGCTCTTGGCTATAGGTTCTGAGGTTTGGGCGAAACTTTTCCTGGCACCTACGCTGTCCATGGGCCGAGCAACCATGTAGTGCAGCGCAGAAACGGATGCCGGCCAGCGTGTGTATTGGTCAACGACACCACGAACAGGCCCGCTGGCATGCTCGGAGCGGAGCATTCCTAGTGCTGTCGCTCGAGGGTTTGACCAAAAACTCCCTACGAATGCGAACTGCTGGCAGCGCTGCCTCCGAAACCCTTCCCGCCAGTTGCTGCACGAGGGGCATCCATTCGGGGAGAGCTAGGCGGGCCTTCCGTCAACCACATTCTACGCAATACCTAATAGCCCTGGGCATCTCACGTACTCGGAGAATTTTTTCCGTTGATGCGTTCTGGCACCGACGTGTAGGCGCTGGTTTCGGACTGGCCTTTCCAGTGCGCAGGGTTTCCTTCCTGACTCTCGTCGTCCTCTTTGCGGCTGGGATCCTTCTCTTTTCTGTCAGGTGGTTGCTTCGCATTCTCCTTTCGTGGCGGGTAGCGTGGATGTGCACGTCGCACTCCACTTCCATTTTCTTACACCGGCAGTCAGACCCCGTGGATGGACGGCGAGCCAGCAACTTGCCTCCCCGCGTATATATGTTTCCGATCCCGCAGCTGCCTTTTCCACGAGCTTCTCAGCCGCGAGCGTGCCAAACGCCTGAGGCGCGCTTCACCGATCCCTCCCCGCAGGCGACCCGCTCAGCACCAGAGTCGTTCAACGCTGACGAAGACTGAAAACGACTTGTCCAAGGACAGCGTCACGCATCCGAACGTTTTTATGGAACGCATCCTGAGGGAAAGCATGGCGACGGAGGACAGAGAAGACGCTTCCAACTGGACTGAGCGTGCACTTCCAGGCTGAAGCGAACACCAGCTCAACGCTCGTCTCAGCTGCGCACTCGTGGAGCGCCTTTGCGTCACAGCAAGCAACGTGGCCTACCCGCAGGACAGAATAACGCGAGAAGCAGAGGCCACAGAGTGCTTCGAAGAAGGGAGGCAGACGTGTTGCTTGAGTCTGCCTGTTTGCCGAGACTCAGGCGACTACATGCTTGAATCGCCGCTGGGGCTGATGTTGTCGTCGCTACGCTCACCGGTCGAGGCTTTACGAGAGGAATTTTTGGCACCGCTTTGCGTATCTACGTTTAGATCCTCCGTTTTTCACGAAAGAGCTGTTACCGAGAGAGGCGAGTACCGGTCGCTCCTGTCATAAGCGTTCGCCTATCAATGCGGAATCGAAATTGTCCAGCTCGTGACGGTCTCCTGGGGAGGCACCTTTTTTTCTCTTTGCCCATCCATGTCGCTTCACCACGGCTCATATCAAGGGTATGGAAAATTCGCATCCAGTGGGTTTTCTGATACCGTTTCTTTGAGCATCTATGGACTGGCGTACACTGATGGAGAGACAGTCATGTCGATAGCACTTGGAAGGCCCTATTTTGGGATCATGAGCGGCAGGAGAACGACCCGCTCAAGCGAGACTGACCCGCCTGTTGATCACAGAATGAATGACTTGTACATTCAAGACCGTCTCCGCGCAAGCTAGCAGTGCCAGCGGGACGACTATCCGCGACTTTTTGCATATCCAAAGGACGCCACTGTCAGTTGCATATCTGCGAGAGAGACGATCGGAAACAAATATGGGCTGCTGGTCCAGGTGTTCCAGGATTCACTGGTCTGAGTACGGTGTTTTAGATATTCGTATTACGCTTTCAGCTCGCATTGACTTTGTTATCGATAAAATTGGGCGCATACCCATGACGGTGCCGCAAATCTGTCCTGTTTTCGCGCGTTCACCATTGTACTACATGCTGGATTGCTACGAGCGCCCACGGCAAGGCTCTAGGTCGCGAAACTCGCTGGGTCGACCAAAAGTCCGTTTCTCGGCAGCCGACTTGGGGCCCGCTCGCATACCGGGCCAGAAGAATCGGTTGATCAATCCGTTCCCCGTTTCCCGGAAGCCGACTAGATGCTCGCGGGTGCATCGAATCCAGCTCATCCCGATTAATTCACCTGATCCCGATTTCTTCGCTGTCGACATGATCCTCGCAAGAATGCCGCATTCGTACCTGTGTAAGCGCGCTTAACATAGCGCTCTGATCGTTTTAAAGTGCTGCTCGCAACCGTCGCTCATCAAAACCGTCATCTTCACATCGTTCCAGTAGAGCAGCGGCTCCCATCCCGGTACCAACACACATACTGACCACGCCATAGCGCCCCTCCCGGATAGCAAGCTCGTGCAAGAGCGTCACACAGAGACGAGCGCCGGACATGCCCAACGGATGACCGAGTGCAATTGCACCGCCATTCACATTGAGAACGTCTCGGTTGAGTCCAAGTTTCTGGACACAGTATTCCGCCTGAGAGGCAAATGCTTCATTGATTTCGTATAGATCAATCAAATTAGCTTCGACTCCAGCCTGCGAAAGTAGCTTCGGAATAGCGGCCGCGGGTCCTATGCCCATGATTGCTGGCGGCACGCCTGCAACCGCAAAGGCCCGGAACGTTCCCAGCGGCCGGAGACCCCGCCGCCGTGCCTCGCTGCGCTTCATTAAGAGTACCAGTGCCGCTCCATCGCTGACTTGGGAGCTATTCCCAGCTGTAGTGGTACCCTGCTTTCGGAAGACTGGCGGGAGCTTGGCCAACGCTCCAGTGGTGACGCCCAAGCGAATACCCTCATCGCGTTGCGCCACAACCGGTTGTGGGACTGCGGGCGCGCGTTCCGCCGTGGAGAGGTTCCCGTCTGCTTGCTTCGCCGCTTTCCTGGTGGGATACACTTGTGTCGAAATGGGAAGGATTTCTCGCTCGAAGCGTCCCGAAAGCGATGCACGTGACGCTCGAGCATGACTCGAAGCTGCGAAGCGATCCTGCGCTGCTCGACTGATCGCAAAGCGCGCTGCAACGTTTTCCGAGGTGTCTCCCATACTGAGATAGGCATCCTCTGCTGCTGCGCAACTCGCTAGGCGGTGACTTCTGCGCTCCAGACTTAACTGGATAGCATTCATCGACATGGATTCCACACCCCCGGCTATAGCGATACCATAATCGCCTCGCTGAATGGCAGCGGCAGCGTCAGCGATAGCCTGCAACCCCGACGCACACAGCCTATTTACCAGCCGCACTGGAACGGTATCAGGAAGGCCAGCACACAGCGCAGCGACGCGCAAACTCACAGCAGCCGCATCACCACGAGGTAGGGCGGTTCCGACGATAACGTCTCCGACCTCGGCGGGTTTCACAGCTGATCGATCCAAGAGCGCCCCGATGAGCGGCGCAAGCATGTCTTCGGGGAGCGTATCCTTCAGGAGGCCGCGCCCCGCTTTTCCGATCGCGGTGCGAACAGCGGCCACGAACACGATATCGTCGTCCGAGCCTGTCGCTAAACGAGGACGAGGAGGCCGCTCCAGCACAGGTTCAGTTGACCTTAGCGCACATTCGAGGGCAAACGACGGAGCGAATAGCGGGCACTGCGTACCGAATCGTGTATCCCATTCGCGCAGGCGCTCCAGGATGAGACGCGGCCCGCCGGGAAGATGCTGAGCCCAGTAGAGCAGGCCACCTCGATAGGCCGGAAAACCGTAGCCAAGCACCGATGCAACGTCGAGGTCAGCTGCTTTGTCGGCAATACGCTCCTCGAGAACCCGCATGGCCTCGTTGACGACCGGGAAGAAAATCATCTGCACGATGTCTAACGGCGTTAATGGCTCGCGCAGCGGTGGCGGCGTCATAGAGGCAAGGAGCGGATCCAACATCTCCCTATCTTCGATCGGTTTGCGATGATCCGCACCGTAGCGGTAAAAGCCAGCACCGCTCTTCTGACCTTTTCTGCCCATCTCAATCAACTTGCCCGCGATGCTGAGGCTACAAACTCGCTCGGGATACGACATGCTAAAAACCTGGTTCACAGAATCACAGATGTCGAGACCGACGAGATCCGCAAGGCCGAAGGGTCCCATTGGCAGACCAAGCACCTCTTGACATGCACGATCGATGTCGTATGGATGAATACCGAGGTACTCAGTGAGAAAGAACGCCATTTGGGTCTGGGGGAAGTACATTCGGTTCACGGCAAAACCGGCGCAGTTGCCCACAATGATTGGTGTTTTCCGCAGATGTTTCGCAAACGCAAGCACCATCTGCACTGCGCGGTTTCTGGTGCGGTTCGCACGTACAATTTCCAGGAGTGGCATAACATGTGCAGGACTGAAGAAGTGTGCACCAATCAGACGCCCTTCCTTATGGACTTGCGGAATCGCTTCACCGATCAAGTCCAAGTTGATCGTGCTGGTGTTGGTCGCCAGAATGCAGTGTGGTCCCGTGCATTCCGCCAGCGATCGAAAGATGCCTTGCTTCGCTTGTACATTTTCGACGGCTGCCTCGACGACGAGGTCTACATCACTGAAAAGCTTTTTGTCGAATTCGATCGTGCCTTGAAGTCGCCGCCTGGCATCCGCGGTGTCGACCTTGGCGCGGCTCAAGATAGCCTCAATACGCTGTATAGCTGCAGCAAGGGCATTTTCATTGACTTCTTTCAAGACGACGCGTCCACCATTTTGTAGGATACATGCTGCAATCCCGCTTCCCATGAGGCCACCGCCGATCACCGCAACTGTCCGAGGCTCATGAAGGTGCGGCTCTGCCTTAAAATTCGTCACTGTTCTTCGCGAGGCAAGAAAGACATGAATGAGAGCTCGTGATGCCTCCGACGCCGCGCACTGTCGAAAAAGCTCCGCTTCTAGTGCCCAGCCAGCATCGCCACCACCACGCTCAATGCCTTCGAGGACAGCTCGGACACAGCTTTCAAACTGGATCTGACCAGTTTTCTGCCGCATTTCTACAGCTCTCGGCAGATACTTGCTGCGAATTTTCTCAACGTCGGCATTCCCAAGCTTGTCCGTTCGGGTTAATAGCGGTGGCGGCATCTTTTGAGGATCTGAGGCGACTTCCAGGGCTACAGCACAGGCCTCTCGCAGTAACGTCTCTCGACGACTCGCTGGAACGAGACGGTCGACGAGCCCGCAGCGATGCGCTTCCTCGCCGTCAATGATTCGCGAGTGCATAATCATATCGAGTGCTGGCTCAACGCCGATCAGTCTGGGAAGACGCTGGGTACCACCAAGACCGGGGATAAGGCCCAGTCTGAGCTCCGGAAGTCCAAGCTTTGCATCCGATAGAGCAACGCGAAAGTGGCACGCGAGGGCGAGCTCCAGGCCTCCGCCAAGCGCTGTGCCTGTGATACAGGCCACAGTCGGCTTCGGACTAGTCTCTAGCAGCGTCTTGAACGGCTCCGTATCCAAAGAGATAATATTCTCCGCACTTCCAAGCTTTTCAGGGAACTCGCCGACGTCAGCCCCGGCCGAGAAGGTGCTCTCGCCACCATACAGCACGATCGCCTTCGCCCGCCGATCAGCAACAACGTTCGCGACGTTCAAAGCCAGCAAACGCCGTAGGTTCACCGAAAGCGCATTCACTGGAGGAGCAGAAAAAACGATGATGGCAACTCCGTCGGGCTGGTATTGCACACTCACACTCTCTCCCGTCATAACTGAGTGAGTTTTCGACCCAGAAGAGAATCTAGAGCGTAGGTACGTTCACGAATCGAGATTGCGACTGGGCAACAGCGCGCGTCGCGACATTTCGGGGGTGCCTACCAAAGCACCCCCAAGTAATCCCTCCTGATCGATGACACGGGCGCTTTCCTGGGAGACGCTTCGACGAGGCATGCAGGGGCTCTCGACAGATGCTCTGTTTCTTTTTATTGTCGGAAACATCTTTGACACCCACACGCATATGTACATATATACAGGGAGAGAGAGACCCAGGTTTACCAATTGAGGGCTTTATAGTATCGATTGGCCAAACGTCCATCGTTCCGTATGAGTTCCACGACCGATACGTTCCCTCCTAGGTATTTTCCACGTTCTATCTTGGGCTGCGTGCCTGCCCTGAGCAGCCCCGATAGCGCCTATATCGCTGGTGCGGTCGTAGCAAGGAGTCAGAACGGCTTTGCTTTACCACAGAGCGCGTCTGCTGCAGAAGCGGGCCATAGGTGCTTTCAATTGGCGCGCTGCTGCTGAGCAGCGAGGGCGATACCATGTAGGTTGTTGCCAGCTACCGCAGGACTTGCGGGAGGCTGCTGGTACCCTGTGTCTGTTAGGCGCACATCGCTTGCTGCACATAGCCCGATCAACAGTGAAGTACTTGCCGCGTGCAAACCAAGGATTGGAGTCCGTCGGGAAGCGTCGCGTATACTCACGCTTTTCTCTCGCGCTTTTTTATGCAAGGAGGGACATTCAAGTTCTGCGACTTGACACCAGGAGGAAAGACAGGCCAGGTATGTTTGATGCGGCGCCCATATGTTGCATGGGGTTGATATTCTTATGCGCGAGCATCGAGATCCTCAGCTAGAACGCTTCCGATCCGCTTGCAATTCTTGACAAAGACCTTAGGGGAACTGATCCAATACCAGGGCCAGCCAGGTGGACCATCTGCCTGCTTTCCGTTATGGAAAGCGCAAAGGCGACACGAACTTTATGATTTTCTTCGTGTAGTTCTTCGTCATGAAATACGGAAACATCGCCAGCAAGGAAGCCAGCGTCGTGTGTCCCCCAGCACCAAGCGTGTGGTGGCCGCTGCAGCAGCGGCCCTTTCGTTGCGTTTGTTAGGTGCAATATTGGTGAGTCAAAAGAGGGATCTTCGCTGGCGCTGTTTTGATCGGCGGCTAGGAGAGTACTTCCATGTCCAAGCGCTTCATATTTGACGCAACGCGTCGGCAAGCGTCGAGAAGCATACGTATTGAATGAGCTGCTGGCCAACAGCAATCCCGAGAGCCCACTCGCATATGTGCCACGTGAGTCAGATATCCATGGAACGTTGAACTGCTCACTATGTCCTGCTTGAGATTTTTGTTCGAAATTGTTTGATGATCAGCGTCGCCATTCGAAGTGCAGCAGTTAGGGCTTACATATTCAATGATCGTTTGAGGATTCTCGGACGTATTTCAGGAGCGGCTCCTTCCACGCTTTGCCGTTGGATTACTTTACGTCACCGGAGTCAAGATGATTCGCGACGCCATTGAACAAGAGTTCGTAAAACAGGCTGTATCACTATCCAATTCAAATGTACAACTTTCGACGCTTCTCTTTTCCTCACATAATGCAAGCTCGAATCACGCATGGTTCATGTTTTCGATCTTCGTGTCTCAAGGCAACTGGTAGATGCGGCATTTCGCGTACGGGGATTGACAAGGAAAGTATCCCGACGTTGCTCCTTGAAGATTATTTTTCAAGCCCATGCTGAAAGCTCACTGCGTATGTCATTTCAAAGAGGCGATTCCGTTCGAAACACAAATCCTCCTCTCCTTGAAGCCATCGAGGAAATGACGCTCGACAGTAGCATGGCACCTTTCACGGTATATGCTCCCAGGTGCTCCGGTCTCTTCTGCCTGAACGGAAACGGGTCTGGTAATTGGACCTGAGTCATCAACACGATCCATTGCGATAGAGGAGAGTGCGCCAGCGCTTCGCACGAAGGAGGCGTAGATGTATCGAAATTTCTCGACTTCTTCTCTTGCCCCTATTTCCCTTCCAACACTCGTGTCATCGTTGAAAAAAGCGCGTTCCAAGAATCCTTTATCGGGCAGAACAGCATGCGCTTGCACATACAGCGGACGTCGTACTCGCTCAGGTGATCGCCCAAAGGAAGCCGGCGATTATTGGGTCCGTTACCGGACGTGGAACTGTCGAGGAAATCGAAGCCAGCCTTCTGTGCCCGTTATGGGACTGTACTAAACGATGTAGCAAGCCTTCGCGCGCCGCAGTGCGGCAGCCTTCGGAAGAAGACGTTTAGTGGACATACAAAAACACCTGAACGCACCCGAGTGTCATTGCTGCGAAGCGTGCATCGAGCCTCTGCACCAAAAAGATGAAAACCGCAAACGATGTGTTGCTCGTAACTTTTCCCTATGCTCGGAATGCGTGCACAGTTTTCGGAAACTGCGGAATAGGGATTTCAAAAGTGTGATCCACATCCTTCGACTGCTAACAACAGAAATAGACGGACGTGAGAGACTGGCATCTTTAAAGCCGCAGATAAGAGAGAGGGAAACGATTTGTCTCAGAAAAAGTCCGCAGAGGTTAGTGGTCACTAGAGCAGCGATAGACCCGCACTAGTTTGTGAACGTCTGGGTTGGAGTAGTGGATCCGTTCTATTTTACACCGATTTTGGTGACGAGGATTCACGTAATCTTAGGTTTGCTTTTACTGTATTAGAACGTTTCCGTTTCCTAGACGTTCCTGTCACATTACAGGTAGTTTGCACCGCAGCGCCATGGCCAGCACACTCTAAAGATCGCTTTCAGGGCACTTTCATACACCGAAACTCGCCGTAGAAGTGTACCGCTTCGCTGCACCCGCATCAGGCGTTGCTGCGAACGTGTTCTAACATTGTCTAGCGGTTCGGGTCTTCCCAACGGGACGCTGCCTCGCTGATGTATGCGTCCACGGAACTCATCTCCGTTTCTGCTGGTTGAGAATGATGCTGCGAAAAGGCTCAAGTCTCGGACACCAGCCGGTTCTGGAAAGAGTGCAAGTACCCAAAGCGTGCATCGCTCGGGACCTGCTCACGGGTTCGCCTGCAGAGCTGAGGCGCGTCTCCAAGAAGCTCACTGGAACCATCGGGAACCGTTTGCGAGAACTCGAAGACCTACTGCATTCCATCCCGAATAACGCGGATACAACGGTGAGCGTACCTACGCTTGGCAAGTTGCTCGTGCGTACTGAGCATCTCAGGGTGTACCTAGTCGCTCTCAAAGAGGTGGTTACGGCTTTGCGCCGACAGTCTCCGGACGGTGAACTGCCAAGCGTTGATATCGAGGGCCAACTTGACGCCTTTCTGCAATGGTTCAATAAGCTAGACAAGCTCGTCGAGCGACGACTAGACAAAGTGACCGAGGCAGCGCCTGGAGTGGAGCGCCTGGCGTCTGCCGAAGCGTTGCCTCGGAGGGAGCAGTCCGACCCCGAGACCGTCGTTGCTGAGACGCTCGCGGAATACGCTCCTTTTTTTAAGTTGTTTGAGCCTATGGAAACGAAACGAGAAGAAGGGCAGGAAATCAAACAGCCTGTACTGCGACGCCGACGAAGCCACCCTGGCAAGGAGCATACCTGGTTGGAGCTTCCATCGGTCGCAGCGGACCCCACCGGACAAGTCTCATCGACGAGCTCGCGATATGCCATCAAAGCACCAGATGGGGTTCTCGCGCATTTCCAGCTTCAGGACAGGTACGTTGAGGTCTTATCGGATACCGTAGGTCGCATACGTGAGCATGCAGAACAGATTGAAGAATCGGTGACGCGAGACAATGAGATATTGGATCGGATGCAACCCAAGTTGGAGCGGAATCTGGAGAGTGTCCGAACGCAGCAGGGAAGGCTGCAGACCTACGTGAACGAACGGGTGCGCTCCATCTGCTCCCAGTGGCTATTGGTAGCGGTTGCCATCGCGCTATGGTTCGTTGCTTTCTTGGCGATCCGGATGGGGTAGTTGAATAGAGCGGTGTCGCGACGGGATTTGTTCACAGGAAGGAACCAAGTTTGGGACTCGAGCGCATATATCTTGGAGTCCGAGTTGTTTCGTGGCTGGACCATGCATGGAAAACCCGTCGGGTGTGTATGCTGATCGACGCTAGGACGCGCTTCATAGGCAAAGCGCCTTCGACATCCGGACCGTGGCGTTACCAAGGATGTTCTCTGTGGCGGCATCCGAGTGACGACGTTGACCGTGGTTCATGCAGCCCCGGTATCGTCCGGTAACGGCAGTAGGTGTGGGTGCAGAACGTCAGTGCAGTGGCTGAGGCGGCAAAACAACTCCTCCTCTAGCTTGCTATTTTAGAAACGTGGCGGTGAGAACGAGGCAAGATTTAGGGCAACACAGGTGCACAGAGCTTTTGTGAACACGAAATGCACGCTTCTATGTATCCGCTCTGTGACCGCAAAATCTGTTTCCACGCGTGCGCTACTTTTCAAGCGTTTCTCGTGAATCGTATCGTCGGTTTAAGCGGCAAACACGAAAGAGTTCATTACGCGAAAATACGCTCCGCATGGAATCCTTCTTCGTCATGGATGACAGCAAGAATGAGATTCAATACAACTGCGAATGTGTGAAGGTGACGACGATTTCCGACGGATGCATGGGAGCATGGGCGCGGGCCTTTGGTGAAGCGACCCGAGGGTGTCGAAGGCTTCGTGGCTACGCCCATTCCGCACTCCACTCGTCATATCATGCTTGATCTTTCGGACGAGGCGGCGTACCAGGTGGTGTGGTGTGCGCACTTGAACTGCTATGGCCGGCTAGACGAGTCTGCTCCAGACGTGCCCGGAAAGCGGCAGCGGATACACGTGGACTGGAGTCGCGGCTGAATGAACGCCGCCTGCGAACAATGTCGCGCTCGCTTTCGGAGTCACTCGGTGTTGCGGGCGGTAGATCCAAGCTCGAGCGTGCATACTGACTCAGCTGCTTTTCCAACGCTGCTTTTTCCTTTTGAAGTTTCTGTACTTCGCGCTGGAGGCGGTTGACAATAGCCTCCTGCTCTGCCTCTAAAGCGTTCTCCATGTCGATTTTCTCCTTTTTCAGTTGCTCCAAGCGCTGCTGGAGCGTATTAGTTAAGTACTCCTCCTCTCGTTCAATATCACGAGCGAGCTGTTCTTTCTCTAAACGAAGCTCGCTGAGGCGTTTGTTCAGGCGGTTCGTTAGGGCCTCTTCTTCGGCTTCCAGCTGCTGCTGGATGCGTACGTTCAGCGCTTTCTGCTGTTGCACTTCGTTTTCCAAAGCAATACGCCGACGGCGTTCGTTGGCCAGTTCTCCTTCCAGTTCCTTTACTCGTGAGAGTGCCTCCAGCAGCGCAGCTGTGGCCTCGAGGGAGTCCGCGGGCAGCCGCGCGTCCCGCGACTCCACCGGGCTCGATAGAGCAGCATCGCTGGAAGCTGTCGGTGCTTCCATGCAGGAGCTCGCACGCACACACAAACACAGCTCGACTCAGAACTTTCTGAGATAGCGGGATGACAGCAAAAAAGCAAAGAAGCAGAACCGGATACTAGAGAAACTGTTCACAAACAACAAGAAAGCTGAGGCGTCCCGAAACGCGTGCACAAACCCAATGGCGTCTTTTGCGTTGATTTTGTTTCCAATGACAAACCGCTTACGTTGACCACGGATGATCCCAGATTGCGGGACGGATATTGATAATTGGAAAATCGATTATCATGCTGCACCCTACCTCCAAGTTTCATCACTTGCACTTCCTTTCGGATGTACCGGTCCTTTTGTACGTTCTATTCTGACGCCGAGTACCTGCCTTGATGCACCCGCCAAAGCGCTTTTACGGCTGGTGCGCATCCAGCATGGAGATAGAACTGCTTTGCTATACCAGCTGAGGGCGTCGGCTCGAGGCGTAGTCCATTCGACGCGGAGTCGGGATACATTGTCATTCTCGGAGCATGCAAACTGCGCAGAAAGACGTACCTTTTGGAGCAGCGCGAAGCGATGTGCAAGGAGAGCAACCCGACCAGTGCGACGCCCAGAGGCAGTCTACCCGCTCCTAGTCCCAGAATAAAGTGTGTTGTGTACGAGCTGCTCATATCTAACCAAAGCACCAGTCATTGTTGGGGGCACCAAGCGCGAGCCCGGCAAAGGCGTCAGGGTCGCGGGACCTTCCGCCTAGATCGTAAGCTTTCGACAACATGGAAAGTTTTTCCTCCTTTTAACATATACCATGAGAGTTGAACGAAAATATCATCGAATTGCTAGTCAATTGTTTGTTTTTGTTCTTTTCTATTAAGCACGGTCGATACACGCACCTCCATATCAGGCTTTCACGATGTGTACGTCGCCGTTGACGGGGAATGAGATCCAGATCATCAGCGCGTTGCTGTAACTTACAAGTGGTCTTTGCGTTAAAGTCGTAGCAAAGTATAGTTTTTCAATTCGATTGTGTTTCAAACCTCAAACAAAAGTTTTTAAGTGATTTTTTGCTGGTTATAGTAGAGGCTTTCAAAGAGCGTTCATATTCAAAAATTAAAAAGGAAAGAATTGAAAAATCAAGTCGACGATCATGGGGACCAATTGTCGCCGGCTGCCAGAAAAAAAAAACAAGAAACAGTGCCAAGTCGAGAGGAAAAGGAAGCGGAAAAGAGGCAAAAGGGGGAGGCCTTACGTCGAAGACTGCAAGAAAGACGACAGTACGACGAGATGGTCGTGAAAGCCTGTCTTCTTGGACATATTAAAGATCCGTATAAGGAGAAGATGCGAGAAGCCATCGGAAACCGTGTCGATTCGTAATCCATGAGTATTATACACGCTTCGTAAGGGCTAATGCATTTGGTGAAGGAGATGTATCGCAACGCGACGGAAATCAAAACAGTCGAGGTTCCGGAGGAATTTTCAACAAGACCTTCGTTCGCCACCTGATGGTTGGTACACGGCAGGCGCGGAGGGATAATGAGCCAGTGCACGCCCTCTACGAAAATTTCGTGGAATTCCGCGTCGAGGGTACTCGATACATGGGTAACCGGGATATTTACACCTACGGAGCGACGAAGTACCTCACGTACCGGAAGAACCATATGACTATGAACCTCAAACGCTTCATGATAGGCTTCATCTTTGCGCTGTACCCGGGCCTCTCTCGCAAAAGGATATGGGCCATCATCGATAGCATCACGAACGATAGTAAGAATGAACAGGAAATGGAATTCGTCCACAAGAAGACATCATGCGAGGGAGAGAATAAAGCTTCTGTGATCTGTGCGGCTATTCAAGAGCACCGTGCGGTTCTGGGGCTGATGCATCCACAAAAAAGGGTATCAATTATGAAAAGGATGGCATCCCTTTATCCTGCGGTATTTCGTGTCGCTGAGTCGAGAACTCGAGCGCAAGGCGGAGATGAAGCTGATTGAGGGAAAAAATGAAGAGTGGGAGAGACGGAAGGCGTTCCTAATGGGGAAGCGCTTCAACGTGGTTCCAATGTGCAACATCAAGTCACATTTTGTTACTATCGAGTCCAGAATCCTTTACGGCATCATTAGCGAGATCAGTCCCGAGTTCGGTGTCAGCAAGGAGGGATTCTCCGGCGAAAACCGGGAGAAGTACTGGAAGAATATCTTCGATTTCAAACGTCTCAAAGTCAGCAAACAAAAGGTATTCGCTGGGATGATCGAAACCGATGGAGTAGCCTTGAGTGTGCACAATCGGCGCTTGAAGACAGATCGTCCAGCTCCGCCCGCGACGAAGAATGAAGATGAGAAGCAGGCGGGTCCTGCGACACAGAAAGTGCAAGATAACGACTTGGTCGTTGGCGCGGACCCCGGGAACACGAATATCGTTACCATCGCCGCACTCAAATGTGGGGAAGACGGCATTGACGGCAACTTACGTCAGAAAGACTTGCGTCTATTGAGGTTCTCGAGAGCGAGATACTATCGAGAATCCGGTATAATGAATGTGAGGAAGAAAATTGTTACGTGGAATTCAGGAATGAAGGATCACCTGGAAGCTTTGAGCGAGGTGACGAGCCGAGGAGCGGGCTTACAAGCTTTTCGGAAGTTCATGAATGTACGTGTTCCTCATTGGGATGCACTGTGGGAGGAGTATACAAATCCCAGTTGGGCTCTTTTGCGAATGAATTTATATTGCGGTAAGCGGCGGGCGTTCGCGAACTTTTTCAATCAACTGAGCGCCCTCAAAGAGGATCAAAGTCGGAGGCTCGTAGTAGCATACAGAGCAGGGCGCTGGAAGATCCAAAAAGGGACTACTCCAGCTCCAAAGACAAGAACGTACTAGGAGTGCGCACGGCGTTTTGTCACGATACCTGTTGATGAGTTTCGAACGTCTTATCCACACCATGAACCGGGATGCACACTTCAGGGGGTCGAGATGGAACAGTGCCAGAGGAGCCCTGAGGATATGAAATGGTACGGACCGCTGACGGAAGAGCAAATGGAAATGAGAGCGAAAGTTCGTGGACTACTTGCACTAATAAGTACAACCAGTGATGGCAAGAAACGTATGGAATTCGTGAACCGAGACTTTAACGCCGCTATCAATGTAAGGAAATAGGCGGTGCTGGAGAATAGACCTCCAGAGCTGATACGAGAGAATTTTATTGGAAAACCTCTCAAAGTAGAACTATATGAGAAAAAGTTTGAAGAAGTGGTGGGTGGCCGGTCCAAAAAGACGGAGAGGCGTCTGCACCTCAGTTGGAGACTTCTTGTCTAGGGCAGGTCACTCGCCACTACTATACACGCCCGGTGACAACGTTTCTCTTTCGAAAGGCGTTGTTGGTGCGTGCTGTGCCGACTTGATTATGCTACCTTTTGATGGAATCTCTTCACGAACGGCCCCGTGAAACCGGTGAGCACGTTGGTTCGTGGAACTCCGAAAAAACACGCCACTCCCGGGGGCTCCGGGTCGGTCGCTCGTTCTCAGCAGAGCAGCTTCACATTGCGGGACGCCCGTTCGAACCTCTGGCGAAAGAGTTACGTTTGTTAGGATCCGTTGGCGGTTCAGGCAGCTCCACGGTAGGCACTGGCTCGTTTTCGCACTGTAATTCTGAGTACGAGAGCACTTGCCGCGCTTACAATGCACGGCAAAACCAGTCCCGAGCGACAGCGGCTGCCGTCGTTCCCGAACGGCCTCGCCACAGTGACACGACCGAGGACGGCAACCGACAAGCAGCAAGTTCGGAGAGAGGCACGAAAAAGCTGTCTTTTCGTCAGCTCAAGTCGTTGCACGTCTCCTTGAGCACGGTGGAACGTGCCGTTGCCGCTGCCGGCGCCAAGGAGTCCAACGAAAAAGCGTCCGAGCTCAAAGTCATTGAAAGCGTTACACCGTCGAGTTTGCTGCAGGAGGCTCTAATGCGTGCATCTCGACGACGAGCTGATGGCAAAATGATAATCAATTTGAGCGCCCTTACCGAAGCCATTGATGAGTTAGGTCGAGCAACCGAGCAGCTGGACTGTTACACGGCTCATCTCTACCAAGCGCAGGCTTTGGGAAGTAATCGCTACGTCCGACTGCGGGCCGGCCCGGAAGCTGTTGCGCAGCGAACGCTCGCACTGGATTTGGTGTCGGACGCTTTGTCGAAAGCACTCGGGACGCTTTCTGAAAACTCGAACCTTATTCGTCGCTCAAGAAAAGAACTGCACGTATCAGAAGAGCTATTCGAACGCAAAGTAAGCAAGCGTTCATTTCTGCGTTCGGTTGTACAGAGTCTTGAAACTATTCGACGGATGCAGCAGCTCTTAGACGAAGTGCGAGATGCGCTGCGTCTGCATCAGTATGATGAAGCGAATCGTCTTTGCAAGTCATTCGATCTGCTGTATCGTTCGAGCCTTCTCCGTAGAGAACTTGGATCTGTCGTTCGAAAGGGAAGAATATTTAGAGATTTCTCAGACGTGTTCATGGACCTTGCCGCTCGATCGCTTCAGTGCATGTTCGAGCAGGTGCAGGGTCTCTGTTGCAAGTTCGATGCGGAAGTATTCCAGGCCGTCTGGAACGCCTATGAGAATCTCGGCGCTGAGTTGGTCCTAGCCGAGCGTTTCGCATATGCCTTGGAGCATGTGCTTGCCGAGATTCGTGCAAGGGCGCTCGAATGCGCACAATGGAGGCAAGCCTCCGGTGCGACTTTAAACGAGTTATCCAAAAGAGAGGCTGCGGTGGCGTCGCCGTTGCTTGCGAGCTTTACGAACGTATGGCAGGCTGCAGGCGCCCATGCCAACGCGTTGGCACCACGGACGCCAAAATCGCAACATGTGCCAAGCAACACCGCTCCATCTGGTGGGGAACTGGCCTCGAGACCACGGAATCCGTGGGAGTTTCTAGACTGCTGGGCTGGATTTCTCTCAGCAATCTGTTACCCAGTGCGACAGCTTTTCGAACACCCCAGGATCAGCAAACGATTTCGAAGCATCGTTTGGGAGGCACTGCAAGCTCGACTCGACGCGGACTGCGATTTCATGGCGAATCAGCTTGTCGCTGAACACGATACCTATCCTGTAGTGACGCTGGCGGAGCTTTGGCGCTCCCAACTGGTGCTGCACGCTCTGGAGACACAGTGGATATCCATTGCAGCCGATGATCACTTCCCGGAAGACGCTGATGGACGCGCCGCTGGTATCTATAGCTTCGATGCGACTGCACCAAGGAAGCATTCAATGGTTACTGCAAGCCCGAACGGCTCGGTAGTGCGCACATCGAGTTTGGAGCTGAATGCAGAACGCCTCCTGCGTGGTACTCGACAGAGGAAGCAGCGCACGTTGCCGCTCGCTACGATCCACGAGAATATCGTGAAGCCTCTCCTCAAGAGTTATATTGATCTGTTCAAACGTGATATTGAGTCGCGCTTCATGGAGATATTTGCGACTCCCAATGACTGGCAAGCAATCAGCGTTCAGTCGCTGGGAAATACTGACACGCGCAACCAGATGCAGCTCGATCAGAATCGCTTTGTACCGGAGACTTGGCGTTCTTACTGGGAGACGATTCGCGCCTGGTATGCAGTACCAGATGCGGATCCGGATTCGTGCCTCGTGGTGAAGGTGCTTACCCACGAGCTAGCCTCTTTGCGCGTTGAAGATCTCCTGTCTATTATCTGGGAGCGCTTGCATCGTGATGAGGGTTATTCTATACCCGACGACTATACATTTACGGGCGCATCGGTATTTGGGATCGAATGCATTGGCACGCTCGCATCGATGCTGTATGCACCATCTGAATATGCAAATGTTGCCCCAGCTGGTCTATTTGCGGAAGCGATTCAGCAAATCGCACTTTTTGCGATGTACCTGCTCGGTGTCGTCTACGCGCCGTGCTTCATGGCAACGGGTATTCTAGGCGGTAGTCTCGTTCAACTGGAAAAGTATGAAAGCTTGCGGCCAGCACTGAGTGCGTACCAGCGAGCACTTTTGGCACACTTTCTACATGAACCGGGATCCAGTGCAGCGTCGTCAACAGCGCTCCAACGACCGCGGTCGGAACTCAATTTGAGCAAGTTTTGTTGCGCTGTGGAGTCGGCCTGGACCATAGGACAGGTCGCTGCGCTGACTCTGGAGACAGCGGCCACCTTTCAGGAACAAACACAGGTTGCATACCGACCGGAAAGCCGATGGCGAAACGCGTTTGTCGCCGAGGCTCTTGGTAGAGCGAACCAGCTACGTGGCCTCGCCGATGCGCTGCAACTGGCATTGTACCGTTCCCTGGCACCGGCGCTCGTGGATACCGCAGAGATCACGCGCAACGTCGTTCAACAGTTGAAACAGAAAAAGGCACCCTGGTGGCAGTCTATTACCCAGGGACAGAGCCCGGTCTCACCGTCGGCAGAAGGCGCTGTGCATGAAACGCTTGGAGAAGCCTCTGCAGGCGGGAATGAGGATGCGGTCTCCGTTTCGCGGGCTAGTCCATATGTAGCCCAGATAACGGCTCGTTTGCGCATGCTGCACGAATCCCGAGGACTACCGGCGCATGCCGAGGAGCCATTGTGGCGCGCCTGCGTTTTTGGCGTACTTGTTGCCGTTCAGGACGGCATCGCACAGATTCCCGTCACCAGTGTAGACATTCAATGCGTGAGCCAGGCGCTGGTAGATGCCAAGACCCTTATCGGTAATCTGGAAGAAGTGCTGGGTTTCCATCCGCTCCCGTACGCAAGTGAGCTCTGTCAGTTCATCCAGCTCCATCTGGCACCGCTACCGCGGATTCTCCAGTGGATCGCGACCCATCGTGAGACGCTGTCGCGGGCCACCATGCGCGGACTCGTTCGCCACGGTGTGCGACTGAGCATTGACGACGAGAACGCATCCAAGACGTTCTCCGATGAGGCCATAGAGCGCCTGCTGACGGAAGCAGCTGCCGAGGTCCCAGAGACGGCGGCGCGCACGAGTCCACAAGTCACCTCGGAGGACGCCACGGACGGCATGCAAGTGTCCGTTACGGTGCTCCGTCTAGATGCACTGTAAGCGTCGAACGGGATAGGTTCAGCGTTCATCTATTATGACGCCGCTGCCTTGGGTATTCGTCGACGGCTTATGCATGAGAATTACGGTTCCGCTCCAGTTGCGCGTAGGGCAACGGTTATCGCATGGCGCTTCTCGTGTGCCTCGTTGAAGAGGAAACGCCACATTGACGGCGTCGTGCCCAAACGGATATTAACTCTAGTATGCTGCGCTGTCAGCTCTGGGAAGTTTGGGTCCAATCCGTGAAATCGATGCGGAAGCGATTGCTATAGCGCTGAAGCACGAATCGTTCCCCAGGGACGATTATCGAGATCGCGCGACCCCGCCGACCGAGTCTTCCCGTGCGTCCTACTCGATGGGCATACTGCTCTGCGGTCTCGGGTAAGTCAAAGTTGATCACATGACTCGTTTCGGGTATGTCCAAACCGCGTGACGCCAGATCGGTGGAGAAAAGCGCTCGGACCTCGCCGCAGCGAAAGCGCTCCAGAGCGAGTCGTCGGCGTCGCAGCGGAAGCGCTGTCGACAACACTGCAACTTCGGATTCCGTAAAAAGACCCTGTACATGGATATAGTTCGCAATCTGGTCAAGATTTCGTGATTCACTGCAAAAAATGATGACCTGGGTAAGCGAAGGGCGTTCCCTTTCGAGAAGGAAAGCAAGCGCTTTCAACTTTTTTCGCGATTCGGTGCAGATGACATAAAAATGTTCGATTCGTTCGGGTAGTTGTGCGACGCCTGGAGCGTTCGTGCGCTGCAACGCCAACTCCAGGCCGTTCGGTGAAGCGGGCGTTTCCTCTGCGTTGGCCCGGAGAGTCGCGGCATGGACGGCTTGCACCTGCGGTGCGGCGTCCATGGGACTCGACTTTGTTGCGAGGATTTTGATGTCGCCATCCATCCATCCCTGCTGGCGTGCATAGTCCATGAAATGTCGATACTGGGGGATCGTTGCCGAAACGAACACTGTGGTGCGCCGTCCCTCGATCCTCGACATGCAGTACACGTTCAGGAGCGCGTGAAGGCTTGCCCGGTAGGCGGGCTCCCCGACGCTCACATCAACCTCGTCTATAACGGCCATGCGGACGGAGTGCAGACGGAGCTTGTTGGATCTCGCAAGAGCCTCAATGCGGTCCGCGATGCCGATGAGGATTCTCGGCGGTGCGTTCCGAAAGAAGCGACGTTGTCGATCGACACTAGCCTCGTTGAGTGCAATGCCTATAAGGAAACGGTCGCGCCGTGGCACTGACGACGATGCAGGTGCTGTCGTGGCTAGGTATCCCACAGCAAGACGGCGAGCAACGCGATATACCTGCACAGCGAGTTCCGGAGTAGGGACAATCACGAGGCCTTGCACTGCTGAACGGGTAGGCTTCACGGTGGCCAGCAGCGGAATGAGGTATGCCAGAGTCTTGCCGGAGCCGGTTTCTCCGAAAACGACAGCGTCCCTGGCGCGCTCTTCGCCTTGTGCTGACTCGTCTGTACCCAGAAAATGGTCCAATGCTGCTTTCTGGATAGGCGTATAACGGTGAAAACCGACCGACTCGAGGCGGGTGAGGAGCCACGCAGGCAGGCGCGAAGCGTAGCGCTCGCGAAAACTCCCCGACTCACGCTGCTCGCCCGGCGTTGCAGTTATAGCAGGTGTCTCTCTACAGCTGTCTCCAAATTTGTCGAAAGCGTCACCCGACAGCTCGAGTCGAAGCACGGTATGCACGCGGCAACGTCGACGTTCCAACGGAACTCGTTGAGAGAAACGACTCGCGTTCCGAGTATACTCAGGATGTGGTGACACAAACCCCCGACAAGGTCGCGGACGCGCCTTTGAAAACGTGACTGGAGCTTGAAGAAAGGTCATTCTTCGACGCGGAATATGCCTAACCAGAGCTCGACGTGTCCAGTGTGTGAGCGCAAGCGAGCAGTCGAGTACTACTCGGCACACGCCACCAGTGTCAGATGGGAAAAGGCATATGCTACCGATGGCGCTGCGGCTCTTTTTTTCGGTTTTCTTGCGAACTTTTTCTTTTGATGAACAGGCTCTAATTTCAAAGTGCAGCAACACGAGCATTCGGATCCATACCTAGTTCTAGGATGCGGGGGCGTCTTTTCCGAGTGATATATTCGAAGAATACTTGCGGATGGAATTCGTTGCGTTGCTGGAGTCAAAATGATTCGCGGAGTGTCATCGAAGATGCGTTCGTAAAATATCCGATATCATTAAGCAATGGATATGTACGAGCCTCCAGTGTGCTCCTGTGCTGATGTGCAGCATCCCCGTACCGTACACTCTTCAAGATCCCTGTCTGGGTATTTCATGGAGAATCGCGGGCGCTGTGATTCCGGTCGATTGATGGACAATGATAGATACTCGACGTCGCCTGCGCACGACTGCCACAAAAGATCTTATCGCAAGTTCAGTGCAACGCTCGCGTCCAATAGTCGATTCCGTTCGAAAAGCAAATCCTCCTGTCTCGATAGCGATCGACGAAGCGGGACGCTGCACCAAGGTGACGCCCCTGACGGGATACGTCCCGAGACGATCCCGTCTCTCCAGGCTGCATAGACAAGTATCTTGGACCGGGACTCGAGTCATCGGAGGTACCGCTGCCGGTGGATCGAGCGTCACTGCTCGGCACAAGCGAGGAGCGTACACGGATCAACGTATCGCGACTTGACCTGTTGCCAGGGCTCCTCTTTCGGTGCTCGGTTCGTCACGTACAACATCGCGTTCCACGAATCATCGATCGAAAGGGAGAGCGTTCGCTCGCACGTGTATCGGTCGGATTACGTGCCGCTGGGATCGCAAAGAACAAGCGCGTGATCACAGTGTACGGCAATGCCGGCGGTTACGGACGAGGGCATCGACGGTATCCTTGGGTACTCGTCGAGGGCATGCAGCGCTCGATGATGCACGTATTCGTGCGCCACTGGGCGGCTCTCGGAGGAGGAGTAGAGAGCGTGCTGGGCACCGGACGGCACCAGACCACAGCCAGGTATCGACGATGCCAGGAGCACAGCGCGGCTCTATACGAAGAAGATGAAAATAGCAAGCGAGGCTTCGGTCGGAGCTTTCGCCTGTCTTTGGAATACGTCGACAGCCGCAGTGGGAACAGCGAAATCGGGTCTTGAACAAACTGCCATCAACATCCATTGACTGCCGACAATCGAGTTTGAGACGAGCAAGCTCAGCGGCTCATTTAAAACGGAACACAAGCGAGGATACGGAAATAGTCGGAGACAAAGGCTGGATATGGTGATGTTGACGGCAGCAGGAAGAAACCCGTCTTTTTTTGTGTACATCCGAGCAGCAAGTCAATCGACCTGCCCCACTGCATGTTCTGCTGATATAAGTGGTACCTAGAATCGATGCATGGAACTGGACGCCGTGTCAACCGCACGCACGCACGCACGCACGCACGCACGCACGCACGCACGCACGCACGCACGCACGCACGCACGCACGCATCGATGTCGAGGCGCATGCATCTCGCCGCAGCGATCGGTAACGCGGTGACCCCGGGCTGTATGAGCGTCTCTGCGAGCAGAACGCTTGCGTGAGGTTGTGCGTGTTCACTGGGTATCAGGCGCCGTGCAAACGCATCAACCAAGCTCAGCGCTTTGTCAAGTGTGAGTGTTGAGAAATCGTAGTCACAGCAGGTGCCTTTTGTGCTTGAATTAACCAAGTGATCTAACCCGTTTCCCCTCTATGTACCTCGAGAAGTACCGTCTAGATGGACGTGTAGCAGTCATAACCGGCGGTGGCCAAGGTATTGGACTTTGCTGTGCAGAGGCGCTGGGTGAAGCTGGCGCCAAAGTCGTCCTTGCCGAGCTCGTTCCCGAGCGAATTGACCAAGCGCTCAAGTACCTGCAGAGTCGGGGCATTTTGGCGTCAGGCGTGCAGGTCGACGTCACAGACCCGGCCGCAGTTGAGACGGCTGCGGAGCGCATTCAGAAAGAGCACGGTCAAATCGATATTCTCGTGAATAATGCTGGCATTAACATCATGGGACAGGCGACCGAACATATGACCGATGAGCACTGGCACCGTCACATGAAGGTCAATGTCGATGGCGTTTTTTATTGTTGTCGAAGTTTTGGGCGTCGCATGCTTGAACGAGGACAAGGGTGTATCGTGAATATCGGATCCATGTCCGGAGAGATTGCCAACCGTCCGCAGTTGCAGACCGCTTACAACGTGACCAAAGCGGCCGTACATCATCTGACGAGGTCCCTGGCTGCTGAATGGGCGACCCGCGGGGTCCGCGTCAATGCCGTCGCCCCGACGTATATCGAGACGCCGCTGATTCGCCAACAGCTAAGCGATGATTCCTTTTACAAGATATGGATTGATATGACGCCAACACATCGGGTAGGTCGTCCCGAAGAGGTAGCGTCCGTGGTTCTGTTCCTCGCATCCGATGCCTCCAGTCTAATGACTGGCGCGATTGTCCTGGCGGATGCAGGGTATACGTGTTGGTAAACCGCAAGGGTGAAGATTGGCTTGCAGAACGCTCCATCACCTGAGAAGACCTGGGCCCGTGCATCCCGCAAGGACGCACAACTACCGGTATCCGCGGGCGCCCGGCACCATTGTGACGACACAGCGAGCACCTGGGCCCGCGCTTCCCGCAATGACGCAACACTAAGCTCATGAGCGGGTGCCCGGCATCACCTGGGCGCCCATTCGTGGCGAAATCCGTGCATCACGAGGGTGCACAGGTCGCGCCTTTCGGTGGCGCCCAAGCAGGCGTATCCGCGGCTGCTGCATGCGCTCGTCCTACCGGTCCGCTTCTTGCACAAGACGTCCGTCCTGGCGTTTCTCGGTGCCAGGGGACTAGCCCTGCGCAGTTGACACTGTATGCGGCAACGCAGACGCTGTGGACCCAGCTCATCCGAGTGTTCCTGCTCCTAGAGACACCTCTCGGGCACGACGCCAAAACAAGAGTGTCGCGTTTCTGACCCGGGAATCGATCCCAATGACAAGTACATTTGCCATGAACCCAGGCATCCTCTGTGCCTGTTTTGCTGCACCAGCACCACCCCGCCAGTCGTGCGTACGCTGCAAAGAATCATAGCTCGGCGCAAGCAACATTGGACGCCGCGGTGAAGCGCGACCAAAGAGACGCCTCTCATTCGTTTCTGAAAGGAATCGTTTCTGCTGATGCTTCCTCCTGGAAACGTCAATGCGTCTCAAGCGTTGTTGCCGCAGCCACGCAATCTTCACGCACGCAGTGCGCGATACCGACGTTCATCGCGCGCAAGCTCCTGCGCGCCCTCGAGGCCGTTCACATCATCACTGCCTGAGAGTTCGGGTCCAGGGCCTCAGCGGTGCCTGCTCAGGCCGCCCACAGATACTGTATCCTTTTTAGTCCACCAATGAACCGGATTCAATGTAGACCTATTGGAGCGCGCTTGAACTGACCATGGCCATGCAGGTCACTCATGGGGTCCGTGCGCATCGGCACGCACGTCGCTGTCGAAGCGGGGTCAAAAAACGAAACGAGCACAATATGTACATTACTGGACATCATCCGGGAAACGCGCACGTGAATACCTCATCCAAACCGTGAAGGTTTGCACTGCGACGACGCAGTTCCATGCGGATCCGATTGCGCAGACCCCACCTCGTCGAAACCGGTGTCTCTCCAGGGTGCTTGTCTGCACAGAGACACTGGGTTTTTTCCGTCAGATGCTTCATATCTAGCATCTTTTCCCACAGGCATCCTCTACGTAGTATTTGAATCTGTGGTGCGATCCGTCATCAACGGAACTGCAGTGCACGTTTTCCCTCGGATGCTTCATAGCAAGCATCTTTTCTCACAGGCATCCTCTACGTATTTGAGCGTGTGGTGCGATCCGTCATCAACGGAACTGCAGTGCACGTTCCTGGCGAACCGCGGCGTGCCGTCCGTGACCACGTCGCGAGGCTTGTCCTCGGAGCGCTGCAGACTCGACTTGCGTTTCTGCTGCTCGCTGCCGCGGCATCGACCGTGGATCACGAGCGCCAGATGATGTAGGCGCAGTGCTGGTCATCGCCGATGACGCTGCAGCACGTCCGCGTTGGCGCTGCGACCAGACGCGGTTCCGAAATGGACTGGATTGCCGTCCCTGGAGGCTGCTGCTGCCGCTGCTGCGGAGGAGCGGCGTCTGGGTGACTTGGCGTCGCCGCCGGCTCCGCGCCCGAGCTTCCTCGTCATCGTCCGAGAACTCCAGGTCGGAGCTGTGGAGCTCTTCACCGAATTCGTCACATGCGTCACAGCCACGTTTCGCATTCTTTTCAAGCTCAAGCGGCCTGAGAAGTTCCTCCACGTAGTAAACCGCGCATCCTACCCGTATTTTACTGCACAGCGCTGTATCCCGTGCATCTACGCGCAGGATATACATTGGGCGTTGCACCGATCCGAACACCTCGAACACGAAACCCAGCGGCTGGCGATCCTCGAAACAAAATAGTGAGTCCTCGCCCAGACTCGCCCTGACTTGGGGCGCGAGTTCCAGTGCGCTCTGCACGACCACCAGCCCGTCGATGAACGCTAGAATCGACCCAACGGACTTGAGCGAGTGATCGGGGCGTATCAAGCTCGAATCGGGAGCCACTGGCGGGTCCAGCTCCGAGTACAGAACCTCGTGCGGCGTTCGCGGAAGCGTCCGTGTTTCGCGAGACTCCCCGACGCCAGCACTAGAATCAGCATCTGACTCGCAGTCGCCGTTCTCCGAAAGCGGCCTTTGGTCGAGCCTCGCAACGACATCGGTGTGCGCATCGTCGTGCAAGTCACGAAGCTCCGTTGCGGTCGATGAAGTTGACGACAACGACGATGATGAACTAGAAAAGCACGCTTCGTTGCCCTTTGCTTCTTCTTTGTGTGTATTAATGTCACTCGAATCCAATAAAGTAAGCGACGCTAACGCCTGCGATACCGGTTGTTTTGTAAACATCTCCACAAGCAGCAGCAGCCGCAGCGTAAAGTCCTTACCCGACGCTGGACGCAGGTCGTTGGTCGCGGGCCTCGGGCATCTCGCTCGCGGCTCTTGTTCGGCGTTTACGCACGCGCGACGCTGTCATCGTGCAGAGCTAGCCTGGGAAACTCCGATTTCGTACCTCAAAGCAGGCTTCACCACGATCTTCTGTTGAACATGTTAGGTCTCGTGCGTGCGGCTCGGGCAATGCGTCCCGTCCGTAACTCAGGGCTGGTTACGAGCGGACGACAGCAGCGTTGGCACTCAGGCCACACGCCCTGGAGTGAGGTTAAAAACAAGACCGACTTTGCATCGTATTGTGAGTGTCAGAAAGCAGCGATTGTCCTAGGTTCCTGGCTAGTTATCGGGCTGGGAGCGCGTGCGCTGATGAAGCGAGGCAAGAGCACACCGAGCGCTTCCGAAGAGCCGCCTTCGCCGGGTGCTGCTTCGGAGCCGGCCGCGCTCTAGATTACTGCGCAGCACGTGGAAAACATGCCGTCGCTCTGATCGCGTTCTTTCGGACTTTTCTTTTATGGACACTGCAGCGTCAATGACACAAAAGCGGTGCTGGCTCCCGCTCGCGGCTGCCGGTTCGTGACAGAGGCGCTTCACCGGGCCCGTTGCGTGAGCGGCAGTGCACTCGCCTGGGGCACTGACCACGCGGTGCGACGAGCAGCATGCTGCCTGCCCGCAAGCGATCCAGCACTATCCCTATATATATATATCGTGTGTTTGGTTGATGATACAGCGAACCACGGACCTTGTCGATCAACTCAAGAAGGTTTGTCGGGTTGCTCGCAGGCTGTGCAAGCGGTGTCGGTCGCGCTCAAACTGCGCCCGCAACTCGGCGAGCTCTCGCTTCTTCAGCTCATCCCGTTGGAATCGATAAAACCCGACCGGGGCAGCTTTCGTTTCCGATACATTTTCGATCACTGACTCGCCTCGCGAGTTCTGCGGAGCACCTGCATATAGCGGGTTCGCATTACCAGAACGAGAGCGCTTGTCGTCGTTGTTCACGTGCTGCTGTTTGTGCGTCCGCGGAACTACCAGCGTAAAGCCATCCTCGTCGACCAAGCATCGTTTCCGCTCCTGATCTCGCTGTATCTTACGTACTTGTTGCTCATATGCTGCCATGATGCGATCGCACGTTGCCTCGAGGCCGCGGATATCCGCAAGGTGGTCATGTTTGAATCGCAACCAGGCCCAGTGGGGGAAACTATTGACCTCCAGCGCGCCTCGCAGCTGAACCGGAAGAAACTGTTTCAGCTTGGGAATCGTCCGGCGCGATAAAGCGGATAGCTTAAGCTCGTCTGGTGAGTTCAGAGTCCGCTGTGCATCCTCTGGGCTCTCGAAACACACATACCCACGAACGACCGCTGGCTCTCCGACCGCACTATTTGGCCGTATGCGAAACGCCTTCTCTTTCTCGAGGACGTTCTCCGTCTTAAACTTTGTCTCTGCGCTATCGCTGTGCTCAATAAAGGCCCAACGCACTGGGCCCGCACTCGAGCAGGCCTCTTCCAGGTCCTCTCGCCGCGTTCCCATCGGCAAGTTCCAGAATACCAGCACCAAACGCAGTAGCTCCGTCACGGACTGCCCGTTGCAGGCGTCAGCTATCGCATGGCTCCCGTCGTGTTGTCGCTTTTGGGTCGAAGCACCACACAGCTGAGCGTTGTGCGTCGCAGCGGTGTCCTCTTCGAGCAGTGCCGTCGGCAGTCGTCCCTGTGTCAGGCATCGCCAGACAAAGCTGCTCACGTGCTCTGGCCTGGTCGGCCGCCCATAGAACAAGCATCGCCAAGCCGTCACTTGTCCTTCAACAGACTTCTCCAACGGAACTTGAACCACGTTCCATTCCCAGTCCATGTTGGTACTGTTCTGCAAGCAGCCGAGCGCCCACTGTTGTAGACTGCAACTCGAGCGCGGCAGCCACATATCGCATCCACGTATCCGCAATGGCAATATCCACAGAAGCGCAGCTCGGCAGCTTCTGCTGAGCGGCTCACGAGACGCCTCTAGGACCTTGCTAGGACGAGTCTTTAGATCTGGGGTTTGCATGGTCTCACACAAGGTCTGTCGTGGTTCCTGGCGAGGCACCGGCGGCTGCTGTTTCGTCTTGTGCATCAAGACGGCTGTACTGCAGACGACAGCGGAGCATAGCTGTCGACGAAGTCGCGCTGCTTCGTACCTGCAGCCAGCAACTGATTCAAGTAAGCGCTGGCGGACGCAGCGGCTTTGCGGACTTGGGCGGGATGACTGCTGTAGAGGTGGGGGTTTCAGCAGCTGGCGAACACTGGGGCAGCACGCGTACCGGCAAGCGCCTTGTCCAGGGCGTGAAAGACCCCCAGTTATGCGAGAGACCACTCAGGGCCGGCACCTGAGGATGACCTCGCGATCGGAACGCGTTCTCGGCCTGTTGACGAACCTCTTTCCACTGTACGTGATTCTGGGGTCCATCACCGCGGCAACCTGCCCCAGCGTTTTCGCTTTCTTCAAACGCGAGTACATATCTCCTACGTTGTCGGTCATCATGTTGGCAATGGGTTTGACATTATCTGTCGATGATTTTGTCGCAGTTTTGCGTGTTCCTGATGTAGTGCTCTGGGGCGCGCTCGCGCAATACTCCATCATGCCGCTGCTCGGCTGGATGCTTTCCCGGCACCTGGGGCTACCAACACCGTACGCCGTTGGTATGCTGCTGGTGTCGTCTTGCCCAGGAGGCACCGCGTCGAACCTGGTCTGTTACCTGGCAGGAGCTAACGTGGCGCTTAGCGTCCTCATGACGGCAACGACGACGCAAGCGGCCGTAATCCTCACACCGCTCCTCATGAAAGTGATGGCAGGAACCATGATGCCTGTTGATGCCTGTGGTATGTTCTTGTCTATGGTCCAGGTCGTGTTCCTACCGTTGGCAGTGGGCATGCTTTTGAATGCGATACCCCGAACGAGAGCTGTCATCCAGCGGCTATTGCCTTGGTTTCCACTAGTCTCTGTGGCTGGCGTTGTGCTCATCAATGCCTCCATCATTTCAGGAAGCGTGGATGCGATTCGCACCGGTGGTTTGCGACTTTTCTTCGCACTCTTACTCCTACATGGCCTTGGACTCGTTCTTGGATACGTCGTATCATTTCTGCGTTTCCGGGATAAGCAAATCAATCGAGCGGTTGCGATTGAGGTGTGCATGCAGAACTCGGGTCTGGGGGCAGCGCTCGCCCAGGCACATTTCGCAGACCCCCAGGTTGCAGTGCCCGCAGCGATCTCCGCTTCCATGCACTCCGTCATCGGGAGTGTGGCGGCAGGTATCTGGCGCTGGCTTGATAGTCAGCGTCAACGGTAGCCTCCATGTTGATGCCATGACTGTTCCACGTATGTTCTGCATGCAGGCAGCAATGGAATGTGTGGTATCGCATCATCGTGCACGCTCTGCTTTTGCACCTGTCTCGGATTGAAATGGATCACAGAGCTGCTCATTCTGTTCCTGCGCTGAGGCTTCTTTCCGAACTGGTTCTAGACATAGAGGACCTCGACATTCGAAGTGCAGCAACACGAGCATTCGGATCGATACCTAGTTCTAGGATGCGGGGGCGTCTTTTCCGAGTGATATATTCGAAGAATACTTGCGGATGGAATTCGTTGCGTTGCTGGAGTCAAAATGATTCGCGGAGTGTCATCGAAGATGCGTTCGTAAAAGATCCGATATCATTAAGCAATGGATATGTACGAGCCTCCAGTGTGCTCCTGTGCTGATGTGCAGCATCCCCGTACCGTACACTCTTCAAGATCCCTGTCTGGGTATCTCATGGAGAATCGCGGGCGCTGTGATTCCGGTCGATTGATGGACAATGATAGATACTCGACGTCGCCTGCGCACGACTGCCTCACAAGATCTTATCGCAAGTTCAGTGCAACGCTCGCGTCCAATAGCCGATTCCGTTCGAAAAGCAAATCCTCCTGTCTCGATCGCGATCGACGAAGCGGGACGCTGCACCGAGGTGACGCCCCCGACGGGATACGTCCCGAGACGATCCCGTCTCTCCAGGCTGCATAGACAAGTATCTTGGACCGGGACTCGAGTCATCGGAGGTACCGCTGCCGGTGGATCGAGCGTCACTGCTCTGCACAAGCGAGGAGCGTACACGGATCAACGTATCGCGACTTGACCTGTTGCCAGGGCTCCTCTTTCGGTGCTCGGTTCGTCACGTACAACATCGCGTTCCACGAATCATCGATCGAAAGGGAGAGCGTTCGCTCGCACGTGTATCGGTCGGATTACGTGCCGCTGGGATCGCAAAGAACAAGCACGTGATCACAGTGTACGGCAATGCCGGCGGTTACGGACGAGGGCATCGACGGTATCCTTGGGTACTCGTCGAGGGCATGCAGCGCTCGATGATGCAAGTATTCGTGCGCCACTGGGCGGCTCTCGGAGGAGGAGTAGGGAGCGTGCTGGGCACCAGACGGCACCAGACCACAGCCAGGTATCGACGATGCCAGGAGCACAGCGCGGCTCTATACGAAGAAGATGAAAATAGCAAGCGAGGCTTCGGTCGGAGCTTTCGCCTGTCTTTGGAATACGTCGACAGCCGCAGTGGGAACAGCGAAATCGGGTCTTGAACAAACTGCCATCAACATCCATTGACTGCCGACAATCGAGTTTGAGACGAGCAAGCTCAGCGGCTCATTTAAAACGGAACACAAGCGAGGATACGGAAATAGTCGGAGACAAAGTCTGGATATGGTGATGTTGACGGCAGCAGGAAGAAACCCGTCTTTTTTTGTGTACATCCGAGCAGCAAGTCAATCGACCTGCCCCACTCCATGTTCTGCTGATATAAATGGACGGCGCTATACACGTTAAAGAAATCGCGTCATCCTCTCAGCTCCGATATGAGCGCGGCTGGCGACGTACTGCACCGGATCCCGAGCACCAGCTGCTGCTCCTGGGCTGCAGGGAGCAGGACCCATACGAAAGGGTAGCGCGAATCCCGGGATGTATACGGCACTGTACATTCAGAAGACGTAACGCTCGCAGTACCATACATCGCACCGTCTCGATATCCCCTGCGCAAATGCGTGAAACGCAACTGTGCATTCTCTGGGATATTTGCTAGCGTACTTGCTGCAGGCGTATCGGTCGAGTATTCTTGTGCGAAATTCACAGCCCCAATAGCGCATCTGTGCATTTTAAGCATTCAGTGACGTACTTGATGCAGGAGTATCGTTCAGCTTTCTTGAATGACACGTCGGCGTCTGAGACACACACTCACATTAGATCTCTAACGGGATCATAGCATCGTCGGGGAAGAATCCATGCGACATCTCGCAGGCAACCAAGCGTTGCTGACTCCTATGCACAGCTGTCTAGGCACTGCCATAGGCTCCAGGGACGCGAACACTATCGGCAAGGTTAGCGTTCGTTATCCGAGACGATAATCAAGATAAAACAGTTCTATAGAAAGGCACGACACTCACAGATATTTTGCTGCAGATTTGGCTGTACACTCAGCCGTCGGAGATGATGCGATTACGAGGGTGGAGCAGCAGGTGCCGATCCGACCCTAAAGCGAGTGCGCCTTGCTCCAGCACTTCGTGGTTGGAGGCCAATTTTCGGGCCGAATGGATCGTGAAAGCTCTCCACTCAGCATGTATCCTTCCATGCTGCGTTGCGAGCATCACAGGTCTAACATGCCAGCGCATCCACGAGCCCCATAAGCAGGCTACGCTGCTCGCCGGGCACGGGATGACAAACGCTCGATCAGCTTCACACCGAGACGGAAGTGTCCAAAAATCCGAGCGATCCTAGACTTGCGTGTTGAGGCCTCAGCACAAACGTGCATACGGATGTCGAATTCTGTGCAGTTGTCGCCATGAACGCTCCGGTCCGGGATAGAGCAGGGCCGAAGCCGCGGCGCTCAGTTCAGGCGCCTTTCCACGGCTATGTTCTGTTTCACGATCTCGATAAATCTGCGATGGATACGTGTATCGCCCGTCAATTCAGGGTGAAAAGTGCACGCTAGTATGTGATCCTGCTGAACGACTATCGGAGTGTCCCGGAACGACGCAAGCACCTGCACCCGCGCCGAATCCAGAACTCGGGTAATGACCGGCGCCCGGATCAAGACCGCTCGCAGAGGCTCTTCGCCAAATACCTGCACATTTTGAACCTGGCACTCAAAGGACTCGATTTGGGGCCCGTATGCATTTCGCTCCACTTCGACTTCCAGACACCCTATTCGCGGTTGATCGTCGAACGTTCTGATCCGCCGCGCGAGGAGGATACAACCGGCGCAGGTACCAAGAACCGGCAAACAGTGAGGCGGTGCAACCGCTGTGCGAATCACATCTAGCATATCAAGCTCCACTAACAGCTTTCCGATCGTGGTGCTTTCACCGCCAGGTATAACGAGACCGTCCACGAGAATTTTTCCGTTTTCATCAAGTAGATGCCGACGCTGCCGAATTCCCTTGGTAGAAACCCCACACTTTTCCAACAAGCGCTCATGCTCAAAAAAGTCGCCCTGAAGTTCCAGGACGCCAATGACCAACTTAGGACTCTCACTTGGTACCGATGATTCCATGATGTGCCGCTGCAGCCGAGCAGCCGCCACGCGCAGCGCTGCTCACCTTCTCTACCGAACAGGTACACGATGCTACAGCGCCAGCTGCGTTACACCCGAAACCGGCACACACACTGGTTCACAATTCCTCTTCAGTGGCTTCTTCACGTCGGCAAGAAGATTCACTAGGAACTCAATACCTAAAGTGTTACGAGTTCTCGTGAAAACGAAGGATGACACTCTAGCAATAAAGCTAGTATAGCGACGGCGGATGATAGGAATTTGCGAGCGCCGTCGTTCGACGCGGTAACTCGCAGTCGGCGAATTCCCGCTGTAGAGCCTCTAGGCTTTGTGCAAAGAGTGCCCGTGTCTACTCGAGTATCAGGAGCCTCTAGGCTTGGTGCGAAGAGTGCCCGGGTCTACTCGAGTATCAGGAGCCTCTAGGCTTGGTGCGAAGAGTGCCCGGGTCTACTCGAGTAACAGGAGCCTCTAGACTTGATGCAAAGAGTGCCCGAGTCTATTCGAGTACCAGGAGCCTCTAGGCTTGGTGCAAAGAGTGCCCGAGTCTACTCGAGTACCAGGAGCCTCTAGGCTTGGTGCGAAGAGTGCCCGATTCTACTCGAGTATCACGTACCTTTAAGTTTGGTGCAAAGAGTGCCCGATTCTGTTCGAGTACCGTCATGGAAACTTTTATATAGGAGCGAAAATCGTATGTCACTTCATAGTAGAGGCGGCTGATGGTTGCGACAATGCCTTGCGGAGCTGTACTGCTGCGAGGTGTCTTTCGGAATCAAGCAAAGGCGCCGGTGGAGCGTACAGATCATGTTTCGTTCGGAACTGAATAGTGCGGTGCAGTGCTCTGAGCAAGAGCGCTTCACCTGGTGATACTGCGTGCCCCCGTTTGGTGTCGGTAACCGTAGACCGGGAGGTGCTGACTCGCCGGCACTCGAGCCAGACCTACGCGCCTGTCGTGAATGTGCATCCTCAGCCAGATAGACGCCAGCGCATCACGCAGCGTGTCCGAAGGAGCCGTGCTGCCCTGGAGCTCTCAGTGCAGTACGCGCTTGGCCATATAAGCGTATTGTTTTGCCGCGGGGCTCTCTGCGGAAAGACTCTCAGCAAAGTTGCGAACAACGTGCACAAAGCCATCGCTGGAGCACATGATCGAGCCGAACACCCTTCGGTAGCCTCATATGGCGCTCACTGGCACTTGTCGAAAGTGCCTAGTCAATGACCATATGAAGACCTTGCGGGTATGAATCGAAAGCATGTTCGTTTGCTCTGTGTTGCAGGAGCTCTTCAGGGCAACTCAGCTGCGATGCGTTCAAGGGCTGGTAACTGGTGCCTCGATGGGCGACCAGCAAGCTTCACCGCTTCTAGAGAGAGAACGCCCCCGACAGATCTTTCATGTGTTCATCGAAAATTCCGGATCTTTTGGCTTCACTCGTTGCGATATCGATGGATGAATGCCTGACACCTGCTTATGGTGAAGAGTATCTTGCACAGCACACGACAAACAACGCGGCAACAACCTCTTCACACACCCTTCTCCGTTAAACTGAAACACGTCGCACCGAGTGGACGCATCCGTGAACGTCGAGCGCCGAGACACGAGGTCTGCCGCACGGCGTCCCGAATCGCGACTTGCCTTTAGGAGCATGCCGAACAGCGCATCATCAAATAGCTGCTAAGAGGTCTAAGTTTCAAAACAAGAGCACTGACCAGCTGTCCTGGGTCGTTGCCGATGCCATACAGCGTGCTATCGCTATCACCTGTGACCAGTGACTGTTATTGCATTAGTGAGCGCGTCGACGCGTTGGCCGCACTTCTGCCCAGCATACATGCCCTATTGGGCCGTTTATAATCATAGCGATGCACAGCTCCTATGCGAGTAATCCTCGCAAGTGCTCATCTAAACTTGATGGATAAACACCAGGGGTCTGGAGCCGACTCGAATCCGCGCGCACCATTTCAAGTTGGCCTCTTCGTATATCAGCAGGCATTCCGCTGGGGAAGCACACCGCGGCCGGCCGTACTTTCACCTCGCGATCTCTAGAGCAGCGGCTCGTGCTCGAGTGCATGGAGCCCAACTCACGAGCGCCCGGTACGAGTAAAACGCTGCACAGTCACGGTGAAATCGAGAGCTCCGCTGAGCGAGTCGTTCTCAGCGAGATCGCCTCAGACGCGAGCTGTCACAAGAGAACGTACAAGAAAACAGAGCTGCGAAGAGCAATTATCCGAAGTGTTTGTCACCAATCGAAGGAGGATGGTGCTGAGGGCTTACCCTTGCAGCCGCCGGCGGGTGAACGGCTCAGTGAACAGGCGGATCGACTGCGACTTGGAATGCCCCGTAGACTGCTCATGCGTGACCGGAGCGGTAAAGCAAGTCGTGCACTGCCTACGGGATGCGAGTCAACGAGCGCTCGCTATAGAGCAGAACTAGCTGGCACGCTCGAGTCCTCGAGTGAAGCCTCAGCAGCACAGCCTGCAAAGTGGTCTCCTGCAAAGAGCTTTCAAACGATGGTTCGCCACCTTTCAGGAGGCGTCGGCGCTCGCATGGATTCGCATGGCTGTAATGTATGGCTGTTGCAGTCAGACGAAGGGCATTCGCAAGGTACATCGCTTTCACCTCAAGCGGTGGACTGCTCCAGAGAAAATCAGAGCTCTCCGATACCGCTTCCGTCTGCAAATTGTGTACAGATACCCGCAGAGGAGCCTGCGGTATGCCCGCATGAACCGACTACCTCGGATACACTTTCTGGTCCTGCGAGCGAACGCAAATCACCAATGCAAGTTGACAACTACCTTGAGACCGCACCCGGCACAGAGCGTCGTTCGAAGCGTATTCATCGGCGAAAAGAGAGCGGAGATACCGAGCAGAGAGATTTGTTTCGTTTTCCCGAACAAAACCCAGGTGCCGTTTCGATAACGCTAGGCGATTTGCGCCTTCTCCAGCCGGGTGGCTACCTCAATGATAACGTTATTGAGTTCTGGCTCAAGTTTCTGGAGCGGTACCGGATTCCACCGTATCGCATGGAACAATTGCATTTCATGTCGACATTCTTCTACAAGAAAATCACCAGCGTACCCCAGCGATCGCGTTCGGATGCGTCGCTCGCGGAGGAACTTTACGACTACATTGCGCTGCGCTGGTTCATCTCGCGAGGTGTCGATCTGTTCACGAAGAGAATGTTATTCATACCGATACACCATGAATTTCACTGGTCTGTGGCAGTGGTCTGTAATCTCGATGCATTCGCCAATGGCTGGCATTCGGAACTCGATTGCGAGTGTCGGCACAAGCCCTGCATCCTCTATCTGGACTCGATGCGATCCGCGAGTCCCGGTGGCATGACCAAATCAGTGCGCAGCTTTTTGACTACCTATGCGCGTGTGCGAGCTGCAACCATGTGCTCGACAGGCGTAGGTACAACCAGAAAGGTACGGCTCTGCAGCGCGGGTGGTACGGAGCGCTCCACTGGAGTACGATCCGCTGACTCCGAGTTTGGGAGCACGGACTCGGCTGGGCACCTTGCCATGCACCCACAGAGTGCTCATCCAGAAAAGATGACTGCTGGCGATGACTTGCGAGGTGTACGCCCCGCCGCAGCGCACGACTCGCCGGAATCGCCACTGCGAACTGTATCGACTGCCGGAGACCAGCGAGACGCCGATGAACGCAGCGGCGATTCCTTCGTGTTCGACGGCGAAAACTTGCCGCTCTTGAAACCAAAAGTACCGCTGCAGGAAAATGGCATGGATTGCGGCATCTACATGCTCATGTATATCGAGCATCTAGCCTGGTCTTCGCCAGAATCGTACCAGCTTGAGTATTTGAACGCATGCACAAGCAAATTATTCGCAGCGAGTGATGCAGACGCCTACCGACTGGTAATAGAACGCGTCATACGGGGCCTCGCGTCAGCACACGGCATCGAAAACCTCCCTGAGTACGATGTCGAGGACGTGGACTTGCTGGATGCAGAAGACGTATGAGTAAACGGCGCTTTGCGCTTTCGTTCTTGCGCGAGGCTATGCGCTTCGGTCGGCGCTGCAGGAGAGGTTCCCAGAGGCCAAACGTCCGTCGACGTGCAACGAGGACGCTCGCTAGCACCATAGCGAGCAGCAGCAGTAGTCGTCGACTGCAAGCAATGCTGCCATCGGTGGACGCTGGCTGGGCGCTAGCGCAGCCGCTAGCGTCTCTAACGGGCGCTGCGAAGTCTGCGTTGTACTCGCTTGTTCCAGACGCAAACTGTAGCTATTCTTTCGGTTTTCGTTGAGCGCACGTGAACGAGTCATTGCGGTATGGTTGTCGAAAATTAATCTAGTTTCGAGCGAGGTCAGGGCCCTAACGGAGCTGTGTTCCGAACACAGAACAATATAGTTTCTGGAGGTACGTCGCACGCTGCTACCTGGAAGCTTCCTTGCGACGCTTCCCGCTGAGCGTGTGAATAAGCACCTGAGAAAAGCCTCATCATCGTCTCAAAGCATCTAGCGTACTATACAAGCGCCGATGGAGTACCAAGGTCGCGTCAATACCTGGCAGAAACGGGTCCATGCGAAGAGCGTCGTCAGCGGGAGCCTGGTCTTGCTGCGTACACTTGAATCTTGTCAGGAAAGCGACAAGCGTTCGACACCGCCAACGGAACCGAGTTCCAAAGTTGTCGGTCAATACGGCAGTCTTGAAGTAAATGTTGCGGAGACGCAGGCACTGCTCGCTCGTTTTGCGTGTGTCAGGGAACGTGCTCAAGTGGTGCGGCTTCTGGGTGAACCTCTGCAGGTCGCAGGGTCTGCATATTTCGGGTTCTGGCTCTCCAAGCAGTCCATATGGGCGAGCGATCTACCTAAAACATTGGGGCAGGGCCACTTGTCTCCGCATGGAGTGCTGGTTGCGTTCAGTGTTGAGGCACTGCTTCTCCTCGCGTTCGTGGAAACATCAACGAAAGACGACTTGATTGACTGTATGCAGTGGATCGATACCGTAACATCGGAGGTATTTCGCTAAACACCTGTGAGTATTGCCACATAAGCGTCCGTTTTCGGTGGAGTTTCAACGGTGTCATGTCGGATTTATGGGGTAATGGCAAGACCTGCGACACCGATGTACGCATATCGATACAGAGGTGTATGTTTTTTGTGGAGTTGCTGCCGCAGCATGCGCTTTACCTGCTTGTCGCTGCAAAGCCACGTCTACACAACGCGCGAGCATTTGTTTCCTCATCGATGCCGAGCAGTCACGCTGTGACCCGAGCAGTTTCGCCCGTTTAAACCAGAGCAACGTCTACCCACTAGCGTTCCTGTGCGTACCAAGGTGTCGTTCCAAGCACCGACTTGTGTGACACTGGCCGATAAGGAGCCGTTGCTGGCAGCCGCAGTGGTATGCAGGCGAACGTCCCTCTCAGAACCGGAGGCTAGTGTTGCCGCGTCGGCTATATGGAGCACATCACGGGCAAAAGGCCGATGATGCATTGGCGAGCATCGTTCAAGAAGCCGTTCGCAGGCGTGTTGGGATGCATCATCAGTTCCTTGGCCGTCTGGCTGCTGGACCTTGCACGCTGAGCGGTGCAGTAGCCGCTCAGCCGGATAAACGACGTCACCAGCACAGGAACGAAGACGTGCAGTTATATCCAGCGGCAAGCCTGGGACCAGTATCGTTATCTGCGTGCCTCGCGCTGTGCCTATATTCCTTGGGAACGCCCATGAGCACCGGCTATTGCGGATGCTTTACAGACGAACGATCTATGGGAGCGTGAGTAGAGCTTTTCGTAGGTAACAATCCGGAAGGGTTTCGGCAGGTTTCAATTATCACTGCTCTGACAACCATCGCAGAATAAAGGGGAACAGGTCTTGTCAGCAAGTCGGTCATACGTACGAAAGTTTGGGTCGCTTCCCCCATTGCTGCGCACACAAGCCTCTGAGCGCTTTTCCTGCGAATTCCTCCTTTTCGCCTGTCGGCTACCCCGCTTTCAATACGCTGGTCTCTCCTTTGCCTCCAGATCAATAATCAGGAGTGGACGGATATTGTCCCTACCGTTCAAGTCCTTACCTCATTGCTTCACGCTGCTTTCAACGTATTCCAAAGACAGGCGAAAGCTCCGACCGAAGCCTCGCTTGCTATTTTCATCTTCTTCGTATAGAGCCTCGCTGTGCTCCTGGCATCGTCGATACCTGGCTGTGGTCTGGTGCCGTCTGGTGCCCAGCACGCTCCCTACTCCTCCTCCGAGAGCCGCCCAGTGGCGCACGAATACTTGCATCATCGAGCGCTGCATGCCCTCGACGAGTACCCAAGGATACCGTCGATGCCCTCGTCCGTAACCGCCGGCATTGCCGTACACTGTGATCACGTGCTTGTTCTTTGCGATCCCAGCGGCACGTAATCCGACCGATACACGTGCGAGCGAACGCACTCCCTTTCGATCGATGATTCGTGGAACGCGATGTTGTACGTGACGAACCGAGCACCGAAAGAGGAGCCCTGGCAACAGGTCAAGTCGCGATACGTTGATCCGTCTACGCTCCTCGCTTGTGCCGAGCAGTGACGCTCGATCCACCGGCAGCGGTACCTCCGATGACTCGAGTCCCGGTCCAAGATACTTGTCTATGCAGCCTGGAGAGACGGGATCGTCTCGGGACGTATCCCGTCGGGGGCGTCACCTCGGTGCAGCGTCCCGCTTCGTCGATCGCGATCGAGACAGGAGGATTTGCTTTTCGAACGGAATCGGCTATTGGACGCGAGCGTTGCACTGAACTTGCGATAAGATCTTGTGAGGCAGTCGTGCGCAGGCGACGTCGAGTATCTATCATTGTCCATCAATCGACCGGAATCACAGCGCCCGCGATTCTCCATGAGATACCCAGACAGGGATCTTGAAGAGTGTACGGTACGGGGATGCTGCACATCAGCACAGGCGCACACTGGAGGCTCGTACATATCCATTGCTTAATGATATCGGATATTTTACGAACGCATCTTCGATGACACTCCGCGAATCATTTTGACTCCAGCAACGCAACGAATTCCATCCGCAAGTATTCTTCGAATATATCACTCGGAAAAGACGCCCCCGCATCCTAGAACTAGGTATCGATCCGAATGCTCGTGTTGCTGCACTTCGAATGTCGAGGTTCTCTATGTCTAGAACCAGTTCGGAAAGAAGCCTCAGCGCAGGAACAGAATGAGCAGCTCTGTGATCCATTTCAATCCGAGACAGGTGCAAAAGCAGGTAGGGATTCGCAGCAGACTCGCAGCGCTCATCATGAGCCTCCACACAACTCCAGAACGCAGCGCTCATCATGAGCCTCCACACAACTCCAGAACGCAGCGCTCATCATGAGCCTCCACACAACTCCAGAACGCAGCGCCCATCATGAGCCTCCACACAACTCCAGAACGCAGCGCTCATCATGAGCCTCCACACAACTCCAGAACGCAGCGCCCATCATGAGCCTCCACACAACTCCAGAACGCAGCGCCCATCATGAGCCTCCACACAACTCCAGAACGCAGCGCCCATCATGAGCCTCCACAGAACTCCAGAACGCAGCGCCCATCATGAGCCTCCACACAACTCCAGAACGCAGCGCTCATCATGAGCCTCCACACAACTCCAGAACGCAGCGCCCATCATGAGCCTCCACACAACTCCAGAACGCAGCGCCCATCATGAGCCTCCACACAACTCCAGAACGCAGCGCCCATCATGAGCCTCCACACAACTCCAGAACGCAGCGCCCATCATGAGCCTCCACACAACTCCAGAACGCAGCGCCTCAGCGATGGACGCGCACAACGCCGCCATTTCCGATGCCAACCGCCGATCCCGCGTGCCGAGTGGTGGCAGCATGACCCACGCAACGCTCTCCACACATACGGCCTGGTGAAGACGTACAGGCTCTAGGTTTGAAACGAGTTTGCCAGGGCGTCTGAGGGGCGTCGCTGTGGCGATGCCAGCGCCACCGACGTTGGCGCAACTATGCACGGACGCTTTGGCACGGAACTGTTCTTGTCTGGCGGAGCTGCACGGTGCCGAGCTCTTCGACGGGCAGTTGGCTACTATTCTGCAGGGCGCCCGGCCACGTGACCTGCGGCGACTTGCTCGCTGCAACGGGCTGCCACTCTACGACTCGCTTGAACACAGCACAAGCGAACGCACCGTCCAAGCAAGCTTTGGAGTTGTTGTACTGACAGGATCCGATTGGGTGGACTCCGACCTAGACGATGCCGTCGATGACCAGAAGGAGGCGTGGACGTTGGTCACTGCTCGCGGCGCCGCGCAGCTTTCAGCCTCGATGCGTCTTAGCTTGAACTTGGCTCTGGAGCAACGTTGGAAACAACTCTATTTCTCGCGCGCGCGTGTCGAGGGCGTCCCCTCGAGTTCACCGAACGCCATCGCTGCCTCCGCGACACTGGGTCTTCCGTCAGGTGCGGTCTCATGGTCCGCAGCCTACGCTCAGCAAGAGCGAGAGACTAGACGCCAGCTGCGACTCGCTTGTGCGCGTTTGCGACACCGACGAATCGAAATGGAGCAAGAGCGCGCATCCAAACGCATTCGAGTCCTGCCTCTGCACACAGTGACCTCGCAACGCGCCTCCCTTGTGGAGCTTCAGTCCGAGAGACTCTCCGAAACGAGTTCCATCGCCTTGACCTCGCGACACAAGCTGAACGAGACCAGTACCCGGACGCGTCTTGTCGCCCGTTTTCGACATTGCTCGCCGTCATTCAGGAAACTTTCCGGTACATAAGAGAGAAACTGAGATAACGCTTTAGTCGCGTATGGATGTTGGGCACGGATATGCAGATGCGTTTTTGCGAGCAGGACTCAGACTGACACCTGCCCGAGGCCAAGTGCTGCGCCCGGAGGATCCAGGTCCTGGTATGAATCAAGCGAGCAGCGTCCTGCACCAGATCTCATATCCGCATCGTTGGTGTGTAAAACTTATGCTGCCGCTGCTCACAACATATCCAGACGAGCGCCGGTGCGGATGCATCCTGCGGCAAAGCCGTGGTACGCGCTCAGAGGTGTTTGCTGCTGGGGTGGCGTGAGCGCAAGCAAGAAGGACGTCGTCCCTGCCTCAGAGCAGCGCACGGACTTGCACCAAGTGGGTAACGCCTTCGACACGTTCGTCGTGCACAGCACTGCTTGACAAAGCACCTGCTCAAACAACATACGTTGCAAACTTTGAGGTCATGTAGACCGGTGCAGTCCAATCGGGCAACGCGTTAGACCAGAGGCTTGGACTCAGTTCGCTGCGGTTCTCTCCATAACGCGTTGCCATCACATCGAAAACGACGGCAGGCTCCGTGTTGTTTCGCTCGACAATCAGCGACATGTTCCATATATGCGGTGTGCCGTGTCCCGCGACGTGTCGAATAAAGTGTCGACGAGTCTGGCCCTGGTTCGGGGCGTCGGCAGTGAGGCTCCACTGGCGCACTGCGGCATCGAAGACCAGTGCACTCCAGTGAGCCCGCAGTGCCCGGATTTCCAGGGTGAGCGCTCGACACACCAGCGTCGCGTTATCGGCTGCTTCAGCGCGCGGAAGATGCGCTGGTGGTACGCACTCCACCAACGCGTCCTCTTTGACCAGTAAACGCGGCATCGCGACTGACTCGAGCACACCAGCGCCAAACGAATCTTCCGGACACTGGATACCGGCATGGTGGACAAGCTTCTCTAGAGGTGCCACATTCGCGAAGATCGAGCGCTTACTCCGGTACCCCCAGGTAAAGCGGTTTGGTTCACAGTGTTGGAAGCGCGCTTTCGGGAGCACGCGCTCCAACGGATACGGATCCAGACCAGCGATACCGACCAAGCACACCTGCGGAGCTGAAGCCATCTGTGCTGGAGCCGAGGCACGGGCGCGCTGCTCGACGTGCACCTGTAGTGGCTGCTGCGCGCACATGTGCTGAACGACGAGACGCTTCGGTGCTTGCGGCGAATAAGGCACCGCACCGAGCCAGTGCGGCACCAGGAGCGCAACACCCCCGACCAGAAATACTGCCAGCGCAAGGCGAAGAGCGCCTCGCATCCATGCCTTGCGTATGCTCAGGAGCGGAAGCCAGAGCATGTATCCCCAGTGAATTGCGAGATAGGCCGTCAATGCAGCCACAGCGAATTCCACGCGAGCACCGGAGCCGGCCATACCCATGAGCGGGGCAAAGGTTTCCAGGGTCATCAGCACCGGCGGCAGGTGGATAAGTTGCGTCGCAACTGCGAAGCAGAAAAATCGCAGGAACACGTAAACCATCGGTCGACTGGTATGTCGCCACGGCCAAGCGATGATTGAACCGAGAATGTGCACACTCGCTTGGAATGCCCACAAGTACACCATGGTGAGTTCGATCCAGAAGCCTAGCAACAGCGCCAGTGCCATAAAGTACACGGCTACAGCGCGTTCGATGCGCTCGAACCGAGGAATCGGATTCTCCGGCATCGCTATGTGATGGGCAGCATGCTTGGGATCCAGGAGTCGACCAGCGACGACAAGCGCGATGGCAACTGCAGGTGCTCCGTACAGGCACGGCAACACGAGCATGTGGCGCCCGTACCAAATCATCGGCGGTTTCGGCCCCGGGAGAAGGAAGGACATTATGCTAGCGAGCGCCAGCGCAGTTAAAAACCCGGTGGCAGCACCCAAGAGCACAGCCAGCACTGCACGAAACTGGGATGGTGTCGCGTCGTCCAGCGCAGGCTCTGCGGTAGCACCGGCGCGTCTATTCCGCCTTGTGAAGCATCGCGATGGTTGCCAGATCAGGAGTACAAGGATCCCCGCCATCGCCATGTAAACTCGGTACGCTTTTCGATGGTTGAAATAGAAAACCTTCGCGCTGAGGATATCGAAAAACGCCAACGGTTCGGGGTCTTTGCGGGCTCCGTCTTCCGGGTGTCGCGGGACCGACACCTCGCTGCAAACACTTTCGGCGCGCTCGTGTGCGGCCATCCGCAGGAGCGCCCAAACGTTATCGCCCATATGCTGGATCGAGCCAACGTCCACGCGAGACGGCATATCGTAACGCGTGTGGTAAGTGTACCCGTGCAAGTGGAAGGCCAGATCCACTCCAGTAACACCTGCGGTCTCGCTGAACATTCGATAGTCCGTCTCCGCTGGAATCAGGTTGCGTTCAAAGATGTCCTGAACGTAGGATCCCGTGTGTGGATGAGGCACTGCGTCTGCGTAGAGTTTCATCAGCCACGGGGAGCGCGTATCGTAACGGAAGAGCAGTTCCGGACCAATACCGGCACCAGCCGACTCCAGGTTCAGCAACATTGCCGTCGAATTGATCGTCGGATGACCGCTCACAAACGCATGCGAACCAAGCAGGATCGCCTCCTCGGCACCATTGAAAAGAAAGACCAGTGGGGCACGTAGCCACGGTGTGCCGTGCGCCACATAATACTGCCTATTCGTATAGAGGATAAGGCGCACCAGTTCCAGCATAACGGCAATGGGTGCCAGGGCGTCTGAGGCCCCCGGCGACCCCGGTGCGGTGTCGTAGTGCGAGTTCACTACAATCGACTTCGGACAGACAAAGGCGGATGCTGACGTTGCTGTATCATTTGTAGCTACCAGTGGTTCCAAACGCAGGATTATGTTGGAAATGTTGGTGTACGCGTTGGTGATGCTCTGTTCGCCGAGCTGCGAAAAGTCCATCTCGAACGAGCCGTTTCCCCACTGACGTTCGACCAATGCTCGCAATCCCAACGTTTTTGTCAAGTCGTCAGCTGCATTCAGGCGCTCACAAGTAGTGCTGCATCCTCCAGAACGAATCATTGCACTGAGTTTTCGTTCAATGAAGGCTGCATTCGCCTCAGCCCGCCGACTGCCGACGACCGCAGGCCCAGCAAGCTGCACCAGATGCTCGCGTGCTCGTTCCCCCGAAAAAAGTGAATCGGACGCACTCGCTGATAAAGCTCTCGGAACAGCGTACCAGGCGTGGATAGTCACAAAGAACGCAATGCAAAACAAGAGCAGCACCAGCACGAGCGCCAGCACACCGCGGCAAGCACAAGGCACCCGTACCACCGCACTTGCATGTTTCACAGCTCGTTTATGCAGCTTGGCGTTGTGCTCACCTTTCTGGCCTACCTTTTCATTCGTATTACTCATAGGTCCTAAAACAAGAAATAGACACCAAGTTATCGCAGAGAATTGCCTAGCACAAAAGCGCCCTACGGATCATGAACGCTTCGAACTCGGCTCTGGACGCGTCGAGATTCGCACAGGTCGCCAGCGATACGAGGAACAACACTGCTCGGGCGGGTTCCAGTGCTGGCGGCGGGGGGGCGCGCGTGCGGCACGACAGTCTCGTCCAGTGTATATGCGCATCTTTCATGGTGTATGTCTGATACGAGGAACAACACTGCTCGTGCGGGTTCCAGTGCTGGCGGCGGGGGGGCGCGCGTGCGGCACGACAGTCTCGTCCAGTGTATATGCGCATCTTTCATGGTGTATGTCTTTATTTCATTGTTTCTGCGTAGGTTTCATCGTCCAGTCGAGTGGTTGTTCCATGTTTTCGAGTGAATGCGCGAGCGTCGAATGGTATCGCTAGCTTCGAGACGAGATGCCGTTTCGCATCGCTCCGGATCATTGTGTGGGCGTCGGAAACGGCATCGAAGATAACGACGGTACTGACGACAGCATTCACGACAGCAGCAGCGCATAGGTGTACGCCCACAGAGCGCATGGATCGCCAGGAGTTCGCGCAAAGCCCTGAGCGTCGCCGCAACCAGCGGGAGCACGTTACAACCGTCGATAGACAAGGTGCCGTACCCGGTTGTCTCTTTCAGGGATGGCGAGGCACAGGATGCACCTACGTGCGCCGAACCGCAGCTCTGCTGCATGTGCATGGAACCGCACGCTTGTACTTGCGTATCGCACAAGCAGTGGACGCGGCATGATACGAATGTCGTGGCGTCAGTCGTGAGCCGGGCATCCAGCATGCTACCCAAAACAGTCTTTCATTCGTTTGCTGTGGTCTCAGAGTCGTCCTGACTCGTGCGGCACGCGGCTATGCAGCATACGTATCGTACACACGCACGAAGGAGATGTTGTTCTGGAGGAAAGTCTTGTTCTGGAGGCGTGGAACGGGAACATCTTCTGTTTATTCGGTTAATCCTGGTCATGTACGCGTACCCGAGGGTATCTGGTCTCTTCTACCACCCCTGAGACAGATCATCTCCCAGATAGAAAGGGAATACGGCGCTCAAGAAGGCGATGCGACTGCGGAGGCCGTCACGCGATGCACCGGAATTTTCGATCCGCGTCTGCGCTGGTCATTGCGCTGCACACGACGGCGTCTAGGCAGCGGAGTTTGTGGTACTACAGCAGATACTGCTATCTGGTACGTGATTTTGCGACGTGGATCAGCAAGGTTGCTATTTAAGAGAATCTTTGCTTTGGTTGGTAGCTCACTGATAAGACTCTGTTCGAGCGGCGTCACGCGGCTGAAGAGGCCTTTTTTCAGACAACTACCGCGCGGGTCCATACAGGGGTTGTACGCTTCTGGAAACGGGACGCAGCGCTTGTTCGCTTGACTCGGGGAAACTGGTTGCATTATTGGTGACTACTCAACGGAAAGTCGTTCGTTAGTGACACGTAGCGCTCGTTGGTACCGCTTTTGGAGACGAATCGCAAAAGTGGTGGATAGCTGTCTTCGGTTTGCCTTGTCGCCGTTTGTATGCCGACAGCAACGTACGCCGCACTTATTCACGCAGACCTGGATGTGCTCTGGGGTTTACTGCTTGACAAGCTCCAGAGTGACGAACAGTTTATGCCCGGACTTGAGCGGGCTGAAATTGTACCTCTTTCAGTTGCTGAGGATCCCACAGGTGTTGCTAGGTTTCGACAACAGCACGATCGACGTCTGTACTTTTCAGATGGTCGCCTCGTTGAGGAGCGCGTCACAATCGACGAGGAGCGGAAAAATATTCTCCTCGAGCTACGAAATGACGCACGTTATACCGGCTACGTGTCGACAGTGCTTTTGCCGTGTCCTTTTCCGGAAGCGACCTCCGGTGCCCATGTTCTAGTCCGAACGATGGACTGGCGGGCAAAACGCAGCCTCACCGATGACGAGATTGAGGAGGGCGAGCTTCTTGCCACCAAAATCAGAGAGTCGACTCTTCGCCTGAAACACGAAGTGGAATCGTTGCGCTGGAGTCTCGATGACTCCAAAGATCCCGATGATGAATAACGCACGGTGCGTACCCGTGAACAGGAGTGATCCCGACCGGCGCTGCATATCAACGACATCGCGCGACGAAAGCGAGGTTTTTCTGTTTAAACTTGTCTTTGGCTTGGTTCGCATCGTCAACGTATAGACAGTCATCGTAGGAGCAGGAGGCATGTGCGGGATGCGTCATTTGCGGACGGATGCACATCGTTCTTCGATGGTGTGGAGATGTCGGCGTGGATCACCACAAGCGGAAGCAAGCAACAATCACCTCTCTGATGCAATTATTCCCCAATATACATAAATGTTCGTGAAACAAAAAATGTCCCACGACCGTGTAGGGTAAATGGAAAACCATTGGAAGACGCCTCCCATCCCTTTTCGACCGTCCGACTGCTATCGGTTTTAGTTTCTGCTTGTACACATCGAGCGGGAGAGGATGCCCTGCAAAGTTCGCTCGCGTCGGCTCCGCGGGTCTAGTCTCCAGTGCTACACATTGTGTGATATTGACGGCGGCGTTGAGGTCTGGGCTCACGAACTCCTTGCGTACATTGACACCGGTTGAACGCACCTTTGCAAGGATTTCTCAGACCCGTACCCTCTGTGCGACAAAAGTCTCGTTATCGTCCCGTCGGGAGGCACTGTTTTTCGCCTATTCGCCCTCTTCGTCTTCGTCGTCACTTGCGCCTCTGCGCTCGATGGTCGACAAGAGGAGGATTGTTTCCGGCAGCCGGCATTGACTGTCATCCAGGATTGCCGACTTGCATGTCCATGCCTTTCACTTAGATTTCTGTTTCCTCAAATAAACATACTTCGAATGCGCATGGTATAAATTGTGAAAAAGCAATTCAGTACACACATCTGGGGGGCGGAACACAATTCCGGAGAAAGAATTGACAGAGCGGTTTGTCTCGGTTGTCAGGGTCCACGAAACGACCACGAAGCAACACCGTTCTTTCACTAGGCTCGCAGGACAGCGACCAATTCACAGTCCTGCCCAAGCTGCTGTCTCTTTGCGCCTCAGGGGAACCGATTATGTAGGACTTGACTAATTCATTGCGTCTCATGATCATTGGAGCTTACATCGTGCCCTTGATCCGGTGGACACGTATTTGAGTTCGCCCATACGCACCAGCGTTGAGCCTCGACATCTGACAAGGTGCTTGACCGGCGCGATAAGCCTCCCGGAGCCTGCAGTCGTCTTCCGTGAGTCAGGTACCCTCTATCAGATCGTCCTCTTCGGGATCTTCGGTGTCTTCCTGTGGCATGTCGGAAGCGTATGCGCCGTCGTCGTTCTCGACGTCGCTGTTTTCAGGCTCTTTCCGCTTGCGCTCAACCCGCGCTTGCCGTGCCTGCGCCTTGCGCCGCTCGTTCAGCATGCGCCAGTTTTGAACGAACTGCTCTACTTCGACCGCGAAGTCCTCAAACTCGGTCCTCCGAAGCGCTTCTATAACGTCATCCATGTTCAACGTGGTGCGTTTTCGCTCTGCCCCAACTGCAGTCGAAATTGCGGTAATGTACGACACGAAAACGGTGGCTGCGGCGGAGAAGGCCAACTGCGCGTCCTTGTCCAGCTGGACGCGTCGAGCCTCGGAGGCGCCGTCTTCCCGCGGGACCAGCTCATCAGACAGCAGCTTGTCCAGTTTCCGACGTATGATCTTTTTCAAGGTCGCTGCCGGGAAACGGAGGGATTCGTCGATCTCAATCTGCAGATGAGACATAGGTCCAACGGCAACTTCCGCGTACACGCCAACATGCAATCGAGATGCTGTCCCCGAGATGCGTCCAAGGCGATGCCGACGACAGCGCCATGCGCGGGTGCGTGTACAGGAGGCGCGTGGACACGTGTCCATTGACGATGCGTGCCTTCGCCGGGGCGCGCTGCTTCCGCATACCGCTCGACGCGCGAGCGAGCAAGTTTGCGTCAGGATTCCGTGGGCTCGTTTGGAAAAAGGTTGCTATTTGCGAAGGAGAATTTGGTTGCGGACTGTGGAACTTGGATTCGGACGATGATTGATGGTTGGTTTTGCAGACGCCAATACCATATGTGCGCTCGGGGAGCTGAAGTAGGTATCATCGATGCGACGTCATAACCACGGCGCTTCGTTTCATGACTGCCTGGGCGATATTATGAGCTTTCTTCTGAAACGGCTACAAACGTGGCGGATGCCGCAACAACGGTTCAATTTCATCGACGATTCAGGGCTAGGTTTGGTAGCTGCGCGCGCGGAAAAGAGTGCGATGACAGTGACGAATATGCTGGCGTAGGCAGTGTGCCCGTGAACAGCCGCAGGTTGTTTGTTTTTGTCCGAGTTGCGTTTCATGGACACTTTATTGAGTGCGAATGGACTACCGCACCGTTACCATTGTGCTGGACGGGCTCTTGATTGATAAGCGCAAAATGCTGCACGGAACCGAGCTTGTATTCAGCGTGCTAGAACCGGTTTTGAGCTCGAGTCGATCCTTGCAGCCCAGTGCGCGTCCGCGAGAAGCGTCATTCGCTGAACTACATGGAGGTAGCTGCCGACTGCCGAACAGAGATAGTTGACGCAGTTGGGAACCGGTCAGCCGGCCGAAGATAGCACAAACTCACGTACTGGCTCGCTCGGGACTGCGTCGATCAGCTCTGAGGTTGCGCTCTTCTTTCGGTGACCGGCCGTCCCGCTCATCCAGCTTTCCGAACTGACGCATGCCGCATATCCATGATATGAATTCTACTGCCAATGCGAGGCATTTTCATATTCCAACTGGTGCATCGAGCGGAATGTGTAAAAACACTGTCAATAATGTAAGAGTCGTCCACGGGATGCGGCGCCTTACGGCCAGTCTCAAAGCAGGGTGTCGAGGGAGCACGCGCAGTCGGACCATTGGCTGTCTGTGCGAAATGGCCTTTCTCAGGGCGCCCGCACAACAGGTCTCGAATCAGACGGATTTGCTGTTCGGCATATGGCACGCACTGAGCGCGTCGCCGAAACCTGTGAGTTTTAGTGATAGGCAATACGGGGAGCCGCCTGACAGTGTGTAGCGATTTTTAGATGAGATGGGTGGTGCATGCCAGTCAGCATCTAGAAGAAGGGGTCCAGTTTGCCAATTAAGGCTAAACTCTAAAGTTTCGGTCTCTTTCTATAGTCTTCAACGCAAGCCTTTGCTGGATTCTCGGTGGTCGCTTCCTTTTTGCTCACTCATATCCGGCTTTAAAAAAGACCAGCTCTTCTGGAACCCCAGCTCCGCTGTCAGCAGTGGAGGGATGTTAACGGTGGCGTTCGCTTCCCGATTTTGGTGGTCCCGGCTGTTGTCGACAAACTTCATGCACAGGCGCAAGGCTGCAGTAAAGGCTTCGCTTCTCATTTCCATTTTCTTTTCATACGAACTGGGTGTCTCCCTCGCAGCGGCGACACTGGACTTTGTTCAGCGCTTTTACACGTATCCACCATATATTTTACCTTGGGGGCATTCCGGTGGCGTATGACGCCTTGCTGCATCGCTCGGTACATGGCGTTGGAGGGAATAGAAGGCACCCGGCGAAGCGCTGGCCCCCTTCCAAGCCCTGTGCCGTACCCCAGGTTCACGGGCTGCCTCTGGGTGGTCCGCTTAGCGACTAGTATCTCCATTGCACACGCATGCGCATGCTGTTCCATTCGATAGAGGATTTGTGGCACCCGATGCTATTCATGCAGAAACAAGTACCGGACGGAATATCCAGGCTGGAACTCGAGTCGAGAAAGGTCGTTCTGTATGCGCTCGTACGGTGCAAAAGCAGCGTAGCACTGTCCACTCGAAGCGGTCACTGCGATGAGTAAATTCCGTGTCCGAGACTCTTTTCCATGCAGACAGAAGAGGCGCGAGCACCTGGAAACATATCGCCTGAGAACTATCTTGCTGCTGTTGCAGCAGCAGCAGAATTCCATGTAGCCGATTGCCAAGAGGAGAGGTGGCTATGCCTTTCGAACGGAATCGATACATTGATTTGCGAAATTCATTGAGCTTTAGGCATCACCTCCTAAAGCAGTCGTTAAGCGACGCTCTCGAGTTTTCCCCTCATCAACCCAGCGGAGCGAGTAGCCGCGTCTCCGAGTTCCCATGAAACAAAAAAGATCGAAAAATTGAAGAATGCTTCATGTGCGCATACTACACACAGGACAGAACAATATTCGGTGCTTGTACGTATGAGCTAGATCATGATATCGGTAATGAATGGAACCCTTGTTCGAGGGCGTCGCGAATCATCTTGATGCCGATGTTGTTGCGAATTCCAGCACCAATGTGTCAATCGTGCCACTCCGAAATGACGACCGAAAGTCCTAAAACTACGCATGAACGGATAGCCCTTTACTGCTTCATGCTTCATCCCAAGGCTGTACACCCAGCAAAAAACTCAGAAAATATCGCAAAGCTGACGCCCGGCAATCAGTGCGGTGGCCCAGTGTCATATGACTCGGAGGTAGGACGGTGATCTGCGGGGCGCCCAGCACCGCAACCATGCCCGCATAACACAAAAACACAAATTGAAACCATAAAGCGAGTAAAAGTCATTTCGAATTCATATTACAAACCATGCATTCCTCCGATGAGACCAAGCATATAACGCTGTGACGAATACCGCAGGAGCAACTACATATCATACGAATGCCAAGTGGACCACTGGTACAGCTTTGTCCGAATTTTCACTCCTCCCAAAGCGTCTCCAAGCGCCTCAAGTCGCCGTTCAAGCTGAGCGCGAGCGCAGGCAACACCACGCGAACGCTCTGCATGCGTGCACGCTCCCGCGAGCGATCGTGCATACGGCCATGTGGTTGCGTTTCCAGTCGAGCACTAGTCTTTCCCCTGATTGCCAGCAATGCTCTCACATCCGATGGAATCCTGGAGAATCCATCGATTCGACACCATCATTAAACTAGGAGTATGCAGGTGCAAAGGCGAATGTAGAGCACAAAGCTAGTTTTCGCCTAATCCATGGCACCGCTCGCGCTTCCGATGGTTTTGTTTGGATGCATCGATCCGACATACCATCCGTAAACGAGGCACACATCCGGCAATGGCGCGAAAGATGCCGGGCGCGCAGGCCTGCGGGCGAAACGCCCCTCCCGCTGCCCCCTGGATCCGGAAATCGCCGCACAGGCGCACGCAGCGATGGCGCGAAAGCCATTCAAATCGCGCGTTCGGGATCCGCCCGAGCGCGCAGGCCTGCGGGCGAAACGCCCCTCCCGCTGCCCCCTGGATCCGGAAATCGCCGCACAGGCGCACGCAGCGATGGCGCGAAAGCCATTCAAATCGCGCGTTCGGGATCCGCCCGAGCGCGCAGGCCTGCGCAGCGCCCTCCGAAACGGAACTCGGCTACATCTCCGGCGCTACGCTGCAGCGCTCTGCTCTGGCCTTGGGAAATACGGAGCATATCCAGTGCGTCTGGTCGGCATACCGTATGTGGGGAGAAAAGCAGCGTGCAGACGCTGTGGTTGAAAATGATGTCCTTATCGAGTATTATGACGATCCTGCTGAGATAAACAGGGCGTTCGAATCTCAAACTGCTGTAGGTAAACAGAGCAGTGGTGCGCGCGACGCTCGTCGGGCCGCTGTTCCTGAACCGTACAGCGACGAGAGTGCAGCGCCACCGTCGGAATCACGGTTGAAGAGTTTTTCTTCGTGTGCGCGCAGCTCTCTTGAACGAGTGCGGAACGTTCTTCACTACTCGGATACGACCACAATTGGGGCTGGTATCGGCGTCTTGGTCTGGTTCGGCTGGAGGCAGGCAGTGCGCTCTGCCCGAAAACGCGCGCAGCAGCGTGCGCCTGATGTTCAACACGGACTGGAGCGGCGTCTGTTTCTTGCAATTTTGGGTCATGGTCTCGGCATGCGCTATCTGAACGAGAAAATGAATCCAGCCCTGAGCGGATCGATTGCCCGTTTAGCGCCAAAACTATATGAGGAGACGTCTCCATTGGGCTCCGATTCCCTTATAACTCCAGATGGGACACCTTTAAAAACTGGCAGCGATTTCCCTCACGATAAAACGCAGTATCGAGCGCTGTTAGCAACTCGGCAAACAGAGCACGTTATGCGAAATGCGTTTGATCAAGTGAGTGCAAGCCGCCCGCTACGGCGCGATCGTGCAGACAATGAATCAGAGGTGTCTCCTGCGACCCCAATGGAGAAGCCACGGCCTTTTCTGCGCGCGCCGCGTGTGCAAGCTCGCCCCAACGGCCGCGCTCCCTGTGCTTTTGTCACCGTTTGTTCTTCCGGAACATACGTGTTGCCAGCGGTGGTGCTTGCTTCTACCCTGCAACAGTACCATGCCGGCATTCCAATGATATGTTTGGTGGTGTCCACCGCGGTGGATAAATGGCATCGCGAGGTCCTTTCGAGAGCTGGCTGGGATGTCCGCTCCTGTTCGAGTTTTCTGAGCGATCTCGAGTGGCAGGGATTTCTCAGCTCCAGAGATCTCTCCAACCGCGAGCTGAAAAGACCCTTTTCCCGCCGCGCAGTGCGGCATGGAACTGCGTCGCACGCTGCATCCAGGTTCACGGATGCGCACGATCAGTGGGAACGCTCCACATTCGACAAACTGAATATCTGGGAGTTGGTCGACTTTGAGAAACTCATCTACCTCGATGCGGACACCATCGTGCTCGGGGCGTTACATGAACTCTTCCGCTATGAAGAACTTGCCGCGGTCAAAAGTGGATGCGGTCTTTTCAACAGTGGAGTCATGGTCATCCATCCAGGTCTGCATACGTATCAGGCGCTGCGAAACTGCTTGCTTTACGAAGAATGGCGCTCGGCGTATACGCGCGGCTACCCCTTCCCCTATGGTGACCAGCCACTTCTCAACTACTTCTTCAAAGACACCTTCACAGAGCTGCCTGTTGCGTTCAATACCACCTGCCAGCGTCGATTTCGGAGTCGTCAGACGCGAGTACTCCACTTCAACGGCCCCATGAAGCCTTGGCACGTGGATCGGAGCTCTTGGTTCGCTGCTCAATGCTTTTGGAAACAACAGCGCTGGCGTCTTTGGTACCAAGAGTACGACCACGCCCTGAGCAGTTTCCGTGCGAACGCTGACCCTCCCGAAGAGCAGTGCTTTTGGGCCTAGCAGTCGGTGAAAGCCAGGTTGCAATACCGACCACCGCCCATACGACTTCTACAACCGCTGCTGCTGACGTTCTGGCACTAGGACTCCGGAACCAGCGCTGTTCGGGTTATACCTGTCAGTTCGTAGCTGTACCGCACTGCTGTCGCGAGGACCTACGGGAACCGTGGTTGCCACAGCGCCTACGCTCCTGGTGCCATTCTACGGAAACTTGTGTACAATTGGGGATTTCACAACAACATCAAATCATGGACCATCGTTATCTACCACCACTGGGCACAGAATATCGTTCCCAGTGAATACATATGTGGCGCTCTAGTTTTGCTGGATTGCTGAACAGCACCATACCGGTGCCTTGGTCCACGCGAGAATCCAATGCCATCTATCCTAGCCAATGGTGTTTTGCATCGTCAGTCTTCAGCTTTCCAGCACGATGCCCATACTGAGTACTAAACGATTCCGTCCACAGCCCGATCGAAGCAATACCGCTGGAAGTTACGGAGGTGCGAGACATTTTCTCGACGTGGATCGAGGCGTTCAACTCCCGGTGGGAATGTGTTTGTCCGCGTGGTTGCTCGTGGAATCGTCCTATTGCAAGCCTCTCATGAGCGATTGCCTCGCAAGCTGACGTTCGGTCAGCATCATGCGTACTATCCTATACATCCGGCTCTGTTTCGCTCTTTCTCTCGCCTCAAGTGTCTGAGCGGCACCAGTGCTCGCGATGTTCGTATCACGTCCTAATCTCGTTATGCGCTCCTGTATAAACGACAAGCGTGCACCCCTCGCCGCGCGCTACAGCATGCCAAACGCCATAGGCTAACAACATCGAGCAAGGCAAATGATCGGTCATGTCGTTTTCCAGGTTATAGAGAGAGGGTTTCCTCATGCACGATTCTCGCATCCACGTACCCGGAACCGTTGGCAACAGCGGCGCTATCCCGTGGACTCCTGCCACAGGTCGTCCGCATGAGCCAGTCGGACGCTCATGTACTCCATGTAGGTGGAATCGCTTCCATCAGTCCCGAATTTTTCTGGGTCAGCAAGCTTTAGGTAGAATGCCCCCATGGTGCGCTGCACGAAGCGCTCGACATTGATCCGCTGATACTCTTGGCTTTTCGAAAATGGTCTCAAACGTTTCGATGTCTGGACTGTAGATGCTTTGATCGCCGATATGGCATGCCAACGCGTCAATGTATTATGGAAAAGCACGGGTGCGCACCCCTGATCCTATGATGAACTCGTCTTGCATCGTCTGTCCAAAGCATCAGCTGTGTTGTTGCACAAAGTTTTGATCGCCACATTCCAGACGAATGAGAGAAGCTGGTAGCCCTGCGTCCGGAACGCCAGCGAACAGTTGCTTGGCAGTGGGCGCCAGGGCGTGAGAAGCTAGCCGAGCCTTCCTCGAGCGACAAGCACTGCGATCCCTAGTGGCGTGCTGTGCCGTACTTTGTGGAGGAGGCCCTCAGTCGATCTGTATTCGTCGTGCAGCCTTTGCAACTTGTTTGATATAGATCTTCCCCGTACCGACTGTTCTTCGTTCCCGGCTTTTTGTGTCCTCGTTCCCGAAAGATCTGTTTCTTCAATGACTTGGAAGTTTCTTCTCCTTTTCCTCTACATGGCCGAATGTCAGGACTGTGATCCCTCGACCCTATATCCGTTTTCTTTCTTGAGACGCAGACGCCCTGAGATATGGGCGGCTCCGAAACTCACGCTCCCTACCCTTGTTCGCGTCTGTGGTTCTTCGGGTAGGCTCTCGTTACCTTATTCACCGCGAGATCTCACACGGGCCGAAGCGCGTATGCCACTCCCTGCAAGACTCGAGCAGCGAAGCAACCTAGCAGCTCAGCGCTACTAAGGGCAGAGAACGGCTTGTTGCATGACGGTTTCGTGAACGCGGACGACTCGTCTATCGGTACCTCAGCATCAGCACGGCGTCTGAGTACAGAGACGGCGCCTTGGACATGCTCGAAGCGAGGCGAATAGGCTAGCATGAAGGGCAGCGGAACGCCAGTGTCAGCGTCGCATTCGTTGGCCGCTTGTCAGTCGTCGTATGCGATGTTGTCCAAGAGCTGGACGGGAGCCCTTGGGCAGGAGAAGGACAAGTGACATAGCGCTTTGACGAAAGATGACGCGTTGAGCGATGCTGTCGTCCTGACCGCTCGCAGTTGACGTCATCATTGAATAGCCGTCAGAGCGGGTATTCTCGGAATGCTCGTTGGTGTCCTGTTGACGAACAGCGGATTGCTCCCTCCTGGGTATCCGTAGACAAGTCCTCGATACCTCCGGAACGAGGTCGCATTGACTGAACGAGGCATATTTCTGTCCCTCGTGCGACGGGACGTTCACGTTTCAGCACGAAACCGATGGTAGGTTGTTCATCGCGGGACGATCTCTCCTACAGGCATGCTTTGCTGTCTTTGCGCATCTGTGTCTCTTCATCACCGTTCGTATCAATGGTATGGAAAGTGCACATGCTGATGTTCGTCTACGAGTGTTTCGTGGGATACCTACGCAGTGGAATGGATTGGCGGGGCGATCGTTGTGCACAAGGGATTTTTGATCATTTGTTTTGGTGCACGACACTCAGAATAAGGACTACGAGACGGGTTGTTGGTTCGTTGGTTCATCTACGTGCTCCACATGGAATGACTGACTTTTACAGGTAAGGTCGTCGTCTTCCACGAACTACCAGTGACAGCATGAAGTATTTGCGTGAGCTTTTTCATCTCATGCTATTCGTAAGCATCTGCGAGTGAACTATAAACGAGAACGAAAAGGACGTGCTGATCCGGGTGGTCCAGAAATTTTCGTGCCCCATAAGGAAGCATCACAGCCTGAAAAGCTGGTGGATAAACAACGCACCCGTTATCGGTTTACACGGTGCCTTGGTGGAAACAGAGCGTTGGACGGGGCTTCTGGGGACCTTGCGCTGTTCCGGTCCCCGGAATGTGTGTCTTGATTATCTGTGACGGGAGCTAGCACCCATGAGTCACGAATTTCGAGCACAGCTCACCGAGGATAGTTTCCGGCAAGCCGCAGCACGGCGAGCACACTGGCTGCCCACGCTGTACGCCAAACCCTGGCAACCACAGCAGCAGCAGCAGCAGCAGCAGCAGCAGCAGTCGTGGACGAGCTGGGAACTCGCAGCGAAGGGCACCCTGAACGAGTCCTCGTTGCGGGTGACGACCCAGCTGCTACCGGTAGCTTTGGGAAGCGCTTCTGCGGGCGGCTCAGTAGACGCTTCGCTGGTGCTGGTGGTGCTGATCGGTGACCTCGCAGGCCGCGTATGGCTAGGACGCTGGCCTCTGCATCTGCAGTCGTTGTCGGACACCTCTAGTCCGGCCGCGCCCGCAGCGGACGCTCCAGTGACCTTGTCGCTGCTCCGAGAGGGTGGTGCGGGGCGAGTCACGGCCCTGGTACGTGCACACCTGCCGTCAACTGCAGCTCCAGAGAGCACGGCAGCGACTGGACTCGGAAACGGCAAGTTCTTCAGTCTTGCCGGCTTTGCAGATGGGACGGTCACGCTACTGGAAGCGCATATGCAACTGGGAGACGCATTCCCGCAGGAAGCGCATCCCAGACAACGAGTCTGGAAACCTGCTCCCCTGTTCGTCACATCGTGCTCATCGACTGCGACAGCATTACCCGCTATTACAGGCATCTCGTTTCTACCAGCTCATGTGCGCGTCCCTGCTTTCGTTGCCTGCGATGCAGCAGCCTCGCTTGGACTCGCAGTCATGGACGCAGCAGAGCCATGCGGTTTCCGAATCCTCGAGCAGGTGCATGTAGCAGGTGCTGCATCCGGGAGCGCTCTCGCGTCGCAGCCTCTGCTATCGAGCGTCGACGTCCATCCAGATGGTGCGTTGGTTGCCCTCGCAGCAACCTGGAGCGGACCAGCTTTCTGGGACATTCGAACTGCCAAAGTGTTCGGCCTGGACTCGGGCCCTCTCGCGTCACCGGCATCGACAACGCTGGGGCATCGGCAGGTACTCGTCCGCTGGCATCCAAACGGCTGGCATGTGGCCAGTGCTACTGCATCGGGTATCGTTGCGATCTGGGATGTGCGACAGTGTGGCTTTCATGGGGCGACAAAAACATCGAGTGGCTCGTTAGGCACCGGCCAGGGGTCGCCTCTGTACTGGATACCAGCACACTCTGGGGCACTGAGCGGTCTGGCGTTCGGAATGCTGCCCGGAAGTCACGAGATGTCCTCCAGCGGTGAATCACCTCGTGCGTTTCTGGTTTCTAGCGGCTTCGATGGGTCCATTCGATTCTGGGACGCGCGTACCTACGCCCTGACTGCCGACTGGCCTATTTCCCGTAATGGACAACGACCAAGTCTCGGGGCATGGACAGCAGCTCCGACTACTGCTGAGCCAAATGACACCGTACGGGTTATTGCTTCCGACGGTCGCAGCGTGCTGTGCGGTTTTCGCCCCGTCCACAGGTTATACGCATAGGGTGCACTCGACATGGACGGCGGAGGCAGGCGGGACGTAGCGGCTAGCACGCCCGTATCGCAGCGCCCCAGCTGGGCAAACGTTTCCTGGTTGTACATATTGACTAGTAATATCCATTGATTGCACAATATTTCGCCGCGTCTCTCTCGTACATATATGTACGGAAACGGAGAGCACCCAGCGAGATGCATGCTTTCCGGTCGTATATCTTGTCGAGACTTGCATATTGCGAACACCTACGCGAAAGCGTAACACACGCATGGGCCACCACTGACGGACGCTGTGGTGCAGTCGCTGGGCCTTTTGTACTGCAAGCGACTATCAAATACCCAGAGTCGTCGATCATGGTGTTGGTGCTGGCGTGCTCGCAGGAAAGCACTCAAAGCGCTCACAGAATGCCCAGTGTTCGGCAACTTCCGGGTCAGTTTGGCGCTCATCTGGACTCTGGAGAACAGCAGCTCGCAAACCGGACTGAATATCGAGCACGTAGAACGTTCCCGACGCCTCATCGTAGCGGTAGCGGAGTCGATATGCACCCAAACATAGTGTATCTCGTCCGTTATCACCAGGAGGTAGCCAACAGTTGATTGACGAACCGGTCTTCGCAGCTGCATGTTCATGTTTCTGTTGTTGTTGTTGTTGTTGTTGTTGAGCAAAGGCGACGGCGCGCAGGCGAGCCTCGATATCCACTGCCGGTAGGTGAGCAACGAGCCACTGCAGCTTGTCACGAACCACGTCGGAGAGTACGCGCACTGGCACCCGTGCTGCCTCTGATGCCAGCAGATCATCCCAGATGGGCATCGTGAGCGCTGTTTCCGTCGAGAGCCAACCAACTCGCGCTCGCGGCTGATCGTGCAACGCACGCTGATAGGGTTCAATGCCGAGAATCGGTGTCGCGTTCAGGAGGTCGCAACCGCGTACAATGAGGTCCACTGTGGCCGCCTCGTTCGACGCTGACGAGACCGCTGGCTGCATATCGAAGACTTGCACCAGGGAGATACCGATCGCGTTTGGGCGATGCGGAGACCTCGTCGCAAAGACCCCTAATCGGCCTTGACCACGGTATCGCGGCGGTCGAACAAGACACCGCCACAACCCATGATTCCGATCTAGGTAGGAGATGACCCAGACCCAGTCTCCGATGTGAATATTCGATATCGTTGGCTCCTGCGCTCCGCCTCCGCCTCCTGGTGCTGCTATCCGAATGGTTGCTGGCGGCAAGCAGTCGCTCAGGTTCGGTTGACGGGGCGCCTCGCGTCGTTTTCGATACGCGGTGATGGCCCTTGCAATGATAGCGCAGTGTATACTCGGAGGCGGCTCGGTGACTTTTGCCGCGAGCGAAGCGCTTGCGTAGGGAGCTCGAGCATCGTCCGCATCGGGCATGCTTCCGCTGCTATGGGATTGGTTGCTGACACTGGATACGCGCTCGAGCGTCGGATCGACTGCAAGCGGAGAAGTCGATGCTGGTGCTGCCTGCTCGCTGCGAACTGGCTCAGGTCGGTACCGACTTCGCCGTGCCGGTTTCTCGTCACCATAAACAGCTGTTTGAGCGTCGCGGAAAAAGCGATATACCCGGCGGGTTTGTGCAGCAGGATCAGCGTCCGACTCGATAGCAGGAGCAGCAGCGGCGAGCTGGAGCAGTCTCGCCTGGGCACTGGCTAGTTGTTGACGAACCTGCTGTAGTCGCTGTTCAGCTGCGAGTCGTTGCACTAGCTTTTCCTCGTAAACCTGTTGTAAACGCGCCGCGTCGCTCTGGTTGAAGTTGATGAAAGCTCTTAGCTGAGAGCCTTGTTCGGCGGGCACCATTCGAGACTGCTGCTGTAACCAACGCGAGACACTGTCCAGGGCACCTGGGTATGTTCGGTGCATCCTCAGCGTCTCAAATCAGGAAAAGATGGAAGCGAACGACGCATGAAGACCGTGCACAGCCAGAGGAGGCCACGGGCATACAAGGGAACGTCGCTCTCGACAGAAAGCGGTTCCCGCACTTATGTCCGATTCCTTTTCGATGCAAATACGTTTACATAGACCGTGAATCCCAGATTGCGGGATGGATCATGGCTTTCGGGAAAGCGCCCGTCATGAAGCAACTACCTTGAATTTCCATCTCCCATACTTGCTTTCGGATATACTGGCCGTTTCGTATGTTGTATCGTTCACCGAGTACCTGTTTTGTGCGCTCGCCGTGGCGCTTATATCGCTGGAGCAGATGTATCATGGGGATAGAACGGCTTTGGCACGCCACTGAGCACGTCGGATCGAGGAACGCTTCACCTGATACGGAGTCGAAGTATATGATCATTCTGCGAGCCTGCAAGCTGCACTGGCAGACGTACAGCCTGCGGCAGCGTGAAGCGATATCCTAGGAGTCCACTGCGACCAGGGCGACGCCCAGATGCAGCCTAACTGCACCTGATCCCAGAATGAGCTGCGTTTTGCGGACGAGCTGCTCAGATCTCACTAAAACACTTGCCACTGGAGGAAGCATGAAGCACGAGCTTGGTAGACTCGTCCGTCTCGCTGGCCTTCCGCCTAGAAGGCGAACTCTCGACCATGCGGAAACTTTCCCCCTATCAACGCTTATCGTAGATAGAGAACGGGATTGTTATCTCGCTCCTAAATAAAGGTTCGTTTCTGTTCCTATAAATGAATACAGACTGAATTCATACCAACTGACGGGCGCCGCCCAGTCTTTTTGATCTGCCGCATGCGATCGGAATCAGTTTCTTTAGGCACACTTCGAGCATCAGAGGCTGCCCCAGGAAGTTGGTTCGCCTCAAATCCCCGGGTCTCGTCTTCAACAACGTACATCGTCTGATATGGATAGCAGCGTTGAAGCCTCGGTTTACGAATTCCATGCGATTACTGATGCTGGTGGTACTCATCATTGCAAGGATTCCTCGAACTCTTGCCCTCAGTGCCGTTTGGTGCTCTGTCAGCTCTCCGTGCTTTTCAATCGCCGAAGCGCTCCACTGCCTTCTCTCCATCCCAACCTTTTGAGGTGTACAACCCAGCGCATCCATTAGATTTCTTATTTTTGAAAATGAATGCACTGCGTGATGTCCCTAGTTGAGGGCCTTCTCGGCGTGAGAGGGACTTGAGGAAGAAAGTCGACATTTGCCCCCGGCTCACCTTGGTGAACGCTCCAGCGATTTGCCCAGTGGAGCGATCAATACGCTTCGCGATAGAAAATCATCCGTCGATGCGTGGTTGAACCATGGACTCTACGAAGGAATGGAAAACAGCTATACCCCTGATAGAATCGGCAAACGCTCGAATGCAAGGCGAATGGTGAAATACCACGTTTTTCAATCAAGTCACCAAACGCCAGGGAAAACTCTTCGATGATTCGACATAGCGGGTGCTGTTGTCTGAGTATTCTGCAAGAGCGAAACTGAGGCCGCCAGATGAATCCCTTGTAACGACCACAGAGGATCTTGTCGATCTCTCCGAGTTCAATCGTTTGGACACCAAGCTCCCTTCACCCCGAATACCCATGTACGTCCCGACCGTTTCGTCCGAAGGGAGGCTCGTCGACTGAAAAAACAAACCAATGTCCACGCGCTTCACGCGGATCTCAACGCTCCAGGAATACTGCAGATGCGATTTCGGTGGAAAATGGGCGTTCGTGAACTAGGACTGTTTTATTACGACTTTTTTCCCAGTGTTTTAAGGACCACGCGAACAAGAGGTTGTGAAACAGGGATGCCTGTGCCAGCCGCTATCGTCGCTTTCGCTTTCCGTAAGGTGATCAACGGGCCGTTCCCTGCCATAGACTGGAAGCAGACTTTGAACATATCAGTTTTTGGCACGGAGAGCATATCCTTCTCTCTTGCAGTGATCCTCAGCCATTTGAGCACTGATGTACGACTCACCCGAAGAAAGATTGCAGTCCTCCTTGTACTGTTCAGTAAAGCATATGTCGTACAGGCATTTCGTCCACGATCTGTATGGTATATTGCATCGTGATTTCGATCGCATGCTCTCTACCATGAAATCGCACGCTTTGACACACGTCCGGTGCGGAACACTATTGACCTGCAAGACTAGAGAAGACCCGACTTGGAACGCAACTTTGCTCTAGGAAACTGTTTGACGCAGTGCAGCGACAAACCTTCCCACTTTGGATACCCTGGAGTCCGCCGTGCCGGAGCTTTGGTTGAGCGTTAGCGGCTTCGGTACAAGTTACTCTGGACGATCAGGCTCTCTGGCAGTGCGTGCTGCAACAATGAATGGAGCCCCCGTCCACTGAACGGTGACGCGAACGGTCCACGTTTGCCTCGGACAGGGCTGGAGTTCTCAGCAGACCCCGGCCTCGGGGACGATCCTTTCCTTCAAAAGCGCTCTGGTTGGCACCAGGACCTAACTGGAACCGTCGCGAATGGCCAAGCAGCTCGCATCAGTACTGTCGTACGCTTCGTGGTTCCGAAGCGCACGTCTCGGCATGTCCAGCTTCGAACTACTCGCCCGCGGCTCGGGCTGTTTTGTACATGGCGACAGTGAAGGCGCGAGCTTCGCGCACGCTGTTGTATCAGCTCATGTCGCGGCGCCACAACGCTTTCGACACTACTTCCCCCAAGGCTGGCTGCAATACGTCCGCGACATCGACTGCCGACATGTGCTAGAGTTTCGTACGCTGGACGGTGCGTTACGGCTCGCGTGGCCCGTTCATCGTATCGGGCCGGGTGGCGCTACCCTGGATCGAGACGTTCCAGCAGCACTGGAGGACGCGGACGCATCTTTGCGCATTCGGAACACGCACTTGTTGCCTAGCAGTACGTGCGTCCCGGCTACGTCAGCGGGTGCGCATCAGAGTGGCATCGCTGGGGCACCCTCGATAGCGCCGGTGGAGGTGTTGGTAATGGCGACACATCAACGGACGTCGGCGGACTTACAGCTGCCACGCGAGCATGCTCCGGGGGATCCATCGATGGTGGTGTTCCATCCCGCGGGTCATGACGTTGCGATGCTCCGCATCCGAGATCCACAAGCGATGATCGCTAGTCTCGGGGCCGAACCCCATTCCTATGGAATGAGGATTTCAACGGAGCAGTGCGCATCGCCGGCCCCTGGCGTTCAAGTCCAGCTGAGTGGCTGGGAGCAGTCGCAGGGTCAAGGGCCCGAAGAACTCGATGCCTTCGGGAAGGCGGCGCTCTATTATACAGAGAGGCGCGCGGTGCTCTGTGATTTACACCCGAGCTTGCGGATTTCAACACATTTGGGCGAAGCCTGTGCAGGTCGGCATATGATCGAGAGCAACGAGCGTCTGGAATGGGGACTTTGCGGTGCCCCGGTGGTAGAGGTGTCAACATTGAGCTCGAAGGCAGCGGCGAACGCAGAAGATGCGGATCCTCGCTTGATCGGCATCCTCGAAGGTCGATGCAAGTGGTCCTCTTCACACAAGGCAGATACTGACCTGGGACGTTTCGGTATTCTCATTTGTGCACGCCATATTCGTGCGCTACTGCTTGCAACGAGATCGCGAGCGTGAACGTAGCCGGAGCGGCTTGGGGAATCCCCGGGCACACGTAGATATCTCGAGCGTCGAAGAGCTGCATGCATACGGATTGCCACTTCGTATACGTGTGTGTACGTATCAGTGTACTGTGGAGGTTTCATACGTATGTGCGTGCGGCTCAAGAGCAAACTGGCATGGTCACGTTGTCCCTAGCGCCTATCGGGAAACAATGCGCTCGAGAGTTGTGCGCGGTTTCAGATGCAATCTGGGGCCTCGATTCGCACCACACAGAGTGTTGCACAGCCGCTGCTGGAGCGCAAGCTGAATGACTATGGGTTAGGAAAGCACTGCTGCGGGCAGCTCGTGCGATCCCTGGTTCAGAGCTCCGGTAGAGAACACGGCCGATGCGTTTCACAAGGTCTTTGGCGATCGGCGAATGGCATCGCTTCCCAGGAAAGCAGCTGCTGGTGGCGCGGATGCACTGCGTAGCTGGCATGGTACTTGCGGGAGAACCGGAACGGACGGCCTCCCGGTCTCTCTCTGCCGCACAGTCGCACCGGTTGGAAGATGGTTGCTCGATCACGGATTCGGTATCCGCAGGGCACGCCCGGGACCCTGAACCTTCCCGCTTATGGTCATCGTTGGTATGGAGACCGGCGCTCGGGCATGAAGCCTGTTCTCGAAAACGGTCGCACGTATAGGTGCTCTTTCGTGCGGTTGGCACCACAGGCGAGTTTTCGTTCGCGAATACGCCGCATATCGATATGCATTGCTTCAGCTTTTACCCGAAAGTGCTCGACGGCTACAAGCTGAGCACATCGCGGAGCGCTCTCACGATCTACACTGACGGGCGTGCGACTTTCCAAGCCATGATCGCCCACACGAAACGCGCACTCCATGAGGATTGCAAAGTCTGCAAGCGTTCAGAGGCAAGTGCTGCATCAGGCGCCTACAATGGCTGGTAACGGTAACAGGCGTCATCGGCTCACGTGGAGCATGCTCGACGGAATGCAGCACAAGGCATATCAAGGAAAACGGAAGCGTTTCGACAAGCGTCCGGTTGTATTCCAGGTTGCCTGGTGACGTAGTCGTGTCGGGAGATCCAGCAGGGCGCCACGGCGAGCTCGAGTAATGCCGCCGGTTCAGAGGCCGCCTCTGCCTCGTTCCTAAAAGGGACGACGTTGCTAGCGTAGGTCGGCACTGTTCAGCCCGACGTCCAAAAGTGGTGGTATTGCACTTGATGGTACAAGATCGATGACTTTGATCGGATTCCTCGGGCAGCGTATTTGCTGCCTCTAACCAGGGAATCGCTCAGCATGCTTTCACAGACGGTTATGCATTCCGCGAGTCGCTTGTTCTCTGCGGCATTCGGGGACTGAGAATCGATCAATCAATCGACCGGATGACCTTGCGGGCGCCGTACCAACTGCACATACGTGCTGCGTGGCGGTCTGTATGTATCATCGCTTGGATGCTTTGGCGGATAACTCGCCTCCTGCATGGAGGAGCCTATCCAGCCGCGTGCGCTTGTCCATGGATAGAGGATATAGGCAACACGGAAGCATGGGCGGTCGCGCTTGGCGTACAACAGCGGATCGGAATTTTTCGCCCGAATTGTCGTCAGTTCCACTGGTCCAGTCCGGCGTCCGTTTCATTGAAGCAACGTTTACGCAGCAGCTACATTCGATAGGCTGCATCCAAAGGAGCATCCAGGACGCTCTAGGTCGTCCCGAAACGCGATGTGGGCATCTCCTCCACCCGCTTTTGGAAAAGTCGCGAACAAGGGACTTCCTTTCGCTAACAAACTTCCCAACCATACGGCGCTGTGATCTCCTAAACGAGAACGATGTTCTTTGGTTACCATACTTCGTGCGGCATTTAAAAGTTCTCCTTCATGAAGAACACATTGCGTTGAGGCAAACCTCGAGCCGCCCGTGCCGCTGCTACCGCACGAATGCTCTGGTGCACGCTGCGGACAACAGACCTGCCGCCGCAAAAGAAGATGCCATGATGCACTTTGTTCGAGAAGGCTCGCGTGCGTTGGAAGCGTCTGATGCTTGCAGGTGCGCCCGGTTTCCCGCGTCCGGCTAGCGGTGTCGTGGTGTCGTGGTCCTCGTTCACCAATTCCGCGACGTATTCGCCAAAGTCGGGTCGACCACAATGGAACTGGAGAATCTCGCCGCAATTCGCCGGGAGTCTGCTGCTTACCGGATCGGCGTCGTCGTGTCCAAGTCGGGTAATATGAACATGAATTCGTAACCGTGGTCGACACGGATCACTGGCATCCTGCTGAGAAGCGAGTTCATAGAGCTTTTCGAGAAACCAGAGGTCTTCGACGTAGCGCACTACCCAGACGAACGTTACGGTGCGAATGTGAGAGAAAGCGTTCCATTCCGCGTTGCGAGCGTCGCTCACAACTTTATTGGAACGCTGCTGGTGGTCCCAGGAGCCTTGCAAGCAACGACGGAAAACTTTCGCTGTTACCGTCGTGCGCCAGGTCCATGAACGCGGTAGAAAGAAGAAGAAAAGCAGAAGCACGAAAATCGTAATGTGCACTGGGGTCACAACCATCACGAAGAGCCATTCGCTTGACTTGCTGATGCTCGCCATGCGATCGTTGGAAGCCAGAAAGTACTCCACGATAAGCAGGCTACAGAGGACTGCGTTTGTGAGAGCCACCGCAAACCACAACAGCAGCAGGATGCCTCGTAGCAGCAGAACGTAGTGCCAGCGGGGCGGATTCACGCTGAGCCTCATATCCGCAATCACGGTCAGACAAATCATCGTCAAGATGACCACGAACAGAGCAAGGCTACCAATGAATGCGACAATGTGACTGAACGCCGACGCGCAGATGGACACGGTCAGGTCGGCCAGACAAATCCACAGGATAGAGAAGAGCCACAGATTACTGAGCACCGCAGCGGAGAAGCGATCCAGGAAAGTGTCACCGCGCAGGGTGCCCAGACGTGCCGCTAGCACCGGCGGCAGAGCCTGCACGCTCGGAACCACTTCGGAGCTCGAATCGTTCGCTGTTGTGGACGCTTTCAGCTTTTCGAAGTTGGGCAGGTCGGTGCTTTCCCTCGTCGGAGATGTCGTATCGGATACCGACGCAAGGGTGCCGTTCTCAAGGTCACCTCCGGTGGACACATCGCTGCATTCTAGGCTTGCGTCTTTGTTGTTGTTGTTGTCGCAGGGCGTCGCTCGACCGCAGAGCTCCTGCACGATGGAGAACATTGGCGAGGCACCAACGCCAGTGCCGATCAGCAGCTGGTGCGCAAAGTTCTGATGACTCTGCGCAGGAGCGCCGTACGGCCCCGAAAGCAGAATCCACCGGCGGTTGATAGGCAAACACGTCGTTATGCTCGACTTGTCCACAGCGTGAGGCATTGCCTCAGTAGCGAGGGATTTCGGTGTCGGACTCGTGGATGATGCGTGTTCGAGATTCTCGTCATGCTGTTGCTGGTGTTGCTGTAGAGCCAATGCTCGCAATGCATTCGTCCACTTCCCGGTTGCGGCAATGAAAAAAATGATGCGATCTTTGTCTAGCAAAGGTGAACTGGCCACTGTGAAAGGATGCCATTCTCCGGCGACAGCCAGGTGCGAGCAAACGTGAAATTTCCAGGCCAGTTTGAAGTATTGGCCGGCAACGAACTTGCGACCCCTGCGTTCCAGGACAAGACGAACCACATTCGAATTCTTATGCGACAGCTCCACAGACAGAACTCGATGTGGCGTGAAGGCAGCAGCAAAGCTGTGATACAGCCTATCCAGTATGTAGAGTACGACCGGCAACCCAAAAAAATAGACGGACCAGAGGCGGCCGCCCCGTAGACCATGGAAAACGAGTGCCGCATAGGTAAGAATCGCTAGCGGCACATGACTCGCCCAGAATACGCGATAGACTCGCCGACGAACGCTCCCCAGAGAGAGCAGCACGATCGCTAGCAGAAACGCCATCAGGGCACATCCGGTTACAAAAACCATCGTCGTGGGGATCGTATTCGAAAAGGGCAAGAAGCCGCCGCGGAACGGAAGCGTCCCAACGCCGTAAGCGACACTCAGCAGGATGCCGTGGATCCAGCCTGCGATTGTGAACCAGCGCGCGATGATTGCGTGCAGGTCCGGCAACCATCGGGCTACGCTAAAAATATCGTACAGAGGCAGCCTGTACAAGATATTGGTCAGGGTTCGGTTCACGGTTATAGGAAGAAGCAACGCGTTGAACGTTGCCACGTATCCAAAACCTCTGCCAAAGATCAGCATATACCGAGACCAATCGGAAGGAAGCGCCAGACTAAGCGCATATTTAACGCCGTACACGAAGAACCACGCTTGTGAACACCAGTACGCGACTAGGAGAGAGAAAAAAAGTCCCGATTCACCGACTCTTTCGTTCCAAAGGTCGAGCTGGGCTCGTATTCGGTTTCTCGGCCGCATCGTCGTTATTGCACATGCTCCAAGCGGAACAGGAGGTAAGCTAGGCTTCATCCATACCTCGTCCAAAAAACAAAAACTTCTAGGTACTAAGGCGATCCGCACGTGGCTCAACCTGCGGTGCCGGGGCGTGCTTTGGATCGCAGCTGCTGCGGCCAAATTTGGTGCTCTACCGAAAGCACCACCCGAGTTGGGTGAGAAACGCGTGTCGTGGCACTCTTGCGCGTCGACGGCGGCGCGCCGCTGCATCGGTGCACCATCCGTTGCGCATCTGTGGATAGCGATGCGATGTACTGCATTATACTATAATAGATCTTAGTGTGCTGTTATGTCTATGACTATATTGCCCTGCGCCTGCTGCGTGCGGTGCGCGTGCCTCGAGATCGATGCCTGCGTGCCGGTGCGTGCCGGTGCGTGCGTGCGTGCGTGCGCACCGACGTGTCCTCCGACGTGTGCAACAGAGACGACCGTGTCAGGCTCCCGATTCGGATGGTGGATGCTGTTGCAGTCACGAATCGGCGATAGTAGGCAAATTTGGTGCGTGCGTTTATGCGAGTCTCGAATTACGCACAGATGGATCGAGGGGAGCACTATGCACCATGGGCAGGCCTCCAGCGCTGTTGGAGCATATGATCGCGTGAGGGTGTGCGCGAGCGTATTGCCGCTTGCTTCGCTGCTGCCATCGACTGAAATGCCAAAAGGAAGCAACTGGGCGAGACTAGCGTTGTGTGCTTTTCTCTGTCGGATGCACGGAAGCAGCGTTCGACAAAGATGTCGAGCGTGCGTCGTTGAGTTCCGTCCATGGGCGTTATTGTCGTGTTCACTATCGGTGGACACCATGACATCGTTCGATGCTTTTTGAGAAGCACTGCATTCGGCGTGCTCACGGACTGCCTTATTGTACCGTGTGTCGGATCGTGGGAGCATCTTGGTGGTGGACTACTTGTGCACACAATAGATCATATGCAATGATCCATGTTACTGGGATACGAACGCCACGGGCGCTCCATCCACGGGTCCAGCCGAATGCGCGACCATCGCTCCAAAGCGCGACCCTGGGTCCGACTTCCGATGCGTCCTCTGGCCGAGCATCGACGCGTGCATTATATGGAGACGCGCTTGCCCGGCAAGATCCACATTAAACGTCTCGAGTCGAATGGGTACTCGCGTCTCATGAGCCGCGGCTCCTGCAGGTTCATTTCGAAGCGCCGTGCAACTTTGGCGACCTTCCGGATGTGCGCAAGCTCGATAAAGGTCAGATGCATCCATGTGCTATGCCGCGAGCGCTTCAGCTTCATGTTGAAGCACCAACGGAATTTTGCGACCTTTCCTCCGAGCGTCTCAAGTATGCACTCACATAGATTCGTACGCTGCAACGTCTTGAACAAAAACCGTCCGTCGGGCGCGCTCCACTTCATCCGGTGGGAACGCATCCAGATACGCCTGTAAACGCTGCTTTGCAGCTTTCACGGACTCGATCGCAAAAGAACGCATTTCGAGGGTCGGCACTTTTGAAACGGGGTTGTAGTACGCGGTCACCTGACTCAGGTACTCGAGAGCATCGAGTCCTTCGCGTAATGCGGCATCGCGAATAGGTCCCGCTGGCAGTCGGCCGTTTGCGGCGGACTTGATACTCTGCTTCAAGTTGCTCTGCTTGACGATGATGCGAATCGTTTGGCGCAGGCTGCGAGTGTCTTGGGACTGCTCGATGAGCCTCACAAGCTCGTCCAACGCGTCGTAGGCCCTGCAGACTTGTACGAGTGCAGCCTCTGGCGCAGTTGCTGCACTCGCTACCTGACAGCGTGAACTTCCTAGAACGGAAATCAGGCTCAGGGAAGCGAAGGCAAAGTCTCGGCAGAAACGCCTTCGCGTGAAGGTCTGCCCCGAGGCGGCGCACCGAGCGACTAGTGCGCTGCTCCGTCTCGACCGCGAGCGGTCACCGCTCGAGTGACACCAGCAAGCCGCGGAGGTCTGAGTGCCCGCATTCAGCACTTCACGACCAAATGGGAGCGTTCCAGCAATGAAAGCCATGGAAGACCCCGTGCTCCCGAACCGTTCGATCCGAGCGACGCATGAAAGCGTACTCGAGTCAGGCACTCGATGCAAACCGGTAGTCGAGCGCAGCGCGGCATTGGGGCCGGCCGTCGGCGTTCGCAGTCGGCCTCTATGCCAGTTTCGTTTCGAGGCATCGGCGGTTTGCTGGTATTCAAGACCGGACTTGAAGTCATGATGCGGTAGAAGGTATCGAGGGAATGTCGTAAAAAGAGCAGACTGAGCCAATCTGAATAAGTACGTGGGGCCTCAGTCTACTTGGGCACCGCGCCGATCCAGATTATCGACTAAAGATGCAGGGGGCACGCGGGCACCCGCACAGCCATCATCGATACCTGGCTGTGTGTGATCGCTTGCTGTTCGGTACGTCCGGGGGACTGGCGAAGACAAGGTTCATTTCATGTGCTGTCGTGGTTTAGACGGTACCAGGTGATCTGCGAAACCAAATCGGTGGATGTCGGTTCATCGCATCCAGGATGGCCCCTAAACGATCAGGTACTGGTTGCTGAGTATGCCACCTAGGCCTGCGCTTCATCATCACCATCATCATCATCGTTGTCGTTGTCTTCGAACGATCGCCGCCACCAGCGGCGCTGCAGCTGCGCATGGCTCTCTGCAGGTCGCGAAAACTCTTTCGTGCTGGTATCGTCTTCGTCAGCCGCAGTGGCGATGGTGGCGACCGTTGATTTCACTGCATACTCAATGGCAAATACAACGGCAACGAGTCATGACGTATCGTCTTTGGCAGAGTCATCGATCCCGCCGCCATCCGACTCGCTATCTTCCCCGTCGGTTCCCTCTGAGGTACCAGGCGCTTGCTTTTCGTTTCGCCTGGACTGCTCGAGGGTCCTGTATCTCTCAAGGTATGCCATTAACGGTGGAATATATTCTTCGAAACCTAACGTACGCATGGCGTAGAGAATGTCCTCTGTGACAAGGCCGCAAAAAAAGCAAATGGTTAGTCTCCTGTCCGATAGCACGCACCCGGTGGTGCTCGTGTCTGACGCACCGGCTGTCGTGCACAAAACCTACCCCCACAGATCGTCTTTCGCCTCTCCCGCATACACTTGTCGCTACTCTCAGAAGTTATGAACGATATGAACTCACTGGTTGCTTCCTGAACGAGCTCCTTTGCTTCTCGCGAAACTTTGGAGGACTCTGGCAAAGCGCCCTTCATACATCGGCTAATATTGGCGATCGGCAAATACCTGGAAACCTCGAGTCCCAGCGGCGTGGTTAGTTCGCGTTCTCTTCACCCCGAGTCGACGCAGACTCGACCAATGCAACACGTTCTGATTCAGGTCGCTGCACGTCAGCTCGAAAAGCCAAACCTACCTCTCCTGTTCGTGTCCGTGGGTGCTTGTTCCGGTGTCGTTATCCGGACCTTCCGCGGGTGCAGCTGACCCCGTTGTGCTCATTCGAGTTTCGATCCAAAAGCAGGCCAAGAAAACCCCACCGCACGCGCTCACAGCAATTTAGAAACACCAGACTCTTGTGAAGGACTCACAGGGTTTCGGCTCAGGGGCGTTCGTCGTTGACGACACACCCGGCGTTCAGAGAGCGTACGCTTGAAGAGCGCGTTGCTGTGCGGTGCCGTGCGGTGCGGGACACGGGGTGGCGCCACGGTCTACGCGTCGCCAGCCGGCAGGTCGTTGCGTTGCCTGTCGTGCCGCTCCAGGAATGTCGGCATAAAATGGAACGGGTTCATTTCATGAACTCGAATGTACACAATAAACTGGAGCTTCTTCCCGTTGTTATCAACACCAGCCTTTGAAGGATTGCTCTGCGAAAGCTGTATTTCCTATGTTTTATTTCTAGGTTTACGTTCGACGGTTTCTCCTTTCCCTCGAGATCGTCTGTAAGCAGTCTAAGGATGTTGATCGCAGCGTTTGAATTCCGACTTTGCTGCTTCCGGCTTTAATCGACGCATTCCATGCAGCGGGAAAAGTTACGATCGATACATCGCGTGGGCTTTTTGTTTCCTTTGTACACCGCCTCGGCGCGCGATTCGTATCGATGACACTTGACTGTGGGTAGATGTTCGCGTACGTCCACCTTCTATATGCTTTTTTTTTCTGGGAACTACTCTGCCGCGCATGAACGCTTGATTCATCGCGCTCGGTACGTGCTTTTCATAGATGGAGAGGGCTCTCTTGGATCCAAACCTCCGTTTCGGGGCCCGGTGCCGTAGAATACGATACTGGACTTTGTCTGGGTGATCCGCTCGGAGCGTTTCCTGGACGCGGCACGAGCAAACACACGTTGTCGCATTCGATACACGATTTGTTCAACGCGATGCTGTCTACGATCAAACAAGTACCGGAAGGCGAATTCTTGCTGGAGACCGAGTCGAGAATTTCCGATCCGTCCATGCTGCCTTTGCGCAAGGCGATGACGCACGCCTCACCGGAAGCCATTGCTCTGATGACTCAAGCCCGAGTCCATGATACTTCCCTACAGAAAGAAACAGAAGGCAAGAGGAGCTTCTGGGGACATATTCCGCGGGAGACATGACGATGCCGTCGAATACGGTTTCGTCAGTGGCCTCAACGACAGAACGATTTGCCTCTTCGATCAGAAGTAATTGTTTGAGGTTACATGCTCAGTGAACGTTAGGCATGAGCTTGTGAACAGGTCCCCAAGCGGCGACGTCGAGTCTCCCGCATCGCCAATGAAGCGGAACGCATTGCTGCGCTCTCGAGTGTCGCTGAAACAGAAAATCGGAATTTGAAAAATGCTAGAGTTGAGCGTGCTACACCTTAGGAAATGAGAAGCGTGTACTCTTGTACATATGCAGTGGATAATGGTATCGATTATTTTACGCATCCTTGGTCAGGGATGTTGCGAATCATCCTGAATCCGGTGAAGTTAAGCATTCCAGTGCCAAGGCGACAATGAAGCCTATCCCAAATCACAACCGAGAACTCTAAATCCATATATGAATCCGGACGGCGCTATGGTCCCACACCGAATGTCGACGCTGTATATCTAGACAAGTTCTGGAATAAGATCGAAAAGCAGGGCCAGTGCGAGCAGTTCAATGTTGTATTTAAATACGACATGGATGCACCAGGAAGACACGTTGGCACGATACCCAATCGTTTCGCGATGTTCGACACAGCAAACATTCGTCGGGTTGTTCGAGTCATCAGTTGAAACCTTGTCAACGCGATACCACGTTTTTCCTTTGATCCTGAATTCAAGGGCACTCGTTCGGTCTCCTTGACTCTGCATCAAAGAGAACGAAAACGAAGCAACAGAGGAAACCACAGGGAAGCGCTGAAATACTACTGCAGCACAGCCCGATTTTCCGGCGAGTTAGATAGTCCGCAAAGCCATAGACGTTTCAAGACCATGGAGCGAAACTTAATACCCGGAAGGAGACGCCTCCCAGCCGTTTTTGACCGGCTGACTGCTATCGGGCTCTGTTTCTCCTTGTACACTCCGAGCCGGGGAGGCTGACCCACAAGTTGGCTCGCGTGAGCGCCGCGGGTCTCCTCTTCAGCAACGTAAATCGGCTGACAACCATGACGGCGATGGAATCTCGGTTCACGAACTCCGCGATTCTATTGCAACTGGTTGATGGAACCAGTACAAAGATCACTGCAACTCGTGCCCGCTGTACGGCAAGAGTCTCGTCATCGTACAGCCGGGTGAAAACCGTATCTCGCTTATCGCCCCTAGTATTCTTTTTCTGATTCTCCGCCAGCTGCTCTTCTTCGCTCGACGCTCGATCACATGAGGATTTTCTTGTTTTTCTCCGGCACCCAGCGATAGAGGCCCACCAGGATCCCTGACTTGCATGTCCATAACATGCCCTCGATTTTTTTTTTGAAAATAAACACACTTGGAACGCTTCTGCTGTAAACCGCGAAAAAAAGCACTTGATGACGCGCACCTGGGGGTATAACACAATTCAGTTGGAAGCCATTAAGAAGGCCTGTCCGAAACGAGACGGGCCTCGTCATATTTGGAGCGGGGCACTGGTGGATGCCTCGGATACCCACCACTGTCGAGCATCCCGGAAAATGAGGCAAGGGACGTTGAGCCTAGATATCTACAATGAAGAAAACCCGAAGCAATACACAAACTCGAATCCCCGGGGATGCGTTGAGCGAACCCAGTCGATGGCGGAGGTGCAGGACACACCCGGCGGAGTTCACTTGTCCATTGTGTGGGATCGCGGACGCGAACTTAGGCCCTGTGGAAGCATGAATGCCGCAAGTTACCGCGCTATGGAAGCTACTGCCTAGACGAACGCTTCTGGGTGCCAGCACCCTCGGCCAATATTCCTTGATTGCAACTCGTACGGACGCCAGGGACGCGTAACAGCAGCATAGACAAGAGTTTTCGCTGTTGTCTGATTCAGCGCTGCTTCCTTTCTGGTATTCTTATTCGATCGGATTTCCGGTTTAGAAGATGATCCTGCGTCACGAGTGCGGCTCTTTTTCAAAAGATCGACTGCAAATGCATCATTGCATAGCAGACTGATATGAGACTTGGTGAAGATCGTGCCCTTGTCGGGAACTCGACGGCATGGAATGCATCCCACGGCGGGAGGCGCGTAACTCGGCTGGGCTCTGTGCTCGCAAGACCCCAAACCCGCCACATGTGCTGAGCTTCAGGCCTTGGTCAAGCCTGCGAACGTACCGCACGAACGCAGAGCGCGAAAACACCCGAGTTTGGCTCCAGAGACGGCGGCTTTCCTCGAGGATATCTGCTCGATAGGCTTCGCACCCGGGGAGACTCCCAAGCACAACTTGTCTGCAACTGCTGTGTACTTAGTCTGGCGCGTAGTGCAGCGGTGACCAAAACGCCAACAGGAGCACGTTCGCGTTCGGAAACGCCACATCGGAGCTTTTGAGCAGCCGACGTTCATGCTGGCACCTCGCGGTTGGCTGCGGTAAGCGGTGACCTCTGGAGAGGCCTCACTCCCGCCGCTCCACTACTCCAGTCATGCTAACGCAGTTTCTGCTCCACCGTGTCCGGAGCGTGCTGGACAAGCCTACTTTAGGACCGGTTCGAACTTTTGGTGGCGGCAACAGAAGCACCAGTCCGGTGGACGTGCTGAGGACGACGCTCACTTTTGGACAGTTTGGGCTGTTCAGAAGGCCCCATAACACAGGAACAAAATTTATCAGGGAACTGCAGGGCAACTACGCGAAACTCACTGAGAAGGATATCGCGACACTGGTAGAGCTGGCGCGCTCTGCTGAGCCGCAACCTCCACCAACGACACCTGCTACAGCCGCTACTGTGTCCATTACGAGTCCAGACCAGTTGCGGAGCTACAACACGGACTGGACGGGCGAGTTTCATGGAAACGCAAGTCTTTGTCTCCGGCCGTCCACGGTTGCAGGCGTTGCGAGCATCCTCGCGTACTGCCACGAACGGAACCTGGCTGTAACACCGCAGGGCGGCAATACTGGGCTCGTGGGAGGCTCTGTCCCTGTATTTGACGAGATTATCCTCTCACTCTCGAGAATGAACCGAATTCTTGAGTTTGATGAAGAGCACAGCACGATTACCGTCGAAGCTGGCGTCACGCTGGGCCGTGCCGAGCAGCACTGCCGCGAACGAGGATTCTGCTTTCCGTTGGATCTCGGGGCCAAGGACAGCTGCCAAATCGGTGGCAACCTCTCGACCAACGCGGGTGGGTCTCGATACGTTCGCTACGGCTCCCTGCACGGCACTGTGCTGGGCCTCGAGGCTGTGCTCGCTGATGGCACGATCCTGGACCTCGGCGTTGGTAGGAAAGTTCGCAAAGACAACACCGGCTACGATCTCAAGCATCTCTTTATCGGAGCGGAGGGTACGCTTGGCATCATTACCAAGGCCACGCTGTCGTGCTCGCCGGCACCTACAGGCACACAAGTGGCCCTAGCAGGACTCCCGGGACCCTTCGAGCAGGTGCGGTGGTGGCTCCGAGAAGCGCGTCGTTCATTGAATGCCCATTTGTGCGCTTTTGAGTTCATGGACAACGATGCGATGACGCTCCTGCGGGCGCATGGGGATGGATTTGGGGTCCCGCTGCAAGGGAGCCATGCTTTCTATGTTCTGATCGAGTGCGGTACCGCTGCTGATACGGAGCATCGGGCGTTGTCGCCGCTCGAGACCTACCTCGACGCCATGACTCGTGCCGACCCGCGAGTGGATGTGATTATGGCCCAGGACCTGTCGCAGAGTGCACACCTATGGGGCTTGCGCGAGTCCCTACCCGAACTGGTTCGTCGATCCGGCCCTAGTATCCTCAAGTATGATCTCTCTTTGCCGCTTCCATCGTTCTACGGAACCGTCGAGGCAGTCCGCGAACGATTGCGTCAACACAAGCTCGATGCGAGGACTTTTAGCTGGGGACATGTCGCCGACGGCAATTTACATCTGAACGTTTCCAGCGAGCACCCGCGGGACATGCTGCGCAGTACGCTGGAGCCGTGGCTATACGACGTGGTCCAGCAGCATGGCGGATCGGGGAGTGCAGAGCATGGGATCGGGGTGCTTAAAACTCGCCTCCTTGAACGGGGTAAGCGTCCAGAGGTTCTACAGCTCATGCGGCGTTTCAAAGCGCTCCTGGATCCGAAGGGTATCCTTAATCCCTATAAAATGGTGGATGCCGGCGACGCTGGTTGCCGCAGACCCTGAGACTCATAGTCGGTGTGCATCGGCGTGCATTCGTCAGCTGTGCAAGCGAGCACCCTGGGCGATGCGTCCATCGAGCATCAGATAAGAAGAACATCAACTGGAACGACTCGTGCATAGATAGAGGGTTGGTGTGCGTCGGCGACACCGTGAAATGGGGCTTTTCATGAGAACGATGACCGATCGGGGGTTTTGGGCGAGCATCTGGAGAACGCTTTCCGCGAGTACGCAGCACTTGTTGGATGCGAAGTCTCCTGCGGGTCGTCAAGTGAAGCTGCAGCCGCAGACCTTTGGATGAGTATGGCGCTGAACCGTCTCAAGAAATGTGGCTCCAGCTGAAGCGAAAGCATATGTGCAAGCATGAATGTAATCCTTCGATCAGGCCGTCCTGCTTTCTCGATGCACAGCATGCGTTGTGTTGCCGGGCGAAACTTTGATCGAAATATTCCAGGTGAATATGAACAACCGGCACTTCAGCGTCCGGAATGTCAACGACCAGTTGCTTGCCAATGTGCACTGCAACGCAGAAAGCTAGGTGTGAACCTTGCTCGTATGAGAAGCTACGAGACCCTTGATAGCGTCCTATACCTCGTGTTCGGGAGGATTCTCCCCGTTCGTGTGTTTCATGAAAGCGTCCCTGACAATGCTTTCGGACTGATGGATCCGCTCCGAGCGCTATCCCTGATTCCTCCTTATCTGCTTCTCGTGAGGATATTCCGTGTATTCGTCTGGTGGCTCCTTGGTCTTCCTGTCCTTCGGCTTTTCAGATACTCCGCAGGGTGCCATGGATGTGGCCGCTATACCCCACATCCGTTCTCTTTTGTTTTTGAAACGCAGACGCTGTGGAAGATCGGTGGATCCGCAACTCGCCTTTTCTATGTACGTATCTACGATTCGTCAAGTAACTTGTGTTATCTTTCTCGTCGCAAGCATGCCCATGGGCCGAAACGCGCTTTGCGGCTCTCGTTAGCACGCGTGCTGCGCACCAACACAGCAGTTCAGAGCTGGTGAAGACAGAGAACGACTTGTACGAAAATGATTTTGCCACGAGCTGTGTCAAGGATACGAACGATTCGTCTACTGACCGGTGAGCATCAAAATGGCATACGACAACAGAGAAGGCGCCTTGGACAGGATCGAACCACTGAGCATAGGCGCTGACACGAAGAGCGGCTCCACGCCAATGTCAGCCGCCTACTCTTCGACCGCGTTCGAGGGATGGAAAGCGACGTTTCCTAAGACCAGCACAGAAGAATGTCGAAAGGAGAGGCCACGATGCGTGCCCCCGACGAAGGCTGAGCTGGTCGACGGTGCTGTCTTTTTGGCGACTGGTAGGCGAGGTCACGATAGTATCGCCGCCGGGCTGATCTTGTTGGAATAATCACTTGTCTCTTGTTTAAGAACACCGGGTTTACGCACGTTGAGTATGGATGCTCAGGTCAACCACTTCTCTCGGGTGATTTCTCACCGTTTGAGAAGGACACTCGTCGCTCCTGGAACAAGCGTTTGCGTTACCATACGACATCAACCGCATGTGTTTCCGTGGGCGACGGTCTCCCGCGGAAGCGCACGTTCCCCTGTGTCCATCAGTGGCTCTTCGACACCGTTCGTATCCATGGTACAGAAACTCGACATTTTTTCCCGTCTCTCGCAGTTTCTCTCAGAGAACTTTTGCACTGGAATGGATTCGCGAGGAGCTAGTGGTACGAAAAGATTCTGATAACGTCGGGTTTGAACGCATGACAATCAGGATAAGTACGATGAGATGGGCGGTTTATCGACCTGCGACCATAAAATGACTGACTTGATAGGGTCGTTGTCCACAAGCTAGCAATGACAGCATGAAATCTCTCTGCGATCGCTCTCCAGTCTAAAGCTTACAATGCTCATGTTGAATGCCGGCAAGATACAAGAAACAACAGCAAAAAAGGCGTGCTGGTGCTGGTGCTGGTGCTGGTGCTCCGCCACGCACTACTGCTCTCTGTATACTGTCTAGGGCAGACGATGCACCACTTCTATGGACGGGCACCGGCAAGTTAGCGTCACTGAGCTCAGCAGGTTTGCACAGCTACACCACAGACCACGACGATGACAACTGGTGTTGTTGCATGCCTACTTGGCGAGACGAGCGTCGCTCTGAGAGAGACCCCAGGTGCGCCTACCATGCCGCGGCTTTGCGACCGTGCAACCATCATCGACGACAGCAGCTGAACGCCAAGCAACGCCGAACTGGATCACAGGCTACCTCTGGAGTGCATACGAGGAATGTCAGGCGCTTTTCGAAGCTTGGGGCTCGAGCTCGAGCGCTACGGACCTTTCGAGGAACCGCCGAAGCACGCTGCGGATCCCACGGGGAGGCTCAAGTGCACGCTTCTCGGGAGCGGAAGCAGTTCGTGAATATCGTCGACACCAGACGCGGTGCCAGGCCAGTGTCGCTTCCCGCGGACGATTGTCAGAGACGTCACCGAAAGCCAGTGTCGAAGCGCTCGACGACTCCGGGAGATAAGCGGTGCTCGGGCGCTTGAAAATGCTTGGTGCTTCCCGTTGCACGAGACGCTCATCGGTTCTCTTGAGTTGGCCTGGACTTTCATCTTACGGTTCCTGGGACGCCCGCTTTCCAGAATTCACGGAAAATACCAGCACAGGCTTGTAACACGGAATCGTGGACGATTCCTCTATCTGCGAACGTGATACAAAACGAAAGCGTCAACCGCGCTTCATCCCTGCCAGCTGCACGAACGCATCCGCGAAGGAACGAACCTCTTTACTGTAGCGATACCCCACAGCGGGTCTTTACCTGCTCTAGCACTTGAGCAGTCCCTTGAACGCTGCACACTCGGGCAAAGCAGCGGTCATGATGAATCGGCATGGTCATGCAAAAGATGGTGACACACTAGGCCGGAACCGTCACCCTCAGACCGGATCTCTTGGAACCGCTTTCGTGCCATGCGTTTGCCTGTCGTCAGCGAAGCGCGATGAATATGTGCTTGTAGGCAAAGCGCCCTGGAAGCAGTGCGCCCGCTACCGATGAAACCGAAGCGCATGACGATTCGAGAACAACGTCTGGTCGACACGAGTGTTCCGACACGTCAACTTCACGTCCGAGTCTAGTTTCGCGACTCGTGCACCAGGGCATTGATGCTGTGTTGTTAATACGGGCGTGTGAGCAACAACTCATCGTAGACGTTATTCGTGAGTTCCGCAATGCGATCCCAGCTAAACTCCCTTTGTGCTTTCTTGCGACCCTGCTCGCCCATGAACCTCGAATGATCGAAGTTTTCGAAACACTTGCATATTCCCCAAGCTATGGAGTCCGGACTGGTGTCAATCTGGTATCCTTCCACTTCATGAGTGACAAACTCCCGTGGTCCGCCGTTCTTTGTGACGACGACAGGTTTTCCACTCGCCCAAGCCTCGAGAACAACGATCCCGAACGGCTCATTTCGACTCGGCACGCAGACCACGTCGCAAGCTTTGAAGACCTCAACCAGCGGTGCTCCGCCCATGGTGCCGGTCCAGCGGAAAGCGTGTGCCACACCAAGTTGATGACAGCGAGCCTCGAGTGATGGTTTCATGTAGCCGTCGCCGACCATCACGAATTTGGTGTCGCTACGGGCCTTCAAGATGAAGGGAGCGGCTTCAACCAGCAGGTCTGGTCCTTTCTGGACTGCCATACGCCCAACGAAGAGCACCATTGGATCCAGGGGGCCCACCGCGTAGCGCGCGCGGACTTCTCCGGGATCCCACAAATTCCCGTCGTAACGCAGCGCATTAATACCATTGTGGACACAGCGCAGTTTGTTCCAGTCAAAAGAGTATACCGCTTTGACCTCATCGCAAAGCACACCGCTGACGCAGATAATACGATCGGCGGCAGATATTGCGGCCTGCTCAATATCGCGAATACGAGCCGACTGGCCACCGTAGTGATTATTGCCGCTACGCCCATACTCCGTAGAATGGATGGTGAATATGCAGACAGGCCGTCCAAGGATGTGCTTCGCGTTGGTCAGAGCGAACCCCGTGAGCCAGTCATGGCAGTGAATAACATCGAAATGAGCATTCATGAAACACTCCACTTCGTACATCGCGTGCATAAATGAGTTGCACATATTCTCACACTCTTTCACAAAGTCCGGGGACAAGTCGAAGCTGCAACGATGCACGTATACACCGTCAATTCGCTCATAGGGGGCCTGGCCAGCACCCGACCTCACGAAAACGTGAACTTCGTGGCCGCGACGCTCTAGGCCTGCTGCGAGTTCGGTGACGTGCGGCGCAACACCGCCTACCGCAACCGAGTAGAGCGACTCCCATGCAAACAGTGCAATTCTGTAGCGTTTGGGACATTTCGGTCCACAGTTGCTTTCCTCCCGTTCTCGTTCGGAACTGGATGTGCGCGGGCTAACAGCAGCCTCTTCGCGCAGGTAGCTCTGCGCCTCCGTCGGTGTTTCGGAGACGGCGTCCCGAGCCTTGTCCATGGGGCGCTCCCCAAAAGAACCCGCCTGCACGTCAGGTAGCGTTATTGGACTTTCAGCTGCTTCGCCGGTCGAGCGGCCGCTCGCGAGAAGCTCCAGTTCCGCCTGCCGGTAACCGTCCTCGGTGCTGAAAATGAGCTGGTCCATGAGCTTTAGCGGCGCCACCTCCGGTTCAGACTCCACACGTTTCAGTGATATCGTGTTGATGCGCGCCATTTCCATATCTCTTGCCAAATCGTCGGGTGAAGCCATCGTCGCAGCATTCGCGGAAGCTGCCCGACGTGCCTCGTCAGCAGTACCCGCCTCCGAGTCTCGCTTGGGCGCTTCTGTTGGTTGGTGTGCGCCCACGAACGGTGCCGGTTCCGAGCTCGCTTCCGAAGAATCAGCAACAACTCGAGCGGACTCAGTGGTGCTTCCGCTGCGCTGTGCACCAACAGCAGAAGCAACGTTCTGAGACCCGCCACGAACTGCGTTGTTTCCCCGGCGGCGACTCGAGTCTAAGCCGCCTCCCTGTCTCGCGCCTCCCAGCGTCGAGCTCCTGTTCGGGTTGCTCATAGCTTCTATCGGCGTCTAATTAAGAGCCCCTATAAAAGTCAACTAACTCTTTTGGTGCTGTTATTGAACCCGCGCAACCAAACCGTACACTGCCCAAAGGCGTTTACAGAATGCTGCCTCTACGCAGAAGCCAATACGGCGTCGAGGCCGTTCGGTACCGCCGCCGCCGCCGCCGCCGCCGCCGCCGTCGCATCAGCAGCGATCAGTAGAGATCAGTAATGATCAGTAGCAATCAGTAATGATCAGTAGCAATCAGTAGCAATCAGTAGCAATCAGTAGCGATCAGTAGCAATCAGTAGAGACCAGTAGCAATCAGTAGAGATCAGCAGCGATCAGTAGCGATCAGTAGCAATCAGTAGCGATCAGTAGCAATCAGTAGCAATCAGTAGAGATCAGTAGCAATCAGTAGCGATCAGTAGCAATCAGTAATGATCAGTAGCAATCAGCAGCAATCAGCAGCGATCAGTAGCGATCAGTAGCAATCAGTAGCAATCAGTAGCAATCAGTAATGATCAGTAATGATCAGTAGCAATCAACAGCAGTCATTAGAGATCAGTAGTGATCAGCAGCAGCACTGAAAACGCGTGAGCGGACTAACAAGTCGAATATGCCCGTTATCCCAGCCGCACGCAGGCGGGTGTCGGAACTCTAGTGCACCAGCGGCAGCGTGCCCGAGTTCGGATGTGGAGTCGTCACCGGCTGCAGGGCTGGCGACGCCGGTGATATCACCGCCGGAAACGCCATAGAGACGCACACGCCGCAGCGCGCTGTCCGATGCTACGGACTTGTCAGAGATTCGAAAAGTCCTCGACGATGTCCGGTTGGTGACGGCGTCAGCGTCGCGTCCACGAACACTTTCTGGAACGCAAGCGCTCGGATCGTCATCTGCGGATGCAGCGAGCCGCACTGGACCTGGTGTGCGCACACGCTCCTCGAGTACGTCAGCTGTTGGTTCGCTTAGCGGTACCAACACCAGGCATGAGCCTGCCGAGGATATAGAAAAAGTGGCTCGGACGGCTGCGACACGTCGTCTCGCTGGGCTTGTAGATGCGCTGGATCGTTCCCCGACTTGGACTGAGTGGGAAGCGCAGGCTGTACCCGCCTCATCCTGTGAACGTCCTGCAACAGGGCTTCGTGATGGTATATCTCGGCGTCTGTTTGGAACCGAGAGCGGCACCATAGGACGCAGCGTGTGCCACCAAGCACGTCGCTTCCGTCGTCGCAGTACGCAAGTTATGGCTGCGGGCTGCCGTCCAGAACATGACAAGCTGATCCTCTCAAGTGATGGATTGCTTGGTGGTCTCGCTGTGCGATGGCATTCGTTTGGTTGCACATATTCGCTCGATTGGTCCGGTAAGAAGTAGGCCCGTGTGGCGGCATGTCAAGACAGTATAGATGAGGCAAGATACGAATCTTCTCCCGTCGGGAAAGCGCGTATACCCGACTCCAGGGAAGCTGATCGTTGTCGCCCACATGGGTGTTCCAGGAACGGCTACCGCTCCAGCTTGAGGCTGCGCTCATGGCCATGTCGCACGAGTTATTTTCGGTGCTTTGATTAGACCCGCTCAACCGACTCGTCCGAAATGCAACTGCAGCGAAATTTCGAATTCGGAGGGGTCTTCTGCTTGTAGCACAGAGCAAATGCGAATCCGCCTAGACTCGGTCTTGTCTGCGCTGCAACGCATGTTCTGTTGTTGTCGTTTTGGGGGCTGCAGGATCATTTAGTCGACCAAGAGGGTCTCCGCTTGCGCGACGGGTGTCGGTACCTGAGACAGACGATTTGCCGTAGTCGCATGCAAGCACAGCGGTATCGAGTGCTAGGCTTTTGTTCGAGGAAACGGAACCTACGATTTCACAAGGTAAACCCAGGCACGTCACTCGCTCGGCGAGTAGTGCAGCAGAGCTGTGTCAGCACTATGCATAGGAGTCGGCAGCGCTTCCACAGCGCATGACTTGCGAACAGCAGAAAATCGACATACAGGGACTTTTGTGCAGACGTGTCGTTTCGCAGCAACAAGGTGCTATGCGCTTAGCAAGAAAGCTTCCCTGAGCGTACCAAGCGACGCCACTTCGCCTACATCCATATCTCCTCCCATACCATCTGCTTATGATTACTGACACAGATTACTGCCCTGTTCATTTGCCGAAAATGGGTCCACTGTCTAATGCTTGGGGCACGTGTCCGCTTTCGATCGATAGTATGCACTCGCATGCCTAGTGCGGGAACGTCAAGTGCTGTCGACAGTGCACTCGTTTGCGAGCGATGGCCGCGCCTCAGGCACTGATGATGCTCGCCTGTCTGACGCCGTTCCTTGCTCGAATGACGCTCCGCAGCACACCGGCTCATCGACGAGAGCGCAGGTTCAGAGTCGTCATAGTATGCGTCCATCGCTTGTCGTCAGCGATCTGACGCTGAGCAGGCGCGTGCTCCCGAACAGAGCGACTCGCTACTGCCTCCGTCCTAGACCTGGGCAATGGATTCTGGCGCTATTCATGCCTTTGTCATCCAGGACGCGTTCTTAGCCTGCGGCCGCCGCTGGCTAACAACTGTAGCTGTCATCTTAAGCAGTAGTAGACAGCGTCGTTTTCAGTGTTCGCTACGACGTTGTTGGTCGCGCAGCTCAAGGTATCCTTCCAGAGACCGAATGAACTCTTGCACCGAAGCACTCGAATCTTGCTCTACCCGTCGTTTCTGATATCGACGTACAAAGAGATGACGATGTGCACGCAAATCTTGCGATACCGTATACAGGCGACTGGATTGATTCGCGAGCAGGAAAATCCGTCGCAAGTACGATTCAGGAAGGCGAAGCGGACACTTGTCGTACGTATACACCGTTCCGGGGTGTTGATGCTCGCCCTCATCTCCGGCGCAGAGCACTTGGATAATAGCGTCCTCGATTTTGCGGATCTCGCTTTCGAAGTAGCTATCCGCGGATTGAACGCGAGTCTGACGCGTCGCGATCGTCATTCGTGACGTCGTTTTGAAATCCTTCCGAGCAGTGCCTCCTGAAATCCAATCATAGATGGAAGCGACCCATTGCGTTTCTTCGAAGAACGTGCACCCATCCGGAGTTTCGTACGAGCAAACCCTCTCCTTCAATGACATGGTGAACAGCGGTCGATCCCATCGTTGGCCTTGCGGGTCTGGCCATTCGAAGCGCTCTCGTACCCGGGCAATGTTCGCTGCCACGTCGCTGTCCGCTTGAGGCTGTTGTCTGGGACCTGCCACTTCACATCGCCCGTTCAGAACAGAGCGCAAAGCATCTGCGTTCGCCGACCGGGCGCTTTTCGCTTGCGGCTCGTGCCCGATCCTCTCCGGCGACGTCAGTTCGGGTTCGACAACAAGACGCGTTGGGCCCACTGCTGCAGCCGAAGGCCGGTCGGCAGTGGAGCGCTGGTATCCCGGCGGACTATGAGCACAGGAGACTTCAGAAACGTCTGCCTTACTTCTAATAAGTACTGTCACGTGAGGTATTGACTCTTGACGCTTTCCAGCGGGCACGCGGGTCACGCACCATAGCTCATAGCGAAAACCAGAGACGAGATTGCAAGCATCTACGATCACCAGACGTTCGCGGTAAGGTGCACGCTCCAAGGCTGCACGCAGACGACTGCGCGCAGTCTTCTCGCGCTGCGGCTCAGCGTAGTCCTCTATGCCGCGATCTGAGAGTATCGTCACTGGTTTAAGGTGTGGTGGTGCTGCTTCAGCGATTCGCTTTGCCAGCGCTGACTTGCCTGCTCGAGGCAAGCCGCAGAGCACGACAACCGGCATCACCGTCAACAACAAACGCCTTTCAAAAGAAAAACGTTGTCGCCAGCGGTGTACAGTAGTGGCGAACGCGGCCTAGACAAGAAGTCTCCAACTGGAGTGTAGACGCCTGCCGGTCTTTTTGGACAGGCTACCTGCTACTGCTTCCAACTTTTTCTTATATAGTTCGACTTTGATAGGTTGTCCAACAAAGTTCACTCTTGTCTTCTTTGAAGGTCTTTCCTCCAGCACTGCACATCGTCTGATATTGGTGGCAGCGTTAAATTCTCGGTTCACAAACTCCATACGTTTCTTGCCGCTTGGGGGTTGTACTCACCAACGCGAGTTGCCCTCGCACTTTTGCCCTCCTTTCCATTTGCTCCTCCGTCAGCGGTCCGTACTTTTTTATATCCTCAGGGCTCCTCTGGCACTTTTCCATCTCCGCTCTCTGGAGTGTACACCCCAGTTCACGGTGTGCATAGGATGCTCGAAACTCATCTACAGGTATCGTAACAAAACGCCGTGCACACTCCTTGTACGTTCTCGTCGTTGGAGCTGGCGTAGCCCCTTTTTTGGGTCTTCAAGCGCCCTGCTCCGTACGCTACTACGAGCCTCTGACTCTCGTCCTCCTTTAGGGAGCTCAACTGATTGAAAAAATTCGCGAATGCGCGCTGCCTCCCACCGTATAGATTCATACGCAGACGAGCCCACCGGGGCTTTGTATACTCCTCCCACAGCGCATCTCAATGGGTACTATGAACTTCCATGAATTTCCGAAAAGCTTCAAAGTCCGCTCCGCAGCTCGTCACCTCGCTCATAGCTTCCAGGTGATCCTCCATTCCTGCATTCCATGCCTCAATTTTCTTCCTCGCATTCATGATTCCCGATTATCGATTGTATATCGCTCTCGAGAACCTCAATAGACGCATGTCTTTCTGACGTAAGTTACCGTGAGTACCATTTTCCGCGCGCGTGGGTGCTGCGATGCTTATGATATTTGTGTTTCCGGGGTCAGCGCCAACGGCAAAGTCGTTATCCTGCACTTTCTGCTTCTCAGAGCCCGCCTTCTTGTTTTCTTCATGCTTCGCCGCGTCAACGATGAGGTCGTTCCCCCTCAGCTCCTGCATCACAGGGTCCGCTTCCTTCTCATCTTCATCCTTCGTTACGTCAACGACAAGGTCGTTATTCTCTACCTACTGAGTCGTAGGATTCTCCTCTTTGTTTTCTTCATGCTCCGCCGCGCCAACGACAAAGTCGTTGTCCTCCACCTCTTGCATTGCAGGACCCGCCTCTTTGTTTTCTTCATCCTTCGTCATGGGCGCAGCCGAGGGAGGGACTGGCTGATCTGTCTTCAACCGCCGATAGTGTACACACAAGGCTACTCCATCGGTTTCGATTATCCCAGTGAACACTTTTTGCTTGCTCACTCTCAGGCGTTTGAAATCGAAGATGTTCTTCCAGTACGTCATCCGGTTTTCACCGGAGAATTCCTCCCTGTTAACATTGAACTCCGGACTGATCTCCTTCATGATGCCGTGAGGGATTCTGGAGTCGATAGTAACAAAATGTGACTTGGCATTGCATGACGGAACGACGTTGAAGCACTTCCCCATTAGGAAATTCTTCCGTCTCTCCCACTCTCCATTTGTCTCTTCACTCAGCTTCATCTCCGCTTTGCGATCGAGTTCACGGTCCAAAAACACGAAATACCGTAGGAGGAGACAATCGTATCTTTCCTTATCTTTTTTCAACTCTTATACCTTTTCTGCTGGATGCACCAGCCCGAGCACCACACGATGCTCTTGTCCAACCGCACGGATCACAGCAGCTTCATTCGTGCTCTCTTTTGACGCCTTCTGGTCAACAAATTCGACCTCATCTTCATGCTTGCGATCGTTCGTGATGCCGTTGATAATCGCCCATTTCCCATAGCGAGAGATGCCCGGGTAGAGTCCAAATACGGCGCGTATCATGAAACGTTCGAGGTTCACGATCAGATGGTTCTTCAGATTCGTGATGTACTTTTTCACTCCGTATGTGTCAATATTTCCGTCACCGCTGTATCGATTACCTTCGAAGCGGAATTGCGCGAAGTTTTCGTGTACGGCATGTACTGCTCATTTTCCCTCCGCATCTCCCCTGTACCAAGCATCAGGTGGCGAATAAACGTCTTGTCGAAGATATCGTCTGGAATCTCGACCGTTTGCATGTGCGTCACGTCGCGATACATCTCCCTCGCCAAATGCATCAGTCCTGACAACGCCTTGACAATACTCTTGGAGTACGAGTCGACACGTATTTCGATAGCGTCTCGCAACTTTTCCCTGTAGGGATCCTTGATATGTCCAAGAAGGAAGGCTTTCACCACCATCTCGTCGTACAGTCGTCTTTCTTGCCGCCTTCGACGTAGGGCATCCCCCTTTCGGTCCTTCTTCTCTTCCTTTTCTTCTGGACTCGACACTGTTTTTTGTTTTTTTCTGGCAGCCGGCGACACTGGGCCTCCAGGATCGTGCACTTGCTTTTTCATAGCTTTCCTTTTTTTGTTTTTTGAGAAAGAACGCTCTTTGAACCCTTCTGTTATATACTGCGAAAAAACACTTGACTAGACTTGTTTGAGGTTTGAAGCACAATCGAACTGAAAGACTGTACGTTGCTATGGCCTGAACGAAAATACAACGTTTACAATAGATCTACATGCTAGAGATCAGGATCACGTTCCCCTTCAACAACGGCATGTGCGTCGTGTCTCATGCCTGCCTGATCTCCGAGGTGCGCTCACTGAGCGCGATGCAAACTAGTCACAAACTATTCATCAAAGAACAACTATCTTTAAGCCCAACACACCACGCCCGCATAAGAGGTCTAGTTTTTCCGGAGAAGCTCTGAAAGTGGGCGAACGCGGGGTGCTTGGGCGACGGCGAAGGAAGCCCACGCCAGGGACCTTGACCGCAACGAACGGAGGGGCGGAGGCAGCAGCAGCAGAAAAAGCTGACGAAAATTCTGAGCAGTTATCCGCCCCTCCCGAATCAACGCTGCAGGCTCCGGCGCAAATCCTGGTTCAATCCTCGAACTCGGGCTCCGTTTTACCTTCTACCTTGGGTACCTACCTAAACTTTGGAAACAATCTCGGCGGATACTTTGGAAGACGGCTGGCAGTATGTTCGCCGTCGAAGCTGGAATAAGCGACTTGCCCGCCTATGTATTTGGGGAGCGGATACGAAGCCGCTGAAAGGGTGGTTCGTAGAGTTTCCCCTGTGGTTTAGGGTGGCTTCACGCGTCCGGCAAGATAAAGGTCGCATTCGAATCGACCTTGACTAATGTACTTTTGATTCTATGCTAGCGCTGTGGCAGATACGCAATGAACGACTGGAATGCAGGAGGCAATGGTGGCGTGTGCGTTCACACACCCCGTGGAGGGTGCATCTAAATCGAACTTCTAGTCGGAAGGTCCAGCGAATCGGATACGCACACGGGCACATTGCGCTTTCTGCGCTTACCCACTGTGGTGGGTGTCAAGCACAAACCCGCATAGCCAACCGACAACAACGCATTCGATGCATGATCACGAAGTGGAGGGGCGGCTCCCAGGATATATCCTAACAGCCAAGTGTCTCCAGCGTGTCGTGCAGCGAAGGCAAGCCTGCATCCGCAGACTGTCCAAGCACAAACTGAAGACGAGATCCGATTCTACGTCGGGTGAACCACGCCTCGAGCCGATGCCCTCTGTGATATAGAAAAGCTGGTCTAACTCTATGAAGTATCTACTCCAGCGGTTAAGGTGCAAAGGCGGATACGGAAAGGCAGGCACTAGGCACACACGATAGGACGTATGAAACGACCAGAATATCCGAGAAGACGTATAGGTAATGTAACTTGGGAGCAGGGGATTGATGGATCCTTTACAGGGTACTGAAAATAACACAAAAAAAGTAAGAGAAGAAAAAGCGTACAATTGGAGAACGCTGGCCTAAGTAAACGCTTTGTCAATGGAAAAAAACTGGGAGGCGTCTGCACGTCAGATGGAGACGTTTTGTCTAGGACGCTGTTCGCCGCCATTACACCGCTGGCGACGACAACGTTTCTCTTTTGAAAGGCGTTTGTTCTCGGCGCACGGTGACCTTTTTCTGCAACACGATCTGTTCGGCGAGTCGACGACCTCTGTTCGCACTTTGGACTCGAGAATAGTTTCCCGTCGCCTCAAAGGTTGTACCGGTTTCTCAGAAACGTGAGCTGCGACATGGAAGGCATTTATCCCACCCAGGGGGGCGTTTATGGAGGTCCGCGCTACGGAGCGCCGCACGGCGCTGTTCCAAGTGCGGAACAACAGCCTATGTACGCTGGAGACGCGGCTGTTGGACCAAGTCCTGTGCAATCGAGTTCGGGGCCTGGCTGGACTGGTGCTGCCGGTCCGGTAACCAGCGCTACCAGTGGCTCGCCACTACGAGGCGCTGCTGCCGCTGCCGTCCAAAACCTGTCGACGCACTTCGGTCGCTCGGGGCGAATCGGGAAAGGTAGCATTTCCATGATTACTCGCGTGCTCTTGGTTGCTACGTTTTTGGAGGACGCTTTGCGGGTGCTTTCAGATCTTGGTGGCCAAGCGCGCTTTCTGCGGCACTTTTACGGGGTCCCCGTTTGGGCCGGCACCCTCTTCCTACTGGGTATGGTGTGCCTCTCGGTGTCGGCGTCGCTGGCCATTATCGCAGCAGGGCGGGCACGCACCACTGGGAAAGCTTTCCAGCGCGATCGGGCCTTGCTCTCACTGCAGGAGCGAGCGTCATACGTGCTCATCGTCCATATCCTCGTGCAACAGGCATTGTACGGCAGGGACGCTCCGGCAACTGGGGGCAACGTGTCGTTTCTGGTTCGGAATATTTGCCTGGCTGGCTCGTTCCTCATGGTTGCGGCGAATGCACGTATTAAAAAAGGCCTCAGCGCACTTCCCGGTGGACTTCTGGGCGGATTCAGCCGCCCAGCTAGCAGTGGTACCGCTTCAGGATCCGCCTTGCTGAGCTCCCAGAAAGTTTTCGAATACATGCAACTGACTGCACGCATCATGCTGGTGCTGTTACCCATCGATTTTCTATCGTCCTTGGGATTTTTAGGAACGCTGCTTGCAGTACCGGTCATGGTTGCGGTTTTGGCTGGGTACCGGACACGCATCAGCGGGTCCATTCTGATTGCGTTTTATGCGGCACACAATCTGCTGATGTCGGCTTTCTGGAAGGTCAATGATCGTTCACCTTTTGGTCAGTATGCGCGAGATGTCAAACAGTATGAATTCGTACAGACGATCAGCATCATGGCGGGGGTGCTCATGCTCGTCTTCGAAGGGCCTGGTGCGCTCTCTTTCGACCAGCAACAGCGGGAGATTTGAGCACCGGTACTCCCCGCATCGGTATGTTTGCTCGGGTGACCAGCTCGCTGCAAGAGCACGAGCAAGGTCCTGCGCCATCGTCTGTTTGGCGGACGGCACGGAGGTGACGGTTAACGTTGTGGGTTGCGGAACCTGCCGAGCGAACGCATCGAGTAGATGCTTGCATAGGTGCGCTGGTCAGCAGCAACGAGTCGCAGCAACAGATCGCGTGCGTCTTGACGAATATGTAATGCACGCTGAAACGCTTGTCACCGGCATGAGCGAGCGCGATCAGAATGGTTTGAGGTCAGGGTTTCCAACGATTTGCACGCGCCATGCGGAAAACCCTTTGCTTGACGCTTGGCAGAAGCGATGGGATATCAAATGTCGTCTCCAATTGAAACGCATTTTATTCAGTTTCATGACGAATACACAGCGCGGCACGACGAGGCCGATCTATTCGAACTGGACAGAATCAGTTGATAGGTATTGGTAGGAAGTGTTCGCTCAACATTTTCCATAGATGCGGTATCTCTGGGCGCTAGTTGTCAGGCACACTCCACGTACGCGGAGCTGTTGCGTCAACGCCAATCCATCTTGCTTTGTGCTGCCGTTCAGCTTCTTCGCTCTGCAGTCGCTGCGGCACTGATGGTTTATTCAGAGAACACGAATGACTAGGTGTTGACATACACACACACACACACTGCCCATGTATTCGCGGAGCATTGCATAACCAGCACATCTCCCGTGCATGGTGTTGCGATGGCGACATCAGGGTGCCGGCGCAGATAGCTTCGCGAACCGTGCCTCTAGTCGTGCGCGCTCTTCCTCGTCTAGACGACGTTGCCTCCGGCGCTCTTCGTCTGCTCGCCGAACACGTGTGGCATCGAGCGCAGTCAACCCTGGTGAAGCCAAAGCATCGGCAAGCTCGAGACCGTACTCATCGGCGACTCTCTGAATCAAGCGGTCCACCTCTTCGCGTGGCGCCCCGACGTCGGCCACAGTACGCATGGTCTCGTCCACATATGTGGAACGCACGTCCATATCCTCCATAATGCGCTCGAACTGCGCTAAACGGCTCGCGATTTCTTCCAAGTCCATTCGCTCTACAGCTCGACTCAGGTGCGTCGACACCGCCGTGATATTCCCCGTGGCGAGACGCAAGTTCTGACTCGACTCTATTCGTGCCGCAACAGCGTCCATCCGAGCTTGTAGTTTTAAGTATGCGTTGGATTGTTTGTTGTTGCGGATAGATGATTCGGCGTGCGTGCGTGCCGCTTCCAGGTTTCCGCTCGAAAGCGCTTTCCGCGTCCGTTCCTTTTCCTGTTCAGCGAGACGTTGGTGCTTGACTGCAAGACGACCAAGCCTCTTTGCTGTCAACCGCATATCGAAGACCTTTCGGTCTATTTTCTGCATTCCAGAAAGTGATCCGCCCATGTTCCGTAGAACAGGTTCTGGAGTTCTCGTACGACTAGCCGCACGAAGAGGTGCGAAGAATCCCCGCCCCCGGGAACGTCCAGCAGGTAGGCGGTACGCGCGCGCTATGTTGCGTGCCGCGGCTGCCGTGCCGGAGACAGCACCGAAGCTGGCGCTGTCCACAGCGAGGCAGGTGTGTGTGTGCTGGTGTAACGGCAGCGCGGCGGCGGGCTGAGGCGCGACGCTGGTGGCCCCCATTGCCGCCGAGGCACTCCCTGAATCGCCTGCCGACGGCGCCGCTAGAGCCGATATCTGAACAACAACCCGAGCAGCGATACCGTTATTGCCAATTTTGTTTTGCAGTGATGGAATTCCAGGTTGTCCTGGAACGCTCACGACCCGAGAACGTGCACCAGAGACGTTGTGTGAAGCCTACGGGCTTCTGGGCATCTGGCTGCAGTGTATGGCGAGGCAGGAGGCGTTGCATCGCGCATGGAATGGTGCTGCGGATGCAGCGTGCGAACGTCTGCGGCGAGTGCACCACCACATCCGATATGTGTTGAGCGTACTTGGCGCTCCAAAACGGCACCATATCGTGACGGCACTTGGTGGAATTGTTCGGTACGATCCCGGAATCGGTGTTTCGCGACACCGTCTGGAGTTGATGGGCAATCTATTCGAAAGAGGTGCTTGCTGCACTTGCGAGTCTCATTTCATATGCATGGTTGTGCATTGGTGTATGCGCTTTCAACTGGGCGGGCGTCCATTGAGGATGCGAATCTAATGGAATACGAGCAACTTGCGGTGTTATTCGTGGCGGTCTTCACACTGCGGATACCACCGCAGCCTCGCCATGGATGCACATCGTCGCCCGCAGCGTTACACACAGAGCAGTGCATTCCGGAACAAGTTCACGGGCATGTCGTTTTCGTATTTGGTTGTTTTCATCGTGGATATTCTTTGGCAGGAATGTACCGTGTAGATTGGAGAAAGCTGGCGGAAACTATTTACGCTGTCGGTGGTTCACTGCGAAAGAGGAACTTTATTGTCCAAGTCAGTCATTTTACGGACGGCAGGTGGATGAACCGCCTTTCTCGTAGTCCGTATCTTGAGCGACATGCAAACAACATAGTGCTACCCAAACTCTGCATCAATCACTGTCTCATAGTGAATTCGTTGCATTTGATACCCGCTCAAAGAAATAGTACTTAAGAAGCGACAGGTCATGAAGTTTCTGTACCGTAATTACGTACGATGATGAGGAGACACGCTTGGACAAGGCAAGGAGAACGCTTCGCCGAGATATCGTCGTGCATTCGGCAAAACACGATCGATTTCGAACCGAAACGCGAAAGGTTTCAAGAGGAAGGACCAAAGTCAGTCTCACTCGATTACACTATTGAGGAAATGTAGTACATCTGGATGTGGGTTCGCAAAGTGCGGCAACCCGGTCTCCATAAAGAAGAACCAAGCGAATACGAGGGCACGATCAGTCCCAGTGTCGATTCTGTCGTTCGTCGCCTACAAATCGCCAAATGGACAGTGTCGCTCAACACTTCATCCTTCGTAAAATCACTCTGTAGCTTCTACTTCCCGAATTGGTCTGCCCTGCTGTTAGATGACTTCGATTTCTACCACTCAAAAGCGGTCATGGAGCATGCAGCAGTAATCAACATCGCGCTTCGCTTTGTGGCATGGCCTCCGATCTGACTCGATCCAGTCTATGACGCTTTGTCTGTTTTCGAACGCCACTCTTATGCTCACAGATCTATAGACGAGTCGTTCGCATCCGCGTCACCATTCTTCGACAATTCGTTCCCAGGCTCACCGCGCACCGAACTGCTCTGCTGCTTCTCCGCTGGTGAGCGGGAGGGAGCGACACCGCGCCCTTCGGTCCGCGTGCGTGCTTGCGGAAGACAAGGTGACGAAAAGGTACGTAACGAACTGTAGCTAGATACATAGGAAAGGGCAAGGTTACGTCCCAAGGTGTACCTCACGTGTGTGCGAATCCCATGGAAAAAAGGAATACGCACTGCACCCACCGCATCCATGCCACTCGGCAAGGTAAGCCCCGGGACCCAGCTGGACGCGCTGTGCACCGTATCGAGCAGAGAATGATACACAGAACGCTTCATTCAGAGCGTCGTTGGGCGCACGAATGGATCACGCGGATGACTTCGGGCACGAGCACACGGGACCGCACCTGGAGTCGCCGTGGATTTCTTTTTTTCTGCACGGTGACAAGGAACGTGCATCCGACCACTTGATCAATGCATTGGAAAAGCAAATGACCGATAAGTCGCGTCGTTCGGCAGCAGTCTATGGCGCTGCACGTGTTTTTGTGCACAACGGCTGCCAGCCTGTTCCATGGTCGAGAGCGTGCATCGAGTGCGGGAATCGTTCTGACTCGATTCCCGCACTCGATGCGGTCTCGACGGCGTACTCGCATCACGAGCATGGGTGCCCGCTGAGAATGGTACAAGAAGAAAGAGAGCTGGATGCAATCCTTGGTGTCCGGTAAGCTGCCGGAGCCTTGGACGGCTAGGCAATCGAATGCGAGAAGCGTCGCCGTCGTATGTCTTTCTGCACCATGAACAATGCGCACATGGCCTTTCTTGACTGAGCATTGAGCACATCGATCAACACTCGGTAAAGCCTAAAGCCCTGGTCGTGTACACCTGCTCTGTGTCGAGCGAAATCTAGATGGAACCGTTTCGTAGTCTGTGCGTGCATTGTGCTAAAACGCGAAAGACTTGCGTTGAAAAAAATCAGTGTTCAGGAGAGGCGGCGCTGGATTCTTGCCACGACAGAGGCACTGGTGTGGTGCAGTTTGGGTACCTTGACCGGCTGCGGCGTTGCATATATGCACCGGGAACAATTTAGCTCTACAATTCGTAAACATTTATGATCTTCCATGATTCGATACTACCGAAAATATGCACGACAACACAGACCGTGTCCATCTATCCTCTGAAAAGTTCGATACCTGACAATTTGCAACACCGGCGCGTGGAATGCATTGGTGTTGGATCAACAAGATATCGGCACTGACTGGGGATTCCCGACTGCGCAATGTACATCGGCATCCGGGAAAGCGTTCATCATGCCACGCCCTACCCCTGTGATTCAGCTGCCAATGCCCGTGCTTGCTTTCGGGGGCCATGGTCATCGATGACGGTCCACCGTGCACCGAGTGTGCCGTCAGCGTCCGCCATAGCGTCTGAAGTAGCGATGCGGACACAGCATCTCAGTAGCACAGTATCGCTATCCTACAGTAGGCGTCTGTTTTGACATTCGCGCCTAGATGTGTGAATCCGGCGAGCCGCACGACGGCATGCACGTGACGTGGTGCGCAACATCCGCCAATATGCCTCAAGGTACAGGGTGCGTGACGGGAAGCGCTTTGCTTGGAGACGCTCGCGCGTGTTGCGAAGCATACCTCTGCGGAGGGTAATGGTCAGCGGATTCTGCGAAGCGCCCTCGACGGCGGGTGCATAGTCCCCGCTTCACTTTGCGTGTTGTTTCCATCGGTACCGCAGCGTGAACGCCGCGTTCATTGCATCCAAAGCTACATCTATTTATGCGTCCCGCGTCCAAGAACAAGCGTTTATGCGGAAAGCAAAAGGATTTCGTCCAGTGAATTGTATTCGTTGGAGCGAAGCGCACCCTCAGACGACGCCGCGTGCCCGCAGGAGGTCGATCACGTGGCCAGCGCTCGCTGGTACCCTGTGAACGTCATTCGCGTAACGGCTCGCGATATTCTGTATTTTTCGTTCATGGTACGCGACCTTACTGTCCGTGAACTTGAGCCCATGCGCGGTGCTCACAACGACCGTGCGATCTTTCACACCGATGATACCCCGCTCGCGCAGCTTCATCAGCACCGCAAGCGCAACTCCCGTGTGCGGGCAGTTGAACATGCCAGTCCGATCTGCCTGGGCAGCAGCGTCAAGGAGTTCCTCTTCAGTGGCCTGCTCGACCAGACCGTTGGTTTCATCGATTGCACGTATCGCCCTATGAATGCTTACTGGGTCTCCGATTTGAATCGCGCTTGCAACCGTCTTCTTCGCGGTGACAGGTGCGTATGCGCTCCAGTCGCCTTTATAGCCACCGGCCTTGTAGGCCAGATAGAGAGGGTTCGCGTTCGCTGATTGTGCCACAACGAGGCGTGGAAGTCGATCCGTTAGTCCCAGGTCTCGCATCATCGCAAATCCTTTGTAGAATGCGTACACATTACCTAGATTTCCCCCAGGCACGATGACCCAGTCGGGCACCTGCCAGTCAAACTGTTGCGCGATCTCGATGCTTACGGTCTTCTGACCTTCCAGGCGCAGCGAGTTCATCGAGTTTGCGAGATAGATAGGGTACTGCTCAACAACTTCTTGGATCAGCTTCATACAGCCATCAAAATCAGTTTCAATGGATAGAACGATAGAGCCGTTCGCGATCGGTTGCACAAGCTGCGAAATGGTAATCTTGTCCGCCGGCAGAAACACCACGGAGGGAATACCGGCGGCTGCACAGTAGGCAGCCAGCGCTGCCGATGTATCACCAGTGCTGGCACAGCCCACAGCTTTGATTTTCGCTTTGTTGCTCTTAATCATGTGATTCACCTGCGAGACGAGCACAGTCATGCCCAGGTCTTTGAACGAGCCCGTATGCGAGTTCCCACACTGTTTCACCCACAGGTCGTCCATGCCAAGCACTTCCTTCCCAAAACGCTCCGCCCAGAACAGGTTCGAGTTACCCTCGAACATGCTGACAACGTCGCCGTCTGGAATCGACGGTAGCACCCATTCCTTCTTGGACCACACCCCGGAGCCGAACGGAAACACTGTTCGCCCCGAGCGCAGATCAAAGAGCGCCTTCCACTCTGCTGCTGACACTTGCCGCAAAGCCTCCATATTGTGTTCTACCTCCAGCAGACCGTTCGTCCGTTTTGAACGATATATAATTTGGTCCAGGGAGTAGCGCTCCTGGGCTAGTGTCGCATCCCGGTCGGCACCGAACGGCACGTAGTCGGCGTGGAAGGCCTCTGCGACCTCCGCGGGCACCGTCATGGTTTTCCGTTGTCTTCGTCGCCGAGCTCCCACCACGAGGGTGCCGACGGAACGTGCGGGCGGTTGCGTGTGCTCCCAGCACCGCTGGCAGCCGAACGCGCATCCTCTGCTAGCGTCAACCGGACACAGAAGCGCCGGTGCTGCGTAGCCCGTCGAAAAGAAGAGCCATACCTGTTTTTCACAAAGTGTAATTCACTGTAACAATTATTGACAGGTGAGGCAAGAAAATTTCTTGAATGTGACGGCCACCAGAATACAAACATGACGGAGTTCGTGATAGGTAACGTTCGGCTCCAACAACGGTACCTGTGGCTGGAGAGCGTGCGCAGCGACGCTGGCGAAGCAACGGCCGTCCGAGGCGCCGCTGCGCTCGCCGGCGGCGCGATCCGTGACGCCTGCCCCGCCGATGACTTGCACAGGGCGGATGATCGATGCGTCGATCGGCGGTGGTACTGAAGGGTTGTTTAGAAGATCCTACACGCCTCCATAAAGGCGTATACGATACTGCTCGATATCCCGGAAAGCGTTGAACTGCGACACGGTGGATTCAGAGTCGATGGATCAAGAGCATCTGTACGCGTCTTTGGGAATCACGGTGATTCTAGCATCCTATAAAAGATCCTACACGCCTCCATAAAGGCGTATACGATACTGCTCGATATCCCGGAAAGCGTTGAACTGCGACACGGTGGATTCAGAGTCGATGGATCAAGAGCATCTGTACGCGTCTTTGGGAATCACGGTGATTCTAGCATCCTATAAAAGATCCTACACGCCTCCATAAAGGCGTATACGATACTGCTCGATATCCCGGAAAGCGTTGAACTGCGACACGGTGGATTCAGAGTCGATGGATCAAGAGCATCTGTACGCGTCTTTTGGGAATCACGGTGCGAGTGTACGAGCCTCTCGGTGCCTAGCCTGCCTTGCCGGTTCGCTACCACGCCTGGGGTGCTGCCAGTGCGGCGATCAGTTCATTGAATCACGTTCCCTATCGTGTGCGCAGATGCGGCAGGCTGGCGACCATGAGAGACAGCACAGCTTCTCTATGAACGGTAAAACACTCCAAATGCTTCGGAAGCGTGTCCGAGTTAGACACAGCGGTAACGTTGATCTGGCGACCTTGTGGATACCAACTATGCCATGGAGGTTTGCGGTGGCGAAAGAGCGCTTGGCATGCTATGGCATCAAAGTCTCGAGTCTTTTGTTCGCATGTTCAGCAATTTGGCACCAGATTCAAGAATTGTGTTTCTTCCATGCACGTGGGTGTTGTGGGGCCTGTGCCAATCGCGATTCGCTCAAGAGTGGCGCGCGAGGATCCACCGGGTGGGCGGAGCTTGCTGATTGCCAGGCGACATGCTCCGCCTCGTTTACGGACACGTTCCTGTTCCTGTTCCAGAACGCTGAATTAAGGAAGGAGCCGAACGGGCTCCTTCCGTCGTTCCTTCGGGCTCGTCTACAGTAAGCATGGCTTCGTTGCAGTTCAGTCGCACTGGGGCGCATCACGCTGCTGCGGCAAGTGCTCAGAGATTGCCTTCGTCGCCACGTTCCGCCAGCGCGTCATCCGTGGTGTTAGTGGCCTTGTCTGCGCTGCGGGTCTATTCAAGACCGGCAACAAGCCCCTGGTTCCAGCGCAGGTCACTAACGTCTCGAACGGACACCCGAGGAGTTCACAAATCTTCTGTGTCGCCGTAGAACGCTTCTGGCACTGATGGAACGCGCCTCGATCCCGTGAAGAGACAGTCTCCGCAGACGTCTCGCGGTGGAGTACCGTGTTGTGAACGCCTCGGACGGGTCCCAGCAGACACACCGGCGTGCAGGAAAGCGCGTAGCTTTCAGAATCGATAGTCCCGGATACGCGGACGAACGCTTCTCTAACTCATTTCTGAATATATTTCGCTTCCCCTAAAAGCATGGCCTCAAGCTCGTGGACGCATGGATCACGCGTTCAGCATACCGACAACAACGATGCCCCACATATGTACGCGGGTTGCAGGCGTGTGTGCCATGTGGATCGCCGCTCGTACCATCTTCTGTGCAGGTCCCGCGTCTGGATGAGCCGCTAACCGCGCACCATCGAGCAGCGCGCGATTGTCGCCCAAGACGCTCAAGAAACGATCTTAAAACGCTGATGAAACGCACGACTGAGCGCGTCTCGGCGCCCTAGCGCCCGCCAGGTAGGATCGCCGCCCGCATCGCCGCTGGAGGAAGCGCGTGCCAAACACGTGTCACATATAACGACTGAGCGCGTGACATAGCGACGCATCGAAAAAATCTCAGATAACGAACTTATCTGGATATAACGGACACGCTTTGAACCAAGCCATTCGTGCGGCCTCTCACAAGCCCTCGTGTTCGTGGTGTTCGTGCGCGCTTCGACGATCGCGCGACACCGCCGCGGGGTCTCGCGATTTCGACGAAGGATCGGCGACGATAGCGTAACGTGCGGATGCTCCGTATACGACAGGTTTGACTGCGTTTAAGCGCGAAGAAGCACGACGCCGCGGCGGCAACTGCAGGCTCTAACTGGCTCAAAGGACGGGGACCCTATTACTGACGAAGGTGTGTGTGTGTTTGTGTGCGTGTGACTAATCAAGTCCGGTACAAGTTTGTCGAAAAAGGCGCGGAGAGATGGCGACGTTGGGAACACTCCATACGGGAACTGGTGTTGGCGTTGCAACCTGTGTTACACCTACTTCAACCGAGTGTGACTTTGCCGGTTCGTTTTCGAAAGCCTGGAAGGGCAGGTGCGAAAGAGGCGAGTATAACGAAGCCGGTGGGAACATTTCGAGGAGCGCAAGCGCAATTTCTCGGTTGAGCCCTGACGCCGCGAGCGCGGATCGTGAAGTGGGCTGGCTCAGAGACGCAGAGGACAAAACGTGTGCGTGGAGTGGAAGAGACGAGAGCCCCACGGCGTCGTTGCTGCAACCTTGTGTGGAAGTATCGAAGACGAAGCAGAGCGTGAGCGGCGGTAGAGCTGTGAAACTGACGGAAACAGCGTTGCAGACATCTCGCATGACAGGGCGCGCACCCGGACGCTTTTGCGAGAGCGCTACGGAGGACATCGATTTGAACGACGTTTTGGGTGTGCTTGTCGATGCGCTTGATCCAGATTACAGCTCACCGGGGACAGAGATAAGCGCTGATGCTTCAAACTTTGGACAGATTAGTGAAGTAGCATTCTCCGTGAGTTCCGCCTCGGACATGCATTCTATCCATGAGACGGCCCAGATGGATGCGCTGCCTATGCTGCACATTGGCATTGGAGACGAGGCGCTTGGCTGTGACGATCGTTTTATGCAGACGTGGGACCGTGGAATCAAGTCCGCACACAAATCGAGTGAAGCCACAGAAGATTCGGATTTGTTGACGATGATTGAGCAGCAGTCGGATCGCATTCGCCGGCTCGAATGCGAGCTTGAGAAGTCCCGTTCGGAAGTAGCTGCTCTGCAGCGCATGCTTGAGAAGTATCTGAGAGGAGAGTCCGCTTCAACTCCGGACGTGCATCATCATATTGCTGGTGTATTCTCCCCGCTTACACCCGCATACGTTGCGACCTTTGAGCCGAGTAGGAAGTTCTTGGACAAGGAGCGCACTCAGGCCGAGAAGCTTCGCCACATCGTATCCGGTAGCGGTTTCACCGCTGGTGTTGGTCAAAGCGGCACCCAGAACCTGATAAGTGCCCCCACTGCGGCGATCGACGGGGAGGATTGCTCTGTATTCGAGGATAGCCAGGGGTTCGGCGTGTGCGACCGGCGTCTTCTTCCCGGCATTGTGGATGCAGTCGTATCGAGGAGCAGCAGCGCCCGGAATTTGGTTGCCCTCGACGAAGGAGCGCAAATCACTGACTCGGATAAGCACCAAACTGGGAAAGCCGCGTCGTTCGCGAGTGGAACTACCGGTAACGTTCCCGAGACACGCCTAGGGAATCAATGCGCTTTTGCACCATTCCACGATGGAACTTTCCTCTTTCCTTCACGCCAGGCGGCTGAGGCCTGTTCTGCAGCACGCGAAGTATTTGGTCCGGCAGCTGAGGCGCTCGAGAAGATGAATTATCGTCAGCAAATGGCAGCCGCAGCACGGCAAAGGTCTCGCAGAGAATTCTCAGAGATGACTGGCCCAGAGGGATCCTCCAGTGTCGGCACGAATGGGGCGCCTTCACTCGCACAATCTGCAGGAAGCGAGCTGAACCTAACTACGAAGCGCCGCTCGAGGCGGGGTGAACGTCATGCACGGCCGCTGGGCACTACACGGTATTGGGCAGACGTGGAACACGAGCTCTTTCTGCTAGGCTGCAAAAAGTTCGGTCCGAAGAATTTCGCTGCCATCGCTGGTATCGTGAAGAGCCGCAGTCCGAAGCAGGTGCGCACGCATTTACAAAAGTACCAACTCAAGCTCCTGCGCGAAGCTCGCCGCATGGAAAAAGTGGACGGCGGTGCTGCACTCGCGCAGCTCAAGAACGTGTGCGACATGGCGTTTACCAAGGCGCAACTGCGTGCACTTGGAGCCGACGAATCAGTGATCAGCCAACAGTCCCTGCGGCATATTCGCAAAGCGGAGCAACTCCTCCAAAGCAGAAAAAAAGCAGCTACCTCAGCAGCTCTGGGATCGGATCACCTGAGCGAAGAGGAGACCGAGTCATCATCACCATCACGATCATCATCGTTATCGTTATCGTTGTCTTCGTCGTCTACGGTGCCGACCTGCCCGCCGCCGGGCTCGCCTACTGCCCCAGTACAGCCAGCGTCGGCCGCCAACGCCGATGCCTCAACCGAAAGCACATTACCTGTATCGACATCGAATGATGAGGAGGCGCCTGCATCCTCCACTGCATAATGTGCTGCCATGTGCGACGCATGAGGTGGATGCCTGTCTATACGAGTGTCCGATAAGTTCGCCGCTTCCACGCTTCGGTGTGTGGGCGCGGCTCGTGTACAGGCACCCGTTACATGGCGTGGCCGTTTGCTTAACAGTTCTGATTCGGGATGATCATTCATAACAGTTTCAATTCAAAAAATCCAAAGGAACCGTGTCCAGTTCAGAGTATGCAGAATTTTCATGGAAAAAAACAATACGTTGCAGGAAAGTTTACAGACGGAGAGATGCGCTCTTTGCCATTTCGTATGGAGATGATCATAGTTGGTGGCGTGTCCAATCAAGACACGAGGCGTGCGAATCACTTTCCATCCTTTCAAGATGTATGCCGCGTAAAAGATCCCGTCAAAGGAGTCGCGCAAACGATCCAGGTTACCGCATTATCGGTGCCGCTCGTCGACCGCTCCTTGGACGATAGGGTGCGTGCATGCTTGCATTCATGTGTGTGTATGTGTATGTGCCCTTACAGGGCACGTGCGTCCACCCCATTGCAAGTGTATCGTTCTCGTCATGCTCTGGAAGCACAGTGTGCGCAAACAAGCCCCTGTGATCACCGGTTGATATTGCAGGCATCCTATGCTTGTCGATCACTTGCAATGAGCGTCGCTACGTTCGGGTGCGCGCACGCACGCACGCTTGCGAATCTACGGATCGCGAACAACAACAGCAACTACAACAAGAACAACAGCGGATGCGTTTTCCCGCTACTTGCCAGCCGCTTGGCATACATGCGGTGTCCGATCGGCGCGCTGGATGCAGTGAGGCATCGAATCAAGTACCGATTTCTGCCTAGTTGTATCTAAGATTGCAAGTTTGCATTGCAGATCGCGCGTTTCGTAGGAGATACGTGTCCCGTTGTCCTGGTAGCGCCACGATGGGCGTGGATGTTTAAATGTGATTCGTACGTGTCCAGTTTTTTTCCAAGATACCTTATCACGTGTGCCGTGTCCTTAGACGACGTACGCACTTCCGAGCCACAAGTCCGCAAGTTGCTCGCGAACGCTCGGTTCAAGTTGTTGCTGTTCGCGAGTCCACTGTGCGTGGTGCATATGGCGAAACGCCTGCAGGCACTGGCGCGCGACCTGCGCTGCTTCGCGTCGGCGAGCCGTCGAATGATGAAGCGACGCTCGATTCGAGGATCGTACTTCAGTGAGGCGCACCAGTGCATGGAGCACATCCGACATCCAACGCGGGCGGACGTTGTACGGATGGTACTGGATGAGTGCGGCGAGCACCAGCGCTCGGCCCTGGTCGTCGATTCGATCATTGGCCTCGCACCAGTACGTCCGAATAACAGGTTCGTGGAGCATGCGTTCATCATCGTGATCAGAGGCATGGGGTACGAACCAGCGGCTCCATGCCGCCAGCGCTTGGGCAGCGACTTTGCGAACGGCAACTTCGGTGTCGTTCAGAAAGGGTAGTAGCTCGTCGATCCATTGCAATGCTGGTGTGCTGGCTGAAGTGCCTGCGGCTGTGGCTGTGGCGCCCTCAACCAATGCAAACGGGTGGTCATTCATCGCAAGGCGAACAGCTTGCAGGGCGGCTTCGCGGAACGGCCACAAGCGAGGGTCTCGACGCGCTTCAGCGACTGCGTATAACGTACGCTGGAAAAGGACCAGCGCTCGCGTCTGTGCCAAGAGATACCAGGTGTTGCGCGCATGCTGCGCTAAGGATTCGCGTTGCCCGAGCGTCGCCGCTGAGCCCGTGCTCCCGGGCATTCCGGAAACGTCGCCACGGAGGTCGTCGCTGAACACAAGCGCGGTACCCAGCTGCGCCAGGCACCAGTCGATCACCGAGATCGGCTGTTGCTGGAAGAACGCTGCAACATCGTGCAGTCGCCAGCTACAAAGTCGCTCCAGGAAGCTTATCAGTGTATCCCGGGCTGCGAACAGACGGTCAGGCAAGGCGCCCTGAGCCGGCACGCCCCCAGACGTGAAAGCCGCCTCCAGTCCCGCGACATACAACCGCCATCGCTCCAGCATCTCGGTCAGTAGCGAGCGATGATTCGCGACCCAGACAGCCAGGAGCGATGCAGCAGCATCCCGCTCGACGCCAGAGAGGCGCCCCATGAGAAGCTCGTAGCGCAACGAAGCTGGTGGCGCTACTCGACCCAGCGCTTCGAGGCAATGCAGCGTACGCACGACCGCTGTCGCGTCGGTGTGTGGTACAGTCTCATCCAGGAGCGCATTCCAGGCATTGGGCGCCCGTCGCACACGAGCACTCGCTAACCTCATCACCATATCGATGAGCGGGTGTTTGTCGGCAAGCTCCGCTTCCGAATACAGCGGCTGGTCGGCCAGATATCGCAGCGCTGGCACGATCAGACTCCGCCATACCAGCTGCGACGGACATTTTTCGATGCATTGCGCTAGTCTGTCCAGATCGCGACTCGCGGTGGCTACCAGGATCTCGTGCTCGAGTTTGCGCAGGCGGTCGTCCGCGGCACCGTCGCCATCGACAACCTGCGTACCGTGGAGCATCGAGAGGTCAGGCGCCGACTCGCGGTACCACTGGACGCGTTGTCGTTCCGATGCATCCATCAGTCCATGGAGGCGCTCAAGGCATCGCACTCGCGTCAGCATGGCGAATGTCCAGTGTTCACCGGGTTGTCGACTAACCATGAGAGAAGAGCCCAGGCAGCCGTCGCGAATGGACGGCCACACAGGGCCACCGCTGAGCAGCTCCCACGATGCCGCCGCCGCATCGAGGATGACATCCGCCAGGGCGCCGGCAGCGATCGACCCCGCTGCAGCTGCTGCTCCCGTCCACTGCTGAGCGACCGCAGCAGTCAGACTCGACAACACATCGCCTTCGTTTGCCGCTGCAGCTGCTGCAGCATCCGTCGGACTCGATGCCGACGATATGAAGAGCGACAACGGGCCCTTGGCATCCAGATACATGGCGTACAACAGGGCCTGGACTTGCTCCGCGGAGCGCCACGAAGCATCGAGAGCATTCGATCGCGCGATACTGCACGCGCTGAGTCGGCAGACCAGCAACGTACCGAGTCGTCGCAGTGCCGCATGATGGGCATCGTTTGCGAGCGACATGGCAGCGTCCAGGGCTCGTCGCCAGCTCACCGCCACGGAGTCGCTGAACGAGTCCCGCACACCGAGTGCCCGCCAGTGCGCTTCACGAACGAGATCATATTGGATCAGAAGCCAGGCAGCAACTGCGCGTGTGGGCCACGCCAGCTGCTGCGTCGCGCCTGTCAACGCTGCGACGTTCGCGCAAGGCTCCGGATACGCACCCCGCTGTGCGACGCAGAGGAGCATCGACGCAAATGCTCCCTCGGATAGCTGGTGTCCGGCGTCGATGCTGGGCAGCGTCGCACAGCGCTCATCACGAGGTGGCGTCGAGCTCAGCATCGCGAGTCTGCGCACACGAAGCGCAACCTTGAACAAGAGCCTCATTGCAAACGCATATACGCTGGCTAGATTGGTCATCCAGGTACCGCGACAGGCAGTGCGTAACACCGTCGCCACGAGCTCCCGGAAGAGTCGTGCTTCGCTGGCGAGTCGCGGTGACAGCGCATCGAGCAGAAGAAAAACGCTTTCCAAACGGGTACGTTGTTGTCGAAGCAGAACTTTGTCGTCGATTGCAGCCGCTGCGTCGAGTTCGTGAAGAATGGGTCTCAGAACGAGCGCTCTGAGCGAATACAGCGACAGGAATCGACACGCGGGAAGCAGCAGTGCCCGTGCTCGACGCCCGACGCCCGGAAAGTCACTCAAGACGCCGCGCTCCGAGAGCAAGACTTTGAGGAGCGGCTTGGGGAATGCATCATCGTGTGCGGCTGCTATGCTGCCGCAGCATATCGCAAAGCTCCCGGCACGAGCGGCGAGCGAGCGCCGGCTCTCCAGTGCCGCCAACGCAAACGCCTGCAAGCTCCAGGGCGGTGCCTCCAGCAGCGCCCACCCGCTCACATCCACTGCGGACTCGTTAACCGCCCGCAGCGCAAAGCGTCGACGAGCACGACCTCGTCCGGCGCGTTGTGCCCCAGCGTCATCGATGGAAAAGCCCTGGTGCCCGATCTCCAACGGTCGCAGGGCATCGCGTTGAAGCGTATCCGGATCTGCAGCGAGGACGATGCGCAGCACCAGCGCTTGCCACTGCTCGAGCAGTTGCGTTGCATTCGATGGAAGCAAGTCGAGAAAGCCCGAAGCATTGCCATTCAAGGCAGTCCAGTCGGGTGATTTGCGGGGCGAGTCGGATACGGGCTCAGCGTCATTCGAGTCGGTAAACGCGCCCGGGAGATCCTCGTCTAGTGTATCAAACGCGTCCTCTGCATTGAAAGCATTGTCGATCATTTCGTCACCGATGGAATCCAGACCAGAGCGCATGCGCTTCCCGGAGAGCAACCAGCGTGCTCCGCGACGAAGCGCAAAGAGCCAGCGAGCAGCTGCTTTGGCCTTATTGGTATCGATGGATGCGGAAGCGTCACCGAGGAATGCTTCTATCGCTCGCAGATTCTGCGCAAACAAGGACCACGCATACTGAACCGCATCAGGGCAAGGTTCATGCCACTGAATCTCGATGTGCTGCCAGCTGATCTGCTGAATGCAGAGACTCAAGGAGCAGCCTTGATGCCAGAGCGTGCGCACACGCTGCCAGCGCTCGGCAACTGGTACCTGTTTTGCTCGCACAGCTACAGGCCACGAATCGGTCAGTCCTTGCATCAAGCCACGGAGCAGTTTGCCGCCCGCTTTGTAGACCGAGCGCTCAGCAACAGCGCAACAGGCACGTTGTATTAGCACCGCAATGCGATCTCCGTAGCGAAGCGCAAGCTCCGAAGCGTCTGCATAGCGTCGACACGCCTGACCCAGCAGGCCAAGTCGCCATGCCTGGAGCGTCGGCGGCGTTGTTGTTGTTGTTGATGATGTCGTCGTCAGTGCAGCAGCCGCATCTGCATCTGCAGCTGCAGCCGCCAAGAGGCGATCCATCAGCGCGTGGCGACGACGCACCGGTGCCTTGTCTGTCGAAGCAACCAGGGCACGAACGACAGCAGACCACTCTTTCGTGGCGTTGTCGAGTGCTCGGTGGCCAGTGAGTCGCTCCTCCAGGACCTTTTCGATGAAGAGGCGATGCCATAGCGAGTCCGCTGCGTCAGTGTCGCCTTCATAGCTCTGCAGTACTTCACTCATTCTCATGATGAGGTTTTCGAACACTTGTAGGGACGGCGCTGGCGAGGAGGCATCGCGATCCTCCAGTGCATCCAGGACGTCGAAGATGCGCTCGGCGAACCGGTAGAGCCACTCCTCGATCAAGAATGTGTATGCAGAGCGTGAGAGAAACACACCCACTTCGACCGAAGCGTGCTGCTCCGTCTGCATGAATGGATGAACCAGATCCAGCAGGCGCAGGCAGAAGTGGTAGGCGGCCTCGGCAAACGGTGCGTCGCTCGCTGAAGTGCCTTCCAGGATATAGTCCAGGAGAAGCACAAGGCGATTTTCCACTGACTCCCGCGATGCGACTTGTGACTCGAGCTCGTCATCGCGCCCGTCAGGCGCTCCATCCTGAGGCGGCAGCAGGTACGGTAACAGGATCATCGCCACGCCTACAGCCGTGGCACGTCTCGACGCCTTGGATTCCTGTTCGAACGTATCAAGGACGACGCTCTCGAAGAGCGCTCGAGCCCAACGCGTGCAACTCAGGGATAGATGCGGTGCCGAGCTCGCCGAGTCCGACGTCGGGGCCAGCATCCGCAGCATCAACCGCAGAGAGTGTTGCGCTCGACTCGCCAGCGCTCTGTTCGCGGATAAGAGCGCCCGCTCCAGAGTCTCCGACAGCATCTCCACAATGCGCGATACGCAAGCAGTGCTGAGTTGGTGCTCGGATTCCTGGGGACAATCCGCGATTCGATCGTATAGCGCTGAATCTCCGTGTATCTGTTGCTGGGAGACGCGCTCGAACATCGCTGTGGCTAGTGTCTCGACAAAGGCGCCGAAACGCGGTGCCCAGACACCACCGCGGTTGGGATGGATCGCAATGTCCGTCAGGGCAAGCAGCCGCCTGAGCCCCGTAAGGATGCACTCGTTGGTCGCATACGGATCCACTCCGCTGCCGATGTAGCGCACCATGAGCTCGGTGCAGGCACGAATCCTTCGTTCCGGGACGTTGGAGCCAACTGCAAAGCGCATGCTCTCAGGAAATCCATGATCTTCGGGACGAGCGTACGCAAAGTCAGCCAGAGGCATCCCTAGAGACTCGAAAATTTTCTGAGAAAGTGACGCGATGCTGGGCAGCAGAAGCTGCTCCTTCTCTCTTGCGCTCTGTTGCCTCTCTTGCGGTTGCTTGGACAGACTCTCCTGCCATGCATGACGCTGGGTCATAGGCAACAAATCCCGGGCTACGCGTGACCACAGCTCTAACCACAGCGTATCCCACTCCGTGAACGTGCTGCCGCTCCACTGTGCGTCGGAGAATGCGCCCGCGTTGTAGCCGTGTTCGAAGGCATCGCGCACCCAGGTGCATCCGGAGGTGTCTGCGTCACTCTCCAGCTCTGTGGGCAGTAGCTTCGTACACAGGATGGCTTCCAGATAGAGCTGGCGTCTGGCTTCGGGAGCGTGCTGCTCAGCGGCTGCCACGATACGAGGCCGATAGTGATCCCACCAGATGCGCTCCGCACAGCTCGCAAACAAGGGTCGAATCACTTCCACAAGCCCGAGTAGCGCTCTCACGTGAATCGAGCGGCTTTGAGGACTATGGACGGCACCATGCAACGACAAGGCATCCGCTTCGATATCATTGGAGCAGGGCGGAACCAAGTCCACACTCGCACTGGACACGTCATCATCAAAGTGATACGCTCGCAGTATGCGGTCAAGTGCACAGAAGATTCCCTCGAAAGCTGCCAGCGGTTGCGTGAGCTTCCGCCAACGTTCGCCACTGGTTGAACCTGACCACGGCGCCGATACGCCTGCAGCCTCCTGAGCAAGCCGGACGACCTGGGCCTCGTACCGATCCCGCTGCAACAAAGTTGCCGAGAGTCGTTCGGCGCAGACGCTACGAACATCCAAGTCACGTAGCGTGATAGCCGCGTCACCCAAGCAGAGGTTGAGAAAGAGCCAGGTCAATTCGCGGTGCAACGCTGCCGGGAGAAGCCCCCCGAGGAGGTGGAAGCGGGAAACAAGGCGATCAAGCTTTCTCAACTCGGTATAAAAGCGACGGTCTAGACGTTCAATTTCATGTTTTGGACTAGATCCGGAAAGTAACTCGGTGGAACGTTCACTCCAAAGCGTTTCCAGTTGCTGGCGCGAGCGATGCAACAGAAACAGCAGACGCGTGCCCTCGGCTCTAAGCTCCGCTTCAACGAAAGCCGGTTGTCGGGGCACGAGATAGTGCACGGGTGAACTTTCACGCAATTGGGACATGAGTCCTGGTTGTCGTCGGGCAGCCTGTGCATATCCTGAACCAACGCGAACGCGCCAGGTGGATCGATAGTGAAAGAAGCAGTACAACACCTGGTGGATCGGTCGATGATGCGGTTCAGCAGTCACCAGCGCGTGCGATATGCATCCTGGATGCGGGAAACTGCACAAGGTTTTGTAGGCACTTGTTCGAACTGCACATAGAGTCTAGCGTGAATGGACGCAAGTATGCCGGGAACCGGTTCCAGCACTGTTCGATATCGACTTGAGAAAGCTACGACTTTGGAGTAAGTGCTGCGTCTCCGAGTGCACTGTGCTGGCGCTAGGTGCAGCTCTAGTGACCTGGGATAGACGCTCGGGTTTAGGTACCTGGGAATAACGGTTTTCTGGTCAGGCACTCGTATGAGACTGACCTCTTGTCCCTGAAGATTGTCGCAGACGGTTATTCGTCGCTGCTACGAGAGCGTGTTCAACCTTCGGTTCGGCTGGGCAGGAAGGTTTGTGCCTCCTGGTCGAGTTAAAGTCGTGGCAAGTGCGTTGGCGGGATACGAGCGTCTCTCGCACGCGCTGGCTTTCCGTTGCCTGTAAAGCGCATGCAGACGTGCTGGGGAACCGGCGATGCGCTTGCTGCACTTCAGAGCGCTTGAGTTGAGGCCTGCAGAACCGGCAACAGCAGCAACAGCAGCAACAGCGCAAGACACCTGTCAGATCAGCCGGTGAAGGGGGATACAATCTCGCTCTACGCTTTTGTATGCTGGGTTATGAACGAGTCTGAGGCAGTGCAAGCAGCGGTGCGATGAAGGAGCAAACGCAGGTGTCTGTCGAGCGGGTCGTGAGCCGCGGTCTCGCTGGTGTCTGGTGCAGTCGTCCTGTGCTTTTGCTTTCGTGCGCTGCCTCTGCGGATGGGAGCGCGGCCCCAGAGCAGGTCTCTAGAACCGTATTACGTTATCATGGAGTTTTGAGCTGCTTGCGCTCTTCCTAGCTTGCGATACATCCAAACGTTTTTCTCTGGATCTGCGGCATCAAGATTCCAAGTGCAGCACTATGGGCATACGGGTTCACGCGTAGTTTTAGGATTCTTGGTCGTGTTTTCGGAGCGTTACCTTGAACGATTTACCGCTGGAATGCGTTCTTTCATCGGAGTCAGAATGATTCGCGATACCCCCGAACACGGGTCCGTAAAAAAACAGAAATCGATATCCAACTCATATTTGCAAGCTGCTTCGCTTCTTCTCTCCTTATGTGTGGCATACCCGAATCTCACATGCTTCAAGTTTTCGATCTTTCCGATTCAGGGCAACTCGTGGACGCAGCAATGCGCTCTGTTGGGTTGACGAGCAGACAGCCTCGACGTCACCCCTTGATGCCTTGTTCGCAGGCCCGTTCCGAAAGTCGACTGGATTTGTCACGTCAAATAATCGATTCGGTGCTCAAGTCGAATCCGCTTTTCTTCACGGTCATCGAGGAAACACCGCTCGGCAGTGGCAACACCATGCCTCGCAAGCAATAGATGCAAGCGGGAAGGAAAAACTGCGGGAATACCAGCTTCGCAATACGACCAGGAGAGGTTGCGTCTTTCGTCGAGACCGACTGCGTAAGCGTATCGGCCAATATCGCCATTATCAACAAGGACAACAGCGAACCTCCCATACGATTCATGACACCGTCAGAGCTGAAACGCACCCCTGCCCAGACGAGCTACTGCGCAGACCAGCAACGACCCGAACAGCCCAGACGAGCTACTATGCAGACGAGCAACGACCCGTACAGCCCAGACGAGCTACTACGAAGAGGAGCAATGACCTATACAGCCCAGACGAGCTACTGCGCAGACCAGCAACGACCCGTACAGCCCAGACGAGCTACTATGCAGACGAGCTACTACGCAGACGAGCAACGACCCGTACAAATGCATCGCCTCGCGAGGATGCTCTCCAATGCACTCTGCACCAGCCTGGAGCATGCAGTGCGGACCCCTGCACCTGCGCTCCTCTTTTACCCAAACAGAGACCCAATACCCCTGGTGGCAACAGGCGAAGCTATGGCTGCTCGGGTTTTGTGCCCGCATACTTGACTTGGACCAGCAGCCGTGCATTCTGCTAGCGCGCCTGTACTCTTCGTATCAGCGGAAGATAATGAACGCGAAAAACGTCCGTCCAGCGAGCAAGCGACGGAAGCAGCAGCGAGTCCCAGAAGCCGTGACTGCACGCTCGCATACAAGTGAAGCACGTGGACACACAATGCCCACGAGTAGGTACGGCAACGCGATGCGCGTCACGATCATCGCCATGTTTCGCCAAAAGCGTACTCAGGGAGCGAAGAGCGCGCAAGCCAGCGCATGTTGAGTCATCGAGAGGAGGCGTTTGCACTTGTGTTTGCAGCGCGTCTGGTGCTCGCCGAGGCGATCGACCAGAACGAGCCCGTCATCGCAGTTTACGGCACCAGGCGCCGAAACGGAGGACGATCTCGGGGCAAGCCCTCTGCACCCGTCGATACCATATGGTGGGTGATGGAGCTGGCGTACAGGTACCACAAAGCGCCCTTCCGAGAGGGAGAACGTACGTTGGGGACGCATGGGAACGCCAGAACACGCCCAAGTTTGTCACCGCTGCAAACGGAGCACCGACGTTGCATACAAATACAGAGGACCCATCGATGGCAACTTTTGCCTGGGCATGAAATGCGTCCACAACTGCCCGAAGAGGCGATACCGCGACTCTACCGCTGCCGTCGACATGCCTCGGTTACTGGCAACCCAACAAGAAAACATGCATCGTTCGACGTATACAATACCGGAGACAAGAGCGAGGAAAAGGACGTACTCGAAGAAAACGCCCACAAAACCTCTTGTAGATGACAATGCGAAGCGGTCCAGACTTGAGCGTCTACGCCCGAGTTCGCTGAGCGGATCCGTTGTATGGTATTCTGAAATGGGTGCTGCTCCATAGCGCCGTTCTCTGCTCACCATCCGGACGTTCAGCCATTCACTTCGTAGTTGCCGACTTGGCCAGCACTTGCTTCTTGGCTGGCAGTTGGTCTCCCTCGCTGTTCCGAGTGTCGAGCCACAAACCTGTGCTTGGTGACGTCGCGAGCACCTGCCAGCGACGTGGTGGCCAGATAACCGCCACTGCGCGTCCTTCGAGGAGTCCCAGCGGAACCGGCCCGTAGTGGCTAGCCGAGTCACGGGACACCGTACGGTTGTCACCTACGAGCCAGCAGTGGCCAGGTGGAACCTCCACAAACTTCCCAGTGCGGTGGTTGTAAACGCGATCCCCCTCTAGAGCGGCCACCCTTTTCACGAGTCGCTTCTGCGGTCCCGCGTCGGGAGACCGCAAAACGACGATATCCCCACGCCTTACGTTCCAAACAGCGCGGAGAAGCCGGCTAACCAACACGACATCCTGACTGCCGCTAACTTGTCCGGGAGGTAGCTCCCCTGCAGCCGCACCTGGGTTCAGGGTTGGTTGCATAGACGCACCCCTCACGGGAACAATCGTACCGACAAGATCGTGGACAACGTACACGACCGGCACATAGCTGACACCGCGAATCAGCTGCCGAAAGAAACGACTCGAAAAAGTCATCCACGGGCCATGCTTCTCAGCTACCACAGACAAAACAGGTATACCGACGCATATACACGACGCCGATAGTGTGGATGTCGGTACGCTGACGTGCAGACGCCTCCCGGTCTTTTTGGACCGGCCACCTACTACTGGTTCCAACTTGTCCCTGGGTAAGTCCACCTTGAGAGGCTGCCCCGTAAAGTTGGATCGTATCAACTCCGGGGGTCTCGTCTCCATCACCGTACATCTCCTGGTATTGATAGCGGCGTTCGAGTCACGATTGACAAACGCTATACGTTTCTTGCCATCACTGGTTGTACGCACCAGTGCACGTAGCCCAGGAACTTTCGCCCTACTTTCTACTTGCTGCTCTGTCAGCGCTCCGTACTTTGCTATATCCTCAGGGCCCCGCTGACGCTTTTCCGTCTCGACGCTCGGAAGTGTGCACCCCAGCTCATGGTGCATATAGGACGTTAGGAACTCATCTATAGGTATTGTGACAAAACGATGTGCACACTTCTTGTACGCTCTTGTCGATGGAGCTGTGTACACCCTTTTTGGGTCATCCAGCGCCCTGCTCCATACGCTATTGCGAGCCTCTGACTCTCGTCCTCTTTGAGGGCGCCGAACGCATTGAAAAAGTTGGCGAACGCTCCCTATTTCCCACAACACAAGATCAGTCGCTGACGAGCCCACCGGGGCTTTGGATACTCCTCCCACAGCGCCTCCCAATGAGCAACACGAACTTTCATGGATTTCCGAAAAGCCTGAAAGTCCGCTCCTCGGCTCGTCAGCTCGCTCAAAGCTTCCAGATGCTCTTGCACTCCGGCATTCCACGTCTCGATTTTCTTCCTCGTATTCAGTATTCCCGATTCTCGATGGTATTTCTATGTTTAGAACTTTAAAAGAAGCATGTCTTTCTGACGTGAGCTAACGTCAGGACCATCTTCCGCACGCTTGGGTACAGCGATGGTAACGATATTTGTGTTCCCCGGGTCGGTGCCAACGACAAGCTCGTTATCCTGCACCTCCTGTGTCGCAGGATCTGCCTTGTTGTTTTCTTCATGCTTCGCCGAGCCAACGACAAGCTCGTTATCCTGCACTTTCTGAGTCGCAGGATCTACCTTGTTGTTTTCTTCATGCTTCGCCGAGCCAACGACAAGCTCGTTATCCTGCACCTCCTGTGTCGCAGGATCTGCCTCCTTCTTTTCTTCATGCTTCGGCGAGGGCGAAGCCGAAGGCACGATAGGTCGATCCGCCCTCAGCCGCCGGTAGTGGACACACATGGCTGCCCCATCGCTTCCGATGGTCCCCGTGAATACCCTTTCTTGCCCGTATTGAGACGTTTGAAATCGAAGATATTCTTCCAATGAGTTTCCCGGTTTTGGCCCATGAACTCCTTCTTGCCTGCATCGAACTCCTGACAGATATCCCTCATGATGCCATGAGGGACGCTGGAGCAGACTGCCACGAAATGTGAGTTGATGCTGCATATCGGAACGACGTTGAAGCGCGTACCCATTAGGAAAGCCTTCCATTTCTCCGAATCTTCATTTTTCCGCGACTCAGCTGCTTTTCGGCCATGCGTTCCAGATCCCGGCCCAAAAACATAAAATAGCGCAGGGCTCGGGAACAGCATCTTTCTTCATCTTTTTTCATATCTGATACCTTTTCTGCTGGATGCGCGAGCACCAAGTCCGCACGATGCTCTTGCATAGCCGCACGGATGACAGAAGCCTCATTCGTTCTCCTGTGTGATATCTTCTCTTCGACGAGCTCAGTCTCCTGTTCGTGCTGGCGATCATTCGTGATGCCATCGATAATGACCCATATTCCTGTGCGCGAGAGGCCCGAGTACAGCGCAAACAGGACGCGTATCGTGAAGCATTCGAGTTTCACGGTCAAATGGATCTTCAGGTTCGTGAAGTACCTGACCGCCCCGCAGGTGTCAATACACAAGTCGCCCCTGTATCGAGTACCGCTGAAGCGGTATTCGGCGTGATTTTCGTGGAGGGCATGCGCTCGCTCACTTCCACTCGACGTTTCCCCGGTGCCAAGCATCAGGTGGCGGGTGAAGGTCTTGTTGAAAAATTCTTCCAGAACGTCAATTGTTTTGATGTCCGTCACGTTGCGACACGTATCCTTCTCCAAATGCATTAGTCCTAACGACGCCTTTATAATACTCATGGAGTAAGACGCGATATGGATTCTGATGGCGTCTTGCGACTTTTCCTTGTGCGGACCCTTGATATGTCTACGAAGACAGGGTTTTACTACGATTTCGTCGCACTGTCGTCTTTATTGCAGCCTTCGACGTAGGGCCTCTCCCTTTTGCTTCTTTTTCTTTTCTTTTCTTCTTGACTCGGCACTGTTTTTTGTTTTTCAGGCAGCCGGCGACACTGGGCCTCAAGGCTCGTCGACTCGCTTTCCCATAACTTTCCTTTTTTAGCGTCTTTTTCGAAAAAGCACGCTATTCGAAAGCCTCCGTTATATACTGCGAAATATCAATCGAATTTTTTAGTTGAGGTGTGAAACACAAATGAACTGAAAAACTGTGCTTGGCTATGAAGTTAACGAAAATACAACTCTTACATTTCGGCTATACGCTGGAAATCAAGATCAAGTTTCTCTTCAACGGCGGCGGCATGCGCGTCGTATCTCATGCCTGCCAGGTCCCGTGAAGCGCTGCCCGACCGCAGTGCTCACACCGATCCATAAAGGAGACACGTGTCCGATGCCGCATTGGCGCATGCGTGTTCTCACCAGCACGCATCGCTCTGCAGCGGAAATCAGGTATCGTAAATCGGAAACTCACACGGAATAATCCCCTGCGATAGGATATTTCCCTGGTGCCGAGACTACAGCCTATCGCAGTACCGCCCTGACATACATGGGGATGTTGGGGCCTGGCAAGATACCTCGCGATGCTTCTGTCGAAAGCGTAGCCATCGTAGGGTGTTACGCTTGTGCGGGTGAGGTATGCATCTCTCTACTCAGTAGGAGTTTCGTTAGGTTTACTGATGGTAAACAAACTAGGCATAGTAGTGTATCGAGTACGAATATACGTTGATCCCCTATGCTTGTTATGAATGCTGCACAGACGCCGGAATGAGGTACTGTGATGAGTTGTGCGGTTTTCGTGCGTTCCGTTGCTCGACAGTTTCGACTTTGACAATGTCGTGAGGTCGGTTGTTGTTGCTATTGTTAATCAAAAGTCGGATAGAGCGTCAGCGCTCTATTCAGATTTCTTTCAGACCAAGTTCCGATGTTTTTTTCGGATTGTGATCTTTGGACCTTTTGAGCGTCGTAAACGACCTCGTCCGTAAAGGTTCCCGGGCAACGCCTGGAGCTACGCGCCGTCGTTCGCCTGTCTGAGACGTCGAAAAAATGACCTCCGACAGCGTACAGCGCCTACGAGCGCTAGCTTTACAGAAAGAAGAAATCGAGCGTGAGATTGAACGCTTGGTATCCTGTCTAGAAGTCACGCCTGCCGGGGTGCGAGGTCCACTCGTTGACGAGGACGGCTTCCCCCGTTCGGACTGCGATGTGTACCAGATCCGCCAGTATCGTCAACGTCTCGTGTGCCTGCAAACCGATTATCGTCTGATAATGAGAGAAATTGAAAGGCTGCTTCCGGAGGTGCTGACGAGCGGGCCAACACACGCGCAAACCGCACGGTCTACCGCGTCTGTGTCACGAGTTGTTGAGAGCGCACCAGCAGTGCGGACTGCCTCGAGCCGGGAACACCGCCCCGGAGACAACCAGCCAGCACAACGCTCAGAATGGACTGGGACGAGTCTGGGTCAGTCGAACCTGAGACCGTTCGCAAAGGTGGTGCAGGTAGAGGCTGGGTCACCAGCGGCCCAGGGAGGCCTCCAAGAAGGCGACCTAGTTGTACGCGTCGCCTCCTGTACTGACTGGGAGACGCTTGCGGTGACGGTGTCCGAGCATCGCGCTCAACCTGTGGTGTTTTCGATTGTGAGGGGTTTGCGCACTTCAGAAGCTGACTGCTCGATTACCACGCACGATATTGTTGTCGTACCGACTCCATGGGCAGGTGCTGGTCTACTTGGTGCTCGTTTTGAGCGATATTAGGCTATGCGTCAAGCAAAGGTTCGGCTACTCGCAAGTTTTCGGTGACGTCGCTACGCAGTTGGTACCCCGAATGCGTTGACGCCCACTGGTGCGTCCATCGGTGCACATGCGGACGCACGAGCGACAACAAGGGAGCGGGATGCCACCAACGCGACACCGGCCGCTGTGTCACAGCGTATTCCTAGGAACTGCGACATCGTCATGATGAAGACGTTTGCTGAATACTCGCGAGCGTCGACTGCTCGAAAGCGAGTGGTCGTCCATCCAGTGTATATGCACTGCGGCGACATGCGTTTGCTGTTCCCGCTGTCCTCGGGCGAGTGCACCAGCATGCGTCGAAAGAAGCGCGATCCTCTGAACACGGGATTTGGTCTGGAGGCATCAGAAGCCAAACCATGATGGTGGTCGATATGTATCGCGTGAAATTGGATGTAAATATCGTTCCGCACGCTGATCGATGTGAGCACTTTACGGATGCGGGACCGGTCCCCCTCAATATTCTGCATTGTACCGTGCTTGCCAAACGCGACCGTTCGAGGTGAACGAGCAGCTCAGTGCAGTTTCGCCTGCGAACGGGAAGACCGCTGACGCAAGCCTACCTCCAGTCGATGAATCATGGGCTGCGATTCGCGCAAAGAATTGCTGGAAACGGGCTCCGGTCACTATGCAGCACGTGCTGGCCTCCTCTACGACGTTATTGCTGGGTAGCGACGCCCGAGCGCAGTGGACGCTCTTCCAGGCACGCGCTCGGCGCTGTGCAGCGTGCTAGGCTGTCGCGCGCTGCCGACGTGCGCTTCGCTCGCCCGGAAACGGTATGCCGCCGCGCGAGTGACCTTTCATAACCCGCTTTCCAAAGCTTATGCTTCATAGCAACGAACTTCGAACAAGTTGCCTTCGGGATCCTTGTAATACTGGGAAACTGCCATACCACGGGCTCCCCAGAGTTGCCGCGGCCCGCCGGCCGCCTCAGCACCCAGTTCTTGCGCTTTGCTTTGTACAGCACGGAAAGTCGAAAGATCTACAGCTATGCAAAAGTGGTTCAGATGCGTGTCGGAGCTCTGTTTCAGCGTCATTGATTCTGAAGACGGGAACAGGTCAATGATCGTGCGGGCGTTCACGCGCAGCGACGGGAAAGGCACCTTGCCCTCGCGCCACTCGTCCACTCGTTCAGTGCACCAGCCGAAAAGCCCAGCGTAAAACTTTAAGAGTCGATCAACGTCTGTGGCGTTCAGTGCAACGTGGTCAAGTTCGCACTGCTGCATACCGTTTCGACGCCAGCGAGCGAGGTGTACCGACTATACAGACACACTACGTATGAAAGTAGATACGTCCAGTTGTTCCTCAGCAAGGACGTCTGCACAGAAAAACGATTCACGACGTTGCGCATCCGGATCCCACACGAATACCTCCGCGGATTCAGGCCAGCGTCCAGTACAATCGGTACGCTTGAAGCTCCATAAGCAACAGTCTGTGATTCTCGTGTTGTATCCTGCAGCTTGCTGCCGTTGTAAAGTGGAACACTCCTCGTTGCGCGGTACGTGCACTGGAGCCTCCATCGTAGCCGTCTCTCTGCCGGTTGCGCTGTAGAAGAGGCACCCAACGTAACGGATGCTCCGCACTGGCGGAACGCTTTGGAGGTCGGACGTTTTGCACCGGCTTGGCAGCCTCTCGAGTCGTTCCGCAGCGGGCTGCAGCGGTCTCTTGCACTGCGTGAGCGGGGTTGTAGCGAGCTTGTTGCGTCAAGTGCGACAAGACGAAAGAATTATCGTTCGCGCGTTGTTTCCGTCGCCGCTAGGACCACTTCCGCGAGTACTCCATGGAAAAAGCGGGAACGACTGGAGAGCCGAAGCCGTTGCAGCGCTCGAGACGGCACGCGAGCGCTGACCGGATGAGCGGTTCCCAGGTCGCCATAGAGACGGCTAGCGCGAACGTGAGGTCCACGATCCTCTGGTCCCTGTTGAGCAAAGTGATCAGCTTTGCACTGCGTACGCTTTTAGCGCGCCGGTTTGGGCCAGCTGCGATAGCGTTCTCGGACGTGTACCTGGGCTTGTCGGTCGCAGTTGCACTCTGGCCTGCCCGGGAGGTAGTACGGCGCGTCGTGTTGCAGCGCCCCGAGTTCGCTCAACGACGCTTCTGGTTTTGGATGAATATCTTCTGGTGTGTCATCGTCTTTGTTGGCAATGATGCTGCGTTTCGGAAGAGAGCTTCAGCGAAAATCAGCTCCGGACCCGTGGACATGGCGTACGCATTCGTCGGAGCCGGAGCCCTGTTAGAGGCATCCATAGGCGAATGGCTCCATGTACAGTGTTTGTTGCACGGCGACGCTGGGGCACTCGCAGGGCGTGCACGAGCGGACGGCCTTGCGGCGCTTGCGCAGCATCTATCTGCGGTATCGATTGCCTATGTGACTGGCGATGATGCACTGGGCGCTGCATTGGGGTGGTTTGCACAGAGTTTCGTCCGGGTAGTTGTGCTGGCGCATTCCTGGCTAAGTTTTCAGAGGCGTCTCGGGTCGCGAAAGAGACGACGCCAAGCGGATCAGAGGCGGGATACGGACAGCCGACGGCTATGGCTACATGCGTCGTTCCATGCTGCGCTCAAGTTTTTGGCGTCCGATGCAGAGAACGTGTTTTTGGCTTTCTCCACGCGCCTCACAGCAGAGCAGATTGGAGCTTATAAGATAACTGGAAATTTGGCGTCGATGGTGCTGCGGCTCTTCTTTTTTCCGCTGGAGGAGAGCGTCTGCGTCCTGGCAGCCCGCACCGCCAGCGAGAATGATCCAGCTCAGCTCGTCGAGGCATATCGTTTCGCGCAAGACGCACGGCTTTGTGCGATTCTCCTGGCGATTCTACTTTCGGTGGTCGGCCCTGTCTACGTTCCGCTGTTTTTGGAGATTGTCTACGGAAAACGATGGCTGCGAACAGCAGCGATTCATGGAGCGCCGGTCGCGAGGCTCCTGGCCTGGCATCTACGCTCACTCGTTGCCGCAGCACTGTTTGGAACGACAGACGCATTGCTCACTACAGCAGTTTTACCGCTACTCTCATCGGGTATGCTCCTAACGCATACCGTGTGCAATGCCGTGGTTTCCATCGGCTTTGTCGCCGGCGTGCGCTGGGCTGCCATCCACACTGGAGATCCGCTGCTTTTGATTGCAAACAATGCTATCACCTTACTAGTGCGAGCTGCACTCGCCACCGCTATGGTCCGAATCGCCCTGCATCACGCCGATGGCCGGGATACGACACGAGCATCGTGTGCGCCATGGCCCAGTGGCAAGGTGCTGCTCGCTACGACCATATGGGCGAGCACCGCCCATCTCCTGGTATCTCGGACGCTGGTCGGTGCCAGGACATGGATCCCTTCGGGTTCGTTGAGCCTCTGGACGCTTCTCATGTCGATGCTCTGGATTTGGGCGGTACTGAGTTCGCATCGAGACGCTTTGAGGCGCGTCCTGATCGGGTCCCGAGCCAAGACGCAGACACGTGCGTCCTTGGCAAAGGTTGCGCTCGACTAGACAAGAGCACGGCGTTGCGTGCACATCGCTGCTGTCCTCCGCACCTGTTTGACGCCACGGACATCGAACAAGGCTTCGCTCTTCGGTAAAGAAGCGCTGGGGCGTGCTTCCGTGTCGAGCGGCGCATTGCGGCGATCGTTGCATCCAGGCGCTGGCGACATTCGCGCGGACACGTGTTGCGCACGGATCCGCAGCTCGGATGCCGATCTCGTGTCGATGCGTGTCACTGCTGCGTTTGCGTGCTGGCGATCTTGTGGCGGCACGCATACACATGCGTCTGGCGTACGTGCTGGCAGGTGCCGTGCTGTCCAGCGCGAGCGGCATTTCGAAGGCAGAGCGCGCGCACGCGTGATCGCAAAGAGCTATCCGCGTCGGAGAAACAGACATTGGGGTATGGGTCTGTCGAGCGTCACCAAGCAGGATACCGTACGCGAGATGTAGAGGATCGTGGTTCATGTCGACGGACTAGCGGCGGGTGCGGGTCAGCGTGTCCGAAATGGCAGTATCGGACGTGGGCAGAGGCGTGACGCGCGCGTCAAATGAAAATGGAACCCCGGACTGCTTGCATGATACCTGCTTTTATATTTTGTTTCAGACTTGGTGTAGCTGGATATGCTCGATATTCAGAGAGCAGCAATCGAGGTTTATGGAACAGGGCGTAGTTTTAGGATGCTCGGTCGTGGATTTGGATAGGCTGCTTGGACGCTTTGCCGCTGGCGTACTTTACGTGACTGGACTGAGGATGATTAGCGAAGCCTTCGAACAAGCGCTCGTAAAATCGCCGATTACTTTATCCAGTTCATAGGTATAGGACTCGATTGGTGTCCGTTCTTTTCGTGGAGCATGCCCAAATCACGCTTTCTTGAAATATTCGGATTTTTTCATGACGACTCGCAGGCGATGCGATTCGTGCCACCGGATTGGCGAGTAAATAAAGCTCGATGTCGTTGCTTGACGACCTGTGCACAACCCCATGCCGATATATCAATGCAGGTGTCCTGTAAAATAAAGGATTTCGTTCGAAAGAGGAATCGTCCGATATGTGCGGTCATTGACGAAAGGGCATTCGACAACAACACGATACCTGTCACGTGATCAGCACCCGGAGGCTCGCGTCCCTTTTGTTTGCATGCAAAAAGCGCCTTTAACTCAGGCTTGCATCATCATAGAAATCATTTCCAGTGAAGCATGCGGTGTTCTTCGCATGACACGAGCGTGATCCAATCGAAAGTTCTCGACTCGTTCTCATGCGGAGATATTTCCTCGGGTACTTGTTTCGTCATGGACAACATCGCGCTCCACAAATCCGTGATCGAACGAGACATCTCGCATGGACGCATGCAGCGCACAGAGCTCTCGTCGGGGGATCACCTAGAACAGGCCCGTCGTCCTAGGGTACGCTCCCGGGCGCGGAAACCGAGGCCGGCATCGAATGCATCCTTTTGTGCCCATCAAGTTCATGCACCAAGCGGTGACGCAAGCGCTCACGCGTCACTGGGCGGCGCTCGAGTGACGAGTAGATTTCGTGTACATGCGACAACATTTGACCACAATCACCTGTCGCCACTGCGAATGGCGCACCGAGGCTGCGCTCAAATACGGCGACAATTACAAGCGAAGCGTATACCGCAACTTCCGCCTCTGCATGAAACGTGTTGACAATCGCTGCAAGTGGCTGATTCGGGACTTTAACGCTGCCGCAGAAGTCGTTCGGCTGCTGACAACGATTCTAGATGGACAGCGGAGACAGGCGTTTTGAAAGCGGGAGATACGGGCGGGGAAATCGAAACGTTCGCAGTACAAGCCCGCATAGGCCGATGTTGATGACAATGGGTACGAAGCAGACCTTTGGCGTGTACGTGCGTGTTAGCTCAATGGACCTGTTTCATAGTATGCTGCCATTGATGTGTCTGGGACACGGAACCCATTACGGTGCACGTGTAGCATTCCCAGAGAACACAGGGCAGCATTCGCCGAAAGGCTGACGTTCTTCGAACGAAGGCGGAGGCTAGTGTTTGAGTGATTTTTTCGCACTGAATCCTGGTCGCGCGGATACAACTCATTAAAATCTCTAACCTACACCAATGATAAAGTCTGACGTAAACGCGCACCCGATTCTGTGGCGGTATATTGGCGTAGAGCTTCTTGCCCGACAGCCGGCACGTCACATCAAGTATCCCAGTGCATGTTCACCTGCGGGCGCAGGCGTCCGTGAGCGCTACTCCTTTGGCGTCGTGTGCGAATGCAGGGTGCAGAATCCCAACGTTCCTTTACTTAATGAATGTGTCTATACCCGGTTGAGCATATGACTCAATGGCTTGTCTCTCTCACGCCGTCGCTCCATTTCTATTGCTGTTCCGCTTCGCAGAGCACCGCCCTCTTCCCTGGTTCGGATTCGCCAAACCTTGACCCACATTCCTTGTTCACTTCATTTCGAGCAATGAAAACCGCCAGCAGCTTCTAGAGCAGCGTTTTTCACCACATGTACTGCTTCTGCCAGTAGTTCTGCTGATCCTGGTACTGCTTTTGGTCCTTCTGGTACTTTTGCTTCTGTTGCTGGCCGTATACTTCCTTCTGGCCGTAAACCTGCTTCTGCTGGTACTGTTCAGTGGCCTGAACCTGCTGGCAGACCCATTGCCAGCCGTACGACTTGCACACTTGCTGGTAGCCCGTGCATTTCTGGCCATAACTCAGGCAGACCTGCTCGCTCTGAGCGCACTTGCCCTGTGTGTAGTTGGAGCATACCTGAGCGCTGTTTGCGCACCGAACGCCGATCTTCTGTTTGTTTGTAGTCCACTGCTCGCACTTGGAGGTGTCCTGCTGCCAGCGAGCACATCCAGCTTGCACCTTCTTGCAGGTCTGGGTGGCGATCGGAGTCTCGATGACCTTCTTCACCTGAACCTGCTGCTTCTGCTGCTGCTCCTGGTTGTACCAGCGCCAGCCGTTTTGGCCCCAGATGTACTGGTCCTTCTTCTGCTGATCCTCCTGCTTCTTGACATAGTCTTGCTTCTTCTTGTAGTCCTGTTTTGCAACTGGCGTCTCCACGGCAGTATAGTATTGCTTCTGCTCCTGCTTGACCTGTTGGCAGTCCTCCTTGTAGTTCCACTGTGCGCACGTCTGGGCGTACTGGGCGCAGACCTGAGTGGTCTTGTAAACATCCTCATAGGCAAGGCACTTGGTTTCCCAGCTTGTGCACACCTGCTCGTATTGCTTGCACTGCTCGCCCCACTGCAAACATACGTTGCTATATCCTGTGCACTGGTTGTCATACTGAGTGCACACCTGCTTCTGATAGCACTGCTCCTGCTGTGCTACGGTGTTGTACCAGGCCTGCGCACCCTTCATCGGTGCTACGATGCAAAGCACCAGCGCTACTGCAAAACACAAAACAGTTTTCTTGATCATTTTTTCCTAAGGTTGCAGTTGTATTGCTCTACGCGTGAATGAATACCGCTCGCTACTCGAATGCTACGCCTTCAACACCAATGTCGCACGCTCGGAGAGGCTGCATCCTTGATGTCGCCGTGCCATGCCGTCGGCGTGCATGGGACACGTCACCGGCAGCAGTGCATGCTCCGAATGCGGCATCGCATGTTTCCCGGCAAAGTCGACGAATGGTCAGGAACGCGTTTCCCTTCGACGACGGCGTCGGCGTCGTGTCCCATGCCTGCAAAATCTGTTTGCGCGCGTATCGACCGCGGTGCGTACACGTCGCAGACCGCCGCCGATCGATGAAGGACACGTGTCCGACGCCGCGTTGACGCAAGCGTGCCCTGCCGCGCGCTGACGAGCCGATGTGCATTGCAGCGTGCGGCAGGGGATCAGGTATCGGGGGGTTGCGGAGCTCACGTCGAATGATCTCCCGCGTTACGCGCCGGCGCTGGCCGCGACGCTGCTGCCCTCTGCTGTGCACCATTCCGACCGTACCCGGCGTGTGTACAGGGCAGGCGCAAAACCCCGCGATGTTTGTAGCACACGGGGAGCGTTCGCGGCGTCGCACGCGTGGGCCGATGAGGTATGCCTCACACTAGTGAGCAGGAGTTTCGTTAGGTATATGGAAAGTAGAAAAAAATCTAGTCATCGACGGGTTCGTGAGCAGGCATATACGATCACTGACGGTGCTTGTAATGCGTGCGGCACGGTCGCTGCAATGAGGAACTGTTTTGAATGCGGCTGCTATTGGGGGGTCACGGGCTGGCACCGATGACAGTTCATATCGGTAACATGTTGCCGTCGTGGTTTAAGTTATGGTGCCCGCAACGTCCGCCGGATCCGGTGATCTTCGCAGAGACACAGCATGCATGCTGTGTCGATATAGACCACGGCGCCTATGCCTTGCAACTCACCTGACACGATCGAGGTACCCGCCATAAGCGCAAACTGCATTCTGGTGTACTCTATCGGTTTACTGGCAAGAGTCTAACCTGTACGTAGCGGCGCAATCGCCAATCCGTAAACTTTCCCGTGCCCCCACCGTTTCAGACGCTCCCAGATGTTCGGTGGCTCCCTGCTGATTTTCACTCCCAGTAGTAATACTGCGGAACGTATGGATTTTCTTTCTTTCCGTATAGATTGTAATTCTTCTTGTAGTACTGGGTCTTCTGCGGCTCCCAGTAGTACTGTTTCTGGTCGTTGTAAACATTCTTCTTGTAGTCATTTTTCTTGTAGTACTGGGTCTTCTGCGGCTCCCAGTAGTACTGTTTCTGGTCGTTGTAAACGTTCTTCTTGTAGTCATTCTTCTTGTAGTACTGGGTCTTCTGTGGCTGCCAATAGTACTGCTTCTTCTCATTCTGCTGCTGGAACCATTCATTCTTCTGTTGCTGCTCTACGTTTTTCTGATCATACTTTTTCTTTTGATCGTACATTCGCCACACGTAGTTGTCCTTCTTTTGGTAGTAGTCATTCTTCTTGTAGTACTGGGTCTTCTGCGGCTCCCAGTAGTACTGCTTCTGATCGTTGTAAACATTCTTCTTGTAGTCATTCTTCTTGTAGTACTGGGTCTTCTGCGGCTCCCAGTAGTACTGTTTCTGGTCGTTGTAAACATTCTTCTTGTAGTCATTCTTCTTGTAGTACTGGGTCTTCTGCGGCTCCCAGTAGTACTGTTTCTGGTCGTTGTAAACATTCTGCTTGTAATCATTCTTCTTGTAGTACTGGGTCTTCTGTGGCTGCCAATAGTACTGCTTCTTCTCATTCTGCTGCTGGAACCATTCATTCTTCTGTTGCTGCTCTACGTTTTTCTGATCATACTTTTTCTTTTGATCGTACATTCGCCACACGTAGTTGTCCTTCTTTTGGTAGTAGTCATTCTTCTTGTAGTACTGGGTCTTCTGCGGCTCCCAGTAGTACTGCTTCTGATCGTTGTAAACATTCTTCTTGTAGTCATTCTTCTTGTAGTACTGGGTCTTCTGCGGCTCCCAGTAGTACTGTTTCTGGTCGTTGTAAACATTCTTCTTGTAATCATTCTTCTTGTAGTACTGGGTCTTCTGTGGCTCCCAGTAGTACTGTTTCTGGTCGTTGTAAACATTCTTCTTGTAATCATTCTTCTTGTAGTACTGGGTCTTCTGTGGCTGCCAATAGTACTGCTTCTTCTCATTCTGCTGCTGGAACCATTCATTCTTCTGTTGCTGCTCTACGTTTTTCTGATCATACTTTTTCTTTTGATCGTACATTCGCCACACGTAGTTGTCCTTCTTCACGTACTGCTCTTGCTTAACTTTCTTCTGCGGCTCCTTCTTGGGTTCAGGACAGACGATCTCCTTCTTGTACTGCTGGCACACGTTAGCCCATTGTGCACACTGCTGCTGATAGTTGTTGCAGGTCTCCTGATACTGGATGCATTTCCCGGGTTTCGTCTTCGTGCACACCTGGACATAGTCGGAGCACTTTTGTCCGATCTTCTGTTGTTGTTCGCCATACTGTGCGCACTTGTTCTTGTTCTCCTGCCACTGTGCGCAGCCGTTCTGAACTTTCTTGCACTGTTTCTTGACAGGCTCCTTCTTCTTCTCATTGGACCATCTCATGCCCCAGAAGTAATTGTTCTGTTGGACGTACTCCTGCTGGCACTCATCCTTATAGTTCCATTGCACGCATTCTTTCTCGTACGCAACACAGACTTTAACATTCTGGTATTCGGGCTCGTACTGCTTGCACTGGTTCTCTTGCTGCACACAGATAAGTTCGTGCTGGATGCACTTCTTCTGCGGCTGCGTGCAAACCTTCTCATATTGGATACATTTGCGCTCCTGCTTCACACACTTCTCGACTGTGTAGCACTGCTTCTTCTGTTTCATATCCTTCTGATAGTAGTCCATGGCGGCCGCACTTTGCAGCAGCGTCGCCGCCAGGACCACTACAATAGCGGCCAGATAGAGCAGCCTCATGTTCATGGCTTTCAATGAGATACAATCGGATTACAGATGTTGTTCGAGCTAGAACAAGTCCAAACACAAATTGCTTTGGAAGCATTGGACTGGCGCCTCCTCCGGGGCCATGCTATAGCGCAAGCTGGCACTGCCACGTTGCAAACTTCGACTTCTATCTCGATGCGAACTGTTCGCTGGGGGTCACCGGAGTCGTGACAGCTCGCGCCGCCGTAGTGCGGATCGAACGCACACTTTCGAGGCAGCGTCGAATTGCAGCTGATGGCCTTCGAGGCGCGCGCGCGCGATCGCTGCTGCGTTGTCCGAAAACAATCTCCCGAAGGAGGCAGCAGCACGCGCCAAGGGCACTGTTTGTTGCCATCTGCTTCGATGCTTGCTTGCTGATGCGTACGGTTGTTGTTGGTTGTATGCATCGAGCTTGCTTTTCGCAGAGGTTGATACGTGACTGGTGCATGACGATGCAACAGAGATCACGGTGCTTTGTTCGGTGGGAAACGTGGCGGGGGCTGTATCGATGCGTGCACTGAAGCTCGATAACGAGCACCCCAGGAGCCTCGTTTATAGGCTGCATACGAGGTCGAGCTCGCAGGCGCTTTTCTTTGCTTCGAAGGCGTACCGGTTCGAGGTTATTCTCGTGAGAAAGCGCTAGGCAACAAGGGAGCACGTTTTGCAGCCTGCGGCTGCTCGGGTCGCTTTCGTGAAGCGCCCAACTCGAGGACGCGTACGCGTGCGTGCGTTTAGTTCAGGGCGGCGAGCGACAGCAGGTACGTCGTTTGCTGCGGAGCTAGACCTTGAGCGTAGTCCAGGTCACGGGAGCATTGGCGCTGTTTAGGCTGTCAGAGAAGCTGGCCTGGTGCAGCGCGGGCCGCACGGCGCCGCAGGTGGTCCTTTCACGGGACCTGCGCATATGCTGCGGATGCAGACGCGTGCCCGGCTGAGTACGTTTCCATATTGGGATGCTCTCTCCCCAGTTCCACGCCATGCGAAATCGGTAATGCAATGTATGCCGATATGTGAACCCGTTCGAGCTCATTTTTTTGGCTAGTGCTGTTGCTTTCGTGCGCTGCCTCTGCGGATGGGAGCGCGGCCCCAGAGCAGGTCTCTAGAACCGTATTACGTTATCATGGAGTTTTGAGCTGCTTGCGCTCTTCCTAGCTTGCGATACATCCAAACGTTTTTCTCTGGATCTGCGGCATCAAGATTCCAAGTGCAGCACTATGGGCATACGGGTTCACGCGTAGTTTTAGGATTCTTGGTCGTGTTTTCGGAGCGTTACCTTGAACGATTTACCGCTGGAATGCGTTCCTTCATCGGAGTCAGAATGATTCGCGATACCCCCGAACACGGGTCCGTAAAAAAACAGAAATCGATATCCAACTCATATTTGCAAGCTGCTTCGCTTCTTCTCTCCTTATGTGTGGCATACCCGAATCTCACATGCTTCAAGTTTTCGATCTTTCCGATTCAGGGCAACTCGTGGACGCAGCAATGCGCTCTGTTGGGTTGACGAGCAGACAGCCTCGACGTCACCCCTTGATGCCTTGTTCGCAGGCCCGTTCCGAAAGTCGACTGGATTTGTCACGTCAAATAATCGATTCGGTGCTCAAGTCGAATCCGCTTTTCTTCACGGTCATCGAGGAAACACCGCTCGGCAGTGGCGACACCATGCCTCGCAAGCAATAGATGCAAGCGGGAAGGAAAAACTGCGGGAATACCAGCTTCGCAATACGACCAGGAGAGGTTGCGTCTTTCGTCGAGACCGACTGCGTAAGCGTATCGGCCAATATCGCCATTATCAACAAGGACAACAGCGAACCTCCCATACGATTCATGACACCGTCAGAGCTGAAAAGCACCCCTGCCCAGACGAGCTACTATGCAGACGAGCAACGACCCGTACAGCCCAGACGAGCTACTACGAAGAGGAGCAATGACCTATACAGCCCAGACGAGCTACTGCGCAGACCAGCAACGACCCGTACAGCCCAGACGAGCTACTGCGCAGACCAGCAACGACCCGTACAGCCCAGACGAGCTACTACGCAGACGAGCAACGACCCGTGCAGCCCAGACGAGCAACTACGCAGACAAGCAACGACCCGTACAGCCCAGACGAGCTACTACGCAGACAAGCAACGACCTATACAGCACAGACGAGCTACTACGCAGACGAGCAACGACCCGTACAAATGCATCGCCTCGCGAGGATGCTCTCCAATGCACTCTGCACCAGCCTGGAGCATGCAGTGCGGACCCCTGCACCTGCGCTCCTCTTTTACCCAAACAGAGACCCAATACCCCTGGTGGCAACAGGCGAAGCTATGGCTGCTCGGGTTTTGTGCCCGCATACTTGACTTGGACCAGCAGCCGTGCATTCTGCCAGCGCGCCTGTACTCTTCGTATCAGCGGAAGATAATGAACGCGAAAAACGTCCGTCCAGCAAGCAAGCGACGGAAGCAGCAGCGAGTCCCAGAAGCCGTGACTGCACGCTCGCACACAAGTGAAGCACGTGGACACACAATGCCCACGAGTAGGTACGGCAACGCGATGCTCGTCACGATCATCGCCATGTTTCGCCAAAAGCGTACTCAGGGAGCGAAGAGCGCGCAAGCCAGCGCATGTTGAGTCATCGAGAGGAGGCGTTTGCACTTGTGTTTGCAGCGCGTCTGGTGCTCGCCGAGGCGATCGACCAGAACGAGCCCGTCATCGCAGTTTACGGCACCAGGCGCCGAAACGGAGGACGATCTCGGGGCAAGCCCTCTGCACCCGTCGATACCATATGGTGGGTGATGGAGCTGGCGTACAGGTACCACAAAGCGCCCTTCCGAGAGGGAGAACGTACGTTGGGGACGCATGGGAACGCCGGAACACACCCAAGTTTGTCACCGCTGCAAACGCAGCACCGACGTTGCATACACATACAGAGGACCCATCGATGGCAACTTTTGCCTGGGCATGAAACGCGTCCACAACTGCCCGAAGAGGCGATACCGCGACTCTACCGCTGCCGTCGACATGCCTCGGTTACTGGCAACCCAACAAGACAACATGCATCGTTCGACGTATACAATACCGGAGACAAGAGCGAGGAAAAGGACGTACTCGAAGAAAACGCCCACAAAACCTCTTGTAGATGACAATGCGAAGCGGTCCAGACTTGAGCGTCTACGCCCGAGTTCGCTGAGCGGATCCGTTGTATGGTATTCTGAAATGGGTGCTGCTCCATAGCGCCGTTCTCTGCTCACCATCCGGACGTACAGCCATTCACTTCGTAGTTGCCGACTTGGCCAGCACTTGCTTCTTGGCTGGCAGTTGGTCTCCCTCGCTGTTCCGAGTGTCGAGCCACAAACCTGTGCTTGGTGACGTCGCGAGCACCTGCCAGCGACGTGGTGGCCAGATAACCGCCACTGCGCGTCCTTCGAGGAGTCCCAGCGGAACCGGCCCGTAGTGGCTAGCCGAGTCACGGGACACCGTACGGTTGTCACCTACGAGCCAGCAGTGGCCAGGTGGAACCTCCACAAACTTCCCAGTGCGGTGGTTGTAAACGCGATCCCCCTCTAGAGCGGCCACCCTTTTCACGAGTCGCTTCTGCGGTCCCGCGTCGGGAGACCGCAAAACGACGATATCCCCACGCCTTACGTTCCAAACAGCGCGGAGAAGCCGGCTAACCAACACGACATCCTGACTGCCGCTAACTTGTCCGGGAGGTAGCTCCCCTGCAGCCGCACCTGGGTTCAGGGTTGGTTGCATAGACGCACCCCTCACGGGAACAATCGTACCGACAAGATCGTGGACAACGTACACGACCGGCACATAGCTGACACCGCGAACCAGCTGCCGAAAGAAACGACTCGAAAAAGGCATCCACGGGCCATGCTTCTCAGCTACCACAGACCAAACAGGTATACCGACGCATATACACGACGCCGATAGTGTGGATGTCGGTACGCTGACGTGCAGACGCCTCCCGGTCTTTTTGGACCGGCCACCTACTACTGGTTCCAACTTGTCCCTGGGTAAGTTCACCTTGAGAGGCTGCCGCGTAAAGTTGGATCGTATCAACTCCGGGGGTCTCGTCTCCATCACCGTACATCTCCTGGTATTGATAGCGGCGTTCGAGTCACGATTGACAAACGCTATACGTTTCTTGCCATCACTGGTTGTACGCACCAGTGCACGTAGCCCAGGAACTTTCGCCCTACTTTCTACTTGCTGCTCTGTCAGCGCTCCGTACTTTGCTATATCCTCAGGGCCCCGCTGACGCTTTTCCGTCTCGACGCTCGGAAGTGTGCACCCCAGCTCATGGTGCATATAGGACGTTAGGAACTCATCGATAGGTATTGTGACAAAACGATGTGCACACTTCTTGTACGCTCTTGTCGATGGAGCTGTGTACACCCTTTTTGGGTCATCCAGCGCCCTGCTCCATACGCTATTGCGAGCCTCTGACTCTCGTCCTCTTTGAGGGCGCCGAACGCATTGAAAAAGTTGGCGAACGCTCCCTGTTTCCCACAGCACAAGATCAGTCGCTGACGAGCCCACCGGGGCTTTGGATACTCATCCCACAGCGCCTCCCAATGAGCAACACGAACTTTCATGGATTTCCGAGAAGCCTGAAAGTCCGCTCCTCGGCTCGTCAGCTCGCTCAAAGCTTCCAGATGCTCTTGCACTGCGGCATTCCACGTCTCGATTTTCTTCCTCGTATTCAGTATTCCCGATTCTCGATGGTATTTCTATGTTTAGAACTTTAAAAGAAGCATGTCTTTCTGACGTGAGCTAACGTCAGGACCATCTTCCGCACGCTTGGGTGCAGCGATGGTAACGATATTTGTGTTCCCCGGGTCGGTGCCAACGACAAGCTCGTTATCCTGCACTTTCTGAGTCGCAGGATCTGCCTTGTTGTTTTCTTCATGCTTCGCCGAGCCAGCGACAAGCTCGTTATCCTGCACCTCCTGTGTCGCAGGATCCGCCTTGTTGTTTTCTTCATGCTTCGCCGAGCCAGCGACAAGCTCGTTATCCTGCACCTCCTGTGTCGCAGGATCCGCCTTGTTGTTTTCTTCATGCTTCGCCGAGCCAGCGACAAGCTCGTTATCCTGCACCTCCTGAGTCGCAGGATCTGCCTCCTTCTTTTCTTCATGCTTCGGCGAGGGCGAAGCCGAAGGCACGATAGGACGATCCGCCCCCAGCCGCCGGTAATGTACACACATGGCTGCCCCATCGCTTCCGATGGTCCCCGTGAATACCCTTTCTTGCCCGTATTGAGACGTTTGAAATCGAAGATATTCTTCCAATGAGTTTCCCGGTTTTGGCCCATGAACTCCTTCTTGCCTGCATCGAACTCCGGACAGATATCCCTCACGATGCCATGAGGGACGCTGGAGCAGACTGCCACGAAATATGAGTTGGCGCTGCATATCGGAACGACGTTGAGGCGCGTACCCATTAGGAAAGCCTTCCATTCCTCCGAATCTTCATTTTTCCGCGACTCAGCTGCTTTTCGGCCATGCGTTCCAGATCCCGGCCCAAAAGCGTAAAATAGCGCAGGGCTCGGGAACAGCATCTTTCTTCATCTTTTTTCATATCTGATACCTTTTCTGCTGGATGCGCGAGCACCAAGTCCGCACGATGCTCTTGCATAGCCGCACGGATGACAGAAGCCTCATTCGTTCTCCTGTGTGATATCTTCTCTTCGACGAGCTCAGTCTCCTGTTCGTGCTGGCGATCATTCGTGATGCCATCGATAATGACCCATATTCCTGTGCGCGAGAGGCCCGAGTACAGCGCAAACAGGACGCGTATCGTGAAGCATTCGAGTTTCACGGTCAAATGGATCTTTAGGTTCGTGAAGTACCTGACTGCCCCGCAGGTGTCAATACACAAGTCGCCCCTGGATCGAGTACCGCTGATGCGGTATTCGGCGTGATTTTCGTGGAGGGCATGCGCTCGCTCATTTCCACTCGACGTTTCCCCGGTGCCAAGCATCAGGTGGCGGGTGAAGGTCTTGTTGAAAAATTCTTCCAGAACGTCAATTGTTTTGATGTCCGTCACGTTGCGACACGTATCCTTCTCCAAATGCATTAGTCCTAACGGCGCCTTTATAATACTCATGGAGTAAGACGCGATATGGATTCTGATGGCGTCTTGCGACTTTTCCTTGTGCGGACCCTTGATATGTCTACGAAGACAGGGTTTTACTACGATTTCGTCGCACTGTCGTCTTTATTGCAGCCTTCGACGTAGGGCCTCTCCATTTCGCTTCTTTTTCTTTTCCTTTTCTTCTTGACTCGGCACTGTTTTTTGTTTTTTCAGGCAGCCGGCGACACTGGGCCTCAGGGCTCGTCGACTCGCTTTCCCATAACTTTCCTGTTTTAGTGTCTTTTTTGAAAAAGGACGCTCTTCGAACGCCTCCGTTACATAGTGCGAAGAATCACTTGAATGTACTCACTTGAAAGTTGGAACATAATTAGACTGAACTATAGATTGCTCCGTCTTCAATGCAAATACATCTTGTTAGATCAACATGATACTCTTCAGGAACGCGTTTCGCTTCAACGGCGAGATGCCCATCCTGTCTCGTGCCTGCCAGATATAGAGGTGATTGTATCGACTGCTCCATACAGAAAAAAGAACAGAGACTAACCATGAACTACCAACGATATAAAAAATCCATTCCCCCTCTACGATAAACATTAAAAGGGGAAAGCTCTCCATATCGTCAAATGTTTACCTTCTTGGCGAAAGGTCCCGCGAGCGGGACGAATCTGCCCCGCATACGCTTCATGCTCCTCCCAGTGGCGGGCACTATAGTGAGATCTGCGCAACTCGTCCGCAACGCAGTTTATTCTGTCACTCGGAGCGGGTAGAATGTGTCTATGCGTCGCCCTTGTTGCAGTTATCTCCCAGAATACCGCTTCGCGCTGCCGCAGACAGCAGGTCTGTCTGCGCAGCCTGCGGGCTCCCAGAATGATTATGTACTTTGACACCGTGTCGAGCGCAGCACTCCTCGAGCTGATGCTGTCAGTGGTATAGCAAAGCCACTCTGTCTCTGTGTCACATCCGTACCAATTGCATAGGTGCTATTGCGGATGCTCACAGCAGACAATCGATGCACGATAGAAAGTACAAAAAGACCAGTACATCCAAGAGGAAGCATGGGTAATAGAGCTCGAAGGTAGGGTGCAGTATGATGAACGCATTTTAGATTTCCAGTACCCATCCTCCATTCTGGGATAGCTGGTCCAGGTAAACCTTCTGTCGAACAAAAAGTTGCAGCTGCGCAATTGGGGATCATTCTGCTTTTCATGCGACGGTGTCGGAATATCAAAACTAATTTTCCTACATCCATGAGCACGGGAGACGGTACATATTACTTTTGCAGGGTATACGATCGATGATTCGAACATGTTGTCCGCACGTCCATCGGCTTGTGAGTAACGCATCGACGAGTCTTCCCAGCAAATTGATCATAAACCCCATAAGCAAGCGTTATTATTTATCGCGCAACTGGCAAAGATGATGCTATTCGCCTACATACCCGAGATATTGCGAAAAGATATCCAGCATGAGCGCCTCTTCCCAGTAGATTGAATACAGATTGCGGAGGCCATGTCAATGTCATTCCTGTACCGTTTACAGAACTCGCTTGCAAGCCGAGAGCGTGTTGAGGCGTATGTCTCGTACCTACAGGAACTGCGACTCCCACTGGCGTTGCTGCTTGCTCGCTGCAGCGTCTCTTAATAGAGCTCGTCCATTCCGTGGGAGGATTTTCGTACTAGAGACCTAGAAGTTTCTTCTGAAAACTGCACGCTCGCTTTTGGCCCAGGGTCGTTCGGATGGCGCATCCCGCCAGCGGTATCCTCAATCGAGGTCGCAGAAAGCCGTGAGATCAGCTCTGCAGATCGGAATGCCTACCAAAGTACCGCAAAGACTCGCAGGCGCTTCGGAGCATGCTGGCTTGGGCGAGTGTTTCTTGCAAGGCCCAGGCCATAACGCTCCTTCTCAGTGACTCAGAAAAAGGTGCACAGCGCCACGGTCGCTGCGGCGTCGTTCTCGGGAAACTCCGAGAGCCACTTCATTGGATCTCGTATCCTCGCAATATACAACTCGGAGCGATTCGGTTGGCAGCATATCATGCGGCTCGGCCGTTTTGCACAGCGTTTGCTGCCACAGACGCGAGGCAGTGGCATCTCGTGCTTCTCGAAGTGTACGAGACTTTTGCAAAAGGAACCGCGACAGGACTCGTAGAGTAAAACGTATGATCGCAGCCGCTAAGGATATCGCCGGACTAGGAAAAGCCTCTCTGCCACTCGTGCAGATATTCGCGCGGACTTGTTCGGAATTTATCATCAGGGATGCTGCTGCTGCTGCTGCCGTCGCTCACGTGCCATCAGTTCTTCGCATGCGCGCTAGACATGCGAGACGCTCAAACCTGCCACCGCATCGAGCACAGAGGAGCTCTGTGCGATCGCTGGTGAGGTGTCTCGAAGCGTTTGTAAATTGTCGACAGTCTGCCTGCGCCCCGAATGTTAACCTGAGACCAGAGAACGCTAATCTCAACGGCGAGATGTCGAGAGCGTTCTATCGCGCTCCTGAGCGATCTTTCTTATGTGGCATCTCTCGAGGCGCCGAAGCTGAGATCCTGCCCGGGGGACGATCCCAGCGTTAAGTTCTGGCCGGCGAGTTCTGGAACTTTTCTCAAAAAGTCTACGAGTACAGTAGCGGCAACGAGTGTCGCTCCACCTTTGCGACGAGAGACGTCTATCAAAGACGCGCTCGCAAAGATGCCTCGCTGCGCACCGCGTGGGCTCGTTCTCGCCGTCTAGTCCAGAGCAGATTACGGCATCGATATCTCTCCCGAGTAAGCATAAAATTGGGTTAGTTATGCATGGAACTCTTCGTACAGGCCGGGACAGATGCTCCTTCGGCCCATGCGTTTCTCTCTTCCAGATACTGCTGTCGTACGTGCCAGCGAAAAGCACGACATCCCTCGGAGCTACTGGAATCTCGTTCGCCGCGTGCCGCTCACAATGCCGTGCAATCTGAAGACACACTTCGGTGCCTGAGCGCCCCGCATCGTCCGGGATCGAATCATGCCGATCAGGTGTCGCGGCTTCGAAAGCAGCCAGGCCTATATATTCCACGGGTTCATGTTTGACGGGTGCACCAGTCGTAGGTTCCGTGACGCGAACGGTACAGCGTTCACAGTACACGACAACTCCAATGCTGAAAAAGAATTTTAATGTTTCAGGCAGTTGACCATTGGGTGATACCGAACTACGCGAGCGATATTTGGAAGAAAAAGATCGCAGAGGCACGTACACACTTTGGGGCAGAATGGGTTTCGATGGTCTAACGAGCCAACCATGGCCGTGTTCCAGTGGCGTAGTTCGTATCGCTCCACCGGTTAACTGCTCAACTATGGCGGGCACAACAGCTGCTGCCGACTCGTTCCCTGATTCCAAAGCGCTGAGCAGAGCAGCAGCGTTTACCCGGTCGTTGACAACTTTCTGTTTGTCTCGAGTTGCAAAGCTATTAAAGAGTACAGCTAATCGCTGCGAAGGGCGAGTTTCCGCAGGTTGTTCGCGCGCACTTTCTGGTGCCTGAACCTCCATACCACAAGGAGTCTGCACAGAATCAGAACCACTCGGTTTTTATGGATACTTGCAAAGCAGTTGCGAGTTCTTACTGTACAGATTGATCGCCTGCCACTAGGTTTGGCACTCGGTGATCGTCATCCAGTACAAACAGCGGACGCAACGCCCGAGCGTTTAGAGAAGCGTTGCACGCTACCCTTGCGAAGGCGGTCGCGCGCTGTGCAGCGCTTTGGCGCCAAACGCCTCCACACACGGCGCGCTGCGCCGCGCCGGGCGAGCACTCCGCTTGCTGCAATTCTAGGCGGAAAATGTCATAAATGGTAAGATATTGGTCTCATCGGAGCTGCAGCGCACTGAATGCGCGCGCTTGTGAGTCAAATGTTGGCTGGCTGGAGCAGAAACGTTTCTTCACAGAAAGGGGGGCTTTCCTTGTAGTTCTAGGCTAGGGCGGAGCTGAACAACCGCTTGGGAAGCTATTTCGGTATTCTCGGAAATACCCATAGCAGGAGCTGCTTTACTGCTCGGGTGACAGAATAGATTCCGGCGTTCCGGAGCAAGAGTGCTGCTGCTGGTATAGCACTTTTTATTTCGGTTGGTTGCCCTGCACGCACAGTTTCTGTCAGCTTCGTCGGACTTTCATTGGCTTAGTAAGCAAGATCATGAGTACTTGCACGACGCCTTTGTTCCAAGGACCATACGACTGTATGTCAAAGTACGGTCTTGCGCAGAAGATCTTCCTCGCGCCGCTGACCCGGGAAGGAAACTCCGGTAGGCCACGTCGCCTTCGTTGGTCACTTGTGCACCCGGTTCTACGCGCCTGCTCGAAAAGCACATCAAAGTCTATCCAGCGACAGCGAAAGCCTATCTCCATACGGCCCCGGGTAAAGGGCACCGGCAAGCGGAGTGTCCGAAAACGCTCTGGAAATGTGAAGAAGAGGATTGGCCTAAAGTAACTTGTTCGCGTAACTGAGTGCTCGGTCTAGCGACCCGCATTCCACCTTTGATACTTGACTGGCTTTCCTCGGACGCTTTGAACGGCAAGGTGCTACGATACGCGCACCAGCGCAGTTGCATCGACCAGCTGGCGGTACGATAACTGTACAGCGATCAGAGCGGCGCGTGGTGCTGGGAGGTTTCGAGCCCTACTCGCCGGGCGAACGAAGGACAACATACACTCCCTCGTTTCGCTTCAAAATATTCATTGACTCACCAGAGATGGCCTTCCGATTGCAGACAATTTTTGTGAAAGCATGTCCAGATTCACTCAATATCGGACAGAAGACCGTGTATGGATGCATTCTGACTCGAAAGATTAGTCCTCTCCCGTGCGGAGATGATTAGCTCTGACTGTGCGGCGCTCTAAAGCTTGTCGTGATCATGTTTGTGACTCAATGAGATATTCTGATGCGCGTTCGTTTCGAAACTGAAATACGAGAGGAGGCCCCGCTCGCGCGTGACCGCAGCGGTTCACGTTTCGCAGCGCTTTCGATTCCGAACTAGATCACCGGCGCTTGTGATGCTGCCCCTTCGGTAAAACGTACCGAGACTGTTATTCTGGTATGCGTCGCTCAGCAATAGGGACGCGACACGAATTCACAAGGATGGAGCAGCAGCGCTTTTGTGCCTACTGCCTTTATCCATCCCGTGATGGTGGACAGCTTTCGTTTGAACGAAACAGATCGGAATCTACGTCGTGATGAAAGCAGTCAAGCGCGCACGGTATCGCCTCATGCACCCGCATCGTGTCATGCACAGCATTGTCTCGCTCGTTCTCTGTTCGCCCGTTCCTGGCGACTTACACGCGCCGACACATTGCATCCGTGTACACCGCCGGCATCCTCGCAGAACTTGACGCATCCATCCATGTTGCATTGCGAAGAACGAATCCTTCTCGACTGAAATTGTGAAGCCGTCATTCACGGTTCCGATCTGGCGCGGCTGTGCCGTTCATGGCTTTCGCGCCTCCGAACAGCAATTTGCCGCTGCGGACCTGTAATTGAAAGTGCCATCGATGCAAATTGCGTCGAGAACTATTTGACAAAACGCCAAGCCTCTGGCCAGCATGTGCTATGACTGAAGCTTTGCCTAGCTCGTAAACTATTTGGCAAAAGGAGACCGTTCCCCGATTTTATTCCTGCAGGGCTCCATTCGTGGACGAAGGGAAAGCAGAGAAAGCCCCGCAACGTCTATGTCAACAAATTCACTGCGGGAGCTGGTTTTCTGCGGAATGCCCAGTGCGGCTATGACAGCTCTGTTGCTGGCTAAGTTATATGCAACCGTCGAGTGTGGGAGCTCATCACCGCGGAACAAGAAGTTTTCTATTGACACGCCCTGGTCTCCACTTTTCGAGAGCCGCCAAGAAAGAAATCTCGCGCTGGACGGATAGGTCATTGAATCCGGGTCATCTGTAAGGTACGGCGACGCCAGGAGAGGGAAGCACCTAGTTGACGTGTGTCGGTATCAGGCGCTTGATCCTAAAAGGTCACGCGAACAGAAGCCGTCGTCGCCGTCGCACACGGAGGCGAGACAGTGTCGCCCCAAGTGCCGCGGGTGAACACACTCCAGAAAGCAGCTGTGGATACAAGTACGCCTCAGTCCTGTCTATATACCAACGAGGACACTCCGCAGTTCTGTGCTAATTGCCCTTTGATTAGGCGCGTTTCACATAATAGATGTTAAAAGATTGTGCTTGTGATCTTTTAGAGTGGTTCAACTCAGTTTTGTTTCACTCCAGCTGCGGTGTAGGGCTGGAGATCGAAATCACGAGGCAATGAACCGAATATGTTGCATATGAATCGCAGTGGGATGTATTCTTTACTGAACATCCCATACAGGACTGCATTCCTCAATCACGTCAGTTATACCATAGTACTCAGATTGTTGAGGGATAATGAAAGAAAGAAACAAGTATATACGTTCCGCGCCCAAAACTGACGTTTTCAAAGCGTGCTTGCGGTCCATGGCAGAATGCGACCTGTTCATCACCTTATGCAAGGCGAAAGCGAAGATAGTGGCTGCCACCGGCGTCTCTGCCTCTCAACAACTTATTCGTGTGGCCCCGAGAACACTTGAATACAGTCGCTAGAAGCGAGTCCTACATCACGCACGGTTATCTTCCATCGAAATCGCAACCCCGGAGTTCCCCGAACGTCTCGATCGGTAAGAAGCACTGAAACGTCGGTTTGTTTTTTGATCCGATGAGACTTCTTTCGAACGGTACGGTCAGCGCATGTATGGATATTCGCGGTGAGGGAGCTCATCGCATATATGATCGAACTCGAAGAGAACGACTACATTATCATCTATTCTAGCTGCAGCGGATTCATTTGTCGGCCTCAATTTCGTTCGTAGAGAAGGCTCATACAACAGCACCAATCACTTTGTCGAACTATTGAAGACTTTCCCCTGACGTTTGGACACGTCGGTCTGTTAGACAACTTAGTATTTCACCATTCCCGTTGCATTCGAGATTTTTTCCCAATCAATTGGGGTGCAGGGCTGCTTCTCCTTCCTCCGTGCTCCCAGTGGTTCAATTCCGTCGAGCGAGTATTTTCAATCGTGAAACGTAACGATCGTTCCACTGGGTGAATCGCTCAGGCGTTCAGCACATGGAGACACCCAGGCACATGTCGTGTTTCTACTGCAAGTCCTTCTCGCTCCGGGAAGGTCCTCACCTAAGTGCATAGAGGTTCGTTTATGTTGAAGGAAAAATCCAAAGGATTGCATGGACATGGAATTCGGGGATTCTAGAGGGCCTTCATCGCCGGGTTCGACAAAGAACAATAAATCCTCTTCTCCCCCAGATCTCGGGTGTAGAAGAGGTGAGATAGACGGGAAAAAGTTTGCGCGACATGACTATGAAGAGACTGTAGCGGCGCAAAGGGCACCACTTCGAGGAATCCTTGTATACGTGGGTTCGACCAGCGTCAAACCACGCAGGGAGTTCGCGAACCTAGACTTCAACGCCGCTATCACTATCAGACAACGTGCCGTGCTCAGTACGAGACCCGAGCGGCTCCTCCTATCTAATTTCGTGATACAGCCTCGCAAGCTGGAGGGTGGAGAGAGAAACTTGAGTCGATACCGGGGTCTAGTCGAAAGAGCCTGGAGGCCAGCTGTGGGTAGAAATTTTTTACCCTATGGTCGCGGATTATTTATGTCCATTTTTGTCCCTAAACTCACGAGTCGCGTCCGCCGCACGCCCGGGACACGACGCGATGCGCTGTTTTTCCCTTCGATATGAATCGGGACACGGACACGGACCCGAAAGCGCCGCGGACACGTCCCGCCACCACCGTCACAGGATCCGAGATCTCAATGCGGACATTCTGTGCGTGCCTCTGCGCCACAGGTTCCCGGTGCATCGCGTCTGGATGGCCTGTAGAATCGTATCGAGCGGGGAAGCGAAACGTGTCTGGGCTCTGTTCAGCCAGATTTGTGGCTTATGCTCACGTGTCCCATGGGGCCGGGTGATGGGCTTGCCGGCTGATGGATTGCATGGTCACAGTAAAAACTTTATTGGTCTTGTTCCTTAGAACGTTCCTAGAGATTGGTAGCATATTATGTCGTCTAGATATTCAAGTTTTGCTCGTGTCGTGCTTCTGGTCTGGGCCTTCTGTGCCGTAACAACCGGTGTGTTTGCCTGGAACCAACAGTGCAGTACGCAGCAGCAGTGTGTTCAGTATGGCAACCAGTGCACTGGTTATCAGAAGGTATGCCTGCAGCCTATTCAGCAGTGCAAGCAGTATGCGCAGGAGTGCGTGAAGCAGGAACAGCAGTGCGTGCAGTACCAGACTGTGCAAAAGCCGGTGCAGGTCTGCGCACAATATGCACAGGAGTGCGTTGAATACACTTCTAGCTGCGAGCAGCAGCAGCAGCAGCAGCAAATATCGGCGGTTGCTCAGCAGCAGCAGCAGCAGCAGCAGCAACAAAAACAACAAGTCGCACCACAGAAGCCTGCGCCTGCCCCAGCACCTCAGAAGCAGCAGGTTTCCGCGGCTGTTCAGGAGAAGAAAGGATGGAACGGCGCAATGCGCCGATGGCAGCAGACGCCGGTTTGCAAGCAGGTGTGCGCAAAGTACCAACAGAACAAGAACAAGTGTCTGAAGTATACCACGCAGTACCAAACCGAACAGGTGTGTGCGCAATACGAGAACAAGTGCACACAGTATCAACAAGGCAAATGCGAGCAATACGAGCAAGGATGCGCACAGTACGGCCAGAAGTGCACAGGGTACCAGCAGGTTTGCCAGCAGTATCAAAATGTCCAGGTTTGCCAACAGGCTCAGCAAGAGCAGGTACAGGCTACGCAGATCGTGCAACAGCAGCAGCAACAAGAACAACAGAAGCAGCAGTATGCCAAATTTCAGAAAGGACAACAACAGAAGCAGCAGTACGCCCAAGTTAAGAAAGGGCAGCAGCAGCAGCAGCAGCAGCAGTACTACACTGGTGGCAACATGCAATGGTGGGGCTGAAGGTCCTATCGAACATTATTATCGGACTGAACAGATGGCGGGACGGGTGGAGCGTAACACGACGATCGAAGGACAGGTTGCACACCGCGTGTGCAGTAGAGTTCTGGGCATTCGCCACGGAAGTTCCTGATGGGTCAGCGTTCATTCGTATGGTGGATGCGTAAGGTGTGGGCATGCCGCGTGTGCTCGTAGAAGCTGACATGCATTGAACGTGCTTTGGTAAGGGCCAAAAGTCTGCGAGCAAGTTGGGGTCTCGCAGCACAGCAGAGCCGATAGCCGTTAAGAGAGAAAGGAAACGGTGGAAAGACTCGGCGGATCTGTCTTTCGAGTATAAAATGGATGTGGTACAACGAAAACAAGCCGCTACACCCTGTCTAGGAAGGACACTCGCCATGCCCGTGATTGGGTGACTAGTCCGAAGGGGCTGTAACTCAGTCTTCTGCGTTACGCTCTTCATCATATGCCTTCGAGTTGGGCATCCAACTTTAGAGGTGGATCGCTCCGCGAATGGCGCCTTCAACGCACAAAATGAAGCAGTTCACGAGTCGTCCGGCGATGCCGCGAAACGCAGTGTCTCGCACGAGACGGCGAGGCGATGGTGTCAGACCAGAATAGAGCACTGTGGTGCTCGCTCTCTTCCTCTGTTTCGATTCTTTCGAACTGTTTTAGGCGCGCAGCCTCGATATTCGAAGTGCGGCATTAATGGGTCACGGATTGACACGTCTTTCGAGGATATTTGGACATCTTTTTGGAGCCGCCCTTTCGACCGACCGCCGCTGGAGTTCGTAAGCTCACCGGAATCGTGATAATTTGCGACGCCATCGAACAAGTATTCGTAAAATAAACGATATGATTACCCGATATACACGTATGAGGCTCTATCATTCTCATTTCCTTACGGCTTCCATGCTCCAGTCGCGCATTTTTTAGGCTACCGATCATTCTGTTCCAACACAAACGGCGGGTGCAGCGCATCGTCTCACCAGATTGACGATAAACATTATCCTCGTCGTCTCTTAAAGGCTTATGTACACGTTCATGCCGAAAGTTCACTGAACTTGTGGCGCGAGATGATCTATCCCGTTCAAAAGACAAATCCTCCTCTCATTGTGACGATGGCGGAAAAGGCGTTTGACGGCAGCATAACGCGTCTCATGATAAATGCTCCCAGAGGCTCCCGTCTCCTCTGTTTGCATGGGAAATCGTCTTGGACTTTAGGCATCGCACCGTTCAGATCCAGTGGAAAGAGCGTTTTCGCTTTCTACGGAGTGTGTAGAAAAGGATTGGAGAATTCTCGACATCGCCTCCAGCCGGGATTCCCTTTCCGGGAAGTGTTCCATCGCGGACAACATCGCGTTCCGCAATTCCTCTATAGAATCGAGAAGTACGCGCTTGTATGCACGGCGGAAAGAGCACTCGTAGAGATGATCGCTCAGAAGAGGCACATGATCGTCGAGCACGACACCAGGTGCGGAAACGGAGAAGAGCATCGGCGAGAGCGATATGTGCCGGTAACGTGCTTTCATCTTGGGATGAAGCGAGTGTTCGCGCGCCACAGGGCGACCCTCGGAAACGTAGATGCTGCGGTCTCATGAAAACACCTGACCACGGCCGAGTGTCACCGCTGCGAATTGCGTACCAGGCCTGTGTAAAAAGGATATGAAACCGGCAAGCGAAGCATGCATCGCAGCTTCCACCTGTCCATGAAACGCGTTGTCAACAAACGAAAGAAGCGACTGTCCTTGATAGACGACGGTATCGACAACCTTCGATACCTGTTAAAGCAGGTGGAGGGAGACGAGAGACCGACGCATGTAAAGCCGGGGTAAAAGAAAGGCAGAGGAAGCAGTCGCAGAAAAAGTCCACAAAAACTGGTGTTCATAACAGCTGGAAGGGACCTAAACTTTAGTGCGTCCGCCCGATTTACGGGGACTCGTTCCATTTCGCTCATACACGAATGTACACAAATATGATGCCAGAACAAAAGAGCCGCGCACGCACGCACGCACGCACGAAAGACGCTCGTGTTTCCTGGACAAGGATGCCCGCTGGGGCTGCGGCATCGTCGTACATCGGCGTTCTAGGCACCAGGTCTTGGTAGAGCATTCCGCAATAGCTTCCTGGCGCTGTACGCGTTGTCATCGCAGCAGATGCGACGCTGACGAATTGAGGGCATTGTTTTCTCTGCAAGCTGATACGCCGGTACGGCTTTGTATGGCCGCTCCTTCATCTGCGCCGATTAGCGGAATCGCATCATCAGGTCGCGGTAGATGCGGCAGATGCAGGGATTCACCTCACCCGTATCGAACGCGCGTCCGGTTCATGGGATTTTGCGAGCTCTGGCCGATGTAACCATTTATTTCGAGGAAAAATTGGTGTTTTTCAGACGAAAGCGCTTGAAAACCACCGCATCAGCGTACGCTGCAATGATGAAACCAGGACACTTGCGTTTCTCTATTTTGCTATTGGCGATTGCGTTCGTCATCGTTGCACCGCAATGGGCACTCTCCAATGAAGCGAAGCAGAAGTGCTATTATGAAACGCAGTGCGTCCAGTACGGTTACAACTGCACCAAGTACGAGGCCGTCTGCCTAAAGCCCGTGAACGTCTGCGCAGAATACGAGCTGCTTTGCGTGAAGCACGAGGAAAAGTGTGTTGAATATCAGTATGAAAAGAAGCCTGTGCAGGTTTGCGTTGAGTATGGAAAGAAGTGTTCCAAGTACGGCTACAAGGAAGACTGCCAACATGTCGAGGAGCAACAGCAGCAGGACAAGTATTGGGCCCAGCGTTGGTCTTCGCCACAGCAACAACAACAACAAGCGAAGCAGTTCTGTAAGAAAGTGCAGATCTGCATCGCTGAAGAGACGGACTACAACAAATGCAAGCGTTACGGTAGCGCATACGAAACCGTCAAGGTATGTGCCAAGTACAAGAAAGTATGTGCAAAGCACGCAGAGGGCAAATGCATCTCCTTCGTGCAGAACTGCGAATCCTATGGCAAGAAATGCGTTAAGGAGGAAAACGTTTGTGTGAAGTATGAAAAAGTGGAGGTATGTGCCAAGGATCAGCAAAAGCAAGTCTATGCTGAGCAAAAGAAACCTTACTGGTAAGCGGTGTCGCGACGAAGCCGGCACGAGGGGTTGGCAAGCTCGGCTCAAGAAAATAGAGCAACTAGTTATCAAGACAGAGAGCGAACCGGGAAAGGGTCTTGAATAGCACTGATGTGTTTGTACACCATTTTTCTAGGCACAGCGAACGAGGAGGAAAGATAGAAAAGCTGGACCAGATTCGTTAGGTATTTCCGTCCTACTTTTGGGACGAGGTTGCACGCATGGTGCTCATTCAGGGGAGCGGGGCTTTGCGAACATTGATCGTTTCGGGGTGTGGATGGGGAGCTATTGGGTTTCGCTCGGAAAGCCATGGAGTCCGTAAAGCATGATCTTTTCGTTTCGAGATGGTAGTTCGGTTCATGCGTTCATGGGATTTCGCTCAGAAACCAGCTTTGGCGGCAGAGCCTGATCTTTCCACTCCTAAACCGTAGAGCGACTTACATATCCGGAACGCAGGTCTCGTTTCACTTGCGTTGTTTTGGATATACCGTGACTGGACCAGATCTTGAAGACGACGAACGCGAGTCCCAATGGAGCCTGACCTCCGTAGACCTAACCGGTGACGGCATATACGTCCGCGTTCGCCTCTGCTTCCGCTGTACGCTGCACCGGAGGTTCAAAGCTGTACGTTGCAGGTGTGTCCCGTCTGTGGACGCATTCGAACCACGTCGAGCACTTGCTGTCCCGACACCCGTCGATTGCCGGCTCACGTCGCTAATCGCGAATGCGTTGGCGAAAATGCGTCACCTGGTGGTTAAGTGACCTGCACTGAAGAGTTGCTCAGGGCTACGTCCGCGACGCTGTTGCACCGGTGTCCGCACGAGTTGCCCTCGGTTTCCGCCTCGTAAGGCGAAACTTCTTGTAGCTGGCACCAACGGTGTCGTCTAACCCAACGCTCGTGTCCAAGCGCAGATACAGTCTTGCGCGACGTAGCCGGTTTGATCCAAGGTGTTTTCAGACGAAACCTGGAAGTAGCGTATCGCGCGGCCTATGCGAAAACGTCAAGGCTCGGACGCGACAGCACAGACTTGGATGCATCCGCTGCCTACCCATTGACGCAGAGCGACCACCGTGTACGCCAGCGGAAACGTTGCGGGTTCATTCGGATAGGAACAGTATGTGAAGAATGGCAAACCTCGTTTCATGCGATGAGAAATCCTCGAGCCGACGCCCTCTGTGCTACGGCAATGCCGTTCTGTCTCCGTGCAGCGACTGCACCGGCGCTATAGGCGCCATTGCTGTCGCTTTCGGCAGGCACTAGGCACACAATAGGACGTATGGAACGACTAGAATATCCGAGAAGAAGTACAGGTCATGTAACTTGGAGGCAGCGGGTTTGATGGATACTTCACCGCGCACTGAAAAAAACAACAAAAAAATAAGAAAAGAAAAAGCGCACAATCGAAGAACGCTGGCCTATGGAAACGTTTCGTCAAATTAAAAAAATGCGATGAGGAATGGTGTTGACATCAGAGCACTCTTGCATCGCAGGAAGGCATCTACCATTCCCCTGATGACCAGACTCGATAGCCTGGAGCGCTGGGCGCCGCAGCTGCCCCCGAAGAGAGCCCTGGCAACGGCACTGGAATAAAACTAGAGCTTTAGACCGACAGGTGTCTCCGTGTTCAAGTACGTAGCCATGACGCGTTTACACCACCGAGAAACTTGTTGAAGCATGGCGGCATTGCCAGCCACGTCCATCAGAACCGGACTCAATCTTTCGCTGATTCACGAAGCAGTTCCATGGTGTGTTCCTGTTGAATCGTGTCCCCAACTCCGCCAGCGCACTTGGACGTGGTAGGTACAGCCTTGACCAACTCTATCATCACTTGGTATTGTTCTCGTCGTCTTCTACGACATACTCCAAAGTTATCCTGCCAGTAATCGGGTTTGTCACGAGCTTGGTAACGACGCGACCACCCTGTGGTGGCGTTGAGGCCGCCGTCGAGTTCGAACGAGGTGCAGCTGCGTCACTGCGAGCCGCTGCGTTGTTCGACGACGAACGAGCTCCGGACTTGGAGGCCCGGGGCTGCTTATCCGGCTCTAGGTAGGGGACATCATCCTCACCACCGCTGTCAAGCCACTTGAAAAAACCTGCCTCGCCGCCGGGCCAACCGCCACTCAGCCAGTCTTTCCAACCCGTCAGGTCGCTCTTTGCGACGAGCGCTTGGCAACCGAGCCGGCGGCGTGCTCCCCGCCGTGCAAACCCTGTCGTTGGCTTCTCAGGAGCGACGCGGGCGCAACTGAGCTGCGTGCACTGCTTGCGCCAACACCAAATTGAACCTGTCACAAACATGAGTCGTGCCCTCAAACGGTTCCAGGTGCAACGGCGCAGTCCTAGGCGAGTTCGTAGTCGGGTGCATTTGCTGTATGCGTACGCTGGGGGCGTCCGTCTGCGACGACGCACGCTCGGCCACCACGAAGCTAGTCAATGTTGGTCAAAGCGGTTGCTGACTTCCGCACGCGACTGCGGGCGACGGCGCCGCTGCGCGCTCATCGGTGTTGGTGCGCTTCGCGAGGCGCGATGCGCGTTGGGTGCGCGCACAGCGGAGCCCAGAGCGCGGCTCAGGGCCCATGATCCGCGCGCTCTGCACGGCCTCTAATGTGGACGCATGCATGGAGACCGCTGCACGGTGTGGATACGCGGCAAGCGAGGAGCGTGTTCCAGAAACATAAGCGCTGCATCCAGTCAAGGACAGACCTCGGTGTTTCCGTAGGTGCCTCCATGCGACATGGAACCTAGATCAATGGTCAGCTGGGGAAGTAAGTATCGATTTGTCCGAAAACTCTAGTTCCTGGAGTCGTTCCACTCTGTTTTGTTTCACCTGCGCAGCGGTGCATAGCAGGAGATCGAAACCATGATTCAACGTACAGTATGGATGATGGACAAATTGCCTGTAGGGTATATGCTTTACAGAATAGTGCACCGGGGACTGTATTCCTCATTCAAATCAGTTATACGACAGTTCTCAGACAGTTGAGAAACACTGAAACGAAAAAGTATATGAGCACTGCGCGATCTTCATTAGGAAGAAGGACTACGACTAGAGCGCAAGCCGACATGCTTCTTTTCGTATCCAAGACTTCATGGTGTTGCTTTCGGAAGCGATACTTCCTGCAGAGAGGCGTCATGCTGTCTGTGAGTCTCATTTCAGCGACCGCATACCGCCAGCGTACGACCCGCCGCATGAAGCGACAGGTTCGTGCTTTCACCGTCAAAATCCCTCATTGGAGCGGTGTACGTAGCACCGCTCGCAAGCTCCACGCCACTGGCGTTCTCGCGCGCATCGCGCAACGTACGGTGTCGAAGGCGTCGACTCGGGAGCTCTGTCACCAGGCGCACACTGTACTACCAGGCACCAGCTTTTCGTTCGCTTTTCGCGCTTTGATGCCCATTTATTTCATTGAGCTTCGCGAGCACCTTCCAACATGACCGAGCTCCAATATGCATAGACATCTAGCCACGCTTTGCGCATATCTTCGCTAAAATGCTTGCTGCCGAGGATGGACTCGAGGGCGTGCAGCAAATTCTCGCCCACGATGGGATACTGCTCCTCCTGGGTGCCGTACTTAACGTGGCGCTTCCCAAGATCACGAAGCGCTTGTTCCAAATCGCGCCGCGAATTCAGTAGCTTAACGCCAGCGTCCACCATATCGACGAGGCGTATCCGTTGAAGTGCCGGATCCGAACGGAACATGGGCTGTAGTTCCGGATATAGTGCGAACAGGCGGTCGTAAAATACTTGTCCAAGACGCTCGCGCTGTTGCACAGCTTGAGACCAAGTACTCTGGACGATAGCAATACTTTCCTGCTGGGGCTCGTGTGCAGCGCACTCGAGCCTGTGCCCGCCGACCTGCAAACGCGTAAACGGCTGACGAGGGCGTCGGCGTGCACGCGACCACAGACTTCTCGCGTGCACCTTGGATACGTTTCCGTTTAGTGTGTAATATGCAAACATGAAATACAATTCCTGAATATTCGCTTTCGTGTCTACGAAGTTTTCACTGCAGTCTGAAAGTCTGCGAACTCGAGTGTATCCGGACGTTGGATAGCATGTGCTGGAGCAGCTGTAGCGGACCAGCGCGTGCGCGCGAATGCTTCACGTACGAGGATCGCAAGCAGGCCGTGGGTACTCGAGTCCGTTATATCCAATGATATACAGAATACGCACACCATTGCAGACATGCGTCAGGCACGCGACGTCCACGCGCTTCCGTGACACGCGCACCTCTCGTCTGCAGATCACAGACGGTACCCAGTTGGACTCCGTGTTGGAGGAATCGATAACGAGGACGTGAAGCGTTACCAACGACATGTTCTGGCGTTTGGCTCAACAAGTACGTTTTGCTCGTCCGCGACTTACGCGTTCGTATGACCAAAAGGTTATAGAACACTTTGAGAAACCGAAGAATGTAGGGAGTCTGGACCGCAACGCACCGGACGTTGGTGTCGGCCTCGTTGGTGCACCCGCTTGCGGAGACGTCATGAAACTTGCCATCCGTGTGGACCCGACAACGGGTACCATTGTAGAGTCCGTTTTCAAGACTTTCGGCTGTGGGAGCGCGATAGCAAGTTCGTCTTACGCGACGGAGCTTATCAAGGGAAAACGACTGGAAGATGCCGTCAAGGTAACGAACCGCCAGATCGCGTCGGAACTGAAACTGCCACCGGTGAAGCTTCACTGCTCGATGCTGGCCGAAGACGCTATCAGAGCAGCGGTATCTGATTATCAGAAGAAGCAGGCGCAACAAGTTAGTCAGTCGGCTACACAGGCAGCCACTGCCGCGACCGGGAACTAAGGCCTGTGCGCACGCAGTCGGTGAACCGAGCAGGGCAGTTTGGACTGGGTTATCCCTGGACTCGACCGAGGACTTGTTGTATAAGGTCGCAAGCGACCTGTTTTGGCACGGGGGCTGCAGCAATGAGCGCCAAAAGTTCAAGTTTCGGTGCGGGACTGGCGGGGGCAATGCGAACGCCGCGCTGAACCGTGTAAACCTCTGCACGGCGGCGCAGTCGCGTACCCGTGGAACGCTGCTGGCAGAGGCCGTCGGGTGCGTGGTGGCAAGATATCCAAACTCGTCGACGATCTCCTGGCGACGGGGGTCTGCACATGCAAGCGCCCATCGCGGTCAGAACCCGCCGTCAAGGAATGGCACCGCCTACGATACAGATACCCGTTGTGGCATAGTTTTGTGTTTTTGTTATGGAAACAAAAGATTTGATGCGCGAATTGAACGGCAGTCATCACTGAACACGCGCTCGTCGCTTCGTCACTGCAAACGAAATACACCAGAAGTCCCATGGAGAGTGAACGTGTGTTTCGATTCGTATTGAAACTCTCGCGACCTGAGAACGATCGCATCCGATGAGGGCGAGACGCGGTCTCTGCCCTGGTCAATGGTGGCCTTCGCGCATCCTGGCGAGTCTGGTTAGATGCGTTGATTTAGCACTGTAAAAAGCTAGCATTCACGGCCGTGGCCGTCGCCTATTTGTACCATTGGCGAGAGTCCCCGCGAAATACGGCACCTGCCGTGAGAAACACAGCATCATCACGAGTAGCCGCGACCAAGCGCAGCATCATGCACGGTCCTTGCGTCGCGGGGAGGAGCGTCCCTGATCCTGACCCCGAAAACGCAACAGGATGCCGCGAGCAACTGCAACGCACTCAGCAGATCCATAATACGATGCATCAGTACGATGCCTTGGAGGTCCGCCTGTTCTTCAGTCGGGCCTGCAGACGAGAGCGAGCAGTCAACACTTGCCCTGAAGCGATGCAGTTCTCTGCTCCGCTCCGATTCTTTGCTGATTGTGGTGCTTTCCGTCTGCCTGCATGCGTGAAACATTCGCTTCTCGCCTTGGATTCGCATACCGCGTCGAGCGCGATCGCTAAATTGCACCGCGACAGCTGCCTCTTCGACTGTGAACTGCTCCAGTCCGTTGAATCTACGGTTACCGGTGAAACCTGCGCAGATAGAACCGGCAATGGCGATGATGAGTGCTGCGATCGACGACAGCTCGATGAATCCTTCGCGTCGCGGCTGCATTCGAATTCTCCAATCGGATCGCGATGCGGCATCATGGCACGGGCCGTATACCCATCCCAGCGATCGGTGTCCATTAGAGTCACAGACTCGATTTCCACAGCACTCTGCAAAGTACCAGACACTATGCTGGAATCTGTCGAGCTCTCAAAACTTAGTGCAGCGTCCGGCGGAGACAAGTCCGGAAGAGGACTCTGGCTGGAGTCGCTCTCACTCAAGATAGAGTGCAGCGTGCGCAGACAAGCAGCTAAGTTTGATACGGCGTATTTTGGGGTCCAACGCGTCTTTGCAGATTCCTCTGGATCAATGCGCTTGGATGCACAGTTGTCGTGGTTGTTCGGATTCTGGGCCCGAGTTGGTGCAGGTTGCCTGTTCTTCCTCATACTTCCGCTCTCGGACTGACGTCGTCTTCGGAGGACTTGCAAGCGGTAGTTTCGGGATTGTCGCGCGTTGGCAACAGAGCGGTCAGCATTCAGAGGCGCGGAGCCCTTTCCGTCAAGATCAACATCGCTCTCGAGCATCGCTGGTACGCCAACTGTCTCGGGGTTCTGTGGTCGACGTATGCGCCAGCTGGTGCCGGCGCTCGCTCGGGCCATAGCGGGCGCTGGCGTTTCGTTTGCGCCAGAAGAGCGTGCTATCTTGGGCCGTACGACTCTGATGCGCCTAGGTCGCTTGCGTCGTTGGGATAGATAGATTGTGTCAACAAAATTTGCGAGCGTTCGTTGCATGTACTCCGGTGGCAACGAACTTTTTCCCAGAATCTCCGAAGCGACCCTGCCGATACGGCTCCCGTCCTCCCCGGTGAGCGCGCGCTGCGATGCCAGCGTCAAGTCTTCAGCCGCTGCACCGTCAAGGTGCTGCCAGAGCCGCTCCACAAGATTCGAGTGGTCGTCTTGGCCAACGGCAGCTGATGCAAGATCGTCATTATTGGACATGGCGCACGAATGCACTGTGCTATTCGCCACACGTCTAGACCTCCCGAGCAGCCCCGGCTATCGACAGCGCGCTATCGGCCAAAACTGCAACCAGGCGCGCACGACGAGTCTCAGCGGAACGCGCTCTGCAGTGCGGTAGTGCTCTGCTTGACGATTGAGAAGGAGGCTTAGGAGTCCTGCTCTATCCTTTGGACGCAGGCTCCGCGCGCTACCAGAGAAGCCTCAAGCGCTCAATAGTATCGCTGGCACTCCTGGTCAGAGGCGCGCCACGTTTTATGCCTTGCCTGCGGTCTCGCGCTATGTGTCGGCAGTGTCCTTCCGTAGTCGCGAACTGATAAAGTCGTCGCCCAGCGTCCAGGCGTCCACCTGGACTGCGCCTTCAGCTACCGCTACGCACCTTACCGAAGTATCAGATGCCAGTTCGGAAGCGTTGACTGCACCTGCATGCACGCCTCCGTGCCATCCGCAGAAGCGCGCACTGCATCTAGCCAGCCGAGTGGCGCATCGCCTCGGACGCTCGCTGGCGATCGGCCGGTCGCGCTCGCTGGCTGAGCTTTGCGTGTCGCTGTGCGTGCGCTGCGCGAAACGGTGGCGCTCGCTGGCAGCGCGTGCCGTATGAAAGTAGCACCCTAGACTACTTGTTCTGCTCCTGCTTCCTATTTTATTTCCGATCTTATTTAGATGAACAGCTTCGGCCTTCGAAGAGCGGCAATAAATACGTACGGATTCATGCGTAGTTTTGGGGTATTCGGTGGTCTGTTCGGACTGGCTCCTTCGACGTGTTGCCGCTGGAATTCGTTACTTTGCCGCTATCAAGATAATTCGAAACGTACTCGAACAAGGATCCATAAAACAACTCAGAGGATCGTCCAAAGCATGCATGCAACCATACGGTGTTCTTCTTTCCGTTCGAGTGTGACATGCTCATATTACACATTCTTCAAGTTTTCGATCTTTCCTCGTAAGGGGCAACTGTTCGACACAGCAAATTGCGCCACTGGATTGAAGACTGAAAAACTCGATGTCGTTCATTGACGTCTTGTTCCCAAGCTCGTACCGAAAGGTCACGGGACTTGTCACGTTAAGAAACCGATTCCGCTCGGAAGACAAATCCCACTCTCTTTGTAGCCATTCACGAATCGGGATTCCACGCCAGCACCACAACACGTCTCATGGGATATGCTCCTACAGGCTCCCGTGTCTTCTTTTCGGACGGAAAAGTTTCACGGACTCGGACTTGAGTGACCGCAGCGATCACTTTCCGTGATGCGCGCGTCACCGCTTGGCACCAACGGAGCGTAGGCGGATCGCAATTACTCGAATTGTTCTCCGGCGATTATGTGCCTTCCGATACATGTTTCATTCTGGATAACATCACGTTCCACAATTATTCTATCGACTGGGACAGCATGTGCTAGCAAGTGCGGCATTCAGCGTACTCGCCGAGGAGATCGCCCACAACAACAAGTCCATGCTCGAAGGGTACGGCACCGGGCGCGGAAGCGGAGAAGGGCATCGAGACGAGCTTTCTGAACCCGTCAAGTGCCTGTAGCAAGCGATGAAACAAGCCTTCGCGCGCCACAAGCCAACCTCGGAGGAGGACGAGGTCTCGTGGATATATGGAGAACCTGACCACAGTCACGGCACGCCGCTGCGAAAGGCGCACCAAGGCTGTGCGCAACGAAGGTGAGCATGGCAAACGAAACGTACATCGCAATATCCATCCTTGCATGCAGTGCGTCGGGAACAAACGGATGGCACGAAGTCAGCTTTGGACCGCTGCTATTTCCTTCGCTCAACCGCTGAGAACGAGGTTTTAGGGACCGGAGTGAACGGCATACAAAGGCCAGAGATAAGCGAGAGGAGAAGGAAGCAGTCGCAGCAATCCCTCGTAATATTTGATGCTGATGACAGTAGAAAGAGATCCAAACTTTAACGACTGCGTCTGTGAGCGCAAACCACACCTCTTCCATTTTCGTCTCGCGTTGGTGCATCTGGCAGCGTCGGTGCAAGTGCCTCTACTGGTAGCTCCCGGGGGCGGTGCGCACCAAAAACAGCGCCGCGATCGCACCGAGGTCAGCAAACTCGGGACACGTGTCCGGCGGGGGGGGGGCCCGGCGTGCCACCCCGACAGCTGCCTTGGCCCGGGATCGTCCACTGAACGGGGGAGAGCGCGGCTCGGCCTCCGCCGACGGGGCGCGGTGCACTGCTCGCGACCTGCGGTGCGCGTGCGCTGCCGGGCGGGCGATTACGGGAGATTTCCCCGCAACTGTAGTTAAACTATCATGTCGTCAGGTTTCCGCCGCGTAGTTGTGCAGGTTAAAGCCGTTCGAGACCTCAGCGAGCAAGGAACAAAGACACGCGTGTATGTGCGCTCTAGGTTGGACACCTCGGTGCCGCTCGTAAACAACGATGATACGACGTTTGCAACCAACGTCATTGAAGTGACGCGGAAAAGCCCCGGTCCCTACACGTTTCTTGAAGAGAGTGGCGACGTGAATGTCTTTGAACTTCCCGACTTTGTTGTAGTCTGTGACGTAATGAAAGTCGGTGGCGGTTGCTTCAACACAGGGAAAGACGAACGTATTGCGACAGTGCGCATACCACTGGCAAAAGTCGAACTCGATATGCACGGTCAGTGCGAAATGTGGTACACCTTGCATTACCCCGCGAAACTGCAAAGCGCGAAGCGTGGGCGCTATGCGGGTAAGCTACTCGTTAGCATCTCTATGGAACAGAGGCCCCCGCGCACGTTCCAAATAGAAACCTATGCTTCACCAGGGGCCAAGTCGCCAACCGGCTCTGGCGATAACGGAGCGCACACGAGCAACATGAGCCCTGTGGGCGAGGGCGGGCATTTCACCCGTGATAGCCCACCGCTGTCGGCGAGTACCGCGCAGGCCCTCTAGGACGAGAGGCATTGCGCCGCTGTAGATGATGCTGCCGTGCCCGCGTGGATGCCGCACGCCAGCTGGCGGACGTGCTTTGGACGACGCCGTCTGTGAAAGAGCACCAGATCGTCGGGAGGTGTTCAAGGTCGATCAATGCGCAGTAGGCTATCGGCTTTTAATCGCGGCTGCCAAGAGAGCAGCGCGTTCAAGAACGATCTGTAATACATCAGAAACGCTCGGTAAAGGAGGTCTCTAACTAAAGCGAAAGTCCCGAGAAATTTTCAACCGAAATCCGACTCGAGATCTGGTAAACAAAGCCAACAGGACGAGATCCGTATTCAGCGGGGGGTGCTATCCTCTGCGTCCGGACTTGCGAAGACAACCTGGAAAAACACCACATCCTCAATGCTCGCTGCCGAGCATTGACGTCGAGTTTCGTTCGACGCGATGCGCCGCCGTCTCGCTTGTCCGTTCGGCACGCGATCTCGCCTGCGCTTTTCTTTGAAGTCGCATGATGCGAAAACACATGATTTTATTTCGCCCAAGTGTTTTTAGCATTTAAGAGCGGCAATGACCAAGGAATGAAGATCAATGGATTGTCAGGAATGCGGTAAAGAGGTCAATATCGAGCGTACCAAAGATCTTGCCGCTTTTTTTTGCGCTGGCTTGGTACCCGCAATCGAATAAACATCTCATTTTGTTTGTTAGAGTGTTCTGGTGCGTTTTTCCCGTAACAACTTTTTCTTAGAGACCCGCATCCGGTATATCCACCACCAACACCACCAATACCAAGCGAAGGCTCACATGCTCAAGCCGATTTGGAAGACGATTGTCCAGGCGCATGCATAAAGGAACATATATTCGCGTGATGCTCTCTCAGCCACTCGACTGCATGGACAATGTTATGCAATTCAGAGCGGATGCTTGCGAGGCAGCTCTCCACTTGTATCAGGTGCGCTTTGTAGATACTCATGTCGTCCGACGATGGATGCTCATGAGGAGGGCTCGATGTCGTCCATGCCCGAAGCCTCAACGCTTCCCCAAAGCTACCAACGTTCGAATAGCATCTGCTCGTAGTCTGCGTTCCGCAGTCGAGCAACCTCCCGTTTCTGTCGCTCATGGTCGCTAACACGGGTGGAATGTCAGCGTCCGTGGTTCTCAGCGACCAGCAATCGTCCTCGCCGCCGTCGTTCCGCAACTCCCAATGATTTGGCTCAGTCAAAGGATTCAGTGCTCTGGGATAATCATTAGGATCTACATGTATGACCGGGGCGTTCACGTGCTCATTCACTGTGTCGTATGTTTCCAGCGGCCGCGGTGAAGTAGACCTCCGGACACGCTTTCGTTCGATCGACAAGGCTCCTGACAACCGAGAAGCGTGTAGCACATTCGAGTCCGCAGCAGCGGGGATGACGTTAGCATTCAGCGCCTCAATTGGCTCCTGCACGATCAACGTAGAAGGGGCAGCTCGAATGGACGAGCTCCGTGCCTCTCTGGAACATCGGCTTTTCGGCATATTATCACAGCTAGGCCGATCGGTGCTCGATGCTGCGAGCTGTTCCATAAAAGTGCGAGTGATTGTTGCATGTTTGAAGCATATGATGTCGTGTTCCTCTGTATCGAGCAGGCGAGCGAACTCGAAGTATGTCATGACGCGCAGGAAACTTGCCCAGGAGCTCACACGAAGTGCGCCGCCAGGGCGGACGTACCGCTCCGTGAAGCGGTCGCGATCAAGAACGAGAATACGCTGCCCGTCCGCCGCCCAGTCAACCGTGCGTGGCGCAGGGTCCGTGCTCAGTACCCGAGCAAGTCCCAGTATAAACGCGGGCACACGGGTTGCCCTGCTGCCGTTCCGAGTCCGCCACTGAACACGCGAGAGCGCGTTCTCGCAGTGCTGGTTGTTGCTACCTGACCCCACGGGCACATTTGCCGTTCTGGACATATTTTAACCAAGTCTCTAGACCCTGTAACCGCTTGATTCTTTCGCAGAACTGGGCCCAAATGTTTCGGCAAAAATTTTGGTCTGTCACAGAGAGTCGGCACTGCTTCCAAGTCGTAGCGAGCAGCGACGCTGTAGAGATCAGTGTGGTTGTCGAAAAATGTTATTCACTTGAAGAATATACTTGTCTCGCGGGCGTCACGAGTCTTGGCACATGGCTCGAGCGCAAAACGCCAGCTCTAGTCTAACGCATTCGTTCACATCTTACCGCACGGGGGGATCATCAGCGGCTCGACGCACGGACCCGCACGCGTCAGCGTGCGCTGCGATGCATTGCATGCGCCGTCAAGAATCTCGCGCGTCCCCGCGCAACATTTGCTCGGTGCGGTTCCGCTGATCGACTCGATACGGGTACGGTCATCGGTTGGCCCGCGCTGCAGCTGCCGTGTGCAGAGAGGCGACGGAGTGAGCTTCGTAACATGAGAATTTCGATGCGGCAGTCGGTCTGGCGATTTCAAATAAGTCACGCCCGCCCTTCAGCAGGCTCTCCCGAGTGGCGAGCATCTGGACTGGATCGTTGCTCCAGCTGCCGCTGTGATAGACAGTTTCTGGGCATGGGCGTTCAGTGGCTCTGTGGACCGCGTCCGCTCGGATCCTGGTCTCGAAACGAGCATATCACATGCCGAGCTAGGCGTATTTCACGTGACAGGCAGTAATCTGTCACGAGCGGGGCGTATTTTCAGGCTAGCAGGTGCTCGACTCGCTCCTGTCAAGACTCGTACTCAGTGATCGCGTAAGGTATAGAGGGGTTTCCGGGGCGTCGCGAATCGATTAGCAGCTCAGCGATCGTTCGGAATGCAATAGACGCTTCCAAAAAGGCAATAGAATGGTTCTTACCAGACAACGCTCGTCTCTAGAGCCACTAGGCACTGGAAGGAGGTAGCCTGCATGGGATGCTTATGCGTGCGGACTTGGCCTCTTATATCGCTCGCCCAAGCGCGATCCGTTGACGTTCGCGCGCGGCAGCCGCCAGTCATCGCGTGAAGGCGCGCGCACGACGGCGGACACGTCGTGCATCACGGACGAAACACGGCGTAGTCCACAATATCCAGGTTCATACAGTTTTTAAAATCGCCGTCGATCGCAACTTCATCATCGCGTCTGGGCGCTGCGCGTGCGTGCAGCACCCGTACATCGCGACGAATGCGCATCGCCGTCGCTCGCGTTCAGCACGAAATATCTTGCTTCAGCGCGACTGCTGTACCCGTAACGTTTCAAGGGATGAAGGCTGCATTTCTGATTGTACCTTCGAACGCCACACACTTTTCTTCCGTATCAGTGAGCAAGACGAGAGCAACGTTTGCCGTGCGACGGACGTTTTTGCGGACGAGGAAAACGACGAGAGTCGCTGCGCTGCGGATGGCGAACGAAAAGCTCAACACTCAGATTCAGGAAGCTATCAAGAACGCAGAAGATGCGGCGAAGAAATATGGGAAAGCAAGCAAGGAGGCCAAAGTAGCCTGGGATTTCGTCGAGGAACTCGAGGCTGAGCGGTCCCACCAGGCTGCAAACAAACAGTCGGAAGATCCGTTGGAAAAGTATTGTAATGAAGTCCCAGAGGCGGACGAATGCCGTGTCTACGAAGACTAGGGAAGGTCGCGGCGGGGGTCCCTTGTAGCGGAAAGTTATTTCGTGTGTGTATGTTTGTGTGGTCTTCTCGCGGTTGGTTTGCCTTCTGAGTGAACTGCAGTGGAGTGCTGTGGCGCTTGCTCAGACCCGGGGTTTTTGTTTCCTAGAACGTGCAGGGGCGCACGAGCACTGCCCGTGTTGTCTGCCGACTTTGGGGCCAGCGGGCCCATGGCTCTCTGTTTACGATGACATACAGGTGCGCGCGAGCACTGGCCTGCGTTGCTTCCTGGCTTTTGAGAAAGCGAGTCATAGAACCGGGACTCGGCCACCAGCACAGGCGAGCCCATGTCGTTGTTTCAAGAGACGGCGGAAAGCTTTCAGTTTTCCGGATTCGTTGCGTAGAAGAATGCTTCGTAGCCGCCTGCACCTGTGCAGAATACAGGCGAGCAAGAGGGCCTCCGCTTTGGAATGAATTCCTGGTGTTTCCTTCCGAAGAGCCACTGCGCTCCGCGGGTATGAAGTATGTGCTCAGACGCGTAAACCAAATGCCTCGGTCGGGTTTTTTAGTGGTGTAAGAACGATGATTCTAACCAGCCCCGGCGGACACGCGATCACTGTCAGTAACCAGGGAATTGTCGGCCACGGGCCCATAGACGCTGGACGTCCCATAAGCGTCAGACGAGTCTTCCTGTCTGGAATAGCGTTCGGATAGAGACAGGCACATAGACACCCCAGTGTCGAGACGCTGCCCTTGACGTTCGCTGCGATGCTGGATACGCCGCGCTTGTCGCCACACGGCAACACGACGGGTTCCCGGTGCCTTGATGGCGGTCGGCTCGAGGAGTCGGTCGGATTATCACATGTTCTGCGCGAAAGCGATAGGCGGGCGCTTGATCGTCCTCAAGGCCGTTTACGTCACAGGCAATACCCGAAGCGTGCCCTAGTGAGCCGAGGTGTCGCGTAGCTCAGAAGCGGTGCTCGCGATCGCTTCAGTCGCACAGCGTCGGGTACGCTGTGCACCTACTGGGATTCCACCACAGCGAATGCGCTTGGCGAGACGTCAAACGGACTCGCTGGTCGGCCCCAAGAAATGGGGTCTTCCATACCGAAAGTTGCCGCTCATGAGACAGGGACGCGAGATCACCTCTGCTCCGGATCATGATGCGTTCGCTGCTCTGGAAAAAACGAGCCCCAATCACACAACACGCTTTACGTATTTGGTTTCATCCCTCACGATCCAAGCCGTCAAAACAGTTCCGCAAAGTCTTGGGCGAGTCGGACGTCTTTCCAGCTATCAACAGCTTATACCTGCACCCGTACAAGGAACTTTCTGGATGGACATGACACCAAAATCAAAGAAGGCATCCTGAAGGTCCGGTCTGCTTGACTCGTTCAGAGGATCGACAGCGCGCCACGCCACGTAAAAGTCACTGCCGCGAGCAACAGCGACGAGCTGCTTCAGCGCTAATGCGTTCGACGCAAATTTGATGACCCTAGGAGAGTTGAGTCTCGCGGCCAGAGAGTAGCGGGCGACTGGGTAGTCTGTCGCGGTAAAGTACGCCAGCGGCTTTGCGTAGTACGTAAAGTTGATGAACTGCTCGCTGGATAACAGTTCTGTGCCGTTGATGATCTTGTATGTTCCGAGGGCATCGTCTGGGAAAACGGTTGCGTGCTCCAACGCACCTCCAAAAATGATTTCCGTATCCGCGCGAAAGTCGTTCGTCTGACTGTGGTTATCGGTTTGGATGTTCGCGCCAGTGATCAGAACAGTTGCTGTCCTGCTGAAGTTGTATGTAGGCGGGTTCGGAGCCGGCGATGGATACGGGAAGGGTGGCGACCCCGATCCAACACTCTCACCCACGCCTCCGATGAAACTCTGACGCTCGAGAAGCGAGTCCGGCACCAGCAACAGCTGCTGCTCCTGCTGCTCTAAGGGTTCTGTCGGCACAGCGCTCGCCCTGCAAAGCACAATCAAGGCAAGGCACGTTAACACAAACAAGCTGTTTCTATGCATATTCTCTTCTGTATGAAGTACTCGTTTTAAAAACCAACGAAACAGTCAAAACACCTACTCTACAGGAATTTTGGATCCAGAGCCCTCATCGAAGACAAAAAAGGTGCTAGGTCGTCGCGAGCGCCGTCACCAGCGTGGCCTTTCCGCACCCAGGCCTGGATCCAAATTAGGTGTCTGGGCGCCCTCTGCCCCGTCATCGGCCACGAATGATCCGCACGCGAAGGCCCGCGCCAGAGGGGCCACAGCCCGCGCCATGTCCACGCATGTCGCATTCGGCAATCATCGCAGGGCGCCATCGCGGCCGCGGTGCCTGCGTGCCCGACACGCATCGATCCACGCAGCGTGGGGTGCGTGCGGCGCGTGTCACGACACGAGGCCGCGGTGCGTGCGTGTCTCTATGTGTCACAAGTGTGCCGCACATCCGTGCATGCATGCGGTGTCGCACAGCGGCGGATGCTGCCTTGAGGGGCTTTTTTTCCGATGGTGTAGCATCGATGAGACGAACCAGGAATCTTGGGGATGCACTCTGTGCCCTAGCAGTCAAGGAAGCGACACCCGGTCCGGGACGTTCCAGATGGTTCCGAGTTGCACGAACCTCAGAACGGACATCTTCTGCGGGGACTTTGGCTCGTGGGCGCGGTTTCCCGGGTACTGATCCTACCGGGGGCATCTACTGCTGCACCGGATGGACCCTGGCGCGGATACCGTACGGAATCAGAAAAGTTTTGACATGCTCCTGCGTGCGTCATCTCGAAGGCCTTTGGAAAGGGTGCCGCCGAACGATGCATCATCGGCTGCGGTCCATCGAGGCGAGTCCTACACAAGAAGCAACTTGATGGAAAGAGGCACGCAACCTCACCGATATTCTGCTTTGGAATTCTGTACGGCCAGGTGTTGCATTCCGGGGTTTCCAGACTCTGGTGCGCAGATGTGGCGGATTTTTTGGTTTCGGATCGATGAGTTGAACCAGACGCACCCGGGCGCACGGGTCTCGCCAGTTGCCGAGTTTCCAACGACATCTCTTCGGGAGAGGTGGTCACGCGCCGCCACCCCGCGAGAGCAATGTTCCCTGGTGTACGAGGCATGCGGTCGATAGAGTCTCACGCACCGAGCGCCGAGGCTACTGCGATGCCAAGAACCCTGGTGACGGACCTCATTGCATGCACGTGAACACGAGTACCGCCAATGCCGCAGATGATTTCTTTTCTAGTGCCAGAGACAGCCCTTGGCTGCCCAAGCTCGGGGTCTTCCTGGAGGCAACCAAGGACCTGAAGCGTGGCATAGTAGATCCACTCATGTGGGCAGAAAAACGAACGGTGAGGCTGCTTTCCCAACCGTTGTCGACGTTTGCACATCGCACTATGGCCAATACTTCGGGTAGAGCAAGGCGGGAAAGAGGACTAGCGGTCAAGTTCGCAACCGTGCGTACCAACGGTGACAAAGCATCGTTGGTAGCTTACTGGCGAGCTGCGAGCGCGAGTGCCGATTTATGATATGCGGAACGTCTCGCCATGGTGTGTAGAGCGGGCAGCATCTGCTTACGAGCAAGCAACCATTCAGGCGTCATCTAGTGCACCGCTGCCGTTTTGTATCCAGGCTTCGAAAGATCCACCAAGTTACCCAATTATCCAATGGCAGCGGTGCTCGCCGACGGCTCCGCGCAGTACCTACTGATAGCTGTCTGCTTCATATCCTCTACCGGTTCAACGGAAAGCAAAACCACGTGCTGTGCAGATTGTTGCCCAGCGGCAGCGCTGGATGAAATCGAATCGTTTTGCCAGCGTCCCATCTGCATCCCAGATCGGAGCCGCGCTATTCCCTGATGCTCCAGCATCCACTCCATTACAGCTATCATCCAGGAAAGCTCCTCCAGGTTGGGCCGTTCAACGCTGGGCCGTGGCAGCGCGTGGCCGCCTACGGTTACAAAGGGAACAGGCCATCCGTTTCGGGCGTCACGCGCAACCGGCCAGGCATACTCCTCGATCGCATCAAGGTCGTCAAAGGTTAGCGACGACTCCTCCATATAGATATGGACAAGCTCTGCATAGCGCCAGAATGGACGCGAGATCTGAGGGCATTCTGGTGCCCCTGGGCGCAACGACACCGCAGCGGCGGAGGCACTCAGTTGTGCGATCGCATCGCATTCAGTGGCGTGGCGGCTCCAGTCTGCCCGCTGAGCTTCCTCGTCAATATAGTAAGCACTCTTGCATCGGCTGCATCGATTTGCGTTTGGACCGGAAATGATCTGGCCAGTAAACGCGCAAAGAACAACGTCAGGGATACTATCCGCAGACACACTCGACACGGCTTCCGACGGCAGATACAGGGGGGCGTCTAGCGATTCCGCTTCTGATACGGTCGACGAACCTTCCTCGGTCTCTTTCTTGAGGCGCCGCATACTCGCGGCGTATCGCTTACGGGCTGCCCTGACAGACGGTAGACCAACGAATCCCGGGGTCTCGCCGCCGAGCACCGCAAGAAACCGTACGTGCCTTCGCCACCGCTCTGCCACAGGCCGCTGCATCACCTGTTCAACGCAGATGCTCTCCACACGGAAAAGCCACGACTCAGGTAACTCATCCCAGGGCTTTCGATGAAAGAGCGCGTATGCTAAACAGTAGTACTGGCCGACAAGGAGCTCGCACTTTGACAGGGGTAGAGCCTGCAAAATGTACCGGTTATCCGGACGGCCGTCGCGCCGTTCTCCGCCTGCGAGCAAGCCCTGTATCAGACCAGGTGCCTCGCTTGCCGTGCTCGATGCACCCTTTCCCTTAGCGATCAGGTTCTGAGCGAAACGTTGCATAAACTCGCGAACGCCATCCGCCTCAGCGAGGACAGGCGGGCTCCAGCAGTCCGCCTCCGCCGCTGCAGACCCTGCTCTGGAAACCAGTGCGTGCAGGTCCTGCGTCACTTGCTCGCAAACGAGAAACCGAACGGGGTCCGCGAGCGCTCTTGCAATGTTCCGATTGGTAAAACTAATGCTCGCGGGGCGTAAACTGGCCGCATTCTCGCGCTGCGGCGTGAGAACCTCATCCAGCAGGAACTCGAGCATCTCCCAGGCCGTTGCCAGCCTGCCGTCTTTAACTGCGTTTGGTGGAAACTTATGAGCGCGTAGAGCTCCGTTCGGATAGAGATCAAGAATGAGCATGCACGGAGGGCGTACCTGTTTCCCGTCCGCGCTCCCCAGCCACAACCGTAAACGCTTTACAACGAACTGCCAGTGGTCTCGACTGGCGGGTCGTCGCCTCGCCATACGCAGTTTTGACAGAATGCGGTCTCTGGTTTCCGTATCATTACCGTACCACGGTGGTACAGACACCCCGGGACTAGCTGCAGTCATGCAGAGCGACGATCTCGTCGACTGAAGTGTTCAAGCGTTCGTTTCTGGGTTCCGACCCGCGGCGCCCCTGCAGAAACGCGTTCCGAAAGCGCCTCGCATCACGTTCATGCTCGAAAGCGCACGACACCCAAGTAAGCATAAAATAGAACAGGTTCGGGTAGTTCAATCGCGCGTACCCCGTAAAATGTTGGACTCGTCCACCGATCATCAACACAAGTCTTTTTCGGGTTGTTCTGCGGGTGCTTTCTATCCATGTCTCTTCTCTCCGGGTTTAGATTCGCTGGTCTCTGCTTCCGCTCCAGCTGAATTATTAGCCGTCCGAGGATGCTGATGGCAGCGCTCAAGTCCCGATTTCGTAGCTTTCACCCGTTGTCAAAGCACTTCATGCACATATGGCAGTAGTGATCTATGCTGTGCTTGCCATTCGCACCGTCTCTGTACACAGACTTGGTGCGTCCAGCGCAATCGTGGCTCTTAGATGTGCTGAGTTGCTCCCATACGTCCGCGACACCTGTTCCGCCAAACGCTGGACTATCCAGCGTGAATGCTGGCGTCATCACTCGTTACGTGCCCTTGACAGATGCAAAAGTCGCCCCTCGTTGCACTCCTTCGTTTCCGGGCCCGTTTCCGTATGCTTCGATCAAGCGCTTGTTCAGGCTGCTCATATCGTCGAGTACGCTGTGCGCTGCATGCACAAGTGCACGCTGTTGCATTCGAGAGAGGATTTGTGGAACGCGATCTTGTCCATCATGAAGCATGCAGCGGAAGCAAAATCAGTGTGGGAGAACAAATCGAGAACTGTCGATATCTCTAGGCTCCATTCGGGCGAAGCGGTGACGCACGCTCCATGGGCAGCGAACGACATGATGACTGGATTCGGAGTCCAAGACCCTTTTCGATTCAAGAAGATGAAACTGGAACCGCTTGGAGCATATCCCGTGAGAGGTGCCGCGCTACTGTGGAATGCCATTTCATCGATGGCCATGAAGAGTGGAGGATTTGTGATTCGAACGGAACCGCTTCTCTGACGTGCAATATTCTGGGAACTGTAGGCATGAATCCGTGAAGAAGCTGTCACTGTGCGACAACGAGTTTTGTTTTCTGGTCCATCCAGCGACGCGAATGGCTGCACCAACGAGTTGCCTTAAAACAGAAAGATCCAAAATCTGAATAATACGTCATTCGAGCATGCTTTCCGTAAGGAATCGAGAAGAATGGACGCTTGTACGCTTGAATTGGATGATCGTATCGTCCATTGTACGAAACCTTGTTCGTAGGCGTCGTGAATCATTGTAATGCCAGTGTCGTCATGAATTCCAGCAGCAAAGATTCCAAGATGCGACGCGGAAGGCATGACCGAAAATCCTGAATCTGGCTATGAATCCGTACGCCTTCCAGTCTTTCGAATCGTTTCTGTTTCACTTCCGCTGCGGTGCATAGCAGGGGATCGAAATCCCCGTACAATGTACCCCATCGACCGTAGACGAATCGCCTATAAGATATATACTCTTTACTGCACAGAGCGAGGAGGACTGCACTCCTCCATCAGGTCAGTCATACCACAGTACTCAGATGCTTTAGGAACACTGAAAGAAACAATTATACGCGCTCTTCGTCAAAACCGGATATTCTCCAAGTCTGCTCGCTGTCGATGGTAGAAAACGGCCAGTTGATCTCCTTACGAAAGGCAAAGCGACGATAGAGGCTGACACCAGCGTCTCTGCTTCTGAGCGGATTGTTCGTGTCGTACCGAAACCACGGGGATACGGTTGCAAAAACAGAGTCCAATTTCACACACAGCCTTCTTCCGCCGAAATCGCAGCTACAGTGTTCCTGGAACGTCGCGATCGGAATGAAGCAGAGGGACGTCAGTTTGTTTTTCCAGTCGATGAGACGTCTTTCGGACCAAACAGTTGGAGTGTTTTCGGATATTCGCGGAGCAAGGAGCCAGTTGAATGTACGATTGAATTCGAAGAGAACGACGATATCATCCCCTGGTCTAGCTGGAGTGGAATTATTTGGCTGCCTCAGTTTTGCCCGTAGAGAAGGCGCATGCAGGACCGCCAACCGCTTCGTCGCATCATCGACGACTTTTCCACTAGCGTCTGGCGACATCCTTCCATTGGACAACGTGGTATTTCACCATTGCCGCTGCATTCGAGCTATTGGCGATTCGATCGGCATAGAGCTGCTTTTCATTCCTCGGTACGCTCCATGGTTCAACGGTATTGAAGGAGTGCTTTGTATCGTTAAAAGTACCGACGGATCCTTTGGGTGAATCGCTGAAGCGTTCAACACACGGCGGCACACCGGTGCACATGTCGTCTCTGTCCCGAAAGTCCCTCTCCCTCCGGGACGGACCTCACCTAGGGACATAAACAAGTGCATTCATTTCCAACGTACAAAAATCTAAAGAAAAGTTTCGGGGATGGAAGTCGGCGGTAGTAGAGGGCCGTCATCCCGGGGTTCCACGAAAGAACGAAGAAAATTCTCGTCCCGCCGTCCATCGAGCGCAGAAGAGCAAGTGACGAAGAATAAGAAGGGTGGAGATAAGCGAGCAACAGTGTTTGCCCGACATGACGGTGAAGAGGTTTTCGTGGAGTAGAGGATACGAGTTCGAGGACTCCTCCATGCCTTGGTGAGTTCAACCGGCATCAATGCACGCAAGGAGTTCTTCAACCAAGACCTCCATGCCGCCCTCGATATCAGGAGACGTGCGGTGCTGTAGCTGAGACCCGTGGAGTTGACGCGATCTTACTTCATGGGGACAACCCCTCAGGCTCGAAGTGTGCAGGTAGAAACTGAAGCCGATCGTAGGTGCCCGGCCATAAAATGACTTGGAGGCGTCTGTGCGTGGGTATTTAGTGACCATCCGTGGCAGCGAAAGGTTTCTTGTTCCATTGAACACAATCTATGACAAACACGAACAATTTATACAGTGAGAGACGCTGCACCCTTATGCAGGCATCAGGGCCTGCCGCCTCTCACAAGCTTGCCAGACATTTGGAGCAGTAGCGCTCGTGCGCAAGGACTTGCGTGCATATGCGTTATCGCCCGTCTTTCATCGTCCAGTCAACGAGCTTGCTCCGGTCGCAACAGCGCTGGGGAAAGTGTTGCCGCCGAACTAGGTCTCCTCGTTGGATGCCAGGGACCACGTCAATGTCGATCTCGCCTGTTCACCAGTCACTTTGTCGAACGGCGGGTGCTGTGCGGGTCTTGCTTTCACCAGCACCGGTGGCTACCCGCGAAACTGCTACCATCGGTGTTCCGGAACGTGATCAAGTGCCCGAGAGCGATCAATGGGACCTGTCTCGTCTATACGCGGACAAGTCGGAGTGGGAGCGGGACTTTACTGCATGTTCAGGGCCGTGGGAGAAGCTGCTTTCCTTCCGTGGGCGCGTGACACAGTCACCCGAAACCGTTCGCCAGGCTCTCGAAGAGTACCTGAGGATAGCCCGCGTGATTGAGCGTGTGTATACGTATGCTCATCTCTTGCACGATGAGGACTTGCGGAACGAAGCAGCCAAGAGCATGTACGCGCGAGCCGTGGACTTGCACACCCGCTATGCAGAGCAGACATCTTTCCTCGAGCCGGAGTTGGTGGAGGTGCCGAATGACTATCTGGAACCTGGGAAAGGCCTTGAGCCGTACAAGCACTACCTAGAGCGAATTCGTCGACAAAAGGCGCATACACTGAGCGCAAGCGAGGAGGCACTCCTCGCGGCCTCGACGAAAGCGACGTCCGCATCAGCTCGGGCGTTTTCTGCGATGAATGACGCCGACTTTGACTTTGGATTCGTTCAGGATGGCCAGGGGAACTCGATTGCTCTATCTCATGGGAGTTACGGCACATTGATGCGCAGCAAAGACCGCACCCTGCGTCGGAACGCATTCACGACGCTTCACGGGAAGTATCGTTCGTTTGAGAACACGCTCGCAGAGCTGCTTTCGGGCGCGGTCGAGACGCATGTGTTCCATGCCAAAGCGCGACGATATCGCTCGGCTCTCGAGGCGGCGCTGACACCGAACGCGATCCCCACGAAAGTCTACGAAAACCTCTTGGATACCATTCGCAAGCATGGTCTGCACCATCATCATCGATACGTTGCGCTACGGCGGCGCCTCTTGGGTGTGGATCGTGAGGACGACGGCCGTATTCACATGTATGACATGTATGCACCACTTATTCCTGACGTGGACCTCGCCATGCCGTACGAGGACGCTGTCAAGTCCGTACTGGCATCGCTGGCACCCCTCGGAGACGAATACCTGCGGGTCGCGTCTGCCGGGCTCGGAGAACGCCGTTGGGTGGATCGTTACGAGAACAAAGGCAAGCGCAGTGGCGCATATTCATCCGGCTGTTATGACAGCGAGCCGTACATTCTTCATAATTACGACCCGGCGAACATTAATGACGCGTTCACGCTGGCGCATGAGCTCGGGCACTCGATGCATAGTCATTTCAGTCGCCAACATCAACCCTATCACTATGCAGACTATTCGATCTTTGTCGCAGAGGTTGCCTCAACGTTCAATGAGGAGCTTTACTCCCGTTATCTCTTTCGCACGAAAGCCAACAGCAGGGCGGAAAAGGCGTATCTCGTGAACCGGTCGCTAGAGGATTTACGTGGTACACTCTTCCGTCAAGCAATGTTTGCGGATTTCGAATTACGTATCCATAGAATGGCGGAGGAAGGTCATCCCTTGACGCCTGCAACGCTCCGGCAGACATATCGCACACTCAATGAAGAGTGGTTTGGAACGGATGGCGTTTGTATCGACGAGGCGATTGAATGGGAGCTCTTCCGCATTCCCCATTTCTACTACAATTTCTACGTGTACCAGTACGCGACGGGGATCAGCGCAGCACTCGCTCTTGCGGAGCGGGTGCTCAGCGGCGGCACGGCAGAACGAGATGCCTACTTCGCCTTCCTGCGAGCGGGATCGAGCGTGGATCCCATTGATGCCTTGCGCATTGCCGGTGTCGACATGACAAGTCCGGAGCCGGTTCAAGCGGCGCTGCGGCGCTTTGGTGCTCTGGTCGATGAATTGGATCAGCTCACGCGCTGATCGGCACGACTTGGTCCATAAAGCCGATCGTATGTGTGGGAACTCTAATGCCGCTGATGCATCTAGCCGGTGCCAGCGGTGCGCTCCAGGCGCTCGTCGATGCGTTCTCCTGAAAGCACGCCAGAGCGGGTGCCTCAGGATTATCCAACAAGCTCCTACGTCCAGGAAAGTAGACCATCTGTGTCGATTCAGTCAAGAAATGCGGTAGGCACGGCATATGGAGCCTTGCATCGAAACCGCTGGGCGTCTACGGTGGCTCGCTTTGACGGCTCGGTACAACGGGGAATCCGAGCGGGCTGTGCGGCTTGCACAGCGTCCCCAAACCGCCGACACACCCGCCTATTCAAGACGCGTTCCCTTCATCAAGATTTGAGGATATGGAAGCGCCGGGTATGGTCCTGCTGCTCCCCAATCTGCTGGGTGAACGCTTCGACCGCAAAAGTGCGTCTCGGTCGCCACATGTGTCCATTATCGCCCGCGGTTTCTTTGCGAGAAGCGCGTATCCGACCCGCGTCCTCCAAGGGAGCATTGCAGTTTACAGAGCTCAGCTGAGAGCCAAATCGGCTGCGCGAGGAACAAGTGCACAGGTGCATGTTCAGGTGCTAGGTTCCGCTTCGGACACCTCATGCAGCCTCGCGATATGTGAACACAGGCCGCAGGCAAGTGCAGATGCACGCGGCATGACCCCAGCGGCTACGGCTTCAGCACACAGCCGAAGAGCATTTCATGGAAAACTGAGCTGTCGCTTGCGTTGCCTCGGGTGAAAAAATTGCACTGCCTCCAGGACCGATCTGGTGAGCGGAATCGTCCCTGGTAAACACAACACTGTCGAATGATGGAAGACTGTAATCGTTCCCGAGTTGCCCAGGGAAACTGTTCTTGGTGAATAGATACGGCGCTCGAGTTATTCTGGGAGGCTGCACCCTAACATCCTAATGCCTTGATCCATTGGAGCGTACAATGCCGCCTCTCCGCGCTACTGAGTTTTTTCGTCCTAAATCTGCAGCGTTTCATCTCAATGCACATACGGACCACTAAACGATTCCGTCGAAAGTTCGCTTGATGCAAAGCCGCAGGACGCCAAGGAGCCACGAGACGATTCCGGATTTTGATCGAGGCATCAAGTCTCGGTTCAGAATGTGCTTATGCGTATGGTTGCTGGAGGGATCCCGCCATGGAAAGCCTCTCACCAACGATTGCCTTGCCATGTGAGGTCCGGTCAGCTTACCCTGCAGCGTCTCGTGCAACCGTCTCTGTTCTACGAGCTTCCTCTCTACCTGTTTTGGCATGCACCCGCGCTCTTGATGCTTGTATATCGTCCTGAACGCATCAAAGGGCATCGTATACAATCGATTCCTGCACTCGATATACGTACTGGTCGACGGAGCAGGTGTCCAGCTCGCGCGTCGTTCATGCGATCCAGCGCAATCGGAAATGTCGTCTCTCTTCCATTGCAGCGTAAACGAGTGTGCTGTGGAACTTTTGGCAAAGTCAGGCCCATGTTTTGCGGTTTGGCGGGGTTTTCGGGAAAGTATGGGCGCAGTCCATGTCGTGGTCTTCGAACAAGCGCCCTTGCTGTGCGGCAGAGTCTCCTAGCGGCTGCAGGGCGCCATAGTCGCCACCGAGGTCGCTCAAGCGTGCCGAAGCTTACCTGCCGGGGCGGGAACGTTGACGAGCCTCGCGACCAAGATAACGATCTTTCGGGGAGCATTCTGCCCCGTGGTGCGCTTTTTGGTGGTTTCCTCTCCTATGGTGTTGGGAAGAAACGAACACGTTCAGACCGCGTCCCGCAAAACCCGGAGATACCCTGCGCTTGCGGGAGCGGCAGGACGTATCGGAACTGCTGCATGCCCTTTCATACGAACTCAAAGGCACCCGCAGAAGCAGAAGAGCTTTTGCGTGCTCGATACTCGGCTTTCGCCTATCGCTTACCCGGGTTTATCATGCGGACCACTTCGAAAACAAACCCGGACTATACGGACGACTGGAACCGCTGGGAGGCAGACATTCTGGAGTTCTGCGACTTGTATCGCTTTCCGGGTATGGAGGTCCTTGATGAGAAGACCGCGAGCCCCGATGTATCCTTTATTCAGTTTCGTGCGAATCTCATCTACGAAGGCGCCCTCGGTTTCTTCATAGAACGGAGTCGCTTCGTGAAAGAGCGCGGGAAATGGATGTATGCGAGCGGGAAGCTCGTCGAAGCTGAGATGCCACCCCGATAAGCCTACAGGCTCGATCATTGCTTTTTCATGGACCTGGATGCAAGCAACAACAAGTTGTTTGGCGGCAGTGCATTGTGTCCGTAGATGTGCGCGGAACGCCGAAGCTGCCCGGTCCGTCACAGGGGACAGGTGTTCGATAACGAAACCTCCAATGCTATGTAAATCATCAAGCTTGTGTTTATGAATGGCGGTTGCACAAAGTCTGGGTATTGTATGGGAATAGTGCGCACATATGCGGTATGCGCTGTCCGGAGCCAACGCCCGTCACTTGTCGCAACATTGCGCTGCCTCTGCAAAGCGCTAGCGGCCGTGATGCATCCATCGCTACATCTCGAGCAGTCGCCCGTAGAGGGATCTCAAACTCGGTCTGTTGCCGTGTGGTGACGACGGCACGGATGCCTCAAGGGTTTCGCCAAGCACCCGTGGAAGACTCGGGATCCGGCGGCGCACAAGACGGATCCATCCGCTGTGCTGAGCGGGAACACCAGGATGGAGCACACGCGATGCACAGGTCACTGTGAAGCAACCGTGATCTCCGCGTTCAGTGTCGAGCGCAGTCGCACATTCGGGAAATTCTGGTTAAGTTCATTGCGCCTACACCAGAAAATGCGCAGCATAGCGGGCGCTCCGACCCCGACAGCAGCAAGCGCGTCCTTCAATCCCGAAACTACCGATGCATCCCTTGAACCCTTGTTGTTGAACTTGGCACATCGAGGTTGGACATGAACATAAAACGCTCGTACAACATCGAAAGTCAGCAGTAGAACGAGCAGAAGAATGTCCCATTGAGTCTGTGTCCTCAGACAGATCCCAGGAAAAGAAAGAGTAGGCGTTTTGCGACTCTGGGACTGCCACCGCGTGTGCGTTTGTGCACCGCAGGTCCACGCCATCGGTTTGCGCTGCCGTCGCCCGAGCCGCTGGAGCAGCCTCCGTAAGGCAGCAGCGCAACGCGTGCTTTTTCTTCGAAGCCGCACGAAAGCTGTTACCTTTTGGTGTGTGCTTGGTGCCAACCAGCCTTGAGCAGTGTCCACAGTTTCTCCTTGTGTGTAGCGGTAGGGCTCAGTGTGTGCGTCTCGAACGAGCTGCACTCGACGTTCTCGTGTGGGCACTGTGTCCGCGGAAGCGTCTGTTCGTTGCACCAAGCACTCGGTGCTGTGAGGTTTTGAGCGCGAGTTGTTCGTGTTGAGCGGCTACCATACGAAAAGTTTTCTGGTCACTATTTCTGAGAAGAGGAGCGCTATGGAGCAAGGCACTGTCACAAGTCTAGCATTCTGTTCGTTAGGTGTCGCGGCGGCAGGTCGTTTGCAGCGGCGGGCACCAGGCTGTGCTGCGTGCGCCAGGGGGTACTGGGGCAGCGGCTGCAGGCAGCCAGTCAAAAGCGCTCGGAATGTAAGGCTTTCAACCCAAAGACGTCGATTGGTCTGTTGTGCCAACGAGTCTGAGCGTCCACTTAGCGTCGCAGATAAAACAGAGCAACTGCTCTCTGCGCTGAAAGCAGTCGTGGACCCCGACTTGGGGCAGGACATTGTGACGCTGGGGTTTGTGAAGAATATACAGTTCGGAGGTGATGAACACTATGGAACCGTATCGTTCGATGTTGAGCTGACGACGCCAGCATGCCCCATTAAGGAGCGTTTTCGTGAGGAATGCACGAGGCTTGCGGAGAGCCTGCCGTTCGTCACGCGTGCGAACGTACGGCTAACAGCCCAGACGCCAAGTGCAGCGGCACCTGAAGCGGGAGGATCGCGCGATCCGCTTTCACAGGTTTCTAACATCGTTCTGGTGACGTCCGCCAAAGGCGGCGTAGCGAAATCCACCACAGCTGTGAATCTGGCATTCGTGCTGGCAAGGCTCGGCGCTCGAGTGGGTATTCTCGATGCGGATATCTACGGGCCATCGCTGCCGATCATGGTGAATCCCGAACACAACGAGAAACGGATTCGACTGACCCCAGACGGGCTCATGGTGCCGCTGACGCGTGCGGGTGTGAAACTCATGAGCTTTGGTTACATCAACTCAGATCCGGCGATGCTACGAGGACCCATGGTTTCCTCGCTCCTCACGCAACTCATCCAGCAGACCGACTGGGGCTCACTCGATTACCTTTTGGTGGACTTACCGCCTGGCACTGGTGATATTCAGATCACCCTGGGCCAGGTGCTGAAGGCCACTGCAGCGGTTGTCGTAACCACACCGCAACGCCTCGCGTTCGCCGACGTTGTGAAGGGTATCCAGCTTCTAGACAAAATGGCTGTTCCGCCGATTGCAGTCGTGGAGTCAATGGCCTATTTCGTTGCTCCGGACACAGGAAAACGCTATGATCTCTTCGGAAAAGGGCACAGCGCCCGGATATCGCGAGAGTTCGGCATTCGCAGCACGTTCCAAGTGCCACTATGGCCCGAGATCAACGCGGCTGGCGATACGGGAACGCCTGTAACGCTCACGCTCCCCGAGACGAGTGAAATTTTCCAATGCTACCGCCGAATCGCCGAAAACATCGTTCAGGAATGTGCACGGGTTCGCTTCGGAGCTGTACCCATCCCACAAGCGAGGTGGGATGCAGATCATCGTGAAATTGTGGTGCAGCTCCAGGATCACATGGAGGAGCGCATTCAACCTGCAGCACTCCGGAGGGCGTGCCGTTGTGCCGCATGCGTGGATGAGTGTACCGGCAAACAACTGCTGGATCCGAATTCAGTTGACGACAACATATACCCGATGCAAATGATGAATGTCGGGAATTACGCCCTCGCCGTGAACTGGAGCGACGGCCACCAGTCGATTATGCCGTGGGAGCGCTTCCTTGCGGGATACCGTTCGGGTAGCCGCGGACGTCGGATCGCGGAGACAGCCGCCCTGGACTCTATCACAGCCTGAGCGAGGTAGACATGAGCAAGGCGTGTTCGAGTGCCATTGCAACCTATACGTGACGGTTTTGGTCTGGTTCAGACAATGAAGCTGCGGCAGTTGCTTGCCGCTGGAGGCGCTCTTGGCGCAGACCCAGGTTTGTTGCGTGATGAACACAGCGCCCTTGGTACGCCCTCAATGTCTTGGTCGACGTATTGCAGCGATCGAGATGCACTTTGGTGGGTATCAAGTACGTAGCAGCGCGCTGGGATGCTGTGCGCATGTCAGAAAGAAATGGAACAGGTCTACGAAAACGGGCGCACATGCTAAAGATTTGATGTCCTTCTACTTTCATCAAATTCAGCATCTGCCATTTTCGGGATTTTTTTGTGACTGCTTCCGATTCCTCTTTCCTGGATCCGTCTCTGAAACGCCGGTCTCTCTTTTTGCCTCCTGCTTTATCGTCAGCAGTCCATGGGTGATGATGGCAGCGTGCATGCCCCGATTTCGCGGCTGCCAGCTGCGGACAACGCATTCGATGCATAGTCGATGGTTGGGATGTACGCTTCGCATGCGATTTTTATCTTCTTCGTATGCATCCTGGGTGCGTCCACCGCTCTGGTGACGCTGGATTGTGGTCCGGTAATCCCAGATGTCTACGAGGCTTCCTTTCCCGGGGGCCGCTCTGTGGCGCGTGAACGTTTGCTTATTCATGCTGTACACGCCTTCGACTGGTAAAGCGTGCAATCCTCGATGCCGTCCTTTGTCTCAGCGCCCGGTGCCGTGCCCTATGATCACGGGCTGCTTTTTCGAAGCGACCCAGTTGGCAGGTAGGCTGCTCGCTGCATACGCAAGCACATGCTGTTCCATTCAACAGATGGTGTATGGAAAGAGATGTTGTCCATCATGAAACGAGTCACGGAAAAATCATTCAGGCCAGGGATCAGGTAGGGATGTGTCGATCCGTCTACGCTCCTTTGGAGCAGAGCGATGACGTACGTTCCTCTGGAAGCGATCACTGCAATGACTCGATTCCCAGTCCAAGACACGTTTCCATGTAGACAGAAGAGAAGGGAGCCCTTGGAAGCAAACCCCATAAGCGGTATGGTGATGCTGTCGTATGCGGTGTCGTCGACGGCCACAACAAGAGAGTGATTTGTCTCTCGAACGGAATCGAATAGCTGACGTGGCAAAGTAAGTGAACTTGCGGCACGAGCTTGTGAAGAAAACGTCAACGGACGACGCCGATCTTCTTTCCTCGTCAATCGGGGGGCGTGAATTGCTGCGACCAACAGTTGCTCGGAAGCGGATAGATCGACATCCTAAAGATCGCATGATTTCAGCGACCTTTGCACAGGGAATGGAAAAGAGTGCATGCTTGCACGTCTGCATTGGATGATGATATCGATAGCTTCACAAAGCCTTGTTCGAGGGCATCGCGAATCATCTTGAATCCGGTGACGCAACGAATTCCGGCAGCAGCGTATCCAGGGTTCCACTCAGACTCGACGCATGAGAATCCGAACGATACGTACGACTCCTTATGCTTCAAACGCTGCACTCTGTATGTCGAGTATTCACAGCTAAACGAAAATTTTGAGAGGAATCGAAAAACAGTTCGAGATCGAGCCATTCAGTGTTCCATTTTCATCTGACACCGGGTGTGGCGAGCACTCCCCCCAGAACCTCTGGATGATCTTCAGCTAGCGCTCTGGCCTATGGCCGTGTCCAATATGCGGGAGCGTTTCCTCTGTATGGCGAGGTGCATTGCCCCGTTCTCCGTGAAGTTAAATTCCTTTCGGGGCGAGCAGTCGAACGCTTGTCAAGGATGCAATGCATGGACGTGCAGATGCTGCGACATAGCTGACGATGATCGCGTGGCGGCGGACGAGACCCTATATACGGTTGAGCCTCCATCGATGGCCATATCAAGCCAAGATACAGAGTCCAGAGAAATGCACAGTACCTATGGTGCTTGCGTGTTATCGGTATGACGATGGCCATATCAAGCCAAGATACGGAGCCCAGAGAAATGCACAGTACCTATGGTGCTTGCGTGTTATCGGTATCACGATGCCCATATCAAGCCAAGATACAGAGTCCAGAGAAATGCACAGTACCTATGGTGCTTGCATGTTATGCATACCATTCCTAGGCGCGTGCCGCAGTGCCCATGTCGCACCATGATTTCGTCAGTGAATGTTGCGCGCTGCATCCTCCAGTATACGGCATGCGATGCGGTGGAGCGTGATTCTCGATAATCCATCCCATGTGTGAAACTCTAACAGAAAAATTTATCCGACATGGGCTTTCCATCACTGCAGGTCTGACTCGTAATATCCGTCGCATCGAGTGCTGAGATGCATGCCCCCAGGCAACGCGCACCAGACGCATGTGCGTCCCTGTATAGAGCACAGCGCCTACGAACACCCCCAACGCCTATGCACATGATTTGCCCACGTCAAGACGTAGGCTGCACCTGAAGCATTGTGTCAGGCCGCGCGGCTTGTATCCCTTCGATATTCAAGCACGCGTCCGGGTTCAACGATACAGGTCAAGGTTCCGTCTCTCGTTTGCCTGCTACCTGCCCGGAGAGCGTCGCAACTCCCAAAAGCGCAGTGCGTGCTTCTAGAAATTGGGCTTAGCAACCCAGTTTTCCAAAATGCACTCTCCATTCCAGTCCCATCTTTCCCTACCTCTACAGCGCTCTTCCTCCCAACCTTACACGGCATCAGTCGCGGCACCGGGCACCGTCACCACGCACACAACAAACGACGTGGATTAGCGCTGCGGACGTGAGCGCGGAGCGCCTTGCGTGAGCGCTCCACTGCCGGTCTCACCTTTTTGCTCCAAGTACTCTTTCGTCGTACGGTCCTTCCCGAGAAAAAAGAGCGGCGGCTGGCGGGGACTGCGGAGACCGACGCCCTGCTCCCGCCAGTGTCGCTCCCGTCTGTAGCCCAGGTAGACACCGGCAGCAACACAGCCGCAGTAGAAACCTGCGGTGTACCACCCCCAGTGTCTCTGAATGGGGATACCCTCCATTCAGAACTCCGAAACCCCAGCTCAGACCTAACACTTCACGGGGCGAACACGGCAGCTTCTTTCTCGCAAATACCTCTTTACAGAGCGTTCCCCCTGTGCCCGCATTGGGAGGTCCGGAGTTGCAGCCTCTCGTGGCGGTCGCCGAACGTAACCCTCGAACGGGCGCTGCGGGGCAGTTCTGGCGGGGTCCGTCTGCTCGGGTACGGACCGCACCCTCGGACGTAACGGGGTACGCTGTAGAACTAGGACTTTGGTGCGAACTCTCGAGACTTCCGAGAGAGTCATGGCAAGTTGGCGGTCCGGCGCGGGTACAACGTTGCCGGTGTCGTGGCCACGGAACGCCAGCGGCTCGAGCCCGAGTCTTTCAACGGAGGTTGAAACTGGTACGCCCGCTGCCGCGTCAAAGTTGGATAGACATCAAACCGTACATGCGGAACGATCGCCAACGATCTCACTACGAGAAAGCGCGTTTTCGGTGGAGCCCGTGTCGTCTGCGGCGGTGGCCCAGTCGACGTGTCCACGGAAACCTCAGACGTTCGCAGAGCCGCCAGCACCGTCTCCAAAGAACGCGGTCGGTAGCGAGACCAGTGTACCACATGAACAGATAGAACGACGCGCTCCAGTGGTGCACGCTTGCGCCGGTGACGCACTTGGTCGTACCACCAGCACCAGAGCACGTTTGCAGGACAACTTGCCTCTAGCGCTCCAGCATATGCTCGCAGGCGGGGCCGCAGGTCTTGCCGAGCACATCTGTCTTTATCCGGTAGACTTGGTCAAGACGCGGATGCAGTCGTATCATGGGCAGGCAGGCTTTGCCAGCTACACCATTATCAGCGCTGTTCGAGCTATTTGGCGGGACGAAGGCGGTCTCCGTGCGCTCTGGCGTGGAGTTGGTGCAGTGGCGTTGTCGGCAGGTCCTGCACATGCCGTCTATTTTGCAACCTATGAGGCTTTGCGAGCTCGCTTTGTATCCTTAGCCGCTATTCGTGGTAGTGGCTCCGTACCGGAAGTCGCATGGACGACAGAACGACGAGGAGGTTTGTCGGAGCCGGTTGCCGTGGCTGCAGCAGGCGCACTTGCGACGGTATTCAGCGATGGACTCATGGCGCCTTTCGATGTGGTTAAGCAGCGTATGCAAATCGAGCGACACTACCGCTCAGTATGGGATACTTTGCTTCGAGTTTACCGGGAGCAGGGAGGGTTTCGCGCGTTGTACGCCGGATACAGCACGGCGCTGGTAATGAATGTGCCTTTCAGTGCAACGTACTTTAGCGTTTACGAGGCATGCCGTGAAGCGCTATCACTTTTGATTTCGTCCGAGGACATGACTACCCGCCAGCAGTCTCCATCAAACGGTTTCGCGCGGCATGGTGTGCACTTTGTGAGTGGCGCTATCGCTGGTGCGGCTGCCGCAGGCATGACCAACCCGTTGGATGTGGTGCGAACGCGTCTCCAAACGCAAGGCGAAGCAGGGGCACGACGTTATCGGAACATGTGGGTAGCGTTCCGGGCAGTGGCTCTGGAGGAGGGTGCTCGCGGCCTCTGGGCCGGTCTCGTACCTCGCATGCTTTTTCATGCCCCGGCCGGCGCGATCGCTTGGACTACGTTTGAGTTGGTGAAGCGTGCCTTTGGCCTGGATAGCACCTTGGATGCTTTCGTGGACTAGAGAGCTCGAAACACACCAGGATGCAGTATATATATGTGTCTTGTCGCATGCCTGTATATGGATATGTACGTATACGGGCGAAGCGTTCCTGTGTACGTCGACGTCCGAGCAAGCACACGGGTACAGGCTGCGGCAGGTTCCGCGTTCACGCCTATCGCTCTGCAATGATCGACGACGTGCTGCGTAGCGACGCGGTGCGGACTGGTGGTGCACCTCCAGACGCCGCATCCTGACTAGCCGCACTGCGACAGGGCGCACCCGAGCAGTGCCTCCTGGGCGTGCGCTCAGCTGGTGAACTGCTCATTCCATGCAACGCACTGAAAGTAAATCTCTTTGAGAGCGATCCATGAATGCCATGTTTCTCCTAGCCATTCCATGGATGCAATGCCACTACCGCTAGAACGATGATTTCGTCAGCGTTTGTTTCGCCCGCGGTACACGACTATCACCGTCGATCGCCGTTCAGCAAGCACATAGCAGGCCGTGTCAACGGCACCGACGTCCGCTGGCGACTCAAGCGCCCTTCATTGAAGAATATCGCGTTGGTTTTGTTCGAGAAGAGAACGTAACGAGTGTGGGAAACCGTTCTACCTCGGTCACTCTTGTGAGGAAACTGTTAACCTGGCTGCTGCGTACGAAGAACTGGGAAACCGGACGCAAAGCTGCTCGGAGCGACTCCACAGCCGACGTGCGTGTGCGCCTCATGAGCGGAGCACTGCTACCAGCCTTCATAGTGGACTTGCGTTTACCACACCTTTGCACTGAATTCAGCAAGCACCGAAGACCGAACACGTTGCACAGGCAGCACGCGGGATGCCGCCCTTGCTGGCGACACGTCCAGACGGTGCGGCTCCGCAGGACACTGCGTGCGGAAACAAAGCCACCCTCACCGCCGAACCACGATGAAAGTAATATGATATTGAAGCGACCACCCCATCCTCCGATTTCTTTCTATGTCGCACTGCTTGAACGGGCCTACCGACGGCCAGACCCCTGCTTTTCTCAGCTCTTCGAGGATAACGTCTTTCTGGACAAACTTGTTGAGTACGTTGCCAAAGAGAATGCAAGTGGTGACCCAAAGAGGCGTATCGAACCGATGGATGATGCCGAGGTAGACCGTATTCTCTCCGAATGGGACGCATATCACAAGGCCGCAGCCGCGAAGCTGGAGCGCATCATGGAAACCGCTTCGAAAGGCGTCAAATTCATTCGAGAAGACGTCGACTACTCGATCCCGCCGGACAAGTTCCTGGAACAGCACCCCGAACTGAAACACGACATGTACTGGCCAGCGGGGGATCGACCGGGCTACGAGTTCGCGGTGAACCAGCCGCGGCAGCCGTTCCCGCCCATAGAGTTTGACCCCGACTACATTCTTGAGCGTGACGCGTTCTTCCAAGCGCTGCCTCGGGAGCTGTCGGAGGCGATCCTGGAGGAACTGGGACGGCGCATTGGACCCACGCGCAAGTGGGCCTACAACGATACGAGCGGCCTGCGCTTCTTCCAAACCATTTATTTCACTGATCCGATTTTCACAGATGACTACGTACCATGGCAGGGAACCGGCCCCGAGTTCGATCACGTGCAAGAGTTTCCCGACATGACCTGGGAAACCCAGCAGAAGCTCAGTGGGAACCGCGTACTCGATGCGGAGCGAGAGCGAGCGACTTGCGCATTTGTTCGTCGATTCTACGACGATTTCGGGGTCTCGGTGTCGAAGCAGGCATCACTTCTGAACGCTTCCGTGGCCTGGTTCTTCGAGGCGTTGCGTATTGCTCGACCCCGACCCGGGGATGTTTTCGTGCACTGGGATTGCGGCGACGGGCGCTGGGTGCTTGCGGCGATTACTGCGTTCGATTTCGGCTGCGGACGGGGTATCGTGGTGATGCCCGACGGTCTCGAGGAATCCAGCGAGGCCCAGGAGCGACTCGATGCAATCCAGAGAATCATGCAACAGGTCGAGGATGCTACGTTTGCTGCGGCACGCGCCAAAGCCGCAGCGGACGAGGCTGCCTGGCGAGCCGCCTACAATATGGTGGACGAACCCTATGACCCAATGAATGATGAGATTCGTGAGGCACGCAAAATCGCCGCCAAACCAGATGAATCCATCAAATTCACATCGGTCATGATTGAAACGAACGGGAAAATGCTCTGGGACGCAGACGTACTACTTTGCCCGCGTATCGGCATGCTCGATCTCGCCCGCGTCAAAGTCGGGTGCCGCATCATATCCATGGATGAACCGGCAGCAGCGGGACTGGATCGTCGCGAACTGCGATTCCTGGGGCCGCACGTCTATGAGCGTGTTTGGGAGCCTTGGATGGAGGCGACCGCACCATCATCAGCGACCTGAACGGACCTCGCCAAGGTCGTTATTCTCTGTTGCTAGATGAGCATAGGAGCGGTAGCGGCTCGCCGAATCGATTTCCCTAAAGCTGTGCGACAACGACGATGCTCTTCCAGCTGCATATTGTATCCGTCTATGCGTATACGGCTTGCGTCATCGTGTGTTGATCCGCTGTTCGATACGATCTGGGAGACTGGCGCGCAGGGGGCGTATCACCTGGCAATATCCCTGTCGATCGGTGCTATCGCTGCATGCCCTCATGGTTTGGATACGCTTCGCTCTACGTCCAGTGCGCACTACACTGCACGCGGGGCACTCTCGGCTACAGAGAAGGGAAGGTACCCAGCAACGAGTTGCTGCTCCACGAGCCACCACACTGGATTGCTGGAAGCTCTGAAGCCATGGAGCTCGACAGGTCCTGTGACGCAAGACTCGAGTCAATCCACAAGTCCTTTACGAGTGGGAGCGCCTGCCTAGACAGACGTACTGTTCGCGGTGGTCCATCCAGTATGCACCGACCATTACAGAGGCGCTACCATGGCACCCTTTATCACATCGTTACCATCTCTCTGTACATTCACAGCCGCCGCCATCTTCATGCATGCTGCAGGGAAGACTGCGGACGTGCTCAAACCAAGTCAGCTGGGCGGCTGTGCCAGCACTGTACACCAATTCAAGTTCGCTTCTACCGAGAGGTGACTGTGCCTGTCACGTCCTTTTACGCTCGGGTGTCTTAGTGAAGAAGTTCGAGTGGCTGGAAGCGCGTGTCTGACGCCGTGGAAACTTCCCTGCTCTCGACCAAGACTTCTACAAGCAATGAAAGCGGAATCGGTTCGGAGAACGTAAAGGTTTCCGTCGACGTTTCTAGCATAGAGGCGATCTCTTGCCGAAGTCGACGCCGTTTCCGGTGCGGTAGCGTGGTGCGCGGCTTTGAGGTCGGAGCCGTACGCTGCGACACTTCAACCTCGGCGCTGCCCTCTGTACCAGAAACCTCGCTCGCAGAAACAAGGGTACCAGCCCCGTTTGCGCCAACACACTTGTGGTTATGCATTTCTAGCTCCACAAGTTCATCGCTTTCAGCAGGCGCCCTCAAGCAAAACAGTCGCCAGAGTCGTTGCGGTGCACTGGTGCGTTTCGGTACCTTTCGCACGGGAACGGCCGCGTCCGAGCTGTGCAGCCAGAGCTTGCGACACTGCTCGAAGGCCTGTGGCCCCCGTTCCGGGTTACAGGATGTGTGCTCAGGTAGCCCCATGGGCAGAAGCCTCCAGCGTCCGCCAGCGCTCGGACGTTCCCCAGAGAGGGCTACCTGGCAGGCTTCAATAACACCCACCGCAACAACCGTTAGCGTCGTATTCAGCGAGTCAGTGTCCGCACCCGGGCGGGTGTGATGATGATCGCTGAGATCGCCGCGTCACGAGCGTTCACAAGCGTTCGTTTTCTACGTTTGTGGCGTACGCGCCTCACACGCGCACGCTGCCACAATGTCGATCATCTGGTGGCGTTGGCGGACACTGGAGACAGACTTGTGGGTGCTTTTGACAGAGTCGGCGTCGTGCGTGCACGCTGCGATGCGCCATGGCGCCGAAACGCTGCCATGACGCGCACAGCATCGCAGCGTCGGTATTTTTCGCATGCTCGATACGCCAGCGAAGCTGCGGCCTGGACTCCTTGATGCTACTTTTGGTAACCTAGTTTGGAGCTTGTGAAACGTTGGGATACTCTTTGGAGCGGTGTGTCGGCCACTTGCCTGGTTTTCGACTGCAATTGTGGATGCAGGGGTCTGGTTCGATGCAGTGATCGGGTGCCGGAAAAAGCTCTGGAACATGAGCTGCATGCGCTGGGGCATCGTTTGTCCGGACTCGAGCCAAAATCCTCAGCCGAATGCCAGTCAGTGCGAGGTTACAGCAGCCGCCAGCTTACCTGTCTCCGAGTCCGAAACGCCGACCTCGTGCGGCACGGGTCGGCGCCCACGATACTGGTGCGTCTGCTGCAGTGATCGACACCGAACCGGATCAGCACAACTACGCCTGCGCGTTTCAATGGGCGTCATCGCACGTTGTCCCGAAAGTGTCGATGGCCACTGCACGCATAAAGAGATTCCTGTACGGATTCAACCATCCTGACCTTTCCCAAAGTTGCACGATAGTGCGCGAGGCCCCCCGCTGGGCACCGGCAGGCGGATTCGCAAGCGCTTCCGGACTTGCGCGCGCCCATTCGGACAGACACCGTGTATACGCACGCCTGCATCGGTGATGCGCGCGGGTATTTCCAGTACAAAACGGACACGATTGCGGTGCTGCTGCCGTACACGCATGCGTGCCTGCTGCGTGTCTGGCATGCGTGTCGTTTGCCTCGAGTGCGCGTTTCAGCGGTCTTGTTTCCTGTTTGCGTGAGGTACCCTGGAAAGATGAGGTTCGAGGCATCGGCGTCACGAGATCGTGACAGCGCTTCCTCTGCCTCAGGCAATGACTCGCTAAACGGTACCACCGTGGGGGTTGGTGGCGGAGCTGGCGCGTTCACGCCTGCAGCAGCAAGTACTGCGTCGAGTGCGACACAGCCGTGGTGGCGGCGAGCCGCCGCCGGTCTGGTGCAGTTTCTGAAAGATCCTGATTTGCGTCCCCTGTTTGAGCGGCAACGGTCGACGGAACCGCGTGTGGTACGTCTCAATAACCCGACGTTCAACGCGAAGCAGCGCTTCATGAGCAACTACATATCAACAACGCAGTACGAGCTGTGGACGTTTGTTCCAGTCTTTCTGGTGCGCCAGCTATTGCGGCCGGCCAACTTCTATTTCCTTATAGTCGGTATCCTGTACCTCATTTCCTCGATAACACCGGTGTTTACTGCTGGCCGGTACGCTACACTGGCGGCTCTGGCTTTTCTGATTTTTATCACTGCCGTAAAGGAGCTCGCCGAGGACCTGAAGCGATATCGAGAGGATCGTCGTGTTAACGCGACGCTTGTTGAAGTTCTGAACAGTGGAAATGCTGCATCTGACGCGGAAAGTCACGTCAAAGCTTGGCGCGACGTTCAAGTCGGGGATCTCGTCGTCGTTCGCCGTGACGAGGGCGTGCCTGCTGACCTCATAGCGCTGTCGTCCAGCACGCCTGATGGGACATGCTTCGTGGAGACACGAGCAATCGATGGCGAAACGAATCTCAAAGTCAAGTCATGTATTCCGCTGAATCGCGACCTCTTCACACCAAAGCAGTTGCGGACACTGATCGGTGAGTTCCACTGCGAGGCTCCGAACCCGCGCTTGTACGAGTTTGAAGGCCGCGCTCGCATCGAAGTGCCCGACGAAACAGGTCTCCCGACTGGCGAGGTGGTGGAGTGCGCGGTCTCCCGGGACCATTTGCTGCAGCGGGGTATTGTGCTGCGCAACACGGACTGGGTGATCGGCATTGCCGTTTATACCGGAAAAGAGACGAAACTCATGATGAATCTGAAAAGGGAAGCGCACAAAGTTGGTCGCATCGAGAAAACGATCACGAGATTCATTCTCGCTCTCATTTGCATCCAGTTTTTCATTGCGTTAATTCTGACCATCTTGAACGGCGTCTGGGCACACCGGCACTTGCATCCGTCGCAAACCTGGTACTTGGATGAGCGCTACAGCGTGGGTAACGTCGTACTCCGCTTTTTCACGTTCTTTTTGACGATTTCGAACTTTGTTCCGATTTCGCTCTACGTTACCATGGAAATCGTTCGAGGTCTGCAGTCGATTTTCATTGTCGTTGACGACCATATGTACTGCTGGGAGACGCGTACACGAGCCCGGTGCCGGAACTCGACGCTCAACGATGAGCTTGGCCAGATCACGCACGTTTTTACCGACAAGACCGGAACGATGACCCAAAACATTATGGAATTCGCCAAAGCGTACGTTGACGGCGAAGAGATTACGCAGCGTCGGCGGGATCATGAGAACGATTTGGAGTTTTTCCGATTGCTTGCGCTTTGCAACACGGTAGCCCCGTCCCGCGACGATACCACTGGACAAATCGAGTACCATGCGCCGAGTCCGGATGAGCGGGCGCTGGTCATTGCTGCCCACTACAGTGGCGTCACGCTCTACGACCGCAACGCGCTGAGTATGATTCTGCTCGAGGACGAACAGCCGGTGACCTACGCAGTGTTGCACGTGCTCGAATTCACATCCGAGCGTAAGCGCATGTCGATTGTTGTTCGGAAGCCCGACGGTCGCATTCGATTGTACACCAAAGGCGCAGACTCGGTGATGTGTGCGCGAGCTCGTTCAACGGACACGAAAGCCGAACAGGCTCTGGCCGGTATTCAGCAGGCAGTGCATCGTTTTGCGCTCGCTGGTCTGCGGACCTTGGTCGTTGGTTATCGCGATCTCGACGAAGACCTGTACGCCGAATGGGCGAAACGCTATACGGAGGCGTCATCTTCGATGGAAAATCGTGCGAGCCAAGTTGAGGCGCTGGCGGACGAGATTGAACGCGACTTGACGTTGCTCGGCGTGAGTGCCATTATCGATTACCTGCAGCGTGATGTTCCAGACACTCTGCGATCACTTTATTTCGCCGGTATTAAAGTCTGGATGCTGACCGGCGATAAACAGGAGACGGCAATCAACGTGGGTCTTTCATCGGGCTTGCTCGGCCGCAACATGGACATCGTGGTGTTGAGTCCGGGCGATGCTGCCGATATCGACGCACAACTGGACTGTGCGGAAGCGCGTTGGCGGGCGCTCGAAGTCGACGGCGTCAGTGCGATCGCCAAGGCGCTCGTGGTGGGCGGTGATGTACTGGATGTTGCACTGCAGGGGAGCTTGCGGCGAAAACTTGTGCGCGTCAGCGAGTATGCGCGATGCGTCATTGCCTGCCGCATGACGCCGAAGCAGAAAGCGGAACTTGTGCGTTGCATGCGAGAGAACAACCCGCATGCCACGACGCTAGCAATCGGGGACGGAGCGAACGATGTCGGCATGATCCAGGTCGCGCACGTCGGGGTCGGTATTGCTGGACGCGAAGGCATGGAGGCTGCACTCGCTAGCGATTTTTCGATTGGGGAGTTTCGCTTCCTGAAGCGTCTTGTGCTGGTGCACGGCCGCTGGTTCTACAAACGCAACAGCAAGCTTGTGGTGTATATGATCTATAAGAATGCGGCTCTGGCATCGTTCGAGATCTGGTTTGCAACGAAATCGGCGTTCAGCGGAGCACAGTTCTTCAATCCCTGGCTTGGCGCCATGTACAACGTTTTCCTGACATCCATACCGGTGATCGTGTTGGCGACCCTGGATCAGGAAGTGTCTGCCGCGTACACGCTATTTTATCCGGAGATTTATCGCAGCGGGCAACGCAATACCAGCGGACGTTGGCGAGTGTTTGCCTATTGGTTTTTCACAGCGCTCTGTCAGTCGGTGGTCATGTTCTACTTGACTTTTTATGCCCGCGCGGACGGTCCAGGAAACGGCGGGCAAATGCTGGGCAAGAGCATTTTCGAAATGACTTGCTTCACTGAGCTGGTTGTGGTCGTGCATCTGCAGCTTGCGCTGTATCAAGCACGCTGGACGTTGTTTTCGTTCTGCTTATACTTTTTCAGCGCAACCTTGTGGTTCTGGCTAGGACCTGCATTCTGTGCACGAACCTTTACCGTGGACTTGGACCTAGCAGCAATGCTATACTGGAACGCGATGCGGATATTCAGCGAGCCGCTGCTTTGGCTGATCATCATCTTGTGTGTGATCATCTGCGAGACACCACCGCTTTTGATCCATCACTGGAATCGAATGTATTTCCCGTCACCCAAAGTTATTGTACAGGAACTGGAGTGGTTCGGCGTCTTGCATCGCAAACGCACACCGCATCCGACACAAGCGTATGATGTTGAGCCCAAGTTTGTGCAACTCACGCGCCGCGCTGCGAACCAACGCGAATACGAGGCAGTCCCGATGACGTATTCCGGTGATACGTTCACTCACGAGAGTTTGCCTGGCGGCGGGATGCCGTGGAACCGGAGCCCGCGCTCCTTGGGCGCTGGTGCTCGGAGCCACGCGCCTTCGAGTGGTCACGTTTCGCGCCTGTCGGACGTGGACTTGACCATACGAGAGCGCTCTCGTCGGCGTTTCTACTCGACCGACGTGAGTGCGGTCAACCTGCGTACCCAGCGCACAGGACGCGCTCAATCGCTCATGGGCGCGCAGTTTGATAATCATCTGGGGCTCAGCGGAAACAACCTGCTGAACGCTGGGGCAAGTTTGGTAGATGCGCGCACCCAGTCGACGCTGCGTGAAGCACCGCAGCAGCAGCAGCAGCAGCAGCAGCATCCATTCTTCGCTGAAAACATCATTCGTGAAGATAATGACGACGGCGACGACGACGTTGATGATGATGATGATGATGATGATGCTGGTGGTGTCCATGCACCACCCACGACGCTGTGAAAGAAACAGTACGATACCTAAAATGACTAGAGGCGAAGCAGTGACATCGCTTCAGCATCTGCAGCAGCGAATAAGGCCAACAACAACAGCAACAACAACACCATAGACCGCACCAGGTCGTGTCTAGGCGGTGTGTCTGTGACGCACTCGACCCGAATACGCACCTGGTTAGAGCAGGGGTGTCCTGCACCAGTCCATAAAACTTGTCCAACCGCACAAGCGAACGGCACATCGTTTGTTATCCATGAATAACGGTGCACGTGTCCAGTTTCGAATACATTGGAGCGAACTCGACCTACTTGAACGTCACAAGGTTTCCGTAACTAACGACTCCGGGAAAGCGCACGTTACCCATCGCGAACTCGTTGCCTTGTACCGCTGCTGCTGTTGAGCGTCTCGCCCAGAAAGACGCACGAGTACGCAGTGTGCATTCCAGGGCGAGGAGCATACCGGGCGACTTGCCACCGATCGATGTATCGATGCATTCGTTTACGGATGGACTGGCGTTCGGTTCGTCTCCGCTTCGCCAACGGGACTGCTTCCGCTTCTTCACTGGGTCTCTGAGCTTGGAGACGCTCAGTTACCGCTCGTCCATGGTACCGGGTACTGTTCTTGGCGTCGTTCACGGAAGCAGTAAGTGACGCTGCCGCTCGCGTTTGCGCCTCCGCAGGGACACGTGCCTTGCGCTCAGGATGAGCGATGCAGCGTCAAACGAACGTCGACTGCGAGAACTTGTCCAATGGAACAGCGTGTTCACACAGCGCCTCTTCGGAGAGCCCGGGAGGAGCGCCCTGCGCCCTCAGCGACCGAAAGCAGGTGCAGATGTACCCGACTGGCTGACGAAGCTACGCGGGACGCTCTCGACACAACCGGCAACGGCGGCGGGGGTGCACGAACCCCCTCGAACCGGTCCGGGTGTGGTGGTGCAGGCAGCCGCGACATGGGCGCTCTCACCGGCCACCAGAAGCACCTGGTATCCCTGGACTTTATACAGACAAGTCTGGGTGGAAAATAGCTGGCCCGTTGCGCTTGATGTCGCCAGCGATAACGTCACCTTCGCAGCCGGTGTCTGGGATCGAAGCATCCGACTCTTTGATCTGGCCAGTGGGCTTGTTGTTCATACGTTTCGCTCCGAGTCGCAGCTGCTGGGACCCGTTCGAGTGCTGCGTTTCGCGGAGTCAGCACCACATCTTCTGTACAGTGGTGCCGCTGATAAACGCGTCCTCGCATGGGATACGCGTACCGGTCGCATTGCACTACGTCTGGTAGGTCACCGGGCGAGTGTGGACGCCCTCGCAGTCCATCCGCGGTTGACACATGTACTCTTCTCGGGGAGCGCAGACGAGATGATTCGCGTGTGGGATACCCGCGTCGGGGGCCAATGCAGTGTCCACGAGTTAGGCGGTCATCGGGGCGGAGTGCGTTCGCTTGTTGGTCGAGCACTCGAACCGCAGCTGTTAAGCGCCAGCGACGACTGTACGATTCGAAGCTGGGATATTGTGAAGGGTGTCGCCGCTGGTGTCTGCACACGCCATGCGAAGCCAGTCATTGGCCTGTCGAGCTGCTGGCTCGAGACTGATCTCACAGAAAGCGAGCTTGAGCGGCTCGTGTCCGTGAGCGCCGACGGTGCGCGAATGTGGAAGCTGCCCGCTGTGCAACTCGTGGACGAGATTCCTGGACCAGCGCCGACCCTCAGCACGGCTGCCGTGAGTGAAGATGGCCAGTTGGTATGCGGCGACCTCGACGGGCAACTGCACTGGTGGAACGCTGCCCAGCGGTGTTGGCAGAGCCAGAGTGCTGCGCCCCAGGCCACCTCAGGCGTGACTTGTTCAGTCGGGGCACGCGTACCGGCTGTCGTGCTTTGTATTGCGTTCGACCGCTCGGCGACTCGTCTGCTCACTGGATGTCATGATGGAGCGATACGCATGTGGCGTCTCCATGACGAGTACCGCTGAAGCATGCGTTGCGGATGCGTTTCATCCGGGCGCTTGCCATCGCGCAGCGGTGATGCTCCGCACCCGGGGCCATCTGCGAAAGAGGAAAACAAAAGTAGCCGCGTGCCCTAGACATTGCCGAGTGCACGCCCTGCTTCGCGTGTCAACTCCTCGAGCGGCTCAGCGAGCACGGTTCGGGTGTGACGAGTGCGCAGCTGCCCAGGTGCGCTCAGTGCGCGTTCTTGTAGCGTCGCGCTCTCGCTGGGAGCTCGCTTCGTGAGCCGCGAGTGCCGGGTGCGCGGTGTGTCTCCATCAGCCGCCCGAAGCGCTCCCGTGCCGAACGCTCTCGATATTGGCCCAGTTCACGCGTTCGTGGGGTAAGGTTTCGTCGCGTATCGGGAACACTTTTGGATTCGCAACGAAATGGACTTCGCCCGGTGCGAACAGGTGTTGTTCGAATCGCTCGAGCGGTTCACCGTTCATCACACACTCTAAGACGCTCAAGGTGTAGGTATCGGGCGCGACGATAACCACATCTGCGCCCTGGGTGCCGTACTGCGTTTCCAGTTTCGACAACAGCTGCCGTACTCGAATGAAGACGTCAAAAATGCTCTCCGGCGGGGTACCGTCATCGCCAGCCGGTGGTCGATACTGGGCGTCCGCACGATCCTGTGCATGCAGCCTCGGAATAACGTCGCTGGAAATGCTGCCATTGTACACGCCGAGACCCCTCTTGTCGAGATAGCTAAACTCGGGCACAATTCGTTCGTGACCCAAAGCGGCTTTGTCGCCGATGATCTCACCGGTTTCATAGGCGTTCAGCGTCATCGACGGCCAGATCCAGCACTGGCTCGTCTGCTGGCAAAAGCCCAGTTTCTTGACCAGTTGCTCGGCAGCAGCGCGAGCTTGTTGGGCACCACGAGCCGTCAAACCCGACTTTGCTATAGAGGTCTTATCGACGGGGTTCGACTCGACCATCCCGCGTGCGTCTGCGATAGACTCCCCAGCACGAACCAGATAGTATTTGTTCCGCAGCGGTTGCGTTAACGGGTGGTCCACCAAACCGTTGACAGCGAGCGCTGGTGCGACCACGGTAGCGTGCAGACAGCACCAGCACGTGATTACCAGGCTGTTGGTGAGGCCCAGACAGCGTACCGCTTTGCGGAAGCTCGTCTCTGGCGGTAGTGAGAAGCATTCAAGCAAGCGGTTCCATAGACGGCTCTTACCGAGCGGCAGCTTGCAACAGACCTGGTTTTTGTGACGAGCGCCCCGTCTTTGGGAAGCTGCTCTGGTTAGGGGTTTCCCACTCGGTACGAAGGCGTTCCCACTGCTGACGAACATGCAGCCGCGGTACCGTTACGAGTTATGGTCAACGTAGAACTGAATGAAACGTTTCCAGAAACGAGCGACACCAACAATGACCACACCTGGACGCGTATACGGGTCGACACTGCACCTCGTCAGCTACGACTACGACTAGTATTGGAGAAAGTCAGCGTCTGGCTACGCTTTCCGGAACGCATGCCCTGGGGCGGGCGTACACGATGCCGCGTCGCAGCTGCCGCCTGCCGGGACGGGCGCTCCAGCTCCGTCGCGAGGCCCGCAGGCACCGACGTCCGCTACAGTCCTTCGACGCAGTGGTGTTCCTTCTCCAGGTGCTTGTCATCAGATGCTTTTTCTCGGTTTATAGCGAACGTACTCGAAGTGCGTTCATTTGAAGAAATAGAAAATCTGAGGGAAATGGGGCGGGCATGCAAGTCAGGGAGCCGGGAGCGTCGTCATCGCTGGCTCCCCGAGAAAAGAGCGAAAAAATTCCCTTCTCGTTGACAATCGAGCGAAGAAGCGGGCAGATAGGCGAGAAAAGGTCTTTGGCCGACGGGATGATCACGAGACTGTAGTGGCATTCAGGGTACGAGTTCGAGGAATGCTTGCACTGGTGAGTTCGTGAACCGAGACCTGACGCCACCACCAATACCAGAAGATGTGTGGCGCTGAACACGAGCCCGGAGGCGCTGACGCGTTCTAACTTTCTGGGGGAAGCGTCTCACGTCAAAGTGTGCCTGGATGGACTGAAACCGCTGGAAGGCGGCCAGTCGAAAAAGGCCGGTAGGCGTCTATGCGTGGGTATGTGTATTTACCCTATATGGTCGTGAAACGTTTTTCGTTTCGCTGATCAGCGGTAAACACCAAAGCGCCTCTGATTGAGTGCGGCATCAGCACTGGTGCTGGATATGACTTCGAGCGCTCCCCGAGAACACGCATCTGCCCAAGGATTGTGGGCACGAACGTATTACGCCAACGGGAAGTGCGGCTGGTGGTGGTGGTGGTGGTGGTGATGGTGGTGGTGATGGTGGTGGTGATGGTGATGGCTAGCACATGGAAGCTGAGGCTTTGGCGTGGCTTGGCAGATGCTTCACTTGATGCCGATCGTCATCATCATCATCATCGTGCAATCGAGGATCACCTTGTTCAGGTAAACATTCGGTCGATCGGAAAACGCTGTACGCACTTACATTCATGGACGCAAGTCCGTGCGTAAAAGCGCCTGGCGGGGGCGTTGAAAGCACCTCAAAGTCGCAGTGGCATGCATGGAAGCGGCAGGGGATGCGGAACCCTAACAGATACCGTCCTTCGTAGCGCAGCTCTATCTGAATCGCGACATGTTCCATAGCCGTGCGTCGAAGAATATGTGTAGCAGGCGACCGTCGCTGGTGCCAAACTGTACCCAGGTGCCGCAAACAGGTGTCTGGCCAGGTGCGCTGTGGCATGCCGCGCGTGGTAGAGCACGCGATATGGTTCGTTCTCGCACCAGCAATCCATACCGACGGATTCCTCGTCTGATCTCGTTGTGTTTTCGTGTTACCAGGCTCTGGTAGTGAAGACTTGGGCGTTCCGCGTAGGCCACGTTGTCACGAGCAGCTTCAGGTGTTCTCCGTGCCCGACGCCTGCGCCAGTTCTCGCTTCACCTCCTCGAACGCGCTTTTCAGCTCCTCATCACTTACATTGTGAAACAAAATGTTCGCGTTCGTGCACGCATCCAGAGGACACACCCTGGTGAACTCAAGTTTCTCCACATCGAGAATAGACAAATCGATGGTCTTAGCGAACACCTTGGCTGCCAGCCGCATACCGTCCTTCATGGTCGGCATGGCCTCGGGGTTCTCGGGATATTCTTGTCGAAGCATGCTATTCGCAGCAGCATGGTGCTGACCAATCGCAATTGCTTTCCACCCACCGTAGTTCCCGCTGGGATCACTGTTATAGAGCTGGTAACCGAGGTGTCTGTCCCAGCCCGCGAACAGAAAACTAACGCCGTAGGGTCGCAATCCGCCAAACTGTGTGTAGCTTTGTTTCGCGTCGGCGATTTGTTGAACCAGGTATTCAACTGGTACCGGCTCGTTATAGGTATATAGGTAGCGCTGCGCGAAAAGACGCGCTTTCTGGATCAGTGCGTTTGCGTCCGCTGTGATACCCGCTACCGCACAGCCTATGTGGTTATCGATTTCGTACATCTTCTCCGATGCTCGAGTAATGCGACCTCTTTTATCCAGGAGTTTGGACAGGTTGCGTCTCTCGGCTGCCAGCACAACTCCGTCGGAGCAGAGTATCCCCAGGCAGGCGCCGGCGTGCGAAATCGCCTCCAAGGCGTACTCCACCTGATAGAGTCGCCCCTCAGGGCTGAAGGTCGTCACGCGTTGGTCGTAGCGGCGAGACATGTTGGGCACACAAGACGACAACACTCGGATCGGGTGCAGCACTAGTCCCGTGTTCCTCTTTTCGCCTCTGTGCGCGTACTGGCCTGCGCTTCCAGAGTGCCTTCCAGCGGTACCGAGGAGCGCCTGGCAGCGGCACCCTGCGTTTCAGCCGCAGACGTCCCTTGATGCGTGCGTGCGTTAGATATGCGACAAAGTATCCCAGGTGCGATACGCAGCCCGCAGTGCACCCAGCGACGCTATGGGGTCTAGCGGCGCTGTGGATGCATGTGCAACGCTGCGTGTATCTATGAGTCCTGGCGAAGCTATTGTTCGGATGCAGAGGAGGAAAATCACTGGAACAATCCGAACCTGAGATTTTCGTCAGCAATAGCGGGAGACAACTCGAATCCTGTGCGAGCGCGCCCTCGCTCCGTTTCTTCTAGGCCAATCACCATGTCGGGAGGTACGCTAGATGCAGTGATTCATCGTGTACTGGGCGTCTATTATGGACAATCGCTGCAACGTGGAATACACCGCAAGGCGGCTGGAACGCCCTGTGGTACAAGCACGGATGTCAGCTCGAGGTGCAAGCAACGCTTTATCGTATTTTTTTCGTTGGTCTTGCTGCGGCACACAACCAGAGCATCTAGCAGGTTGAGCGAACGATTTATCATGAACTAGGTAGGTTAGGCCCGATCAAATCGAATCCAATCCCTCGAAGTATGGGGTCTGGCAAATCGGATGCGAGTTTGTCTGGGTTTCCCGCTTCACGACGCAACGCTCTGGTTGTGTCGCCTCTGCTCGCCGCAGGCATCGGCAGGAGCGGACGCAGACTCGGCTCCTTGTTGACGAGAGGTGTTTAAGGTTCCTTTTGTCTCTCTCTCTCTCTCTCTCTGGGATGCACGGATCGAAGCCGGTTGCCGCTGAATCCCTCAACGAACTGCTTGCACCCTGCGTGGATTTTTCTTTGAGCTATCCGCGTCCACTCATTGCATCACTCGCAGACAAGCGCGCAACAGAGAGCGTCTAGAAACGCACGGTCTTTATCGCGTTTCAGAGCACAAGCCCCGCTGATACCGTTTATTGGACGCTGAATTGCTTCCCGGCAAGTTGCGTATGCGGGATTTTGACAGATGCGCAATGAACATAATCATTGAAAGAAGGCGCATCAGTTTTCTTAAGCACCGCGCGTGTGCGAGCAGGCGTACACTGTGACGGGTGCGTTTACATCGCGAGATGCTCTGAAGGTGTTCACACGTGTATTGGTCCAGGGCGGAACACGGGCCCTGAGCAGGCACACCATTCGTCGGAAAGAAGACGGCACTGTAGCTTGCTCCGTTCGAACACCACCGCTCGTTGTGATGCGCAGTTCATGCCCCTGGGGACAGTCCCAATAGCATGCATGTGCGTCTGCGCGACTAACAGTACGGTTCCATCTCGTGCGAGGTGCACTGCGTTGGAAACTGGGCACGACAGGTAGCATGTTGGTGCTGGGGCGCGCAACGCAACCACGGCGCCTGGATTCACACGAACGACCGCTATACGGCTGCCTCTTCCCGATGTTCGGGAAAGTCTACGACTTTCTACGGCCAGCGCAGCGGGCATCGATATTTAGCCAACTATCGACGACATGCCGCTTGATTTACAACGTATTTGTGTGTGCGTCTGCGTGTGCATGTACGTACGTATGTGTTTTTGCCTCTGCGGCTAGCCGACTAGTAGCCGATTCCGCACGCTGTCCTCGGAAGCAGCTGCGGCGTACAGCAATGGTCCTGTCGGGCTTTCGGAGCCTTTCCCGCCGGCTTGCTGCTTCGCGATAAAGGAAGCGGCACCCAAACTCGAAGACATATCTGAAATCACAGAGCTATCCCTGCTCGAGATCGGCGAAACCGGTACGGATGCGGCAATCGCCCTCGCGAGGCTCGAGCGCTCACGCAATCTCTCTGTGTAGATCGCCATAGCCAGCGCATCGAGTGGACGCCAATCAATGCGCCTGCTACGTCGGCTATGTTCGGAGGATTTGAGGTGTACGGCATAATGCTGGAATCTCGTGCTGCAAAGCTCACAATAACCCGAATGCATCGGTTCCTCCGCCGACATCGCCGCACCACCTTGCTCTAGACAGGTGCTGGTCTCGCGTGCAGAACGCAACACTGATGCGGCAGTCGCTATAGGTGTGATTGCAGACGCTCCAGCCTCGGCAATACGTTCCACACCGGAAATCGATAGCGCGTTCGACGCCGTCGGCGTCAACGTCAAGACCTCGGTACAAACAAGTGCATGCTGCGATGGCCACTGCAACGGAGTTCCAGTACATCGGCTCCTGTGTGGATCATTCGACGGGGCCAGACATGCTTCGGGTCCGGATGCTCGCGGTAGCTTGAGTATGTCGGGCTTCACGGCGGGCACGCTCGAAACGCCTCTTCTTCTCCATCTTGATGCAACTGGTGCAGGGGTGTTCTCTTTTCCGTCAGCCGTGCCAATACAATGAACGTCAGCCGAAGCTCGCAGACCAGCCAGCGCCCATTCCGCTGCGTATTCGCCGACGCGGATCCAGCGCTGCACCCGACCGTCCGTGCAATGTAAAAGATGGATCCGCCACCGTCGCGCACGTTCGAGCGTCGGCGAACAATCACCAGGCGCTCTATGGGTGATCACGCAATACAGAGCAGCGTCAAAATACGGCTGCAGACGCGCACCATAAGCGTAGACTGCCCGCCGCGCTGCACGAGCCCATGACGCAGGCATCTCAGGGTCGATATAACACGCCTTGCCTCGAAACTTGTGCAAATACTTTCGAAACAATTCGTGAAACCTGCCTGGCGCCAGCACTTTCCCTTTCGCTGCATTCTTATGAGCGTGCGCGACGTTTCGACGGGGTCTAGTAAACGACGATGGAGATGATGATGACGTTGAGGCTGGCTCGTCAGGTGCGTCCGATGCAAGTGTGTCACATCCAACTTCGCCCGTCTGTAAACCCCGCGAGCTCATTTCACTGCGAGCGCCAGACAGGGACACCACGCAGAGAACAGTACGCGAGCCGGTGCAAGTGCAGCACACCAGTTCAGCTCAGCCCTGGGAAGCTCGCTCGTGAAAACCCCAAGTTAGCAAGTTGCGTAGCTCGTTACGGGATGCCCAGCGCTCGGAGGAGCAATCAGGCGCGAGGTTTGAAGTGAGCGCGCGCGCGCGCGTGCGCGATCGCCTTGCCACAGCGCGGATCCGCTGCCGCTTTCGAATCGCTGTTGCTGGAGCGCCGTTTCCCCTGGCGTGCGCATCCGCCAAGCGGTGGCGGATTTTTTCATAGACAAAACGTTCCCATCGGGTAGCGTTCCTCGATTGTGCGCTTTTTCTTTTCTTTCTCTTTTCTTTCAGTGCGCGGTGAAGTATCCACCCATCGACACCTTCCTTCAAGTCACTTTAGCTATACTTCTTCTAGGATACTCTGGTGGTTTCACACGTCCTATCTTGTGCCAATTGACTGTCCAAATCATCCGCAATTGCGTGTTTACCTTTGGTACGAACGAGTCATAGAGTTAGAACGGCTCTTCTATAGCACAGAGGGCGTCGGCTCGAGGCGTGCTTCATCCGACGTAGAGTCGGGTCTCGTCGTCAGTTTGTGCTCGGACAGCCTGCGGATGCAGGCTTGCCTTCGCTGCACGACACGCTGGAGAAACTTGGCTGTTAGGATATATCCTGGGAGCCGCCTCTCTCCTCCGTGATCATGCATGGAATGCGTTGTTGTTGGTTGGCAATGCGGGTTTGTGCTTGACACCCACCAGTGGGTAGGCGTAGAGAGCACTAAACCCGTGTGCGTATCCGATTCGCTGGACCTTGCGCCTAGAAGGTAGGGTGTGAGTTTGTTCGCCACTAATGAGCGCTGAGGCTCGGTTAGCGGACCATCAGTTGCCAGTGCTACACTCAGAGTGAGTGTCCGGCCTTCGACTATCACGGCGATGCCCAGCTGCTAGTGTCTTTCAAGGAACTCGCTGTGCTCCTGTCTCCAGCGCGGGCACTATAAGCCTAAATATGTCAGCGTCTCGGGGGGTCTCGTTTCCTCAGCAGGGACAGTGTGATTCCCAGTGCGATTCCAGTGTTCCTATACGGCTTAGAGACGGTGCTGGTAGCCAGATGCCACCAACGCGGATTTTGGCGAGCCACTGGGTACCTCGAGCAAGCCCCGGGAATTCCAGCGCCTCCCATCAGTGCTTGCATGTGTACGCTAGGTTGCAGTTCCGGTATAGAGTCAAGCCGGCGTTACTGGCGCGACTGGTACCGTGTCTACGTTCCCATATTGTTTGGACCGTTCGCTTGAGGCGGCGGGAGCCTTCTATATTTCTGGGGAACGATTGGGGAGCGCATTTTCGCCCAAGAGGCGCTCCAACCAAATCTGCGTTGATTTCATCCAAGTGTTCTTGCGGTGCGTTGGGGTCTGCATGAAAATCCGACTCAAACATGTGCGCATAGTGGGCCCTTTGGCCCGTATACATGCCCGGTAGCCTGCTGCTATCGCTTCTGTCGAGGGTATTTGGAGTTCACGTCCGGGTGTCAGCGCGGTGGTTGCTCTGCTCTGCATTGAGCATCCAACAACAACGAGTCGCATTGCCGTGTTGGCGGCTGTCTGCAGAGGCGAGGCATTTGGGTGCTTCAATCCGCACCACTCAGCACCCCAGCTCGCAGGCTGGATGATACACATCCTTAGTGCCCTCGTACGGATTGCTATGCAGATAGAGGGGTCGGATAGGAATGGGCGTGCGATCGCTGTACCTCTATGCATCTTGGCGATCATCTCGTCAACGTGTGCCTTTTCGTCGAGCGTCGGCGTGAGACAGACCCTGCAGATAGCGATATTTTTCCACGATCGGAATTTCCTAATTCTGCAACCGCCACGAGCGACTGCGAATGCGCTGCGAGTCTCCATGGATGACCATGACGCCGCACTTCGATGCTCCTATGCTCATCTCCCAGCGATCGGCCCAGGCGCTGATTTGTTGCATGCTTGCCGCGAGCGTTTCCGGGGCGGGTGCCAACAGCACGACATCGTCCGCGAATAGAAGGCCTGCGAGGCGGTTCCTATGTGAGGGCTCCTCATCGGGCATCTCCACAGTCTATCCACGGCACCTCAAGCCCGTATTGTCTGCAGTTGTTAAGCAGATCGTTGATGAAGATGTTGAAAAGGAGCGGGGATGCGGGGTCGCTCTGTCGCAGTCCATGGCAGATCCTTATCGAAGGGATTCTTGAGCCGTCGCCCAGTCGCATGTGCATCCATGAGTCTACATAGAGCGCACGGAAGAACGCTAAGCACTTTCCGGAGACTCCGGCTCGTTCCATCTTCAGAAATAGAGCCTCATGCGGGGCCGTGTCAAAAACCTTTTGAAAGTCGATGAAGCATACGTAAATTGGTTGTTGATCGCTAATGGAGCGACGTTGCGCCACTTCAATGAGGGTCAGAGCATGGCTCATGCACTCCTCGCGGCTCCGAAATCCAGCCTGTTCTGGGGCAAGGAACTTGCGCTCCTCGAGGCGCCTCTGGATCTGGTTCGTGAGGATGGCGCAAAGTAGCTTCATGATTTACGGGATGAGGCGCATAGTCCGGTAGTTTCCATGTCTGTGTGTGTGTGTTGGAGTCCTTTTTGAGGATCGGTACGACCTCGGCAGCCCTCCATACATCCGGGATGTACGCCTCTTCGAACATGCGTTGGATGAGCTCCACAAGGCGTTTACCTAACGTTGTGTCAGGTTCATCTGGTATCGATGGTGTCCCTGTTGTCCCGTCTTTTGGGGTCACCAGTTTCATCCACTCCGTAGGGATACCGTCAAAGCCAGGTGTTTTGCGGTTGCTTGAGCATAGCAGGGTCCGGACAGATTCAGGCCAGAAGATTGGGTCGTTCCATTCCGGTACCGGTTCGAGGCGTGCTACTTCTGCAGCATATTGGAGCCAATAGATTCGGTCTTGGCAGTGCCCAGTTGCGTCTTCATGCAGCTCTGTCCAGTGGTCCGTCCAGGCCTCGTTCACTGAGGCACGCTCCGTCCTCAGCTCTTCCTTGTAAACGATTCCTGTGAACCCCAAGCACTTTTTTGGTGGGTTCAGTCTCGATCGGATGTAGCGCCAGGTCTCATCTTCGGTGGTGCTCTCCAGCATAGATTTCGTCAGGGAGGCGATTCTGCGGTTTCGATCCTCTCGTTTGTCTTCTCTGGAAAGTTTCTTCGTTCTTTTGATAGCTTCCTCATGTTGCGCCTGTAGCGCCGGTAGCGCTGCCTTCGCTTCTTTGTCTCCGGCGTTGGCGTGTATGGCGGTGCGGTTGACGATCTTATAGACTCGGTAGCATTCATCAATCCGAGTTTTGGTACGTCGTTTCAGGTACTGCGGATTGCAACTGTTGCGTTCTGGTGCCAGCAGTCCCAGTTCTCTGGCGATCTTCTGATTCTCATCTACAAACTCGCGTGCCAATTGGTCTAAAGACTTGCATGCACGGCTTTTCGGATCTTCAGCGTTGTGAGTAGGTGCCTGGGTTTGGCGACGGCTTTCTCGAGTTCCCGCAGGGGTGCCCTTTCGGGGGATACCTTGTGATGGGCTCGTTTGGGAGTTCTTCTTTCTATTCTTCTGTTTTTTTCTTGCTGGTCTTTTTCTTCTTCGGGCTCTTTCCTGAGCTGCTTTCTCTGGTTATTTTGCATGTAAGGGGATCATGAGGTTTCTGTGTCTCCTTCTCCGTACCTCGTTGGGTCTCTTTTCCTATTGTAGAGTCCTCGACTTGTATTAGTTCCTCTTTACTCTACTAGTAATTCGATATCTCGTAGTTAAATACCGAGGCGGTCCCGCTAATATTCCATGATGCGAAACCTATCGAGTCGTAGCGCATAAGGGAATAGGAGTAACGCTGCGGTACTCCAGAGATACGTTGTCGATTTAGACGCACCTTCCACGGGGTGTGTGAGAGCACACGCCACCATTGCCTCCTGCATTCCAGTCGTTCACTGCGTGTCTGCCGCAGCGCTAGCGTAGAATCAGAAGTACATTAGTCAAGGTCGATTCGAATGCGACCTTTGTCTTTCCGGACGCGTGAAGCTACCCTCAACCACTGGGAACAGTCTAGGAACCAGCCTTTCAGTGGCTTCGAATCCGCTCCCCAAACACATAGGCGGGTAAGTCGCTTATTCTAGCTTCGACCGCGAACATACCGCCAGCCGTCTTCCAAAGTATCCGCCGAGTCTGTTTCCACAGTTGAGGTAGGTAACCATGGTAGAAGGTAAAACTGAGCCCGAGTTCGAGTATGGATCCAGGATTTGCGACGGAGCCTTCAGCGTTGTTTCGAGAGCAGCGGATAACGACTCAGAACTCTCGTCATCATTCTCTGCTGCTCCTGCCTCCGCGCCTCCGTTCGTTACGGTCCAGGTCCTTGGTGTGGGCTTCCTTCCCCGTCGCCCAAACACCCGGCGTTAATCCACTTTCAGTGCTCCTCTGGAAAAACTAGACCTCTTAGGCCGGCGTGGTGTGTGGGGCCTTAAGATAGTTGTTCTTTAATAAATAGTTTGTGACTAGATTCGACCTGATGACTCTTTACACAGACCAGCGCTCCATCCGGGTCCATATACCCGCAGTCACTGCACTAAGCTTTGCAACTTCACACAGGCGAGCAGGAAAGCAGGTAGGTAGATTGATGGGTATCCAGGTAGGTAGACGCTTACGAGAGCATCGTAGCGTCTCGTATGCGAACGGTGCGTCGACGAGGCTGACTCGCGGAAGAACAGTTGGCATCCATAACTCGTCACTGCACAAGGGATGCTGAGCAGGCACCATGTTGAGAAATAGCGCACGGGATATGAGCGACGCTTGGCTGCGCGAGGCTCCTGTTCGTGAGACACAGGCAAGCGCCTCGTGGTCGTTCAGCGAGACCAAGGTGTGTTTACCGTAGTTACCGCGAGCGCTGATGACTCCTGGACGCTACGCCGTTCGAATGATTCCTGCCGCGATCAGCTTACGGATCTTACGTGCAACGCCAGGGTTGCTCATTGCTGACTGAACAGCGGATGGATCGCTCTCCATATTCTTCAAGAGAATGCCCATTTGCGGATCCATGAGGATGGACTGAATCTCTGGATCCGACATGGCTCGTTCAGCGCGCGCAGGATCATGATCGGTCGACTGTATCGCAACCAGCACTTTGGCATAGCCTTCCCGCAGCTCCGCGTTGTTCGGATCTAATTCCAACCCCTTCTCGTAGGCGTCCAGCGCCTTGTGATACTCCTTCATGAGCATGTGCGCCTGGCCTTTGCGCACGTACGCGCGAACAAATTTCGGATCAAGCTCGAGTGCCTTGTCGATGTCGCGCAGCGCTGACGGGATTTCTCCGAGCTTGATATACGCGGCGGCGCGATTCGAGAGCGGCACCGGGTCGCGCGGGTTGCGACGATGTGCCTCTGTATACCACTCGATGGCCTTGGGAAAGTCAGCTGCCTTGAAAGCAGCGTTACCCTCCTCGCGCGCCTTTTGTGACTTTTCCTCGTCAATGTAGGCTTCCTCCTCGTGCTTTTTCTTTCGCCGACGACAGTCCTGAAGCTTCATTGCAACGCGTGGGTCATGGTGCTCCACCAGCGACTTCTCGTAGGCCTTGATCGCGGCATCAAAATCGCCAAGGCGGTCGTAGGCGCTCGCAATCCGCGCGTACGCTTTCGCAATGACCGGGAAATCGGCTCCGAGATTCTCCTCTTGATTGCGGTCGATCGCCCATTGGCACAATTCTATTGTCTTTTGATAATCTTTCATTTCAAAGTAGACCGCTGCCTCGTTCAAGATGTACACAAGCTCACGCGGGTTGAGCTCCTGAGCTCTGCGATAGTGCTTCAATGCCTCCTCGAATTTTCTTTGCTTGTATGCGGCGTTACCAAGCTCCTTCTCGCGTTCAGCTTCAGCTCTACTAGACTTATCAGCGTCGCCGTCATCATCTGAATCCGCAGCGTTCATGGCGGTATCGCCGTTCGCTACAGCTTGCTCCGGGCCTGCCCTCGGGGCTTCTGATGCAGCTTCGACATTGTCACCAGGCGCTGATGCATTCAATGTCTCGTCTGTTCCCTGTTCATGACCAGGAGCGCCTTCAATATCACGGCCACCTGCGTCCGTTCCAAAAATCGATGACGACGACGATTGTTGTGACGCTTGCCCTTGCGTTCCCGAGATCAAATTGAAAATTTCTTGTATTTTCGGGTTGCGCAAAACCTCCATCAGTTTCGACGGATCGTTCAGACCTTGGAGAGCACTTAGAATGGATGGATCCTGCAAGAGCTCTCGCGCCCGCGGATTGGTGGCCAGGGCTCGCAACAGCTCCGCGGGGAAACCCCCGGCAGCGCCTGCTCCCGAGTCTGGACCTCGTTGCCTCAGCTGCGCCAACTCGTCTAGACCCTTCTTCAGGGCAGCATTATCGGGATCGATCGATAAACCCTGGCGGTAGGCTTCTTCGGCTTGATCAAACTCACCCAGACCAGCGAGCGCTGCACCTCGACGAGAGTATCCTTTCGGCCACTGCGGCGCCAGCTCGATACAGCGCTCTGCGTCTGCCAAAGCCTCCTCGTATGCGCCCATAGACGCATAGGCCGCTGATCTATTAGAGTACAAAACGTTATTCGATGGATCCAGCTCAATCGCCTCCGAAAAGTAGCGTACTGCAGCGTCAAAGTCTCTGGCGGCGAATGCTTCGTTACCCTGTTGCTTTCGTTGCTCGGCAAGTGCGGCGTCTCCGTCGGCTCCGGGCTCCACCATGCTGCCACCAAGCCTGCAAAATTCGTTCAAGCGGTGCTCAGGAGGGCTATTTTCCGCAAAGCGATGTCAGGACGTAGGTTCTCTCTTCACACTGTCTGATGCACGAGTCGAAATCCCAGATTGTTCGCCACAGACGCGAAGGACGCACGCCGTTCACGGAGATGATGGATAAGGCGTTTTGTACCAGAATCTCAGCGCTCGCCGGCGAGGCGAACATTCGGGAAGGGCGTCGACGGATGCCGGCACGCCGGCGGTGCCAGAGATGTGTGCCATAGATCGGCGGGGCACTGCAGGGCGCCCCGCAGATACGGGCAACGTATTTTGCAGCCGTTCGTGCAGTGCAGTGCAGTGCAGTGCAGCCAAGCGATTGCGTACTGCAGCACATTGGAGTCGAATACAGTTCGCTGCAAGGGCGGTGTTGGTGTTGGTGGTGGTGCTGGTAGCACGGGCGGCATCGCGCAGGCGCCAGGCCTCGAGTGCTGCTAGTGCGCAGACGTGTTGGAGCGGGAGCGGTAACGCGTCAGATATGCACAGCAGTGTTTGCTGGAGCTCCTGTAGCAGCACGTCGATCAATGTTTTGGTTTTTGTCTCTCGCGGGGTTTCAGTAATAGGAACGTATCTTGGAGACTGGAGAGAGGTTACGGGAAGACTTGACGCTGTCACGATGAGCTCGCCAGAACGAGTCTCAGTTGAACAAGTCAGTCGTGCTTCGGTGAGCTGCTGCACGAACCATTCTTCGCCTAGTCTTTATTCTGAAGGTCGAGTACCCAAGACAGTAAACTCATGAACCTCGAGTCACGCGAATGTCGTCTCATCAATCCGATCGACGCCATACGCTCTCTTAGAAATAATACCAAACAAGCTACACAATATAATATTTCCGTACAGTTGATGTGACCGATGATGAAGAGACACCAACGGACACAGAAGAAAACGCGCTCCTATGGGAAACCGTCGAGCGTCGATCAAGACACTACCGATTTCGTACTGAACTACGAATCCACAGGAGACGAACGAACGGTCTTCATGTCGCTCGAAGAGGCTTCGTTCAGGAGACGCGGAAGACCTGTGCATGGGTACGAAAAGAGAGGCAAACTGCTGCTCGTTAACAAGAAACACGCAAAATTGACGACATCTTAAGCTGTTGCCGCCATGCGATCCTGTGGTCGCTAACAACTCGCCGAACTGATAGGATCGTTCTACGCTTCATCCTTCGCCCATGCACGACACGTGGCTTCTTCTTCGCACATTTCTCTGCCCTGCTCGTAGGCCGAATCGAATTTTGCCACTCTACTAGGGTCAACGAGTGTGCATTTGGGATTAGCACTCAGCTGCGCTTCGTGGCTGCCTTGTCTAGCCTGTCCAATGCAATCGAAGGCCTCTTCTCTGTTGTCAAATGGCATTCTGCCTTCACGGATCAATAAACGAGTCGTTTGCATCTGGAACACCATACTCCTCCAAATCGCTCTCTAACTTCGCCAGCCCTGAGCTGCTATGTTACTTCTCTGCTCGTGCGCGGGTGGCGGTGGAAAGAGACGATTCGGACCATGGGCGTGCTCGCGACAGAGGACGTAACGAACAGGTACTTGAGCAAAACTAGATACATCCGTACAGCTTGCGGAATTCAGAACCATTCTCCATCGACGAAATCCACCTCCCGAGTGAAAACCAGGGATGGCGCATAGCGCTCACATCTATGTGATCCCGCAAAGGAAACAAGAAAAGGAAAAAGGAGTCAGTCTTAAAGAGCGACGATGATGCATTCAAGGAACATCGCGAAGATTATTCGCGAAGCCCGCTCGTGGTTTCATGTTTGCATGACGCGGAACGAAGCTCACAGAAGCAACAGAGACCAATTGAATACCAATCTGCACGAACTCTCACAAAACTAGGCCTCAGCCCTGGAACAAAACATATTTCTCATCGTCCACAGTAGATGAAGAGAAAGAATTTGCGTTAAGCGTAGATCCCTGGTTGAAGGACGTCATCGCCGTTTCCGTACCTCTAAATCAAAGGCACATTGGCAACGACCTGAGCACAAAAACGTAGACAATGCTCTTTGACTTTTCCGTGGCCCGATTTTACGGGCAGACGGGCACGGTGGACGCCACAACGCTGAGCGAAAAGAGGACTGGTGCCATCAGGACCCTTCTCTACGCGCTGGCGACCGGTTCGATTGGAGGACAATGCTGTGCGCGCTTTATTCAGAGATTGTATGAGCGTCCAACTGCCTCACGCAGACGATTTTTGCCAGGAGTACCTGAGTCTGTGCTGGTCTCGCCAACGCGTTCGGTTGCGCGCACCCAGACGACTTGCGCATTCTTCCAACTTATTCAAGGAGCCGAAAAACTAAAGTACTGACGAGTCGCGTTGTTTCATGGTGGTTGTCAACGACATGGACGTATTTGAGCGCACAAGCGCTGCACTAACGCGCAATCGACGACATCGTATAACGAGTGCAGGAAACGATTCTACACGATTCCCATCAATGTGTTCAGGACAACGTACACGCATTATGGGCTGGGATGTACGCTGAAACAGGTAGAGAAGAAGAGAGCGGAACAGAGCACCATGCACGAGATTTATGTAGGTTTTGTGGATCGAACTTCTCATGGCGAGGCTATCGAAGTTGAGAAGCTGCCTATGGCGTGTGTGTGTGTGTGTGTGTGTGTTTCTCCCGTATAGTACCAATGCGCGCGCGCAGCTTCTGAACCGAGACTGGAGCGCCCCGCTCAACATCCGCCAATGCTTCGTGCTTCCGCAGCGTCTAGCGTCTTTGTTTCAAGTGAACTTTCGAGGAAATCATTAAGTACTCCGTGTGGGTATTGTGCTGGAACGCTGAATATTTTCGATTTAAAAAGATCAGCGGCCAGGAGAGTGGGCGTTGGATTCTCGCCACACGCAAGGCATGATTAGGGTACCGTTACCACCCCAGAAACGCTGCAACGCCGTCTGCATATCCACTGGGCACGGTGTTCCTGGGCTGTTCGTAGAGGCGAATCGTGTCGCGTTGTTCTCCATTACTGCGCGTAGTGCCACAACTTCTTTGCCAATGCCGCTAAAACCGAAGCTTCTTGACACTTTAGACGTTCCGCTTCCCAGCAGGGCGAGACGCTCCGCGTGACAAACGCCCCCACAGGCCCGGATCTGTCTCCCGTCAACTATTCTTGGCAGCGGCATGCGGCACCGGCGGATGCAATCGCCACAGGCGAAGCCGTGGCCTCGTGCCTCACTGACCAACCTCGTCGTACACATGGTGCCCCCAAAAGGCATCATGACGAATCCATGGCACACGACCTGATTTCCGACATTTACAGACGCATGCGTATCCCTCTGATGGTGCATTGACCGAGGCGCTGCAGCGATGAGGTTAAAGGAAATGCACCGGCCAGCAAGTCGCACATGCTCGTGCTCGCTCACGCCCTACAGCTTGCTGATTGAAATACGGTTCTTGTGACAATCTTCCAAGCTCAGGGAGTGCCAGAAAAGAAACGCAACAGGTATGGCCGCATCGACTCGCCGTGGCATCCTGTCCAACGCCATATTCGTTGGTGTCAGGGGCAGTCGCTGTCGCGCTTATGCAGGCCACGAACGAAGATGGAGTCGCTCGCCTCATGTGCTCGACTCGCAACCGTCAGCGAGGGCTACTTCATTTTAGGCCCAAAGCCTCCGAAGATGCCTCCCCGTTTCTTGTCATCTGTTCCGCTGGCGGAGCCGTTCTGGTGCGCATCCTCCTTTCGAAGGCGATCCAATTCTTCGATGAGCTTTCGCTCCGCATCGCTTAATTGCTTCGGTATACTAACCTTGATTGTTAAGTAGTGGTGTCCACGGCGTGTTGGCGATCCCAGTTTCGGTACACCCTTATCGGCAATTCGCAGTACAGTGCCAGGCTGCGTACCCGGCGGAAGCGAAACCTCCACAGGGCCGTGAATCGTGTTCACACGTATGCGCCGACCGAGAATGGCGTCGAGGTACGACACGGTGAACTCCGAATAAATGTCGAGATCCTCTCGGCGAAATTCGGGATGCGGACGAACCTTGATGTACACGTAGAGGTCACCGGGTGGCCCGCCGCGGGTACCAGCATCGCCCTCGGAGCGGACACGTAGCCTGGAGCCATCATCCACCCCAGCGGGAATGGTGAGCATGAGCTGCTTCTGCGTCTGTACACGACCTCGCCCGCCGCACGTGCCACAGTATTCATCGACTACTTCTCCTGCCCCGCGGCAATTCGGACACGTTTGCGTCGACTGGAAAGCGCCTAGCGGGGTCCGCGCAACCTGCGTCACGACCCCTGCGCCGCCGCACATCGTGCACATTCGTGGCGAGGAACCCGGGCGCATCCCGGATCCGCTGCAAGTTTCGCAGGTTTCCAAGTGACTGATTCGTATTTTCTCCTCGCCGCCGAAAATGGCTTTCTCAAAGTCTATCTCGAGGTCTAGTCGGAGGTCTTCACCGGGCTCGGGACCGCTACGCCGGGCGCGCGCACGACCAGAAGCCGCGCCCCCAAAAAACTGGTCAAAGATATCACCCAGACCGCCAAGGTCCGCAAAGTCCGCGAAGCCGGTGGGCCCGCCACCAGAGCTCGCCGCCGCTCCCTTCACACCGGCCTCACCGAACATATCGTAGCGCTTGCGGAGGTTCTCGTCCGAGAGCACCTCATACGCCTCAGACAATTTCTGAAACTCTTCCTTGGCGTTCGGTGCTTTGTTGACGTCGGGGTGCAGCATGCGCGCCTTTTGGCGGAAAGCGCGTCGGATTTCGTCCGCAGCTGCGTTCCGCGACACACCCAGCCTTGCGTAATAGTCCTCCTCTGCTCGAAGGCTGAGTACGCCCCTGCGCGAGCTTGCCCGGTTGCGCGCAGGAGTACAGCGCAAAATTCGCGCGGGACACGCCCGCTCAGAGAACCGGCGCGAACAGAACGCACCCCAGCCTCCGCTCCGAATTGGGTTATCAGGAGGTAGCCCCCGCGAGGGTACACCACCCAGAGAGCCTCTCGACCGCCACAGCAGCCGCTCTCCAGTTACTGGAACGAAACCACTTCGCGGCGCCATACCACGTGTTGAAAGCTTATTTGGTGTGTGCCTTGTGCCCGACACGAGTCGATGTTCACTCAATACCACAGCGCACACTCTATATGAACGGGCACGTCGACGCCAGCGCCCAGCTTCGATGATCGTCGTCCCCAAGGATGATGGGCAGTTTGCGCCCCGGACGGCGAGGCGGCGGGCGCGCGCCCCTGAAGGCCGCCGAAGCATCACGATGCGCGGCGTGGACGGGCGACGCGCGCGCGCACGCACGCACCCCAGCAGCGCCGGCGTTCCCGCTCGCACGCGCCGCGCTACGCGATCCGTGCGCATCGGTGAAACGCCTCCGTGGCGCGCACTGAAAAAAACACACACAAAAATAGTAAGAAAAGAAAAATGCGCATAATCGGAGAACGCTGGCCCAGGTAAACGTTCTGTCAATGAAATTAAAAAAAGAGATCGGTGAAACGCCTCCGTGGTGCGCAGCAGCAGCAGCAGCGCCAGCGCTGGAGGCGCACTCCCAGGTGCCTCTGGGCAAGAACGGATTTTGTGTACTGAATGACACCCGTGCCAGAGTACGGCGTGGAACAGGGAACGGATCGCACTGTTACAGTCTTTCGACTTATATATCGAAATTTTTGAGGTGCATACTGTTGCGATTCGGATTGGAACAAAGCGAGATTCGGGATCCCCACGTCGTTCCGGGACTCTCTGGTAAGGTACGGAGTGGTGTATTCGACACTTGGCAGCTGGAATGCTTAACGTCACCGGAATCAATATGAATCGGGATATTCTCGAACAGAATTTCGTTCAATAACTGACATTCTGATTTCGTGCACATGAACAAGGCTTCAGGTATCTCCTTTCATTCGGTGCAGCCTGCTCAGATCATGCATCTTCAATTTCGAGGCAACGCGTATGCGCAGCAATTCGCGCCGCTGGATTGACGGGGCGAGATACGCAACAGCTTCGCCTGGTGACTGATTCAAAAGCTCATGCCGAAAATACAATAGACTTGTATCGTCAATTTATCGATTCGGCCTGAATGCGAAATCCTCGTCTCTCTCTGCGGACGCCCAAAATACGGCATTCGACGGCAGCGCCATGATACGTCGCCCGGGAGATGCTCCCAGAGGCTCCGGTCTCTTCTGTTTGCATGGAATAGAGTCTCAGAGGCACACTCCCGTCATCGCAGCGATCGCTTCCAGTGAAATGCCGGTACCGCTGGCGGCGATACGTGGTATGAACCTCGAACCCGCATCGCAGTACGCGCCCCAGCGGCAAGCGCGATCTCGCTGGTGCCGTGATCCGTCTGCGCTCGAATACGGCGAATGCGCTGGTGCCGGCGTGAATATTCGATAAAGTACTGGTCGTGTTTCTGGACGTGAAAGGCGGCGTGCCGAGCGCTGACTTGGGCGCTTCCCGGCGCGAAATACTTGCACACCGGGCAGCAACTCTTCGCAGATGAAAGAGCTCCGTGCCGCCGGTAGTGCTCCTCGGCCTGATTTGCATAGGGTATGGGCCCCAGCGAAGCAACTCGACCAACATGCATACGCTGCTCGCACTGCCTCGCACGGGTGATGATATGGATCGGTTCCTTACTGCGGGACCGGTGTGTGAGCATCTCTGCAGAGCGTGGCTCCACGTACTGTACGCGGCGCCCAGGATACAAACCATCTGGGGTATTTGGAGCCGCCGATGTGCCGGCGCTCATTTCACGGGGCGAAGCGGTCCAGACTACCGATCCCATCTTTTGGTACTTTTACGCTACTGCATCCACGCCAAAGATAGTCTCAATGAATTCAAAGCATTATTGGCGCCGGCCTGCGCGACTGGACCTGACCAGGACCCAAGTCAAAATGTGCAGGCGTGCATGAAACGCCTGCACTGGGTCTTCCAAGCGCCAGGCGAACGCGAAGCAGTGGTAGCGCTCGCGCCATCCGTTGCATAGCCCGCGTTCTGAGATATCGAAGTGCGCCTTGACTGCATGGGATGCCAACGGGCTGCTGCCCCCGCGATCAGTGCACTGCAGATGCCCGCTGGTCCCGTCATGACCTGAGAAAAAAGCACGCCTATCACGTTGAATCGATGCGCTTCAGAACTGCATCCAGCTGCGCGTCGCGAATTGTGCGAAATGTCGTACCTTTCTCCTGCAAGAGACGCGACCGATCGGCCAGAATGGTTGCGAGACCGACCATCGCTGCCTCGAACGCAAACGGTGCGTCATCTATGATGGATTTCTGCAGTTGAAGCACGTTCTTCTCGGCCTCACGGAACTTCATCTCCGCCTCATACATGAGATCACGAACGCGTTGCAGCTTAGGCTCGGGAGTGTTCGCCTTTTCCTTGTCATCGACCACAGCCCGTCTTGCGTCGTAGTCTTTCGCCAGGTTCTCCATCTTGGATGACTTTTGCTTGCACTCTGCAAGCCGCTTACGGAACTCTTTCAGGTAACTGAGAATCTTACTCGAGGGGGACGCTTTTTCCGCCGTCAGCGTTTGGCGCAACTCGTTCCCGACCTCCTCGCTGGACTTTGCCAGCTTCTCTGACGTATCCTTGACGTTCTCACTGCTTGATTCAGGTAGAGCGCCGCTGAGATCGGATGCGAACGCTTTCAAGACGTCACCCAACCGAACCCAGTTTGATTGAACCGCTTCGAGGTCGCGAATGAGACGCCCCAGTGAGCTCTCAATCGCGTTCACTTTCCTCTTGTTCTCTTCATACTCGGGAAGGGGCGTTCGATCGAAGCTCTGGAAAGTACGTTTGGCACAAAAGCACGACAGGGCCATTTTTGAGCAGTCGCAACTTCACTACGGACGGTTACTGAGGTGCGTTGAAGCGAACGCTGGTGCGGTTCGACAGGGCGTTCCTCTGCGTAAGCCTCATCGAGCGTGTCTGATCGGGTCGCGCGCCAGCTGGCATCGTCAGGCGTGTCCGGTGCAATGCTGGGCAGCGATCGCCTGCTGGACAATATTGGACATCGTGCCCGGGCGGAGATGTGTTCCATCGGAGCACCCGGCAATGTCGGGTACCGATGCAACGCGTACGGTTATCCTGCGGTCCCTCTGGTGCAACACTCTTGTATCGAACTGGTCCCGGGGGAGCGCGAACACTGCCAGTATCCAGGCGAGTCGACCCTTCTTATTTTTTAGAGGCCATTTGGCTTTCCATCGACCGCAGAACGATGTTTGTCCATGACGTAGAGGCTTAACACAACGAACCTGCGGGGTCCCGAGCCCGCTACAGGTGCTCACTGCGACGCTGGGGGTGCGTCGCCAATGTTGCTAGACGAAGACACGACGGCTTCACGATTGCGCAACGTGCATCGGCTTGAGTGCGTACGCGGGCAGACGCTTGTTTCGCTTTCAGGCAACACGAGGGGATTTCACCCGATGGCATGCGCGTCACGCGCGTTTCGGCTTCTCTGGGTTAACTGAGTCTGGAATACGGTCGAGACTGGCGCCGCTTGCAGGGATCAAGACCCTGGTTCCCGATTGCCGAGGGAGATTTCTGCAAAATCTTCGTATGGCATGTCGGGCTGGAGGTCTCAATTCTTTCGCTTTGCGGCACTCGTCAATCTCGCGTTTTCGTGGGTATCTCCCGAAACTCTGCTTCAATGCAGAACGTATACATGGATGTGTCTAAGCCATGCTGAGCGACGCACATGTGCGTCTTCTGAAATACGAACAAATCGCAAAGTCTGAGCTTGGAATTTCAAGTTCGCGATAGACATGCTTGATTCAGTTTTCGACAGTACGATTTTCGATAGTTGCATGGCGTATTTAAAAGGTCTATGATCGTTGCCACGAACGAGCGCTTCCGCGATTACGCGATTGTTAACTGGATCCGGGAGCACATCCATGCACAGCTCCGGGTCGAACTTGTTGAGCATACCTTGGATTTGCTGCGGAGCTCGTGTGCCGCACACGCTCGACACGGTGCAGTGAGGCTCGCATGGCCGACGATGCCTCAGCTGTGGTCCAGAGCGCGGCTCCAATGCATGCTGCGTCTACGGATGTTGATCAGCTGGACGAAATACCTTTTAGATTCTCGTCCGGGACAAGAAGCTTCTTTGTACGCACGCTTGCCATCACAAGCATCTGCTTTCTGGAACCTGAGAGATATTGCCTGAACGCTGTTCAACGCTTTCAGAGCGCTGAAGAGAACGCTGCACAACCCGCTTTTCGGTGCATTATGTGCGGTGACCATGAGATCGTGCGTGCGACTGCCGCATCATGCTCCCGTGAGAGCAAAGGCCGTCCACAGCTTGGTGTTTCGGGGTACGAACTCTTGCCCCGCTTCAGCAAACCAGTCGAAGGCGGATCGCAGCAGATATGCGATTCACCGCGAGGCCGGCTATCGAGCTAACCGCGGACCTGGAGTTGCAGCGCCAGCTCGCCCCTGGCGTCTGACCAGTTACCTCGAGTAGAAGAACCTGCTTCTCCAGCGCACGTCTAGGCAACATTCCATGTTTTATCTGTATCTTTCCGTAACGTTCAAGCAGCAATTTTAGCCGCGTCACGCGTGTACCTCCCTATCCGTCGCTGTCGACGTCATATCGGAGCCGGCGTGGGCGGCTCAGCAGCTGATGCCGGCATTCTCGCATGGCACATTCTGTATTCCTAAAACGCCGAAATCGAGCAAACTATTCGGTATGTTCGGCAATGCGGACGTATTATGGGGATCGAACACGCTGAATGTGGCCGAGAACTCACCATGATTGCCCGTGGTGGTGCGCAGCCTCTTGATCATCACCGCTGCGGACACGAAATCCGGATTCGTTTGGTTTTCAGTGTACAAATCCGCAACGGTAGCTCTTCCGGCAGAGTTCTCTGCAGAGTACTGGGCGATCGGAGACTTGTAGTAGATGAAATACAAGAAGGAGTTGTTTTTCAGCAAAGCTGTTGCATTAATGAGTCGGAAGCTCCCGGGATCGTTGTTCGGATACACCGTGGCATAGCGGATTCCTGACAAGAAGCTGATGCCCAGCCCGTAGGCATAGGGGCCCTCCCCGGCACCGTTGCTGTTTACAACCTGCGTACCTGTGATGACCACAGTCGCGGTGCGATTCATATCGTAAACCGGTGGTGTCGACGGGAGTGGCGACGGCACACCTTCCATGCTTTCATGATCATGAGACTCGGTCACGCGAACGCTCCCGAGCACCTCTTCCAGGAGTGCCGTGTCGATCTCTGAACGCGGCCAAACAGCTGCGGATATGCAGCATCGAATTCCCACGAGGAGCAACACCAGCAATACAACGCTACCCAATGCGTGTCGGCGAGACATTGTACAAGCGCAATGAACACTATCTTTGTAACTCACCCTGGCTGAGCGGGATATCAAGACAAATGCAATTGCACACGAGCTTTCGCATTGGCAGCGGTCCAGTGCTACACACAGAGTGGATATCCCGGTCTGGCACGGTCCCGAGCCTGGTCCTCTGTAGTGTCCAAATTGGGTGTCGAGTGTGCACGTGTCCGCGTGCGCGCTGCACGCAGCTGCCGCGCGCGTGGCGCACCCGAAAGAAACCCGATTTGGATTACAGAGACAGCGTCTGATCTGGCGGTGCTTCCTGGTATGCGCGCTACACGAGGTGCCGAATACCAGCACAGGCACTCTGAGGCACATTCTGGTACTCGGTGCGGAAACTTCACGACGTTATAGGAGAATCCATGCTTCGCGCAGATCTTGTGGATGCAAATGTTGCACGAGGGCAATCGCTGAAACCCCGACCAGCGTGCATCAAGACCAGAATACCAGAATTGTGGAACAGGAGACACCGCGGATATGCTGAAAATCCTTCCTTCTCTAGCTCTTTTGGACGTTTGACCAACGCTCGTGTGCCATTTTCTAGGCATCTGGTCCGTGGAATCCAAACAAGTCACTACCGATGTGCTCATCTGAATCTGAAAGGAACAACGAGATTCTCTGCGTGCGTGGCGACGAATCACATCGACATGGATCGACACGCTCGTCTGTTTACTTGTCGTGCGCCGTAAAATCAATTCTGGAAACCCCAAACGCCAGTATCATTTTACTTGCCAAAATTTTCACAGAACCGATCCAACACACTGCTGACGATGTCTCGGAACCGAATGCGCATCGTGTTCGCGTCTTGGTGCTGGACGACGACCACATGCGAGTGGTTGTCGGTGGATCCACGCACACCCTGCGATGAAGCCAATGAAAAGAATGTAACCCGATCCCTATGTCAGCACTCGATACCAGCCCCCGAGCAAGGTACATCCAAGATGCTCAGAACACCCATGTCCAGTAGACTGCTCGGGATGTTCGGGACGCGGGATGTGTTCTGTGGGTCATAGACATTGAAGCTCACGTAGATCGACCCGTGCGAAGACGGCATCACGTTCGACTGTTTGATCACCACTGCCCCGGCAGTATAGTTCGGACTACGCTGATTAGGCTGGTAGAGGCTCGCTACCGGGTTGCTTGCTGGGAAATTCAGCGATGCGTATTGTGCCAGTGGATGCTTGTAGTACACAAAGTATGCGAAGGAAATGTTGGAAAGTAGTTCTGTAGCATTCACAACCTTGAACGTTCCAGGCGCTTCATTTGGGAACACAGTTGCATACTTGATTCCCGAGCTGAACGTAATTTCACCCCCGACCCCGAAGTCGTTCTGGCCGGCGTTGTTGCTGTTCTGCACCTGCGCTCCAGTCAGCATGAGTGTTGCGGTGCGATTCTCGTCATACACTGGTGGGTGCGGTAGCAGCGGCGACGGCGCCGGAAAGTTTCCTGAAGGGTAGTTCGGCATTGAATGGTGAAGATCGAGCGGTAGCTCCACCAGACTCAACTCGATCTCCGCTCTGATCGCTCCTGGAGCAGAGAAAAGCAGCCCACACAGCAAAAGAACGCTGAGTATTGTTGTAACGTACCGCTGCATTCTTTTCGGTTCACGGTTACGGTTCCAAAGCAAAATTGCTTCCTGTCGCAATCAAAGCCGCACAGAGCACACCCGCTAAATGCCAAAACACCGAACTAGTTCATTTCATGATCGGAGAGACACAGGCCGCGAATGACCTACTGCCTAAATCGATCCGAGGCCAATTTTGGTGTGCGGCCGCTTCCAAATCGGACGCTGGTGCGATCCTCTGGACGACTGGCCGGCTGATCGGGGACACGCACGCAGCCGTGCGCGCGCTGCGGCGGCGAGCGCGCGGGCGCTCTCCCCCATTCGGTGGGCTATTTCGGTCAGTGCGCGAGATCGGCCGCTGTGCGCGCGCGTGCGCCTCCTGCAGACCTGTCACCACCGGAGCGATGCATCTACGTTGACACACATCCAGTGAGATATGTAATTGCTGAGCGGCCGTGGAGCTCTGGGACAATGTCATCAAACCCAGACATGGGTATCGCGTTTCGCATCAGGGGACCAGACACAAATAGGACTACTTGGGAAGCTGGTCTCGTCTACAGTGCGTCTGTGCTCCTGGCGTCATCTCTGAGGGAGGACGCTCTTTCCAGGACACCTGCTCCATGAAAAGAGGAGGCCTGGCCAGAATCCACATAACCTGGAACGCTGAGGAACGCTTCAGTTCTTTTAAGGTGTAGGATCGTTTACACAAACCAACGACTCTCACTGGCGCGATTGTTGCCAGCATCCGGGAGAGCGTCCGCTATTCCGCACTGGACGTTCAAGGTCTGCCGGCCATTCGCTGTGCTCCCCTTCGGAAGGAAACGCGTCAGGGACTCGGAAGTGGTTTCGGGGCCCCAGCTGTATCGGAATGGGATCGTTCTTCACGAGTGTCCCGCTCCTGGCATCTTCAGACACGCCCGAGCGTTATCATCCATGCGAACAAAAGCAACCCGAATTCAATCCAGGGAAAAGCCGGCAGCGGTTTCTGTTGCGAGAAGTGCCCGCTGCCACTGCGACGGTTAAGAGGATTTCTCCGACAAGCGCCCATACGGCGGTTATCTGAGTGAAGACAGCGTCGATGCACGGCATGCGCTTTCTGACGATCTCTTTCATGCTGCCGATGTAGACGCGAACAAACGAGACTATTGCAAACACGAATATGATGACCTTGTTCGCAATGGAGTAGTTACAATAGCCTTGAGGTGTGCCTTCAATTCTCGTTTCCATTGTGGGCGGGTACATACCAGTGAAACGATCAGCGTTCTACGACCATAGAGGGTATACATACACTTGCGCGCAGACGCATCGTAGCCCTTTGTGACCAGCCGATTGCAATCGGTTTCAGTTCATCCTTGCACATCTCGAGCCTGAGAGACTGCTCTGCGAGTCTCGTCTTCGGCACCGCATGTCGTCTGATATTAATGGCGGCGCTGAAGTTTCGGTTCCCGACCTCCATGTGTTTATTGCCTCTGCTTGAACTCATCAGTGCAGGGGTTCCTGAAATTCGCGCCCCCTGTGCCACTACAGGCTCATCATCGTCCCGTCGAGCAAACACTTTTTCTCGTCCATATCCCCTCTCCTACTTCTTCGTTACTCGCTCTTCTTCGCATGTTGGTCCGAGCCAAGTGGATATTCTTTCGTGTTTTCCGGTACCCGACGATGACAGCCCTTCAGGATTCCGGACGTCCATGTTCGTACCTTTCCCTTGAATTTTTTTTATTTCTTCAAATGAACGCACTTCGAACGTGTTTGCTATTGACCAGCGAATAGCATTTGGTGACACGCTCCTAATAGTGAAACACAATTGAGTTCAAAGACGGATGGGAATCTGGCAGGTGCCCCCGTGATGCGCACCGCTTCTCGAAGCCAGTAAACTGGACAAAGAGTGCCTCGCATGCGTATCTGCGATTGGCGCGCCGGACGTCACGCGTCCATCTTCGTGAGATTCATTCCTTCTACACGGCCACGCGGGGTGCCTTTGAGCCGTACACATGCTCTGTGCCCCAGTTACTACAAGACACTGCTCTTGAACGGTAACTGTGCTGTCAGCCTAAAAGAATGAAACAATGGGTGATGTGTACGAAAACGGTACTGGAGACGAGGAAGCAGGCGCAACTGCCGCGCACCGGAATGAGGAGATAAACGCTACCGGCAACAGAGATAGCTACGTACCCTTTGACCCGCTCAAGTCCCATGTAGACGATGAGTTCGCCGAGTTTAGCACGGATGCAGGCCAAGGCTCCTTCTTTGAAGGACAAAGAATGGAATCAAAAAGCGTCGAGGTTTCGCTTATTCAGCAGCATACCTTCTCGATGAACTGGCACGACTTGTGCTTGTCGGTACGACTCAAAACAGGTGGCCCGTTTAAACGCTCGAAGGAGACTGTGGTAAAGCCCATTCTCAAAGGCATAACTGGTTACGCGCGGCCGGGTCAAGTGCTCGCCATTATGGGGGGTAGTGGCGCGGGTAAGACTGCCCTCTTGTCGATGCTTGGAGGTCGAATTCCTGTTGGTGAGTACGAAATTAGCGGTGAGCTACGTATCAACGGGCACGAACGCGACGTCAACATGTTCCGCCGGTACACGGGATTTGTCGAGCAGGACGCTCGCGTGTTTGCTGACCTCACCGTACGTGAACAGATCGAGTTTAGTGCGCAGTGTCGTTTGCCCGCCTCGATGCCCATCGAGAAGAAGATGCGGCGCGTGGAGCAGGTGATCACGGAGCTGGGCCTTGCAAACGCCACCAATACTTTAATCGGGAACGCTGTACAGCGAGGTGTCAGTGGCGGTGAACGCAAGCGCGTGAACATCGGTATAGAATTGGTGACGAACCCGCCACTACTGCTCCTGGATGAGCCGACCACCGGCCTGGACTCGTTCCAGGCACAGGCGGTGATGCTCACGATGTTGCGGCTAGCGAGACGCGGGCGTACGATCATTGCAACCATTCATCAACCACGTTCGCAGATTTTCCAGATGTTTGATTACCTGTTGCTGCTAAGCGAGGGTCATCAAATCTACTTTGGTCCGGCGAAAGATATGGTGCCGTATTTCGCGGCGCTCAAGTATCCATGTCCGGCCTACTTTAACCCAGCGGATTTTGCACTGGATTTGATCTCTCTGAATGCGCGCTCCAAGACACTGGAGAAGCAGACACGGGCACGAATCAGTTACCTAGCCAATCGCTTTCTCGAACACAAGTCGGAGGCCTCGCTGCCGCTGGATGATCCGTTGGGCGCCATCGGTGACCTGCATACCAAAGTAACGCGTAAGGGCGTGTCGCTCTTCTCGTCCCAAGGCGAACCGAACTACGCTGAACCGTGGCCGGTACAGTTTGGGCTCCTGGTGAAGCGCTCCTTCAAACTCATGGTGCGCGAAAAGGGCACGAACTTTGCGCGCTTCTTTCAGACGATCATCTTTTCAGTCGTTTTGGGTTTGATCTGGTTGAACACTGGACGCAATTCCTCTGACTTGAACGCTGTACCCGGCGTTCTTTTCTTCCTGCTTATCAATCAGGCTTTCGGTGCGTCTTTCGGCGTTGTTTTCTTGTTCCCGCTTGAGCGGGGTATTGTCTTGCGAGAGCGCTTATCGCGTTTCTATCGCGTAAGTGCTTACTTCCTCGCCAAGAGCGTCGCCGAGCTTCCCCGATTGGTGGTGCTCGCTATTCTCTTCGCTTGCATCACGTACTGGATGGTAGGCTTGCAACCGCATCCGTCCTCTTTTTTCATCTTCGTGGTGCTTGTGCTGTTGACGGCCCATACCGCGGAATCACTGACCCTTATGGCTAGCGCCTCAGCGAGTAGCCCGCAAACAGCAGCGGCAATCGCTCCGGTACTGATCGTGCTGTCGCTGCTTTTCGGCGGCTTCTTTATCGGCCCTGATGTGATTCCCGTGTGGTTGCGATGGCTTCGCTTTGTGTCGTTTATCTACTATGGATTCGCGGCTGTCATGGACAATGAATTCGGGTACATTCCGCGTTCGAATACCAATAATCCACTGGTCACGTACAACATCAATTCATTTGGTATCGGCGGAAACATCGGTTTTCTAATCATGCTTGATGTAGCGTATCGTGCAATTGCCTTTGTGTTCCTGCTCTATAACAAGCCGCGACTCCAGAAAAGCATCTGAACGGTGGCGTTGCAGAAGTGCGACTGAGTCGATGCTCCGAACGGCAATCAGTGCCAAGCGACATCATTTCTGGGCTCGGGGAGCTAGCGCCTATTGAATCAATGGCCTCGGTATAGTCTGATGTGAACGCAATGGTATCGCGACATCAGTGATGCAAGCTGCTCGCATAGACTCGAACGCTGCGTTTCTAGCTTGCGTCGTTCCCCGGAATGCTTTCGTCGTTGGCAATGCCAGGCGCACGCATTTTATCGAGTCCTCTCTTGAATCCGAATCCGCGTCGTGGACAAGGGTCTCGAGCTTGATGCAAGCGCAACGCATACGAACGGCGGTATCAAGGCTTGAAGCAGCATCTGCAAGCTGGGTTTGCAGGAGCACGCACCGCTTCTGCGGGGGCATCACCTGGGCTCCGAACAACAATGCAGGCTTTCCGAGTCGATCAATCGTGTGCTGCCCTCTGCTTTTGCAACGTCTTGGCCCAACTGAGATTGCTGTGGGATCGGCATTTGGCAACGGGTATTGTGGCGCGATATACGCAGTGCCGGGCCTTTTGCGATCTCAGCGGCAGGCAAGTCTCGTCCGTACTTGTCTTTGTTTGTGGTGGTGGTGGTGGTGGTATGATATCCTGTATCAACGCAGCTGGGTACGGAGAGCGCCACTCCATGCATACCGCAGCGCACGATACTGTATAGAACTGGCCAAGTTGAGGGGTCTGCGGATCGGACATGGCCTTGAACCCTGTCTAACTATGGACATGTGTGCTTTCTGAATGGAATTCCCTTCAAAAAGTCTCGAGCTGACACCTTCAAGGTCGTAGCAAAGCAGTCCCGCCTCGTTACGGCGTCCATACTGGGGATCGTCTACTCGAACCGTGATTCACCAAGGAAGGTCTGGATGGTGGACTGCGGAGCTTGGGTGTGCGTTCCGAAATGATGGGCACCTCCTCTGGTGCCGATAACCAATGCGCTCTTCGGGATCGCTGCCAAGATTCGACGATCCTCGAAAATGCAAATATAGTTGACCTCGACCCGAGGGCGCTCGCATCCAAAGCGGAATCTCACGCTCGAGGCGATTGTCGTCGACCGCCGGCCCTGTGCGATGCTTTCGTGGGTCCCTGTCCCCCGGGTTCAAAGCGCTCGATTCCTCATCGTTTGAACAACGACCGATCGATCCGAAACTCAAGCTCGACGCTCTTTGAGTTGTGTCTTGCCACGGACAAATCGTGTTTGACAGGAACGCTTTGCACTGGTGCATCGGCGGCAATGCGCCGCTACGTGCCTCCAAGCACTGGCAGTGGATCCCAGCTTTATCGACTTCCCTGCTGCCTTTGTTGGGAAGCTGAATATGGTGCACGACGCATTCCTGTTGATCGCAGAACTTACCATGGATGGGTTTCTCTGATATTTTCCCAGTCCCGGTCGACGCAGTATGCAGTACACGATTCCGTCACATGCCCCAGATCCGCCGCGCATTCCACATGCTGCCTCGCATCAGCAGCCAGCTAAACAACGCTCCTCCAGCACCGCTGTTCCGAATATTCAGTGGACTCTGTGCACTGCCTCGAATCAGCGTCGGAGCGAACCGTATTCCTCTTTCATAGCAGTCCTTCATCCCCGGCGGATTCCGCACACTGCCTCGTATCAGTGCGCGAGTGTACCACTGCGCAGTAAGCTAGGTGTTCAGCGATTCCACTGAAACCCACTAGACATTTTCCAGCATACACTAGCTGGATCCAGCATCCTTGCCACCCGTCAACACATACGGAATCGCATTCGGTACCAGAAAGGCCTTTCGAGTCGCGCAATCGCTGGATCCTGTTCCAGGTGCTGGAAGCGACGAGCCCCAGGGCGTCTCATCGCCTGCCGTTTCAATCTCGCGCAGTCGTGTCCATTTGGCATCGCCGCACGTGCGCGGGCCACCCGACAGCAGCCCTGGAAATGACGCGCGCACATGCAACCTATCGACGCTGTTCCCGGCTTCTCCAGTGCCGAGGTTCTGCGCTACACCAGGTGAAGAACAGCGCTGAACTGCAATAGATAACTTCTAGGGACGCACTTTTGTAGTGTACAGGTCACGACAATTCTATTGTTTTGAAAAACTGATGCAGTTTTCCAGAGAGACGCCGTCGCTCGCACAGACGATTTACACGCCAAATGGTATGCGTTCGAGCGTGTCCGTCACGGTGCGTGAGATTCGTGACGTTGAAGTCGGGATGTTTCCCCGTCGGCTCTTTGTCCGTGTGTGGCTAGATACAAGCTTCCAGCTTCGTATGAACGAAGAAACGGAGTTCGCCACAAACGTTGTTACGTTCAGGCGTAAGAGTCGTGGACCGCAGCGCTTTTGTCTCGAAAGCGGCCAATGTAACGCGTTTACGCTTCCTGATTTTGTTATCGTCTGCGATATTTGCGAAATGCGCCATGGATTCTGCTGTACGGAAACGTCCGAAGTCGTTAGTCGCGTACGTATTCCGCTATCGCGGATAAAGTTTGACACTTCCGGGCGGAGTGAACTTTGGTATTCATTCCACTATCCGCTGAAGAAAGGTCGAGCACGGGCCGGGCGCTTCGCTGGGCGCATTCTTGTCGCGATTCAGTATGACGTCGATACTGTTCGCGATACAGTAACCACTGGTGCGCTTTCACCGAGATCCAGGGCGGTGACACCGAGCCCGCAACTGGCGTATCCTTGTGACGCATCTGCCCTGTGGACCGCAATGGAGAACGGCAAGTGGGTGCCTCCAGGTCCTGCGCTGGTGGGCGAACCGCGGGGCGCTCCGGGCACCGACGGGCCGCTTGCACTGCACCCGACTTGGGCGACTAGTGTCAATCCAAACGGATCGACGGTCTCGCAGCCGCTGGGTCTGATGGATGGTCCGAAACATCGGCCAATCTCCACGTTGACCAGCTGACACTGAGTCTCTTGCAGTAACCAAAAAATTTTATCGAGCGATGGTATGTTTTGGAGGTCGACCAGAGACCATCGCCCGCCCGCGTGTCACGGCGTCGGGTTCTGTATGCGACTTGACCACAGCGCGCTGCGAGCTTGTGAAGTCACGCACTGCTTGTTCTTCGACAGGAGTATAGGAAGAAAACTGCGAATTTTCTTATGTTCGAGGTTGCCATTTCCACTGCTGACTGGTTACCGCATCGCCATGTGCAGTCGCAGGTAGCCGGGTCTCAGGGAGTGTCATTTCTCGGGCGAGTTGTTGTTGCTGTTAACCAACATCACGATGTGTACGATACAGTGCCGCGAATGCAAGCGCCACAGAGCATTCGGTAGCCGATGCATACCCGCATTCTTCCATACACACCCGAGAATTCACGTACGCGCGCATGAAACCATGGACTTGATCTTCGGCCGGCACTTGAGAATCGCGGCACGTATCGAGCTTTCACCAGCGACTTCCATGCAGAGCCAAGCATCTCAGTGGACTTGTCTGGGTCCGCTTCATCATAGGACGTCATGAAATACTGTATAGATACAAACTCCGTGCTCAGGTAGTCCATCAGGTATCCGCAATGAGTTTCATCTTCACTCTCGGACAGGGATAACGGAATATTCCATTCATCAGTGCATAGAGTTCGTCATCAATTTTTGAAAAGTCTTGCCCAAATTCGTTTTCAATGCTCATAACGCTTTCGAGTAAGTGCTCCAACTGGACATAAATCGATCACGTTGCCACTGAGCTCCGATTGGAAGAACTTTTCCGGCAAATACATGGTGATCTCGGTCGATTCGCCACGTCCGGCGGTGCCGATATCCGCAACACCTGCGACCTCCTCGGCAAAACGAACGCAGCGCGTACAGTGGATGCATCTCGTCATGACGGTTTTGATGAGCGGGCCCCAGTACTTGTCGTCGACGGTGCGCTTGTACTCGTAGTAGCGTCCTCGATCGGAACCAAACACCATACTTAGCTCTTGTAGTTGACATTCGCCACCTTGGTCTATAAAGTCGAAACGGTTAGTATTTTGCTCTTTTCTTGAGTTGAAAGTTCGACGGTGCTGAAAACTTACCGCATATTGGACAGTCCAGCGGGTGCGACTTGAGCAAAAACTCAAGCACAGCCTCACGGCTTTTCTTCACCCGCGGCGAGTCTGTTATGATGCTCATGCCATCCATGACGGGCAGCGCACAACTGATTGCAAGCTTGGGCATCTTTTCAACCTCAACCAAGCACATGCGGCAGTTGCCAGCCACAGACAGCCGCTCGTGGTAGCAAAAGTGAGGGATGTTCACGCCAGCAGCTTGACACGCTTGAATCACTGTGCTCGCCCGAGGAACCTCCACCTCTCTTCCATCAATCTTCAGACGCACGTGGTCTGGTTTCGGCGGTGGCTTGGGAGGTTCCGGAGCCGTTGCGGCTGCTGTGGCTGGTTGCGCACTGCTCGAGACCGACGCACTGGTGCTCAACCGACCCCGTGTACTTCGGGTTCCCAGGGTAAACGCCCGTTCCACGAAAAAGGAACGCACACTAGTTCTCTCCAACTTCCAGAGTTGCCGACTGAGCTTCGTTAGACTGTACATCAGCCTACTTTGACGCAAACAGGCAGCTAGGCAAGCGCTTGCCCAAGAGACTCGGCTGAGCGCGCGCACGCAACGCACGCATGCAGCCGCGCCGTGCGTGACGCCCTCGCGATCGCACACCGCCCTTGAGAGAGGCGCCTCCGCGGGCAACGAACGGATGACGTGTGCTCAATTGTTCAACGGAACATTTACAAGGACGAAGGATACCAGATTAGGCGATGCATTTTGGTGTTCTGGAAAGCATCCATTATTCTGTAGTTTATGTTCAGGTCTCATGACCCATGCTGCCTCTCCGATGTTCTGGTCGTTTCGCGCGTTGCATCGTGTGCCGAGTCTGCTGCGAACATCCGCAAAGAATGGCATTATTCTGTGGTTTATGTTCAGGTCTCATGACCCATGCTGCCTCTCCGATGTTCTGGTCGTTTCGCGCGTTGCATCGTGTGCCGAGTCTGCTGCGAACATCCGCAAAGAATGGCATTATTCTGTGGTTTATGTTCAGGTCTCATGACCCATGCTGCCTCTCCGATGTTCTGGTCGTTTCGCGCGTTGCATCGTGTGCCGAGTCTGCTGCGAACATCCGCAAAGAATGGCATTATTCTGTGGTTTATGTTCAGGTCTCATGACCCATGCTGCCTCTCCGATGTTCTGGTCGTTTCGCGCGTTGCATCGTGTGCCGAGTCTGCTGCGAACATCCGCAAAGAATGGCATCTAGCCTGCAATTTCTTCTATGATCGATGGGTTTTTCGCCCGAATGAGCCATCCCCCATCAGGTGGTTGTTCGGTGCACCTGTTAGAGCATCCATCATTCCGCAACATACTTCCAGGGTCTATCCGCGACCAGGACTAGGTCGCCATAGAGCAAACGATCAGGTCGTGGGTTCTACCAGGTGTCGAGTCTGCCCTGAAAGACAGACGGGTCTGAGCGCACGCTGCGTTTTCCTGACTCGGCACGTGGCATTAGCTGACGCGTTTCCGTTCAGCGGAAGATGTGATATATCTGCTAGCTGTATCGCATTTGTGAGCATGCCTCTGCGAGCCGAGCGCTGTGGGCTTCGTGCGCGGAAAAGCCTGCAGGTATGCGCTACATGCACACGGCGCTGCACTCTTGCAGCTGGAGCCGCATCGCAGTAGGCGTCGCAAGAGCGGCGGGTCGACCACAACGTGTTCCACGGAGCAGGCTTTTCAAACGCCATCCAGAGACCCGTGAAAAGTACTCATGCGATCCCACTGATGCACGCTGAGGATGCATTCCGAAGGATGAGCGCCTTGCCCAAAATAAATGCAGATGCTCGTACAAGCGTGATGCGCATTGCGAGCCTTGCGTTCCAAAAATGCCCTCTGGATACGCATCCGAGGTTCGCTGCTATTATCCAAGGTCGCCAGAGTAACCAGCGGCACGCAAGAATCATGCAGGTGCGCGTCTCCATGTTGCTGTCCGCACATGTTCGCGTGCTTTGTGCGACCCGCTGGGCAATACAAGCGCTCGCGGTGCAGCGTGCTCATCGAGCCAATGTGCAGGTTCGGGTAGCGATGCGCTCGCTATGGAGGGATCTACCAGAAATTATCGTTGCTTGCTATGCGGCGTGTTCTCGAGTTGATCAGTCCGCTGGTACCAGGAGACAGAAACGGCTCTAAACCGGCAGACTCTTCATCACACCAGGTCAATCGCCCGTGTTCTCTCTCTCGCAATACCCATGACGAAACTATCGCTGTGCTGGCTGTCACAAGAATGGTTGCAGCTTTCCGTCCCCAGATATATCACTCGTCCGAACCGCCTCAGCAGTGACCCAATGCAAATGCAGGAGTTGTTCGGAAGCGCACGAGCGCAACCTGCGCTAGAGCGTCGTCGCTATTGCCGCTGGCTCGGGCACCGGTAGCGTTGCGGCTGGCTCCGAAAGCCCCGACGCCAGTCGTGCGAAGCTCTGCAACAGAAAAGGTGCTCAGAACAAGTATAGCAGGGAGTTGCACGTCTTTCGTGCAGTTCATAGGGGTGCTCGGGTCGAGCACCTCAAATTGTCCGACCACTGGGCAGACCTGGAGTGCGTACCCGTGGAGTCGAGTGACTTGCGCCTTCTGAGCAGCGAGCAGACACCCCGCTTCGAACGTGGCGCGGTGGCTCCGCAACGACCCGGAGCGCTGTCTCTGCACAGGGCTTATACGGAACGCTGCTCTCACGAAAGGTAGGGCGAATCGACACCCCTGATCGTGTGCTCGAGAGCGCGTTGGCCTTGCTCCAAGTAATGTCACTTGTCATGCGACCTATAACGGACTCATTCGGCCGCGTTCACAACTACCTGCGATTATCACTGACAGAGAGATGCAATCTTCGCTGTCAGTACTGTATGCCAGCAACGGGTGTGCCGAACCTGGCACCTTCGGCGGAGTGTCTTACCGCTTCAGAGATAGCAGCTCTTGCGGAGCACCTGGTCCGGCAACGAGGGATACGCAAGCTGCGGCTGACCGGTGGCGAGCCGCTCGTCCGCAAGGACGTAGAGCAGGTGTTGGACGCACTCGCACCGCTGAGTGCAGCATCTTCGACGAATGCTGCCGTGGGAACTGGTTCGGGCGGCAGTCCTGTGGTAGCGCTCTCTATGACGACGAATGCGGTGCTGCTGGAGCGACACCTGCCGACTCTGCAGCGTTGTGGCATGCGCTCAGTAAACATATCGCTCGATACACTGCGGCCAGAGCGGTTCACAATTTTAACTCGTCGGTCTGGAGAAATTTTTCTCCCACGAGTCCTACGAGCTATCCGCCGAGCCGTTCAGGCGGGACTAGACGTCAAGGTGAACTGCGTTGTCATGCGAGGTATCAATGATGACGAGTTACTGGATTTCTGCGAATACTTTGCGAGTATGGAAACCGTTTTGCGTCCCGGACGGCTACAGGCGGTGCGCTTTATTGAGTTCATGCCCTTTAGCGGCAACGGCTGGGAATCAAACCGCTTCGTCCCCTACGCCGAAATGCTCCAACGTCTCCGCGGTCGATTCGAGCCCGAATCCCGGGAACAGGTGCAGCGCTCGCTCGATCCCCATGATACGACGAAATACTGGGCTTATCGAGGTGACGGCGACTCCGCGCTCCGAGTGGGCTTCATTACCTCAATGAGCAATCACTTTTGCGCGGGTTGCAATCGTTTGCGCGTGACAGCAACGGGGCATCTTCGAACATGTCTCTTTGGACGAACAGAATACGGTTTGCGGCATCTGATTCAGCGGGGTGACTGGCAGGAACTCGACGCAGTGATCGATGCTGCTGTCGCTCGCAAGGCCTTTGCACATGGCGGTGCACGTGATCCGCTGCGGGATCTTCCAAGGCGAACCGAAAACGATCGTCCCATGACCGCCATCGGAGGATGAGCATCCCATGACGTTCCGGGAGCAGCATCCGCAATGTTTCCCCATAACGACAAGGGCAGCGCGCTAATAGTCTCACCGTTTGCTGATGGGAAGCGTGGTTCAAGCACGCTCAAGTACCGAATGGTACTATGGTGTTTTCTGATATCGGGGCATCCGCATAAGCGCCACTCGCGTCTCTATTACCATGACCATGACCAACACCAATACCAACTGACCAGTGATCCTCGCTTGCACAAAGCTCGAAAGCCCATCGACTCGAGCAAGGTCTGCCAGAGTCTCAGACCGGAACCCCAGATTTCGAGTTGGTGCGTATGTGGCAGCCTGAATCGTTCAGCCGCGCGAACGAAGGTCGGCGGAAGTGATCGCTCGACCCCCGTGGACAATTCTCAGCGTCTTTGTCGTCTGTTTTAGGAAAATGGACGCGATAAGTTTACTCTTCCTTGACGCGCGTTTCACGTGTACCGCTGATGCGGCCAGTACGACGGGCTGCAATGAGACCAACTTTCTGACCGGGAACACTTCCCCTGGCAACAGTCGTTGGATGGCCCACATGTTGATGATTACCACCACCGTGCGGGTGGTCCACAGGGTTCATAGCTACGCCACGTACTCGCGGCCATTCGTTGCGCTTCGCTTTGTATTTGTAGTATGCGCGGCCAGCTTTGAGGATGGGTTTCGCTGTTCGGCCGCCACCTGCAACAACTCCAACTGTCGCCCTGCACGAGCTCGATACTAGTCGGCGAGCGCCGCTCGGTAGACGTACACGAGTCTTTCCGTTTTCTAGATGGTTCACCACAACAGCGTACATGCCGGAGGCTCTGGCAAGCGTGCCTCGGTCGCCTTCCTTTGTCTCGAGGTTGCACACAATGGTACCTTCCGGCATAGAGGAGAGTGGAAGCGTGTTTCCTACAGCGAGGACCGCTTTTTTACCAAAGTACACGGACATGCCCGTGTACATGCCCTCGACAGCCAAGATGCGTTCCTTCCTTTTCTTGTAGCGGTACGGGTCTTGGAACTCAACGATCGCGACGGGCGCGCCGCGTCCCGGGTCGTGTTCGATGGCGGTAACGAGCCCCCGAATGTAACCGTTGCGCTCAGCAAAGTCCACGGGGCGAAGCTTTACTGGCCCTTTTCTCTTCGATGTGTGAGCTTTGAATATGCCGCCCGCACCGCGACGCTGTCCACGAATGACGCGACCCATGATGCGTCAGCGTCTCCCAGAAAGCAGCCCTTGCAGCAAACCTTTGAAGCCTAGAGGGGTAGTAAGAACATCCAAGTGTTGCAGCCGGAGCTGGACGATGGCGACGCCGCTCGCCGTGTGCGATCCATTTTGGATAAAATTCGATATAATAGATACAATATGGACAAAAGTGATTTCTGGGACAGCCATGCGTCCACTGCCGACTCGAGCCTCCGATACACCCATGTTACCATAAAATTGGACATGCTTATGAAGACGCGCATACGCCTTCAAGCTCTCGTTTCTGCCCTTTGCCATCAGCAAAAGTTTTTGCGCGTTTTTCTACGACTGCTTCCATTTCCTGTCTCTCATCTCCGACTTTGAATGTGCCGGTCTCTCCTTTCCCTCCAGCACCGTAGTCAGCAGCAGAAGCATTACGTTGATGACAGCGTTTGAGTCCAGATTTCGCTGCTTCCGGTTGTAGTGGATGTATTTCCGGTACAGGCAGAATCAGCAATTGACGCTTCGATTGCCATTTCGCTTACGGTGTGTAGAGTCTCGGTGCGCACTTCAAACTTGAAACGTATGGCTGTGGTTACGTTTTCCAATATACCAACCATGTCGCTTCCGAGCGCCGCGCTGTGGCGCGCGAGACGTGCTTCATCGCTCAGTGCTTGCCCTTGGCGGGTGCAGAAAAGCTCACCTCGATGCCCTCCACCGTTTCCCCGCATGCTGCTGTTCCTGATGATCACGGGTATTCTCTGGAGAATCCCCGTGGCGAGTACGCTGTCCGATGCACGCTCACGCGCACGCTGTTCCATTCCATACGGGTTTTGTGGGACGCTGTCATGTACATGATGAAACAGGCACCGGAAAGAATATCCACGCTGGAGCGCAATTCGAGCAATGTCGATTCTTCGACGCTCTCTCTGCGCAGAGCGGTGGTGCGCTCTCATCTGGAAGCGTATCGCTGCGATGACTGCAGCCCGTGCACCGGACCCTTTTCGATGCATGCGGCAGAGACGGGAGCCTCTGGGAGAATATGCCCTCAGAGGTATCGCGCTGCTGTGGAATGCTGTTTCGTCGATGACCACAATCAGGGAAGGACTTATCTTTCGAACCAATTCGATTATTTGACTTGATTCTTCGTGAACTTCTGGTATGCGCTCATGAACAAGTCGTCACGGGCCGGCGTCGATTTTTGGCCCCGCCGATCTGGCAGCGCGAATTGCTGCGTCCGCGATTTGCCTTGATCCAAAAAGATCGAAAAATTGGAGAATTCATGATTTAAACATGATACACGTAAAAAGGAGAAGAGTGGAGGCTTCTCCACATGAATTGCGAAGATGATCTCGGTGATTTCACGAATACTTGCTCGAGGGCGTAGCACATCATTCTGATTCCAGTAACGCAACGAATTCCACCAGCAAATTGTCAACGGAGCCACTCCGAAACAACGACCCAATATCCGAAAACGTCGTGTACATCGGCACGTCTGCATCGCTGCACCCCGAATGATGAAGGCAGTACATCGAACACAAGTTCGGAAAAATCGTCGCCACAATCGGGACGAGCCGCCCAAAGTTCCAATTTCGTCTGACACGGGCGTAGTGCCCGACTGCGACTCCTCGACTTGGGGCGGGTACAAGGTGCAGGCGTTTGGGCACCTTGCCCGACGCCGAAGCCGCCGCGAACGGCCCGATGGCGAACTCGAAGTACGAGTACATAAAAGCATTCGAGTCCCGCGACGAAATCATTCCGGACGTCTTCTTTGCAGTTCGCGTGGACGGTCGCGTATTCCGCAAGTTCGCCGAACGCCACGGCCTAGAGAAACCGGTTGATGAGCGCCTCGTCACGCTTTTGAACGAGACAGCCGGCCACGTTATGCAGGCCTTCTCCGGACAGGTCGGAATTGCATACGGTCACAGTGATGAGTACAGCTTCATATTCCGCCGAGACGCAACAATTTTCGGACGGCGCACGAGCAAGTTGCTCTCGGTGACTGTCTCACTGTTTACCAGCGCGTTCGTGTGCGGCTGGGCTGGCCACCTGGGCGGGTCGACACCGCTGCGCGACACACCGAGTTTCGACGCGAGGCTTGTCGTTCTGCCCAGCTTCCGACACGTGCGTGATTACCTGGCCTGGCGTCAGGTAGACTGCCATGTGAACTGCCAATATAATACTGCGTTTTGGCTGTTGGTGCAGAAGGACAAGCTCTCCCTCGACGACGCACACAAGACGCTTCGCGGCACGGATACAGGAATGAAGAATGAAATTATGTGGCAACGAGGTGTCAACTACAACAATTTACCGCAGGTGCACAGGAAGGGCACAGTTCTTGTCTGGGACAGAGCGCTCGATGTTCCGGATGACCGCGCGCTTCCGAAGCCAGAGGCCGTGTGCGCTGATCGAGTTGCGGGAGCACGTCGCATCATCTGTCTGCACTGTGATCTGATCCGCGCTCCCGACGATGATCTCTTGCTCTTTGGATCGCTGCAGAATCCCGACGCTGAAGCGCTTCGATAGGACGCTATGGGCATGCGTGGTTCCCATGGAATCAGCGGTGCATTTTTTCCCAGGAAATCTCAAGCCCCAAACAATCGATACATCTGCGTTACAAGAGCAGCTGCCGGCATCCGCGACTATGCCTCGGCGACGCTGCAGCGTGATGCGTGCGAGTCGAGTGACACGAGCGCTGCGCATGCGGCGAGATGCCCGAGGTGCCCATTTTTCACGGAATGCATTTCGCCCAGCTGTTTGTGTATGAGTTGCAGTCCATGCGACAATATTGGAACTCAACGGATCGATGCCGGCTTGCAGAGCTGCGTGCCAGCTCCATGAAGCGTATACGATGCTTGCGGAACGCGCCTGCACCTGTAAGCACCAACATGGTTTCGCTCTTGCGAAATCCCGTGGAGTGCCAAACAAATCATGCATCCAGGTTTCCGTAAAAACAGGATAATCGATCTCAAAACTGAGCAACCGCGAAAATGATGCAGATACGGGAACGCTCGCTCCAAACGCCGCTCTCAGCTTTGGTATGGAATCTGCTGTGGTGGACACGACGACCGCGCACGCAAACATGCGTGTCGGAAAGCACGCACGCACGCACGCACGCACGCACGCACGCACGCACGCACGTAGAGTACAACTATTTGCTCTCATGCCGGTGCAGGCGCCATAACTTTGCAGTCTTTGGTTTACGTTGGAATCGACCGGTTTTGGTACAACTTATTGGACTTTCCACAGTATATATAGATTTGGCAATGTTATGAGCACACAGCGATCGGGGAAACTCTGGTACCAGGCGCGGGGGTTTGCGAAACGCGTGCGCCACTGGGAGGCCCTGCCGCACCGAGTTATCCTTACGCTGACGTCGAGACACGTCAAGGCTCAGGTCGTAAACTGGCGGAAAGGAACGGTTGACGCAGAGGCTTCGAGCTTGCAAGAGCCTATTCGTCTCGGGAATGCGCCCGAGCTGGCATCGGAAACCTCTTCAGAAACGGTATCGGGCGAGTGTGCGCAGGCGGAGCTCGTGGGCTATCAGTCCGCGTCCACGGAGGCTGCCCGCCGCGTAGGCCTTGTGCTGGGTAAGCGGGCGTGCGCAGCTGGTATCCGTCAGGCGCAATGGTCGCAACCGGGGCGGTTTCACGGGAAGATTCGTGCTTTCTACGAGGCGCTCTGCTCAACAGGGTTCAAGCTCAAGACGGAACGATGACGCCACTGCAGCTCGTCTGGTTTGAGTGCACTGGACCGCTGAGGCACCACGGAGTCATGTACATGCTGTGCTTTCCGGGTTATCGATTCGCATATGCGGTGCCCCCGGGAACGAAGCATTCCATACGGGACGTGTCCGTGTTTACGAACGACCAGAACAACCCTGCAGTGCATTAGCAGATGCCTTCGGGAACGTGCTCAAGTACAACTGCAAACTCGCATTTGCCTTGTTCGCATGGCTCTTGGATTGTCCCCGTGTCAATAAGTGTCTCGATGCGTTCTAGGTTGGCTTGCGATCTTGCGCATTCCGTAGATACTTGGTTTCCGGGTTGTGCCGTGTAAAGACTCCTGTCGGGCGTGCTGCAATGGCGCTTGAGGTTTCGTTTCTGTCGCTAGGAAAGTAATCCCAGAGTCTGGTAACCACTACCAGCCTGCACCCGATCTCATGCTTTTCATGCAGCGCAAATTTCCATATCGTCGCAAAGGTAGACTGGCTCAGTTCTGCGCGTTCCATGACGACTCGACGTGGATAGCATGCGGCGATACAGACCTTGACACCGTCTAATCGAGGAAATGCAACCAGGGAAACGTGCATCATGCCAGCGAGCGCGCCTACATACCCTGCGGGCAACCCATAACGTCGATAGCACGCTCGTCACGGAAGAGAGGGCCGAGCGCCAGTCACCATGTGCTTGGCGCTGGCGGTGACAACCCTCACCGATACTGAACAGTTGATTTGTGTACAGTCTAGAGTCGTGGGATAGCAGCCCCGACACCTTGGTTGCGAGAATATTGCTGGTGACCAGGGCAAAGACCTCAGCTCCTGCTTCGGCGCCTCCGCCCAGCACCCTTACCAGTCTAGGCCTCTCCCAGTGAACAGATGCTTGAACGACCCGACAATCCAGCGAGCTTTGAGGCCCACTGCGGACGCTTCCTGGTCTGCTAAAGTCTCCGGTGGCGCACGCCGCCTCATAGTTGGGACCATCCGGCACCTGCCGCTTCGAGTTCTGTTTCCTGCCTGCGTACCGGCTTGCAAGGTCGCTTTTGCCACGTGAAGCTTCAGATAAGGCTTTACGTATCTCACACACAACGGTTACTATGAATCCTGCTTCCGTCTTGAAAGGGTGATTCCGCCCTACCTTTTTGCAGGCGTCGCTTGCATTCCCGAGCAATGGAGTTGCTCTGGGGCGTGTGGGATCAGCGGGGCAACACATTCAGACGCCACGTTCATCATTCCTCTTCCTGGTGCTTGTGCTGGTGGTGTGAAACGCGGTTGTCGAAGGGTAGCGGTCCATGTCATAACGCGTTTCCCAGTTATCACTACCTGTGCTAGCTCTTCAACCGCATTCGGTCTGGACTCAGCGGTCATTCGCCAGTGATCCGCTTCTCTCTCGTGTTCCTGTCAACGTGGGCGCGACTATGGAACACCAGCGATTGCCGGGCTTTGTTGGCCTCTCGATTCCGGTTGCAGCCCTGAACGACCAGGTTCTATTACGCTCAACTCGGCTGGCGGGTACGCAACAGGCTGTGCTGTGCGTTGCTCGAGTCGACGCGGGACACTGGACGCTTTCACGGGGTTGGGCGCTCCGGACGAATGCACTCGTTGTAACAGAAGCGCTGCCGAGCGGTGAGGCGCGGACTTGGCTACGGACACGTGGGTTCCCGGGTGCGGCTCTCACCCGAAAAACGCTCACCAGGAAACAGAATAACGAGTCGAGATCGGGGCGCGAGCGAGTCGCCCATGCAGGACGTGAACAAGTTTCGTGCAGCTCGCTTGCAAACGCGCTCGACGTGTCCGAGTCTCCGCTCGCACACCTGTTGCGAACAGACACCACCACGCGCATATGTCTCTTCACTGGCAAAGGCGGGACCGGGAAAACGACCACTTCCGCTGCCGTAGCGCATCGACTCGCATCAGCCGGTCTACGCACGCTGGTTGTGTCTACGGACCCGGCACACTCGCTCGGTGATGCGCTCGGTGTTGACCTTGGCACGGAGGCGGCGTCGCTCGATGAACTGGTGCTGATCGAGCCAGCTTCACAGGGGCGCTCAAGCGTGCGTGGCCAAGTGCAACGCGTAGCACCAAACCTGGACGCACTGGAAATCGATATTACTGCTGCTGCGGAGGAGTTCAAGGCCCTCATTTCGACGCAGCGTCTGATCGATTTAAACAAGTTGGGGTTGGCAGATGTGCAAGAGCTTTTGGATACCGTACCTCCCGGGGCTGATGAGTTTGTTGCGCTCTCGCTTATTTTGGACCTACTGGAACGCTATGATCGGGTGGTTATCGATACGGCACCCAGCGGGCACACGCTCCGATTGCTATCGTTTCCCGATTTTCTGGATTCCTTTCTGGGCAAGCTCTTGCAACTCAGGGGTAAGCTGGGTGTGATCTTGAATACAGTCTCTGGTTCGGTGAATAGAAAGCAATGGGAGGAGGCCGCCTCCAAAATTGGTACATTTCAGCAGCGAATGCAGCAACTCGGATCCCTGCTCCGTGACGAGAAATCCACGGAAATCGTTGTGGTGACCATTGCGACAGAGCTAGCCGTCCGAGAGTCGCTTCGATTGATCGATGAATTAACTCACAAGAGGAGCTTATCGGTCTCTGCTGTCATCGTGAACATGGTGCTGCAACCATCCGCGAAGGGCGCGTACATACACTCGATGCAAAGCGCGCAGCAGGAGTTTCTTGAACGCTTGCACCAACGACTCGGTGCTACGCATGGATACGATATCGTTCAGGTCCCTATTTTCGATACGGAGATTCGCACAGTGTATGGTGCTCGCGCCTTCGCTGCCTGTCTGTCGCCATTGTGGTCTGATGAGAAGCCGCGCCTGCGCAAAGTGGTCCTCACCGCTGCTAAAGGCGGCTGTGGAAAGACCACGACAGCGGGAGCCATCGGCGTGCACCTTGCCGATACCGGGCAACGCACTATCGTGGTCTCAACGGATCCGGCCCATTCTCTGGGCGACTTATTCGACGTGAAAGCACCGTCCGGCTCCTACCTGAATGATGTGACACTGATCGCTGAAAATCTTTCCATCCTGGAAGTCGATGCGGAACGAGCGCTGATCGAATTTCGGGAAACGCTAGAATCGCTCCGTTCCGCGAAGATTTTGGGTCTGGATCTGGACATTGGTGATCTGGGGAACCTGTTTGACGCGCTGCCTCCAGGCATCGATGAGCTCGTGGCGCTCTCTCGCGTCGTGAACCTGATATCATCCGAGTATGACCATATTGTGATCGATACTGCGCCGACTGGGCACACACTGCGCCTGCTTGCGTTTCCGGACTTTCTGGATGGTCTGCTCGGGAGGATCCTCCGCCTCAAATCGAAGCTAGATGGTATCACGCAGTTCTTTTCGGGTCTCGGTGGACGCAGCGATCGTACTGAACCTGAGCTGACCCCGGCCCAACGCTTGAGTCGATTTCGGGAACAGCTTATGGAGCTGAGGGATCTTCTTCACGATCCGGAACGAAGCGAAGTCGTTCTAGTTACGCGGCCTACCTATCTGAACGTTGTGGAAACAGAGCGCTTGGCACAAGCACTTGCAAGACAGCGTATTGCGTCGCATCGTCTCGTGATCAATCAGGTTGTACCACCAACGCTACGAGACTTGGAGCGCTTTGTGCATCGGCTTGTTCGGGAACACGGTCAGCAGACTGAACGTTTACAGCAGGCACTACCCTCGCAAACGCGTCGAAGCGGTGTTAGTCCTCTCATCGTTGTGCCGTATTTCGACCGGGAGGTTCGTGGTGAGGCCGGTCGGAGCGACGGCGGTTTAGAACTATTCGCGCGGTACCTTTTCCGGGACAGCGCTTCGGACTAGAGCGCAGTTCTGGTTACCGCGGAATTGCGGCCAATAGATGCTCGCAATAGGCTCCTTGTACAAGCATGTGCGCTCATGTGCGATGTGGCGCTGGAGTGTGTCACCCGCGAAGCGCTGCGATCAACCGGTTGCAGCTGAGCAATCCATTGTACTGAGTGGTCCAGCGATGAGCATTGGCGACCGCCGCAGTGCTACGGCCTCTACGATCCAAAGTGCGATAATATGTTTCGCAGAACTGGGTTGGTGGACGGGCGCTTTCACCACTGCCCATGATGAAGGGTCCTGCCCAAGGAGCAACCGGTCGGTTCGGTCGGTTCACCTCTGAGGCATCACTGCTGGCACGCGGTGCCGACGAATAACTACAAGTTGGAGGTAGGTGGTGCACGCAGAGCCGCGGTTTCCACCCGGGTCACGCGTAGCATTCGCACATCCCGCGGAGATCCGTTTTGAATCATCGGGTCTGCAGTTTAAACGATGTGCTACGAGGAAAGCGCTTCGTTCGCATTCCCGTTTCGAAGAGCTGTTCGCGTAGGTGTCTAAAGCTTCCGGTCGTGCATGCGGGAACGACGCCTTGGAAAGCGCACACCAATGATTTCCAGTCCAGGTAATACTGTCACATGGGCAAATACCAGGGTGGAAGACTGCTGAGATTTCGCAGGCTGCATCGCTTGTGTGCGCACGCTCGACATGACCCGCGGAGCGACCGTTCACGACGGATGATTGCATGGACGTCAGTAGAGACGGCTGCAGTAGGATTTTCCAGTTGGTCAATGGGATCAATGCAACATGTCAGCTGCTGTTCGCGGTACGTTCCCCGCTGCCCGAATGGGCGTACCGAGCCCATCGAGGGCAGTTTCGCGCCCTGGCTGAGTGCTCCACCACGCTCATCGCATGGAGAGCAGATGACCTGGAGCTACACGTTGCCATTCAGTTTGGAACCTTTCCGTTAAAGGTATTGGGTCTGTGCGACAAATCAGATGCGCTTGAATACCTCTGCCTCCAGGTCAGAATGAAATGGAGCTGGTCGAGTACGCTAACTCGAGCGTAGGCTCCAAAGTTTGGGTAGTTCGTCACAATCGTCAGCACCTGCCGCTGCAGGCTTTTGCTGCATCTGCTTCCTGCTTCTGTCTCTTGTATACGGCAGTGCATGTGCCGCACGCTCACTTGCATCCACCTTCGTTGTCAGCACTCAATAGGTGTTGATGCCCGAGTTCGCTTCGCGATACCGCAGCTTCACGCGATTGTTGACGCAGTGGATACACCGACGATCGCTGCGATCTACGCTCCGCATTTCATGCCCGTCTGCTTCGTAGACGGTCTCGGTGGCGCCGCTGCAAGGGACGCCACCGGACTGCAACCGGGTATGCCGGTGCGCCCACAACTCGGACGCCAGCTCCGGCGCCAGCTCCAGCTCCTGCTCCCCCGAGCGTCGCCCTCTGGCACCTGCATGCTTTCCTCCTCGCTCGGTACGTGCCGTTGACGAGCGCAGGAGGCCGTACGTGATGCCCGCCTCTGCCTCCAAGCCCAGTGTCGCACGCTATGAGCACGGGCTCGAGCTCGGCAATCGGTTAGCCCTGAAGGCTGGCAGGTGCACGCGCAAGCGCACGCAGCGCCTTCGACAGAGGACGTGCGGAACGCGATGTCGGGCACGATTCCGACGACAAAACGTTCAGATTGACCATGGATCCCGGAATTCGGAGTGGGTAATGGCTTTCGGGAAAGCGTCCATGGTGAAGCGCCTACCCTCAAGTTCCATCACCCATACTTGCTCTCGGATACGCTGGTCGTTTCGTGTTGGCCACGATGGGGCGGGCACCGCAACGCGATGCCGCGCTGGAGATCAAGTCGAGAAATTACGGTTTGTCGAGGCTCGCTTCGTGCACAACGGTGACGCGGTCTGTGCTTCGGGACGATCGCTTGGATATCTGACTTCCGAGTCCAGGGCGCCTTTCGATGCACACATGAGAGACGGGAGCCTCTGGGCGCGCATCCCGCGCGGGGTATCACGCTGGTGTCGCGAGCCGCTCCATCGATGACCAGAAAGGGACGAGGATATGGATTTTGGACAGAGCCGTTCGTTTGGGCAGCGTTCGGTGAGAGCGCGCGTGACATCTGCCTGTGGCGAACGCTACAGTGGACGACGTCGAGTTTGTGTGCATCAGAGGCAGGTCTTCATTGGGAGCATGCGTGATTTGCGCATGCTTCAGGCGAGCAAAAGGGGAAGCATGGATGTTTGTGCGCGTACATTGCCGAGGGATATCTTTTGACTTGCGAGCGCTTGTTCACAGACGTTATCGGAATCAAGACGAGTCCGGGAACGTCAAGCATTCCAGCGGCAAAAGCGTCGAAGCAGCGTCTCTGTAAACGAGAACGAGAATGCCAGACTGGGCTGTGTAGAACCGTAACCCCCTGTGTCCGCACGCCAATATTCGAGACCACGCATCGAATCAAGCTCCGGGGAACCGAAAAGCGCCCATAGAACGAGCAGCAGTTCAGTGTTCCATGCGCATCCTACGATCCTTAAAGCAGTCGACGCCTGCCGGACGGCATCAGCACGCGCGCGCACTGCTTCCGTGGCTGTGTGCCTGCGAGATCACGTCATACGTGGCGCGCCCAGCGGCTGCCGCTCTGACGCCGCGGCGTGATGACTCCAGGCAGCGCCTCGCCTGCGATGGGCGTGCGCGCGCGCTTCCTGTCGCTGGCGCTGATCTGAGTGTCGATCCTGCCACTGTGGCAGGTGTGTGTGCGCGCGCGCTTCCTGTCGCTGGCGCTGATCTGAGTGTCGATCGTGCGGCTGCGGCAGGTGTGTGTGCGTGCGCGCTTCCCGTCGCTGCCATCCGATTCATCACCAGGCAGTACGCATCGCTGGCTGCTGCGGGTGCCGCCGACGCTATCATCGCGCTGGTACCATCTGCCTGAGCTAGACTTTAGGTCTGGTTCACAAGGCGTCAACGTCTGTAAACGCTTGTTTGTTTGCGCTGTCGTTCACGGTTGGTGCTGAGCCGAGTCCCATAGTGCTGTGACAGTCAAGTCGAGGAAGTTTACATAGAGTCTCGTGCTGCCTTGCTGAATGTTTCGCCTCTTGCTCACTCGCGTCAGCGGGTCGGTAACTCGTCGACGTGCGCTCGGTGCGGACACGCAGCGCTGGCTTAATTCAGCACGCTCTCGCTACCACACCGGTAATTCAGTGGTAGGAGCTCCTGTACGTGGTGTAGGCGTCGCGGGTGCTTACCATTCACTGAGGTCGGCGTTGAGTTGGCGTTTACAGGCAGAGTTCCGGCGAGGGGCATCGAGTTCGGCGTTTGCGCCGCTGGACCTGTTCTACAAACGACATACCGGCTCTGGGAACCCGGAAGCGAACGAAAAAATGCTTCAGGTTCTTGGTGTGAAAAGTATCGAAGAACTGATGGATCAGACGATTCCCAAGTCGATTCGCACGACGCGGAAGCTGAGCGTTGGGCCAAAGCGCGCCGAGTCTGAGGTGCTCGCTGAGCTGCGGCAGATCGCGAAACAGAACGAACTGCGACGTAACTTTATCGGCTGCGGGTACTATGGTACCATCATGCCTCCAGTCATTCAGCGAAACATCCTGGAAAACCCTGCCTGGTATACGCAGTACACTCCATATCAAGCTGAAGTTGCGCAGGGACGCTTGGAATCCCTGCTGAACTTCCAGACAATGGTGGGGGACCTCACGGGCCTGCCTATAGCGAATGCCTCACTGCTTGACGAGGGAACTGCGGCAGCCGAAGCGATGAGTATGTGTGCTGCTGTCTCGAAGCGCAAGAAGCTTCGATTTTTCGTCGACAAGGATGTGCATCCGCAAACGATTGCAGTCATGAAGGTGCGTGCAGAGCCCATGGACATCGAGCTTGTCGTGGACAACTGGCAGCAGGTGCAGTGGGATGGAGCCGACTTGTGTGGTGCGCTGGTGCAGTATCCCGCAACGGACGGCACGATCCATGACTATACGTCGTTTGTGGAGAATGCGCACGCGCATGGCACACGCGTCGTTGTTGCATCAGATCTCCTGGCTCTGACGATGCTGCGACCGCCTGGAGAATGGGGAGCTGATATCGCCGTGGGCAGTGCACAGCGCTTCGGTGTTCCCATGGGGTATGGTGGTCCATCGGCTGCGTTTTTCGCCTGCCGTGACGATCTCAAGCGTCTCATGCCAGGGAGAATTATCGGCATTAGTCGCGACGCTCAGGGCAAACCGGCACTGCGCATGGCGCTGCAGACCCGCGAACAGCATATTCGTCGCGATAAGGCAACAAGCAACGTCTGCACCGCTCAAGCGTTGCTTGCGAACATTTCCGCAATGTATGGGCTGTATCATGGACCGGATGGCCTCCGTGCTATCGCCAATCGCGTACAACGCTTCGCCCGCACCTTCGCCGCTGCAGTCGGCGTGGGTGTCAGCGAAAAGGCTGCAATTTTTGATACCGTGCGCATCGATTACCCGACCACAGAGGCGGCGCAAGCGGTGCTAGCGCGCTGCGATGCGGCAAAACTGAATGTACGATCTCTGGGGCCCCGCTCAATTTCTGTATCGTTCGACGAAACGCATACTCGCGACGACCTCCAGGAGCTTGTCTCAGCTTTTCGCGGTCCGCAACGTCCATGCTCTGGCGAGGAGCTGGAGCAAATCGCTGCATCGCTGCCACCGAGCGGTTTTGGCGGCCTCGAGCCGAACCTTGCCCAGGCCTTCGAACGAACAACCGCATACATGACGCACCCGGTATTTCACGAGTATCGCACGGAGCACAAGATGCTCCGATACATCCATCAACTAGCAGCCAAGGATTTGTCGCTGGTGCACTCCATGATTCCTCTGGGCAGCTGCACGATGAAGCTGAACGCCACCAGCGAGATGATCCCTGTATCGTGGCCAGAGTTCTCCCTGCCGCATCCCTTTACACCACCCGAACAATTGCGCGGCTACCAACGATTGTTTGCAGATCTCGAACGTGATCTCGCGGATATCACAGGATTCGCAGCCGTGTCTCTGCAGCCGAACAGCGGCGCCCAGGGCGAATACGCCGGCCTGATGACCTTTTTGGCGTACCACAAGGCCCGCGGCCAGCACCAACGCAAGGTATGCATTGTACCGACATCGGCGCATGGAACAAACCCAGCGAGCGCCAAAATGGCAGGTATGCGTATCATCCCGGTCGGTACCGACGCCCAGGGCAACATCGATATCGCCGAACTGCGTGCTCGCGCGGAGCAACATCGAGATCAGCTCGCCGCAGCCATGATCACGTATCCCTCCACGCACGGAGTGTTCGAGGAGGGCATCAAGGAAATCTGCGACATCATTCACACAAACGGAGGTCTGGTGTATATCGATGGGGCAAACCTGAACGCGCAGATGGGCCTCACGTCGCCCGCGGAGATCGGCGGCGATGCGTGTCACCTGAACCTGCACAAGACGCTGACGATCCCGCACGGCGGCGGCGGGCCCGGCGTCGGCGCGATCGCCGTGACAGAGGCGCTGGCGCCTTTCCTGCCGTCGCATCCGGTGCGCCCGGTGGCGAGCGCACACCCCGATACCGCGATTGGGCCGATTGCGGCGGCGCCGTACGGCTCTGCATCCATCCTGCCGATTGTGTGGATGTTTGTGAAAATGATGGGTAGCGACGGCTTGCGCGAGGCCAGCGAACAGGCGATCCTGAATGCGAATTACATGGCGGCGCGCTTGTCGCCGGCGTATCCGATTCTGTATCGCGGGAAGCACGGACGATGCGCACATGAGTTTATCCTGGATCTACGTCCGTTCAAGCTTAGTGCAGGTGTTACGGAATCGGACGTGGCGAAACGCCTTCAGGACTATGGATTCCATTCTCCTACCATGTCATGGCCGGTGGCTGGAACGCTTATGATTGAACCGACGGAGAGCGAGAGTATCGATGAGCTCGATCGGTTTTGCGATGCGATGCTGATGATTCGCGAAGAGATTCGCCAGATTGAGCAGGGTCGCTGGGATCCGCAGCACAATCCGCTCAAGTATGCACCACACACGGCAGAGGTGGTCAGTGCGGATACCTGGGATCGGCCGTATCCGCGCGAGATTGGCGCCTTCCCGGCAAGCTGGCTCTACGCGCGCGGCAAGTTCTGGCCGCGAACCTCTCGCATCGATGACGTGTACGGTGATCGGAATCTGGTGTGCTCGTGTCCACCGGTACCCGAAATGATGCACCCGTCAACGACCGGTTCTGCTGCAAGGTCCGGCACCGATGAGGGACGTGTCCGAACGGCAGTCGCGAGCTCTTGAATAGCGTAGCGCGCACGAGGCGGCCCTTGGCGGCTCTCAAAGGAACGGGATCATGATGGGGAATTTTGGTTTGAGAGAGAGAGGTATGCGCTAGTTCGAAGATAGGCACGCGCTCATCCGATAAATATGGTTGGTAGCTAAGCTGTTTGGTATCAGGCCGCGCGTTCATGCATCCGCGGTGTCCGCTGCACTGTAGTCCATGCTGCACCAGGTGGCTTTGTTGCTCAGTTTGTTCGGGCGACTCGGAATCTGGGCGATATTCGGGTGCAGCGTGGACGAGTGTCCAGGGCAACGGTCGCATTTGAAACCGACGAACGGATGCGAGGCGTGCTGACGGTTACCGCTTGAGCGTGTATAAAGCGGAAAAGCTGGGTACTGCTTCTCCACGTGGAAGCTGAACCACTTTGCGGTTCCAAATGTGCTTGTTCCAGGGCGTTGGAATCATGATGCGGTCTCGATCGGGAACTGGGATTGTCTACCGATCACCGCATGCCTCCCGTGAATACCTCTGCCTCCAGGTCAAAATGAAATGGAGCTGGTCGAGTACGCTAACTCGAGCGTAGGCTCCAAAGTTTGGGTAGTTCGTCACAATCGTCAGCACCTGCCGCTGCAGGCTTTTGCTGCACCTGCTTCCTGCTTCTGTCTCTTGTATACGGCAGTGCATGTGCCGCACGCTCACTTGCATCCACCTTCGTTGTCAGCACTCAATAGGTGTTGATGCCCGAGTTCGCTTCGCGATACCGCAGCTTCACGCGATTGTTGACGCAGTGGATACACCGACGATCGCTGCGATCTACGCTCCGCATTTCATGCCCGTCTGCTTCGTAGACGGTCTCGGTGGCGCCGCTGCAAGGGACGCCACCGGACTGCAACCGGGTATGCCGGTGCGCCCACAACTCGGACGCCAGCTCCGGCGCCAGCTCCAGCTCCTGCTCCCCCGAGCGTCGCCCTCTGGCACCTGCACGCTTTCCTCCTCGCTCGGTACGTGCCGTTGACGAGCGCAGGAGGCCGTACGTGATGCCCGCCTCTGCCTCCAAGCCCAGTGTCGCACGCTATGAGCACGGGCTCGAGCTCGGCAATCGGTTAGCCCTGAAGGCTGGCAGGTGCACGCGCAAGCGCACGCAGCGCCTTCGACAGAGGACGTGCGGAACGCGATGTCGGGCACGATTCAGACGACAAAACGTTCAGATTGACCATGGATCCCGGAATTCGGAGTGGGTAATGGCTTTCGGGAAAGCGTCCATGGTGAAGCGCCTACCCTCAAGTTCCATTACCCATACTTGCTCTCGGATACGCTGGTCGTTTCGTGTTGGCCACGATGGGGCGGGCACCGCAACGCGATGCCGCGCTGGAGATCAAGTCGAGAAATTACGGTTTGTCGAGGCTCGCTTCGTGCACAGCGGTGACGCGGTCTGTGCTTCGGGACGATCGCTTGGATATCTGACTTCCGAGTCCAGGGCGCCTTTCGATGCACACATGAGAGACGGGAGCCTCTGGGCGCGCATCCCGCGCGGGGTATCACGCTGGTGTCGCGAGCCGTTCCATCGATGACCAGAAAGGGACGAGGATATGGATTTTGGACAGAGCCGTTCGTTTGGGCAGCGTTCGGTGAGAGCGCGCGTGACATCTGCTTGTGGCGAACGCTACAGTGGACGACGTCGAGTTTGTGTGCATCAGAGGCAGGTCTTCATTGGAAGCATGCGTGATTTGCGCATGCTTCAGGCGAGCAAAAGGGGAAGCATGGATGTTTGTGCGCGTACATTGCCGAGAGATATCTTTTGACTTGCGAGCGCTTGTTCACAGACGTTATCGGAATCAAGACGAGTCCGGGAACGTCAAGCATTCCAGCGGCAAAAGCGTCGAAGCAGCGTCTCTGTAAACGAGAACGAGAATGCCAGACTGGGCTGTGTAGAACCGTAACCCCCTGTGTCCGCACGCCAATATTCGAGACCACACATCGAATCAAGCTCCGGGGAACCGAAAAGCGCCCATAGAACGAGCAGCAGTTCAGTGTTCCATGCGCATCCAAAAAAACATCTAGCTGCTCCGTCCATGGGAGCCGCCTCGTGCTTCCTGCAAACAGCTGTCTCGTACGCGAGGTTCCCGGTTCCTTCTACAATTGCAATCGTTTGGATTTTCAGCTCCAACAGAGCTACTTGCTTGTTCACGCGGGAAACACATGCTCGCTGCTCGTGGTTCATGCGTGGTTGACGCACCGCCGGAAGAGCGCTACAGCGCGGTGCGCAAGGATAGACCATTTTGTCTAGACGTATACATCTATGGTATGGCGTTCCTGGCACTCGCAGCGGCATGCGCTCCGCACCGTCTCCCAAGTACCTTGTCTCGTCGTTGCATGGATCGAGATACCTTTTGTCGGGACGGTGTTGTGACGGACGACGTTGCAGACGTCTCGTGGCGGCCTGGGCAACGCTCCGTCTCCACCACGACGGAGCTCGATGCACAACCTGACGTCGACACCGCCAGCGACAGCCACGCGAAAGCCCTAACCCCTGCAGGCACCGAAGCCCGAAAGCGGTGCTCTCAGTGCGAAAACCAGCACGAGGCTGTCTACAAGTGCCCGGTATGTCAGCGACGGTTGTGCTCTCTGGACTGCTATCGTGGACATAGGGAAGCTGGTTGTTCCGGCCGGCTCGAGACAACCCGATACGCTTTTATTCCGCGCACTGACTACGACCTGAAGCAACTTCTTCGTGACTATGCGTTTTTGGAAGATCTTGAACTACGTCAACAGAGTCATAAGCGATACGTCCAGCAAATACTGTCTGGCGGCGGTTCGGTGCCGCGGTTACGCGGGCCCACCGCAGCGGAGGACCACGCACGGCGGAGGCGCTTGGCAGCCGTCCAACGTGCTGCAACGAAGCGCGGCATCCGACTTCAACTTTTACCTGAAGTATTTTCCAAGCACCGCCGGAATACATCGATGTATCGTTCAGCAGCGGATTGCATCGAATGGCGAATTGAGTGCTTCGTTTCGGTTGCAGCGCAAGCGCCGAACGATAGTGTCCTCGCACTGGACCGCTGCCCAGAGCATGTCACAATGGCCGAGGCCCTCGAGCGCCTCCAGATACGACGATTCGTTGCAGACACTGAGCACTTTTCGGTATATCTGAAATCCGACCGAGCGAACCAGCCTCGGGTCCCGATCCCGAAAATGGAGGATGTCAGGATCGCCGATGTCGTTCGCGCTGCCGAGTGCCTCATTGAATTCCCGACCCTCGAGGTTGTTGCCGATGAGCAGACCAACGGGCAGCACCCTGCCGAGCAGCCAGTTTCCAATGTACAGTGATTTCGATGACGCATCGGACGCCCTCGATGCGGATGGCATTGACGGAGCGAACGTACGCCAATGGGAAACGTGATATTCCGTGTGCACTATAATTTGCAAGCCCAGCTCAGTGAAGAGAATCCTCGCAGAGATCTGATCGCTCCTTGTTCGACGAGGATCTGCAGCAGTCATGGGAGATCTGAATCGTTGACTCCAGTGCGAACCGGCACTGTGGAGCGCTCGGAACAGATCCTAGGGCGCTTGTCAGTGATCAGACGAGGACGGTTCCAATGCGATAATCCCGTTCGCATTCGGGGGTATTCGATCCCAGCTCGGCAGTATGTGCTTTGGTCGGTGCGTCCTGTGGAGCTTTTTGGGATAGTTCTGAGATATTCGGCATACATTCCGAACCAAGCCTCCGAAGACAGAGAGGACCTGGTGCAGTGACTGGACCTGCGCCCACCAGGAAATCGATACCTCGATCCCGATGGGATTTGTTGTAATGCGGGCTTTACTGATGAGGAGCGGGCGAGTTTTTCGCAAACCCTGTAGGAATGCGCACTCCTGGACACGTTCCGCTGGCTGCATCCATCTGTCCGCGCCTACTCCTACATCGGGTATCGGCATGTCCAGAACTACTTCCAGAATCGAGGATGGCGCTTAGACTACTTCTGTTGTAGCGCCAGTGCTGCCGCACACATCGTCGACAGCTATATTCGCTTTGATATAGAGATCTACGGCGCAGCGTTTCAGCAAACGCAAGTAAAGCGCGAAGAGGTGCGGCGACTGTCAGATCATTGTCCAGTCGTACTGCTTTTTCGCACGGTCTGAATGGCAGCCGTTCGCGGTAGGCTACATAACCTCCTGCAACCTTTTGGTGAAGAAGAAGGAGGCCGGTTCCTTGGAACGCGGCGCTGGCGCTCCGCAGACCGTGGCGTATTTTCGGTGATACGTCCGAAACAAATGCGGCTTCTCGTGTTTCCTCGGTATCTATTTCACACACGTGGTGCGTCAGAGAACAAAGCGAGCTCCCGTGGAACCCTTGCCGCATTCACCAGCGATTTTCGCAGCGCCTAGTCTTCCTCTGGGATGAGGCCGCCCCAGCGTTTGCCGCCGCTCTCGAAAGTTGTTGCCCACTGCTGCTCGTAGACCTCGTCCTCGCTCTGAAGGACCAGCACGAGTGCGGAACGCGGATAGCTTACACACAGTAGACAATAGCCCTTGTCACGGAACTCTCGTGTGAGTCCGAGCGCCTCGGGCTGCTCTAGACTGCCGCGAACGATCTTGGCGGCGCACGTGGTGCAGCACCCGTTCAGGCACGATGACGGCAGCTCATAACCATTTTCCCGGAAATACCACCATATGTAGCGGTCCTCGGGAACAGCGAGCGTCAGAGACTCATCATCGCGGTAGTTTAGAATCGTGACGTTGTGTTTGGGTGCAGCGGGGTCACCGGGCAGCGCACCTCCACGTCTCTTGCGCGTTGCGATACCCCTGACGGGTGCCGCGCCGTTGGACGCAGTAGTGCCTGCCACGAGTGGTCGCTGTGCAGGTTTACGCGCCGTACCAGCTCCCGTTGCACGCGGCGCTGTCCTCACAAGTCTTCTTCGGTTCAGCGGCAAACCAGGTGCGAACGCAGTTCGTTTCATCCTGGCAGAACAAGTTGTGCCGAGTCCGCCGTGGTTACGCCACTCACTGACCTATTGGGAACGACGAAGTTGTTGATATTGGTGCTTGTACCAGCGGGCGGGGACCTGTCCAGCAAAAGAGTGCCCAGAACACAGCTCGAAATACCTTGGTGTTTCGTTAGGCGGATTCCCAGGTAAACGGTTTTGTTGCAAAGAAGGCCTCGCGCTCTAGTTCTTACGCTAGAGAGCCAACAGTACATAGTTGAACATTTAGTCTCTTTCATGTACATATGAAGGATCACAGCTGCAGATCACTCGCGTACGCCCGGCGGATCACCGGCTGGCGTACCTCCATCGATGCCAACATGTTTCAGCTGCGCAGGCGCCCATGCGTATGTTGGTTCAGAAAAGCTCGGAATTCTGTGAATGCTTTCGGTGGCTAGCGCTGTAGATGTGATCCGACGTCGCTGTCAACGCTGTAGCGCCAAAGCCGGATGCATGTCACAAATGGTTCTGGATGCATCGATCCGACCCTACGACTTGATCTGCCAAGTCTACCCAGAGGCCTGGCGCTTACTGCGGCCATAAGCGCCAACAAATCAGCAGCGTTGCAAAGCCGGGCTTTTTTTTGCAGCACATAAAACACGATTCTTCGGGGTGCCACGCTCCAGCGACAACGAGATTGCCAGACAAGTGCCTGATTAGCTTCCCAACGCTGGCGCAGGTGTACTCGCGTCATCGTCTTCTCTGCCGCAATTGCACCTGGCATGAACCCAAATCGTGTCGTGTTTTTGCATCTACAGAACAAGCAACTGGGCATCGCTATCGACAGTCGAGTTCCTAAGATGGCGGCAGCGTTCGAAACAGGATAGCGTTCATCGCTGTTATCAAGTACCTGATCGCGAATCTGTTCCCGACGCCGCCGAAGATGCGTAAGGTTTCAGTGCAACATCGAACAGTTCACTAAAGTGCGTGGCAAGTGAGTTGCGCACCTGCTCTGCGGAACAGGTGTTCGGATGCGGCAGCAGATCCTGCATGCAAGTCACGGTGTTGCCATCGAGACCGCATGCAACGATACGTCGGAACGGTGGGAGCACCTCCCGGTTGACATTCAGGGCAAACCCATGGCAGGTGACCCAACGGCTAACGCTCACGCCAATAAAGGCAATTTTGCGGGTTCCCCCGGCAACCCAGACCCCATGATGATCACTGCGTCGCTCGCCGGGTATTCCAAAGTCGCGCAGGCACCGAATCACAACCTCCTCGAGCAAGGAAACGTACCACCGCAGGTCACAGCGATATCGTCTCAGGTTCATAACAGCGTAACCAGTGACCTGACCCGGTCCGTGGTAAGTAACTTTGCCGCCGCGCTCCGTACGAACAACTGCGCAGCTCGCTTCCTGCAGCGCAGAACCGAGGTCACCCGGGCTTGCAGCCGTCCCTAGCGTGTACACTGGCGTGTGCGTGAGCAACATGAAAGCGTCCGGAAATCGCAACGTCGTTGCCGGTGCTTCGCCGCTCCGCCCCAGTCGGATCGCACGCAGCTGCTGTTGCCACCGGTGCACCGGCTCGTACGGAAGGAGTCGATCGCCAAAGTCATAGAACCAGCACTCCCGCGGCTCATACTTTGGTACTGCCTGCACTGTCGCCGCCTGTAGTGTTCGTAGGATGCATTTGGTGCGCATAACACGCAAACGGCATCGCAAGCCGGCAAGTACCAGGTTGGCGAATAAGTTCGAGGACAATGGCGCACGAACGGCTACGAGGCGTTTTCGCAGATATGCAGGCGAGGTTTGGGTAGGTGCGCCACGTTTCCGCTGTGTCAATGTAACGAAATTTACTCAGGAATAAGACAAGGACGGTTTTGTGGAAAGCTTACGCGAGGCTGCTAAGTTCGGTATGGCATAGCCGAAGGCTCGTATCAAGAGACAAGTCCTGAATCGGAAATTGTAGCGGTTCGTATGCTAGTGCGCAGCGTGCACGCCCTAGACCAACGAAGAGCAAGCGTTGCACGCATCAGTCGAGTATAGTGGGAGATCCCGGCGTGCATACTAACTGTTCAGGTTGCATTTTCTCATGGTGTACGAGCGGTGAATCTCATGAAAGTATCCCGACTGTGCGCTTGCGACAACCGACGATAGAGAGAATCCAATCTCGACGCCAAGTGCGCCAGACCAGAGGAACTTCTGGTAACCGTCGGCGCGGCAAGGTTCTCCTTTCAATAGTTTATCTTCACAGCATTGGAAACATAATTTTCTACGGGTAGGGATTCTCGCTCTGTGGTACCCGTATCAGGGCCTCGAATATCGGAAGAGCGGATCAAGGCGAAAGCACTATCCTTGGACTTTCCATTGGTGCAAAGCATGCGCCAGCGCTAATACATGAGCATGTTCGTGCCGATCCCGGAATATCTTGTCCCCGTATAAAAATATGTGGCCTTGCTGCCATCTGCCGGTACAAAATCTATCCGCCACGTGCCTCCCAATGCCCATAGATACGAGCACGGCATTCCAGATGCTTCGAAGCTGCACCTTGAAATACCTTATTCCTCCGCTGACGGATCTGTACACTTCGCTTCCTCCGAGTCTTCAGTCGGAAGCATACCTGCAGGCCAAATCGCACAATGTTCCATAGACTAAGTCACCGCTTAGGTCTGGCGTGTTGTGACCTGCGGAGGGAGCACCGCTGTGCGAAAGGCGCTTTCAAAGCGCCCAGAGACAAATCGAACCTCGCGCCGTTACATTTCCGCTCTGGCGGTTAGCGATCCAGCGCGGCCAACAGAGGCATCCGAGCCGCCGGCTACCTGCAGAACCGGGATGCCTTGGGTGCCTCGCGAGTGTAGCAGGGGCCAGCAGTGCTTCGTTTCCCTTCAGTGTAGAAGATGATCACACGCTCCAGGAGCAAAAGATACCAGAGCGAGGACGGGTGTCCAGTATCGAGCCAGGATACCCTGGAGTTGGGGTCAGCTGACAGACTAACCGTGGAAATACAAACACCCGGGAGAGGCCAGCGCGAACGGCGTGGAGCACACAGCCGGGGCGACCCTACAGGAACGTCGTCCGCTTGTGTCACTCCGCAGCAAACAATAAAAGTTCTTGGGCTAGAATCGCCTGGACTCCCGTCTGCAGAGTTCGGACTGGGTGTTCATTCGGGTCCGACCTGTGCCGGCGGCGTTGAGTCGGTGCCCTTGACGGCGCGGGCGGCACGCGAGCTCCGTCGACTAGGATTTGATGTGCCGAGCCCGCTTCCGTCTCGAACATCAAAAGGCACGCCACATGTTCGTGCAACGAAGGCGTGCCACATGGACTCGGAGCTGACACCGGCTTCACTCCAGAAGCCGATAGCCACCGCGATGCCGGCTGTTACCTTGGACACACCTGACAGCGCTCGCTC